TTTACAGTATAGCAGGAATTTGCCGTTCTTAGATACAATTAAAAAAAATATCCTCCGATCCTTCTCTATCCCCCTGCAGCAAAAAATGTAATAGCGTCAAAGTCATATATTAAGTTAGCACAACCATTCCAGTAAACGTTAAGTAAAATGTCTGAAATTAGGTGAAACAATTGCCGTAAATTAGCCGTAAATACACCATGCAAACCAAAAATTTGCCGCTCTATTATTTGTTTATAAAATCGATATTTTTTTTTAATTAACGTAAACGATAACGTTAAATTAGCGCGATTTTTCTTAAAATTCACTAAATGGGATCAATAATGACTTTATAGTAAAACAGGAATATGCCGTAAACAAGCCGTGAAATCGAAAAATTTGCCGCTCTTTTATTTCTCTAAAACCCTACAGGGTGATTCAGGCTTCCGAAAAAGCTCTATGTTAGGTTTTTGGTTTGTGAATTTCATTTCATTTTTTTTATATATAATATAGGGGTAGTAGTAACGCATATTTTAAAAATATTTTTGTCAGCATACAGGGTGATTCAAACATATTTTCAAACCAAAGTTGTATATTTCTAAATGGAATACTATATATTTTTTTAGCTCAGTGGATTTGCCACTAAATTTCTGCTGCAAAATACCCCAATGTCATATACTATACCTAATGGTTTTTGAAATATAACCTTTAAGCTTTACTACTGCCCCTATATTATATAAAAAAATGAAATGAAATTCACAAACCAAAAACCTAATATAGAGCTTTTTCAGAAAGCCTGAATCACCCTGTAGGTTTTATAAAGAAATAAAAGAGCGGCAAATTTTTCGATTTCACGGCTTGTTTACGGCATATTCCTGTTGTACTAAAAAGTCATTATTGATTCCATTTAATGAATTTTAAGAAAAATCCCGCTAATTTAACGTTATCGTTTACGTTAATTTAAAAAATTATCGATTCTGTAAACAAATAATAGAGCGGCAAATTTTTGGTTTGTATGGTGTATTTACGGCCAATTTACGGCAATTGTTCCACCTAATTTCAGACATTTTACTTAACGTTTACTGGAATGGTTGTGCTAACTGAATATATGACCTTGACGCTATTACATTATTTGTTGCTGTGGGATAGAGAATTTTCTTATTAAATATCGATTTTCGGCATTAATAAAATAAAAAGATTAAACAACACCTTGTTCGATTATGATACAAAATACTGGGTGTTCCATTTAAAATAGTAGATAAAAATACAAAATTTAGTTTTGACTCACCTTGTATATATCAAACAAGATTGCAAATTTTGGTAGACCGAATTTTAAAGAAGACACTATTATACAGTACTTCCTGTTAAAACTTTTTAAAATTCTTCGAATTTAGAATTTTCAGAGGGCTTTAAATAAGCAGTAAATTTAGTTTAAAAACGTTTATACTTCAAAAACCATTAGGTATAGTATATGACATTATGGTATTTTTGAAACAGAAATTTAGTGGCAAATCCACTGAGCTAAAAAAAATATATAGTATTCCATTTATAAATATACAACTTTGGTTTGAAAATATGTGTGAATCACCCTGTATGCTGACAAAAATATTTTCAAAATATGCGTTACCATTGCCCCCATATTATATAAAAAAATGAGATGAAATTCACAAACCAAAAACCTAACATAGAGCTTTTTGGGATACCTGAATCACCCTGTATATTTTATAGAGAAATAAAAGGGCGGCAAATTTTTCGATTTTACGGCTTGTTTACGGCATATTCCTGTTGTACTATAAAGTCATTATTGATCCCATTTAGTGAATTTTAAGAAAAATCGCACTAATTTAACGTTATCGTTTACGTTAATTAAAAAAATTATCGATTATGTAAACAAATAATAGAGCCGCAAATTCTTGGTTTGCACGGTGTATTTACGGCTAATTTACGGCAATTGTTCCACCTAATTTCAGGCATTTTACTTAACGTTTACTGGAATGGTTGTGCTAACTTAATATATGACTTTGACGCTATTACATTTTTTGCTGCAGGGGGATAGAGAAGGATCGGAGGATATTTTTTTTAATTGTATCTAAGAACGGCAAATTCCTGCTATACTGTAAAATTCCTAACTATGTTCTTTCACTGATTTCCAATGGTGGTTGTGCTAACTTAATATTAACTTAGCACAACCAACGATTTAACATACTTAGCGAAGAGCGGCAAATTTTTCGTTTTCACGGCAAATTTACGGCTAATTTACGGCAATTATTCCACATAGTTACATACTTTTTTGTTGTGCTAACTTACCACACGTGCCCGCGGCCACGCGCTAAGATCGTTGTGCAATCCGGACGCTCAATTGAATACGTCAATCAATCCTAATTCATGTCATACACTAACATATCAAATAAAAAAGTTATAGGTGTGAGCCACTTTTAAAACGCAGCCGGTAGAGTACGTAGAGTACTATCTAACATACTTATAAATGAGAGTTTATTGATTAATGACTTTTTATTTTTTTAATGAAAATGCGATACCACTTTGGACATAAAAACGGGGTGTCTGTTTAAGGTTACCTTGATTATACAGGGTGCGTCTCAAAAGTGGCTCACCCCTGTAACTTTTTTATTTGGTATGTTACTATATGACATTTGGTATGTTACTATATGACATAAATTAAGATTGATTGATGTATTCAATTGTTTTCGGTCACTTCCTGTTTCACCGGAAATGACTACAACTTTTGATTTTTAAACGGCACCCTCGGTATTTTTTTACTTTATTCGATAGAAAATAACACTCTGAATGAAATGACATATCATATGTCATCTTTTGACATTTTCGCATATGGTTTATTTGAAATTATAACTTGCGGGTCGTAACAAAAATTTGATTCGAAATACCAAGTGTGTGATATCAAATTATTCGTAAAAAAATGCCTTTTCCAAATATGCTAATGAGTCACCCTCTTTCCATTTGAAAAAATTGAGATATTATTAAAAAATACGATTTGAGCATTTTCTAACTGGCCAGGATAAGATATTAAAAACATTAGACGATCAAATCTATTTTTCCAAGGCTCCTTGATTAAGAATTAGTGTTTTTAACATATCCATGGCACTCTAGATTGAATTTAAAAATACGATTTTTTATTAAGCGAGAATGTCAAAAGTTGACATATGATATGTCATTCTATTCAGAATGTCATTTTCTAGCAAATAAAGTAAAAAAATACTGACGGTGCCATTTAAAGATCAAAAGTTGTAGTCATTTCCGGTGAAACAAGAAGTGACCAAAAACAATTGAATACCTAACCCTAACCTAACCTAACCAACCTAATCAATCAATCCTAATTTATGTTATATACTAAGTACGAAATCTCGTTTTTTTTTATCTGAAAAAATAAAAAAGTTATAGGGGTGAGCCACTTTTGAGACGCACCCGGTATATAAAAAAATCAATTTCTTTTTGGATTATGTCATTCTTCGGACAATAGATATATATTTTTTTGAAAACTGGTTCCTGGGGTTATGGTCCGTAATAAAAAAAATATTTTTTCCTTCAAGTGAAACATTATCAGAGTCAACGTTTCGATCTATATTCGATCTTTATCAAAACTTTTTATTATAACCTTGGACGTCACAAAAACAAAGTTATAAATTTACATTTTAACACAGTATTACTACATCTATTTAATATCAAACAAACATACTGTATGTTTGACTATAGTTTTGTTTTTCTGTAATTTTTACATGTTGTCTGTTGAAATGATGCATTATATCTCTGGAGCGAATATACTATAATACTTATACTGATTTAATTTAAATAACTATTCTTAATTTCTTAAGACACCCTACTTAAGCCAAAAATTAATAGCTGCCAGAAAACAAATCAGAATGATTTTAGTAATAGTACAATCCTAAACTAGTCCTTAACCTGGGTTTTGCTTGTGACTGTGTGGCTTAAAATCACTAATCCCACGGAGGCTTGTGTTCTTTGCGTGGAAACTGTTCCTTCGACGAAGCTAATGTCGTTATTTTCTTTTTGTTCCCCCGCCTTGGCCCCGGTCTGCGCACACTCCACACTCGTTTTTCGTTTTAATTTTCTCATTTTTATTTATCATTCACCCGCTTTTTCTGGTTTTTTTGGTTACCGCATCTGCCTCCCTCCCTCCCAAACGTCCCACCTCGCGCCCCAAACGGTCTCATTAGTCGGAGCAAACCTTTTACTCCTCATATCCCAACCAGGCCGCATCAGGACGGAAGTGACCTGCGCCCAGTGCGGTTCCCATCTAGGCCACGTGTTCAACGACGGACCGGCACCCACCAAGAAGAGGTACTGTATTAATTCGGCATCGATGGACTTTATACCGCACCAAAAAGCCGACGGTGATAGCTAGGATTAAGAACAATTTTATGTTTGCGTACTTAAAATGGTCTTGTTTTGTTGTTTTTAGTTTATATAAAAATCTAAATTATATTATATTTTAAATTGTTTCAGAAAAAATTGTATTTGCTATACCGGTAGTCTCAGTAACCCTGTTTCAGTGGAATGCCGTATAATTGTAAAGGTAGTATCAGACATAGCTACTTTTGTTGCGCAGCACATTAAAAAATGCGCAACTTGATCTGCTGCAAGTGTGAATACCTAGGCAACCTGCAACGTTGCGATCGCAGCTTGGTTGCGTAGGCTACTTTTTTGTTGCGCGCAGTTTAAGAAATAGCCGTGTGTGAACTGTTGTTGAGGAAGGTTGCAAGTGCAGCAAAATATTACTAATCAGTTGAAACTTTTACTGCTGACATCGCGTTAAGGTAGTATCAGACATAGCTGCTTTTGTAGCGCAGCACATTAAAAAACTGCGCAACTTGATCTGCTGCAAGTGTGGATACCTAGGCAACCTGCAACGTTGCGATCACAGCTTGGTTGCATAGGCTACTTTTTTGTTGCGCGTAGTTTAAGAAATAGCCGTATGTGAACAGTCGTTCAGGAAGGTTACAAGTGCAGCAAAATATTACTAATCAGTTGAAACTTTTACTGCGGACATCGGTGCAGTATTCTGTTGGTATGCCCGAAATGTATACACTTTTTTTCAGTTAACTCCAGGATTTATATGTAGGTATTTAGTTAAGAATTAACCGACAAATTGCGATGTCGTCGAAGTCAAAACAAGCGATTTGGAACAGAGAACAAGTAAAATGTTTAATAGAGCGTAAAAAGTCCATTCTATCACAACCAAAAGAAAAGACGAGCCGCTATTTCGGAAATTTCTTCTAAATTACATATGTCCGATGAAGACATAAAAAAGGAAAACTACACGTTGCGTGCACAATATTCGAAAGAACGTTCAAAAATGAAAAGTTCCAAATCCGGTTTGCTCTTCCAAAAGGTACACACACGATACCTTGAGCTGTGGGTGGTGTACTGTTGAATGCTGCCCCTCCAAGGCTGCGGCTACCAAAATATGTTGCAAAAGTAGCGCTTTGGTATGAACATATGCAAAGCATGTATTGTCCATTCTCTCACAACCAAACGAAAAGACGAGCCGCTCCCTGACCCACACTCTTGTTTTTTTTTTGTCGCCGCTTTTGTTTCGCCGCCAAAGTCACATATAAATATGCCGCTGCTAACACTGTTTCGTATTCCATTTAAAAAAAAAACGCAACCGTCTCCCAAAAGGTACACACACGATACCTTGAGCTGTGGGGTGGTGTACTGTTGAATGTTGCCCCTCCAAAGCTGCGGCTACCAAAATTTGTTGCGAAAGTACCGCTTTGGTGTGAACATATGAAAAGCATGTAGTGTCGACCTGCAACTTTTTTAGGCAGCTGCTGCATAAAAACTGCGCGTTTTGGGCTACTTTCTGCTGGTGTATGAACCCTGTGTGCAACTTTTTTAGCGGCTTCAAAAAAATTGCGCTACAAAAGTAGCTGTGTCTAATACTACGTATGTTGTAAAAAGATCGACGAATTTGACGCGAACTCTGCGGTTGACAGAGAAAACTTGTGATGGCTATCTTTATGCTTGAGAACTAAAAGCCAAGTCTAAACTGTTGTTTAAAATGTTGCTAAAATTAATTTACTAAAAATTACTATGTCTGGAAAAATATTATTATGGACCGTAACATAGCATTACCTCAGAACACATTTATATCCACTGCCTAGGTCTAGGGTTTTTTCGTTTGAGTCATGGTATTATCATACAAGATGCCAAAATGTAGAGGAAAAGTGATAAGAACTAATATAATAGCTTAAAAATACAGTAGTTTTAATGGCGACCGCGGTTCATTCAGTTAAAAATCCATATACACGACGAGGCTGCAGCTCTACTTGAAAAGAGAGAACTTCTTTCTACAAACGTGTAAGAAAGTATATACCTGAAAAACTAAAAATAATGTATTTCACAGAGGATTGGGCCAGCTGAACTGAATGAATCCGAAGTCTTAAAGCTTTTCAAAATTGTGACTCAAAATCGTAGCATATTCAAGATCAAATTACCGTTATCGATAATGGAAATAAAGCAGTAGAGCTCGGTAAAACCGAGCCTGAGAAATAAAGCAGTAGAACCCTGTAAAATTGATCTTTGTGCAAAATTTGATCAAGACAATTTCAATTTTTTAAAAAAACCAGAGGCAAAAGAGCACGAGCAAAAACACCCTTACTTATAAATTAACAAATAAAATATGTTTCTTTGTTATGGTCATTTTGTTTTTTTGTGGATTTGGGCCGGTTGCCTGTTATTCCCGGGCCGGTTTCCATTTCCCCATCCACCCCTGTTTGTGCCTATACTGTAACATTGTAGAGTTACATTATTACATTATATTTATTAGTTGTAGTATTACAATTCTTTCAATCAACGGTATTACAGAGTTGTAGACGATTGTAGTTTAAAATAAAAACAATACACTTTCTGTCAAACTGAAAGTCATACCAGACACCAGACGGTACTATATCATAGTAAAAAAATTCACGCATGTTTCAATTTTACATGCAACTGATATTCCATTGAAGTATTCCATTGAAACAAGGGTTTTGAGACATCCGGTATTAGACGGTTTTCGTGTTGTTATAAAAAGTAATCAATATTTTGAATGTGATCACCATTCACTTTGATGTATTTTACCAGCAAAAATAATGGCATTACTATACCCAATAAAATTGAATATTAAGTCAGAATAGTACTAGCAATTTAAAAGTAAAATTAACTTCGTTTTTTTGTCAGATATCCTTAATAATATTAATTTCAAAATAAAAGAAACTTACGAATTAGTATGTCACTAATAGACTCATATAGGTTCACATTCTTTCTGCATTACTTTCCTTTGTATTTGTTTATGTTTTATCTTATTTGTCTCAACCTCTATTTTTCTCAAAATATATCATAGGTTTTCTTATCATCAAAGGTGATTTCGACGTAACTATCATAATGATAAAAACCTACTGATTTCTCCTGATTTTAGGTCTAAAATGATCAATTAAATTTATAATTGAATACATATAATATACAGTTGTACAAATATAGGAAGAGACTTGGGGATAGCACCGGTCGCGTGTTATTTTATATTTCTCACGTCTCTAGCTATACTTGTTAAGTTGTACTCTATTTTAACGAATTCAACCATACTAAAATGAATGTGTAAAGAGATGAAGTAAATATCTGATACAGAAAAATAATATTACCATCAATTCAGGTTATCTTTTCTTCATTTAAATTTATTACAATTTTCTTCATCATTTAAAACCTACATATCAGGCATAGATTGAGTTTAACGCAAAAGATATTCTATGATTTGCTATAATCTAGTTCAGATTTTAACAGAAAAATCACATTATACCATGAACATAGAAACATAATGACAGATAATGCTGTAAAATAGGCCTATTGTGTATTATTTTATAGAGAAATAACATTACCTACAGTCACGGACACTAATAAATGCAATCGGTGAAGGTTAATTTATTTGAATTAGATTTTTGTTGATCCGATAATTATTATTGTTTATAACGAGGCTATAGGTCACTATTTATATAAAATACTTATTTTATTCCATGTCGTAGAGTGTTGTATACAGGTCTATGTTATATACACGTTATGTCCCAATATTCCGTGGAAATAGTGTGTTTTAATAATCAATATTATTTTAGTATTTGTGGTCTTGTACATTAAAATATTCCCTATCGCTGGCGTACGCTGACTGTGCTGCGTTAGAAAACAAAATAATTTTGACCGTTGCACGTTGGAGTGCCTTTGTTCGGCGATTTCTGCATCGCCTACTATCAGAGTCGATGCACGACGTACGGCAGTCTTCTGTTTCTGTCTAACTCATCGTGCGGTAGCGACGCGACGTAAGTCGGAGTTGTATCGTATTAAGGCGGGGCTTAGGCGAAATCTCTGGTCGCCTTCGCATGAAGTCGTGGAGGCTCGGTAGGCTTAGAAGTTAAGGGGATATTCCCGATATTTCATAAGGGGATATATCACATTTTATTAAGGGGATATATCACATTTTATTAAGGGGATATTTCATATGACTCATTATACGTAGCATTTAAAACTTTTATATGAAATTTCAAAAAACGTTTAAAGCAAATTGGAAACATTTTTCGGGCTTGTCCGAGATTATTCAAAATGATATAACCGGTTGTATTTCAAAACACACCACAGAAATAAAAGAATCCGAAATAAAAAAGCGCGTTATTTTATTCGGTGCAAGAATACGGTGCAACAGATATTACACAAGTCACTGTGCTATTTCAATTCGATATGTTAATAAAAGCGGCTAAGTCCAATATCATTGCGAATTTTATTTTATGAAATATTAGATAACATTGTTATACATTTAGAAATAAGGTTTGCAGATAGGTATGTCTCAATTATTTTTATTTATCTCTTGCGGATCCGAAATTTAAAAAATCCTAACACATTTAACATCTGATTTAACAAACTTGTTATATTGATACATTTCCAACGCATTTAATAGTGAGTTAACAAACAAAAAATGTTATTGATCAACGTAAATTAATGAATAATTTGCAGGTATTAATAATAGATATGATAATTTCGATTATAAAATAAATTAAGGAGAATAATCCTGGAAATATATTTCCAGAGGCTTTCAAATTGTTCGTTTGTTTGTTACTACACCATTTACAAGTACTTGGGTTGAGAGACACTTTTCGTGTTTGAAATGCATTAAAATTTATAGTAGAGATTCCATAAAAAATAAACGTTTATCGTCACTTGCCTTACTTTCAATCTAAAAAGATCTATTCACAGCTCTCCAACAATCTGATGATTTTGCTGATATAATAATAAATAACTTTTCTTTATTAAGAGATTATAAAACATAATTATTCTTTCTCTCAATACTACCAATTTTTAAGTTTCCGTAAATAAATAAAAAATAAAATAAAATTCTATGATGACTCCATAGTAATAGATAGTGACAATATAGTAATAGATAAAAAAACATATACTTGTACATGTAAATCATTATGTCATTACGTTGAATGCTGTTATTTTTGCTTTAGTTTTGTCCTAAATATTCTTGAGCTATGTTTTTAACCCAGAGATAACATATATTTACTAACTGGGTTAGGGTATTATGTAAATTAGGGGGGGAGGGCAAATAGACGCAACTAAAATTTTGTTGCCTACCCAGTCACACGGGTCACGAGCCGCCACTGATCAAAATAAGTTCATTGGACACAATTTACCTCTAACAAAAGTGCTTCGTTTGTCCGTTAGAGAGTATCATGCATTTTTTAAGATATTTTAAGAACCGTTATTCCGATTTGAATGAGATTTGGGGTGCCTTTTGTTAAGTGCTTTAACATTTGACTTTCACAAAAATCAAGAAAATATACGGGGAGGATGAAATATTTTTCAACTCCAATCGAAGACCTATTTTTTTTTCTTTCGTAAAATGGTCGTACTAGTATTTACTACATTTTTTGTTTCCTGTAAAAAAACCTTCACATCTCATAGTTTTTGAGAAAAAAAATTGGGGATTTTTTTTTCAAATCAGACCTACAAAATATACAGAAAGTTTCAATATCCCATGGACATAGAACAACTATGTATTTTTTGAACTGAAAACTAACCTCTAAACAAAAGTGCTTCGTTTGTGCGTTAGAGGGCATCAATCAAAAATAAACAAGAACGTAATTAATTTAAAATTTATTAAGCTTATTGTCAAATGTCATTTGTGAAAAAATCAGTCGTCGGTGGAGTTGGAAAATATTTTTACTAAAAATTGTGTAGGTGTGGGGGTAGTTTTCACTCTTCCCGTACTTCTCTTTGTTTTTTTTTGTAAAAGACAAATGTTAAAACGCTTATCAAAACATAGGCATCCCAAATCTCGTTCAAATCGGAATATCGGTTGTTAAAATATCTTCAAAAAAGTATTTATTTCTTTAAAATTTGATGCCCTTAACGGTCATACGGGCCACTTTGGTATAGAGGTAAATTGTGTCCAATGGCCTTATTTTGATTCCAAAAAGGTTAGTAGTTCTATGTCCACAGAATATTGGGACATCCTGTATAATCGTATTTTCTTATGTATTTTAAATATTCGAAAAGAACCACATACTATCTTTATGTTGATATTAAAAAAAAATCGAAAATGTATAAATTATAATTTAAACGTAGAAATTTAAAATGATGATGGTTCAAAATTTAATGATTAATAAACGTGTGCAATTTGATTGATAATAACCGAATGGAGATCATTTTCTCTAGTTTCGCCTTAAAAAGTGAAGTGATATTATATCAATAGCTAAAAATTGGTAATAAAACATCTGGATTGATTTTCATCTTATCTTGTAAATGGAATAAACCAATTAAGGTTCATCACCATTTAAAAAAAAATCGTATAGCCAAAAAATGTAATATAATTTTATTTCCTTCGTATTTTTGTATATAAAAAAAGAAACGGTAATTATTCATTCTAATGAAAAAAAATGTTGACCTAGAGTCATATCTAAATCCGTGTCTAAAAAAAATAATATTGTTTGATTTTAACCAGATACAAATATAAAATTTTTGTTGTTAAAATCAGGTCTCCCTTTATAATAAAGTACTGTATAATTGAAAAAACACCTTTACAGCGGTTTCAGATGGAGCGGACCGGCCGCGACTTCGAGCAAGTACCATGAGTTTATATGAACCATTTCACATGGGTCGCGTATGCTCCGTCCGACGGCTGTCTTGAAAAAAACACGACGGACGGTCCGCTTCATCTGAAAGCACTGTTATTTCGAAGCCAACTCTGATGCCGTTTTTTTTTTCGATCGTATGGGTATATGTATTATGTCTCGATATTATTAACTAATGTAAGTAAGAAGAAAATATCAAACAACAAACAATATTACTTAATTTTACGTGTAAAACTTCTATTTAATATTTCCGTACCTATGCTTTTGTATTATTTGTATTTTTTTTTAAACATAATGCCGGGTCCAGACCAAGCAGACAAAACAACAAGATCGAAACATTCATATTTTACGACAAAATTGCGACAAATCCAATACATTTCTGCGACATTTGTGTCTCATTTTTGTTTTGTTTTAAAATTCGGAGACTTTTCAATGTCCCGTCTCGAGTCGGTAAAGATCAAAGTGTCTATGTTTTGTTCGTATATTTTACGACAAGTTGTCGGCGCAGTGTGGATGGTGTGTGCTACCAACAGTAGGAGATCAGCGAAATCACACATAGTTAATAAAAATCATTCGCAACAACTAAACTTTTGACTTTGTTGTACTTTTGTCCTTGCGGTGTGGAGAATTTGGCTCAAGTTTGTCTTGTCAGAATTCCCCATTTTTGTCGCAAGTTTGTCTTGTTCTTGTCTCAAAATCGTGTTTACTTTTTGTCACCTTGGTTTGGACCCGGCATAACAATTTAACCAATGAGAGTCTAGTGTAGATGGTCTTAAAAATTTCGAAATAGAAACAAAAATAATAGATTTGATGTTAAATTGTCATCACCACATAATATTAATTGGAATAAATACAACTAAACAACAAAAAAATATAAAAATCGACATATTAATTTTAACACGGCCTTGTTTTTTAGAAATTAAAATGTATTTTAAGATTTTAAGACCTACACTATGATTCTTATCTATATTCATTGATAAAATTTAGAACATTTATATCAACACGCGATTTTGAGTTTTTATCTTTGCCAAAGTGTTGTATTTTAGAAAACAATTTAATAGTTTTAACTGTTTGCTTTCAAAGTGTAACATGTATTTTTGTATGTCAATTCAATTAACAACGGGTTTTGTATTTGTTGAAAAATAAAGTAGTATCTGTTACAAAATATATTTTTACTATACCTTTTCCTTACTAGTTAATTAAGTATTTACAGAAAAATAAGAGTTTCATTAGAGGAATATATGATTAAAATGTAAGGTTTCGGACATATTTAGCATTTTCTAAGAACAATTTATAAATTTCAATAAAAGTTACCTAAATTGGAATTTACCCGGTATAGCCCAATATGTAGTTAAAAGTAACTATTGTACTTTAAAACAAATTAAAGTTTGATTTAAGTTATTTACTCTTTTATTTTAAATGGAAGACCCAGTATATTATTCCGATATTCAATGGGGAATTCATGTCTCTTCAAAATACTATTAAGGTTGCCTACCCTTCAAACAAAGATTTTCCTAGATATTTTTATTTTTGTGATTTAATGTCGATAGGTTTATAAAATCTAGGTGGCTGTGATGTCTGACGTTACTTCAGCATAGATGTAAAATTAGTTGAATTTTAACAACTACTAGTTATCATTTTGTGTCAAAAAAAACGTGTTTTGTTAAAATATAAAAAAAATCTTAAAAAATTTACTGAAAATGGAACTTATTCAACAGAGAGAATTGATATGATTCTCTGTTAGTTGCTGACTGCAGTATGCCATTCACCAATTAATAGAATACTTAAATTCTCTTGATTTATCTAGTCTGGGCTTTTTTATGGGGATATATTAAAGACAGTGTTTACAAAACTCGACCAACTATTATCGACAACATGAAAGAAATGATGTGGCTGCTTTTCGAAGTAGAATTTAACATATGCCTTTTAACATGAAAATATATTTTAAAAAGAGAATAATTTTATGCCGCAAACAGGAAAGAAAGCACTTTGAGCATTTGATTTCATCTAGCTAATTTTTGTCACATAATTATATGTTTATTTCTAGTTTTGATTCTATAATAATTAAATATGTTTTAAACGTATATCTTTTTATTACCGTTGAGTATTTTCCCTTTACATCCTTTAATTTTTGTTAAATTAACAAGAGGTATATCACAGCCACCTAGATTTTATCAAATACTAAAGATCTGCTGACGTAAAATCATAGAAATGAAAAAATCTAGGAAAATCTTTGTCTGAGGAGTAAACAACCCAATAGTTTTTTGAAGATATATGAATTCTCCATTGAATACCTGAATAACATACTGGGTGTTTCATTTAAAATAAAGGAATAATTTGCTTTTAACAGTGACTTTAATGTTCAATATCAATTTTGTCTCACCTTGCGTAACTTTTCAGGTCAAATTTTAATTTGTACAACGGTTATTCTAATTAAATATCAGGCTATACAGGATAAATTACAACTTAGGTAGCTAATTTAAAATGTATTCGCTAATAAGTCAAAAACTAAAAAAAACGTAAAAATACGAACTTTTTCACTTATTTTTATCTGCAGAATATGCTGCCGAAATTTCCCGAATACAATTCGGACCACCCTGTATATTAAAGCAAGATTAACAGCGCTTTCAGGTGGAGTGGACCGGATGTGTTTTTCAAGATAGCCCTCGACGAACTCATTCGGGCGAAGCATACGCGACCCATGTAAAATTGTTCATATAAACTCATGGTACTTGCTCGAAGTCGCGGACGCTCCGCTCCATCTGAAAGCGCTGTAAAAGCCAGCAACAAACTGTTGGGAATCAAATAGGAATTTTTTAAGCAACTATTAATAAAACATAATATTCAATATTAAAAAAGAATTTAATACCACACACTATCTTTGTTGGCAACAATAGTATGTCTACTCAATCACAATTTGTCATAAATACTAGTGCAAAAATACTATTAACTAGTCATTTAAGTAAACGCTTTCATTCGTACAGATAGACATCTTTGACATATTCATTTTTTTAAAGTATACAATATTGTAATGTTTGTTACAAAATATATAATTAAAAGGAAACATATATGATATGGCTAAATATAAAAAATAATAAATATACAAAATACTTTTTTACATCTAATAAAGCTCACAACAGTTATTTACAATAAAAATCAAATAATTAATCAGTTCAAAAATGCTAAACTACCTTTTGAATAACATAAACACTAAATCAGTGGTCTGAAAAATGGCACTGGGAAGTTTTTAATCGTAATAATACACTGGTATATATTGTGTAAATGAAAAATACGTTTTATACTTAATTAATAGTATCATTTACTAAATTATATTCAGTTTTAAATACATATTTATAATATTTTTAAAACTTGCCATTTTTCCACATTTTGTAAATAAGATTTTAATAAATAGAATTTCTAAACAAGAACTACAGAACTAAAATGAATTATGCCAAGTTACAAAAGTCTGAGAGTAATTACACACCAAAGATACTATTTTATGTATGTTAATAAATGTACGTAGACAATAATATTTCTATTACTTCTAAAATATTTTCAATATCTCAAGCTTCAGTAACTTGTAAGTAAATTTTACTAAGCATACTAAAAATAAGCACTGGTGACACTTGTTTTAACGAAAAATGTAAGTTATATACATTTTATTCTTAAGAGCTTTTTAGGAAAAGTACAAGAAAAAAATAAGTATTTTTATTTCATTCCACTGCTAATACTTATCCAATTATTCAAATATTTAAAAGTTTTAGTATTTCTTTCAGTTATTAATAGAGTAATATTCATATATATTATACAAATTGTATCACTAATATAGTGACATACTTTAGTACCTTTTAATTCAACAAATTATAAGTCCATTATTGACTTATCAACAGATAAAACCACAGAACAGTTACTGACAAAAATGTCCATTGAATTTATGGTGGTGTTTTAAACAAGCTGATTTCACCTATAGAGGATGAATTTTATACCTTTATACTATATACTTTTTTAATAATTATCACATCACATTAAATTTTGAGCTAACAAGAAAAATATATTAAAATATTTATAAGAGCAAGCGCCACCACTTGAACGCGAAAAACGAATAGCAACTTATTATACATCAGGCTCTTTTTACAACAAAGTGTCTACTAATATTTCTGTTACCTCGTCACACTGTAAAATTTGGTAAAGTTTTGTAAAATCTATATTAAAACCACTGGTAACATTTTCTTAGTATACACATTGACTGTAATAGAAATATATAAATATAATATGACAAATACGTTAACTTAATTATTATGATTTTGGCATTAAGTACTGTGTGATCAGTCAAAATGTATTTGATTAAGTTTATGATGAAATACATTTTGGCTTTCAAAGTTTCACATGTAATTTCCTAAAAGAATTATTTTTGTGATTTATTATTATTTAGATCATCAGAAAGCACGCTACATCATATTTTTTTTGGGATCCAACAGCTATCCCCAAAATAAAAATATAAAAAGTAAAATATAAAGGAACCTATTTATTATATCTTCAAAAAAGATTTCTGGGTTTTTCTATTCTAGTTTGAACTATGAAGGGTAGAGGTAAGGAGAATCATCTCTTTTTTTGAAAACAAAATGACTACCTAAAAGAGGAAAGTAAGAGTTCACTAAATGACCGCAGTGGCGCTAGTAAGCAATAAAGGATCGAACTGAACTTAGCGGTTATAGAGTGAAGGTTGGCAACCACGCGCCTTCAAAAATCGGATATTTATCTATCTCTTTTTAATTATTTCCTGTTCTAAACATTTTTGAGGCTTCTTTCAAATGTAGAACTTTTGCTATAACTGCGCCATCTTAATTGTTCCCTTTTTAATGACCATTTTTCAATACACGAAGATGATTCTCCTTACCTCAATCCTCCATAGTTTCAACGAAGATTCACAATCGTCTGTGATTTACATAGTAATAACTCTGTATATGGTTGACGTAAAACGCAACAATTAAGAGAAGATTTTGTTGAATTTTTTTGAGTCATATCATCTTGATATTGAGACCAACGGTTAATCCTACTATAAAGAAGTAATAAGGCAGAGAAAATAGTATTTTATTTTTTTTTAAATAAGATACTTTAAATATGGATTTCATAAAACATAATAATCGTCTTTAATTTTACATCAACATAAAGTAACTTTATAGCGCAAGTATAATAGTTGTTTAGATGTATTTGTCATTATATTTATATGAATATTATTTTTAATTACCATTTCTCTTGTTTAATATAAAGGTTTCTACATACAATCTTTGAACGCGCGCGTATTATTGTGAAATTAGGCACAGTCTCATGTCATTTATACAAACAGCTTTCTAATAAATGCTTACCTCCATTAGAAAATCTTACCTATTTTACTAGAATGGCGGTTTGGAGTTTACAAACACAGTTTCCAGTTGAAAACGGTCAATAATACATATCTGACCGAAACAAAAAAAATAAAGACAATAAAAATTCGAAATTTTTTTAGTCACAAGCTATTCCCATATTGATATTACAGATATTACGGAAAGTAAATACATGTACAGTTGCATTCAACTAAAAAGATAATGACGTCACACGGAATATTTTAACCTTAAATCATATACAGGCATGGTTCTTCTAAATCTATTGTCTGTATTTTAATGTGTAAGATAAAGAAAAAAGAATGACTTACGAAATAACGATATTTTCCAGTAATAAACTCGCCCGAAAGGCATACACATTGTTTAAAGACAAATAATAAATACAAAAAGTTGTAGACTTGCTGGTTCCAGATATTGCAAAAAAAGTTTCAGGTTTGTATGTATGTAGAAGAGCTTTAAGCTGGATTTATAAACTCGGGTGTTGAAGCCCAGTTGATGTTCAATTCTATGTTCGGAGCTTCAATCTCTTCAGTTTTTCTTTCAATTTAAAAATAGTTTTGATATTTTTCGAAGTTCAAACATAATAATCCAAGATTGCGCAAAATATAAACAGAAATAATGAAACAACAATATCGGCTGCCGGATTTTTTTTATTTTTTAATCAATTTTCTATTTAAAGTCCTATCCTAAATGGGTAAATCTTCGTAACTCTGTCCGATTCGATAATATTAACATTTCTACAACGCGTTTTTTTTACTATTTCGTTTTTCCAAATCGGCCACCGATATATTTTATTCTGTAAACTTTGCTTATGCCCCTATTTCCGCAAAAAAAATCGCCTGCTTAGATCAAAAAGATTTTTTTGGAAATAGCCATGGCTGTCTTAAGTCGAGTATAAAATTAGTACCATCTAATGTTCAAAGTGCAAAGTACCTATTGCAGAACAAAATGTAGGTAAAAGTTTGGAATGAACTAGAAGATAATAATAGAAGATAAATAAAGGATTTCTGGCACTTCACAATTTCAAAATAAATCTCTGCCGATTGCTGATTCAGACGAAATAACTTCAAAAATCGGTCCAACATTTTAATATATGAATAGATAATAAGTAGATATATGTATTATATGTTACATCCTTTACAATTATGTTTCGATTTATTAAATTATTTAAACGTTACAACAGCAAGTGTAACTTTGTATTTGATGAATAGATATAAGGTATATTTGTTATAGGAATACTTTTTTATAACTTTACAGGAAAACGTTTTATAACTTTTACAGTTGTTTTTCCTAAGTTTATCATAAGTTTTAAAAGAATTTGATTTTTTTTATTTAAATCCATGATATCCGTTTTTATTTATACCGATATCCGTTGATATGATACTCCGTTGATTTAAATCATATCCTGAACATATCCCATCTCTGAAGTTCGTGAACAAAACGATCGGCCAACTTTTCGATGAACTGGCTTTATAAATGCGTTCATTTTATAGTGTTGAACATTTGCTACCTCAACTGAATGAAATGGACTTCAACTGCCGAGTTTATAAATCCACTTTAAACTTTATAACATTATAATATATGAAATGAATAGAAATAAATGTCTTCATTAACCATATTCCGGATCTAATGTCGTCTTTTATTGTAAAATATAATTGTTATTGTGATGTATAAATAATTTAAAAAATTGTAATACTAATTGCTATTGACGCTTAAACTCTAATCAAAATTTAAAAAAAAATGAGAAAATCAAGTATTTTTTTACTATTTTTTAATAAAAAACAACTTTTTTAATTTAATTAATACAATCTGGTTAAGAACATAATATATACCTAAAAGAATACCAACAAATAGGAAACATAAAAAATTGTTATATGTGAAATCAATTCAGGATTCCCAATGACTTTAAAAATAATTTGTGATATATTTAATATTTTAACTTAAATGGCTTCAAAACACAAAATTGTCTTTTACATGTATAAAAGTGGGGTTAGGTGTTAAAGAATATCAAAGAAAAAAATTACTACAGAATTCGATTTTTAGATGTAAAATCAATTGTGTCAATTTTCAAAAATTTACAAGCATCGTGGAAAATCTAATTTTTCGGTAATTTTTTGAAAAATTAAACATTGATAGTAAATCTAAGAAAAAAAAACCCTAATAATTTTTTAAAAACTTCAGTTTCTCATTTTCTTTGCATTTGATGTGTTATTCAAATATTTTTACAGGAATTGAAATTTTATACTTATGTATGTTTATTAAAACTTAATAAACATACTGCCTTTGTTACTTTCTTCAAAACAAGCACAGTATTGTATCCACAGTAATGTCATAAACATACCCTCCTAGTAAAATAGGATTTATAGTCTCTGTATACTATAACAACACGAACACGATCAGCCCTATTGGAGCTGATAAATTTAACGCTAGTGCTGTTTGGCGGCGTCTTTAGCTGCTAGAATTAGGGGAGTTAAACTCGCCAGCGGTCGCGCTAGTTTCAAAAATTGGTGCTGAAAAGAGAAGCAAAATTTAAAAGTGAAAAACATATTAATGTAAATGTAAATTATATTGAATAACAAGACTAAGAAAGAGTAAAGTCTGTACAACCCCTCCCCCAATCATTCAACGTTGCATCATATATTGTATCGTATACGTCGTGAATACGCCAATATGTACAAAGAAGCCAAAGCAAGAGTAATGATATATAAAACAACCCCAGAGTTCCCAAATGGCAAAGGAGTACGACAGCGAGAAGCGATATCCCCAAAGCTGCTTACAGCAACCCTAGAAGAAATTTTCGTCAACTGGACTTGACCAACAAAGGATTAAAAATAGATGGAGAATATCTCAACCGTCTAAGATTCGCTGATGACATAATTCTCATTGTAAATAGTCCTGAAGCACGACAGCACAAATTAACGAACTAAATACAGCCAGCAATAAAATAATAAGTATATTATATTTTTAGAAACCTCACATCACACGGACGATAAAATAAAAAATAATATACAGGGTATCTCATTTAAAAAAAACATAAGATTGAATCGTATTTCGAAAATATCTGTACCCAGCGAAAAACTAGTGACGCCACTGGATTCTACGTGAAAACTCTATAGGACCCAATTTTCACCTTTTCGATAAGTTACAAAATGAGCGTCGAAAAATGCAACATTTTAAAATTCGCCTTGTATTTCAGAAACTAAAACGGCTAGTTTCAATGATGTGAACGTTGTATCTATACTCATAACGAGAAACCCAGAAACCCCACGAAAATGGGACACCATGTACATTGTTTTTATAGGCTTGGTGCATTTCAGTTGATTTCAACAGATTCCGACCGCAGCGCTTCAACGGCAAAAATCAGAAATTATCAGTATATAGTTGCGCGTCATGCTGATCGCATTAAAATAATATTGAAATTGTGGTTTTGTCATAATATTTAAGTATTTTAGTTTTTTGCTAGTATAGTTACTGAGACTATAAAACACTCAGGTACAAGGTTTGTGTGATGTAACGCTGTTTCGGGTAGTAAAAAATAAGTGAAAAAGAATTTGAACTAGGCGTCGTGTTGTGACAATTTCGAATGTTAATAAAATTGCCGAAAAATGAAAACGCGTAAAGGAGAGCGTAATTGAGGCGTTGTTAGGTGCAATAACATTCAATAACTCAACTTTCCCGGATATTCAACTCTCCCGAAACGACAGTTTATAGCTTCATAGTTTCTCACATGATTTGATCAATAGCAAAAATGGATTCAAGCAGTTGGACGAAACAAGTTAGTAAACAAGTGCTCGTTACATAATCAAAAAATTAAATAGACATATACTATTAGAGGATAAAATATAACTTGCAATATTAATGGTATTCTTTTTTTAATCAACTAGTGATTAAATGTTTTATGAACATCTTCTAAAATTATAATTATGTACTTAAAAATTTCGTTATAGCCGAAATAGCCCCAATTATGCCCCTCTAGCAAAACCGATGATTAAAACTATGCTCGCTTTTTAGTTTAAACTCATCTAAAAAGTGTTTTTAATTGGAACAATAACAAGACCTCCTGAAGATTCAAAATATTTACTTTTTTATTTTTATTTTTAGAATTTTCACAAATTATACTTCCTAACACTTTTAGAATAATTAAATATTTTTTTCGTATACTCGCTATTTAAACCCGTGTATTTGTATATGCTAGTTTTTTACGATATTTTCCGATGGTGGCAGCACCGGAGGAGAATATACCAAGCCTATAGTCTATTTGGATGTCACAAAGCATCAAATAAATAATGCATACTCCTATAAGGCTAGTATAAAATAGTACATACATAACACAATTCGTCCTCCAAGACTGAATAACAGAAAACAGTATTCAAGTGGGAGAGCAACAGATAGTGAGGAGATTGTATACCGCGGTATACTAATATTGAGCCTTTATATTGATGTTATGAAGACTATTCTGTCTTTGAAGTAAGGATATAAAAACATAAGCGAGCCCTTCTTAGTCTTTTTATTCAATGAAATATTCAAAACTTACTTTTAAAAGGTCTCGTGCCGAAGCTCTTTTGTCAACTTCAACTGCTAAACATTGGTCTAAAAAATCCTGAAACACGGCGGACAATTTTTCTTTTTCCTTTATATCCGGTTTTCCGTTTGTCGCAATTAGATATAATGCTCTAAGAGGGTTTTCATTTAGATATGGCGGTTCACCTTCAATCATCTCTATAGCCATAATACCTAATGACCAAACGTCAACCTAGAACAATATTTTACATAAAAGTCCTCCTTACAATATGTCAATAAGTTGATATACATCGCCTTTAAACAAAAGGCAGGTTCAACTGGTTCAATTTCTTTATACTAACACACTATATGAAATAGAACCCGAAAAAATCTAGTCATAGTGACTTTGAAATGGCAATCAATAATTTCTGTCCTCATCCAAGATCTACCCTGATCAACCAACTATTTACAGAATTTTTCGACAAATCCCAATAGTGTTACTGTTAATTTTTTTAAAAATGTCAAGTTGCCACTATTTATTTCCTAACACTTTGATTCGTTTTGGCCCTTTAGTTTTGTATTACGAGTTTTGGGTTTAAATGAATTGTGTAGTGATACTTTAAGCTTAAATTTTTTTAACAGCACAATTATGATGTTGGTTATGTCCACCATGCATGAATACATGGATAATATTATAATCCTTCCTTAATATTTTTAATCCAATGGTTAAAATAAAAATAAAGAGTACAAAAAAAAATAATGATATTGGAAAGGCCAGAATATATAAAACAGCATTTTATTCTCTTTAGGTCAAATATATAAAGTGGAAAATATTAGTAGGTAACTCTATTATTTCTATATTTCTAAACATACTAACCTTAGGCCCATACTGCTTCCTTGTAACTACCTCTGGTGCCATCCAATATGGAGTACCAACCATAGTAGTTCTCTTTGACTGTTCTGGACTAATTTGAGCACAAAATCCAAAATCAGCTAATAACACAAAAAATTATAGGTTTTAGCAGTTTGTACTTTTATGGGAATTCTAATATATGATTTATAAAAAGATTAAGACTTACTTAATTTAACTGAACCATCTAATCCAAGTAAAATATTGTCAGACTTTATATCTCTATGGATGACTTGGTTGGAGTGTAAAAAGTCTAGAGCTTGTAAAACTTCCCGGCAAACGGCTGCAATTTGCCCTTCATCCATACAGGTCTCTGTCACTACGTCTGTTAAAGAACCACCAGGAAGATATTCCATCACAACCCATAGTTCCTATAATTCCAAGAAAAGTAGTAAAGAACCTTAATAGTGATGGGAAAAACCGATTAATTTCAATAATCGAATACACGAGTATCAAGCGATTGCAATAACCGAGTGATCACTCGAGCGAAATATCGCTCGTATTTAAAAATACGGTTTTTGTCCGTCGCATGTTGTAAGTACTCGTTAACGCCACAAGCGCCAAGCAGTAAGCTGCGTGCGCAGGGCACATATTCTTTCGGTAATGAACGGCAAGTAGAAGCGGCGAGCGATTCGCTTGATCGGCTGATTTAGTTTATTTCGAAGCATTGTCGATGTAGGTCGTAAAATTTTGTCTCTCAGATACGGAACGGATAAATATACCGGGTGCGTCTCAAAAGTGGATCACCCCTATAACTTTTTTATTTTTTCAGATAAAACAACGAGATTTGGTATGTTAGTATAGGTATAATAAATTAGGATTGATTGACATATTCAATTGTTTTCGGTCACTTCCGGTTTCACCGGAAATGACTGCAACTTTTGATTTTTAAATCGCACCCTCGGTATTTTTTTACTTTATTCGGTAGAAAATGACACTCTAGAGAGAATGACATACATGTCAACTTTTGACATTTGGTTTATTTGAAATTGTAACCTGAACATTCATGAGGTTCATAACGACAATTTGACTCGAAATACCAAGTGGTATCAAATTATTTGTAAAAAAATTGCTTTTTCGAAATATTCTAATGCTCGTTCCATATGAAAAAATTGAGATATGATTAAAAATACGATTTGGGTATCTTTTAACCTGCCAGGACAAGACACTAAAAACATTAGACGATTAAATCTATTTTTCCAACGCTCCTTGATTAAAAATTAGTGTTTTTAACACAACGATGGCACTTTTTAAGCGAATATGTCAAAAGTTGACATATGATACGTCATTCTATTTAGAATGTCATTTTCTATCGAATAAAGTAAAAAATACCAAGGGTGCCTTTTAAAAATCAAAAATTGTAATCATTTCCGGTTAAACAGGAAGTGACAGAAAACAATTGAATACGTCAATCACATACCAAATCTCATTTTTTATTATACTAACTTTTGAGACGCACCCGGTATATACGGCGTCGTATAAATTTGCTACCAGCAATGTATGTAGAAAATTCGCTCGGCTTTTTATCGAGTAGGTCACATTAAAATCGGATTTCAATTTATTTCATTCTAGGATCGCTTGCGTTCGTCGCTTGGTACTCGTCACTTGCATCGCTCGTTCATAATCGAGCGATGTCGGTTACTTCAATAATCGAGTACTCGAGCGAATTTTCGCTCGAGTTATCCCATCACTACTTAATATGATATACGGTATAATCAAAATATAACAAATCTATGTTACGGTTAAGGTCCGATGTCCGGGTAATGTCGACATTACCCGGTTAATCTCCAGAATAACACACAACAAAACAACCAAAAACATAACCTAACCCAAACATTAACATGTTAATGTCGACATTAACCGGACATCGGACTTTAACCATAACATCTATACTAATATATAAAATCCTTAAGTGACTGATTAATCACGATCCTGCTCAAACCACTCAACGTAAGAAACTCAGTTTTGGCATACAGGTTGATTCTAGGGTATAGAGGTTCGATAAGAAGGGATTTTTCGAAATTCCAGTTCCAAGGGAGTGAAACCACCCCTCAAATATTAGAATATTTTTTATTTAAAGATCGGTGAGTTTTTCGGAAAAACTCTTAAACACGTATATTTTATTTTGTTGTTTTACATATTTTAAGATTTTTTAAAAATGTATACAGGGTGTTTCATATAATATGACCATTGAGTATTCACGATTCTGCTTAAACTGCTTGACGTTTAAAGCTGATTTTTGCCAAACGGATTGACTGTGGGGTGTAGAGGTTCGATAAGGAGGGGTTTCTCGAATCTCAAATTCCAAGAGGGTTAAAACGCCCCTCAAATATTACAATATTTGTTATTTAAAAAACGGTTAGTATTTCCGGAAAACGCCTGGACACGCATAATTTATTTTGTTTTTTTACATATTTTGAATTTTTTTAAGAAATCATACAGGGTGTTCCAAAAAGTTGAGTAATTGATTAACCACGATTTTGCTTAAACTGCGTGATGTAAAAAGCTTATGTTTGGCAAACGGATTTTTTGAAAGTCAAATTCCAACGAGATGAAACTACCTCTCAAATATTACCAAGTTATATAATAATCGCCCTATTGTTTTTTTCTCATGCTGACATAAATGTGAGAAAATTTTATCCAGTTTGTATGTTAATGGAAATTCTTGTTTTGCTTTATCATCACCATTACAAATGATTAATTCGACGCGAACGAAGTCGCGGGTACCCGCTAGTAGCATATAAAATTAAAGAAACATAATTCAATTATTTTGATAAGTGTTCTGTGTTTTCTGGACACAAAACCAACAGTTTTATGTCAAAACTAAGAAATGTCTCCCTATAAATCATATTATAAAAACAAACTTACCTCATTAACTAAATAACTATCTAAATAGTTCACAACATTACTGTGCTTATTTTCTCGCATGACTAGAATTTCGTTTATGATCAGTTCTTTTTTAGGTTGTTGGGATAAGTTCATCTGTTTAATAGCAACCTCCATACCGGTACTTGTCTCTATGGCTGTATAAACTGTACCAGAAGCTCTACAAAAAGAAAGTATTTATGTAACAAAAAGTGAAAAAAAAATCAACATGTCAACACTACGTACCCCTGGCCAATTTTATCCAGTTTGGTATATTTTCTGTTTGGATCTCCTACTGACACAATACTTCTTAATTTCTCTAAAATTTCCTCATCGCTCATTTTTTTCTTCCTCTTTTCCGAAGCAGCCCTAGACATTTCAGGTCCAGCTGGATTCTAAAATTCCATAAATACATATTAATTACATAATATTCAGGTTTGAAAATTGACATTATTATACAGGGTCCGGCAATAGTGCGTTGGGCATCTGTAGCTCCTAGAGTAAAAAACTTGGGCATTTTGTTTAAGTGCAAACCATAGAGAAAGGTAATAAAAAGAGAGAAGCAGATTGCGTAGTAAAAATTGGAATCGCATTCACTAGCGCTGCTGTGACAACAGGACAAACTAATTTAAAAAAATTTGGCGAATGCGCCGGGGAACTTAAATCAGCTTGCTTTACTTTGAATTTACTTGAAACTTTTATTGAAGGCAATTGAAGCTTTTAAATATTTTAATTATGATATTATTAAACAGACAACTAAAATTTTTAAATGGTTAATTGGCAAATTCAACTTTCGAAGATAAATTAGTTAAAATGCTTCAACATAAGTTTCAAATGAACATTTGATAGAACATTGAAAACTAATAATAATGCCATATTGTCTTTTAATCGCAGTTTATTTAATCACAGTTTTGTAAAAAATTTTTAAATTTAATCATAAATATAAATAATTTTGTATCAAAAATAAAATTAAAAGTATTAAAAATAAAACGTTAATATTAATAACTTAACCTCACTTTACCTTTCTTTTCGGTTAATCCTCTGCCTATTTCGGTTAATTCTATGCGTAGTAATAATATAATTTTAATTACACCAATATACAATAATTATAACTGATTATAACAAATACCAAATAAAATCCTAGAAACTCAAACAATTTTTCTGTCCACGCGCCAATTTCCAATAAAGTTATGATAAAGACAACACACAACGTTTTGTGCAGTTGCGTTAGAGGAAGATGGAAGCAAAATCGTCAGTCGTAGCTTAATTTGGACAAATTTAGGATATCTGAGTTGCGCGACAGGAAAACAAAATGCGATGCCAATCGTCCTAATTTAATCTGCCACTCTCTTTTTATTACCTTTCTCTATGGTGCAAACCTAAAGTATGTACTAGAATGTATTTCAGGACAATGTTTTAACTTCTATAGGGTGGCTCAAAGAAGTATGAGTGAATCGGGATGATTTTTTTAAATGGACCACCCTGTATATTATTGCATTTTTAGCTTCCTTTCAGATCACTTTATATAATCTTAAAACATGAGTAAATATATTTCGATAATTTCAGAGATATTAATAAATAAATAAAAATTATATATTTTTTAGCCTTTCTTAAAAAAAATTATTAATAATACAAGAACTGTCCTGAAATCAAAACTTTATTAGGTGTTTACTTTAGATGGTCTGTCCTTACTTGGCTATAAATATGGAAATCGTAAATCATACAGGATGTTCAAAATTCTACGCCAAACTTTCTAAAATATAAAATGTTTTTTCTTTGTTTGTTTAAATGGAACACCGTGTATATTGTTTTTTCAATAGATGGAGAATTAAAAATGAACATTTTTTGTATTTAGAGTATTTCAAAATTTTTAACGGTTTGGCAGATATTCCCGGTTTTATATTTCATATAGCATTTATCACAGTAAATTTTTATCAAAGCCACCCAATGATTTTTCTCTCGTATTTTACCATTGAAAGCGCCATATGAAATAATACTGCGTGTATCTGCAAAACTATTTAAAATTTTGAAATACTTTAAATACAAAAAATGCTCATTTTTAACTCTCCATATAATAAAAAAATAATATACAGGGTGTCCCATTTAAAAAATCAAAGAAAAAATATTTTATATTTTAGAAAGTTTGGCGTAGAATATTGAACATCCTGTATGATTTACGATTACCATATTTATAACAAAGTAAGAACAGACCATCTAAAGTAAATTGCTAATATAGTTTAGATTTCAGAACAGTTCTTGTATTTTTAATAATTTTTTTAAGAAGGGCTGAAGAAAATATATATTTGATTTATTTTTTAATATCTCTGAAACTATCGAAATAAATTTGCTCATATGTATCTTAGGATTATGTAAAGTGATCTGAAAGCAAGCCAAAAATGCAACAGTGGGTGGTAGGAATGTCAATCCCGAAAGGTTTTCAAAATCCCGGAATTTTCGAGATTTGAACGACAAATCCCGGGATCCCGGGATTTAATCCCGGATCCCGGGTATAAAATTATCAATGAAATACCTAATATCATAAAAACAAATAATATAAATATAACAAATCACGAAAATTAACAAAAAACTCTTTTAAAAAATCATATGAACACCAAACAAATTTTAGCAAACAAATTATAGCTACAAATTTTTAAAAAAATAGCGCAAAAATATTAATGTGTCTAAAGTTTCATCCCCCAGTCTTAAACGTATCTTATTACACAAGATCCTTGCTGAAGAAAAACATCTTTCAGATTCCACGCTGATGGCCTGAATGGTTGATAAAAATTCAAAAGCTTTTTTGACAATCGCGTCTTATTACTTCCTTTGGTTTTTATCGGCTTTGAAGATTGTTGTAATGCTTTCTGCAGTTTAACCTTTAGAGGTTCATTATCTTCTCTTCTCAGAAGTTCGGCAATGAGAAGCTCGTCCTCTTCGCTGTCGTTACTGGTTCCTCTTCTAGAAGCACCTGATGAATTGTCGAGCTCTAGTGTGATTAAAAGCTTTTCTATCTCTGATTTAATTAGAGAAATATTTGATGTTTTGAAACATCAAATTTTTTGTTTTGATCATCTGGTTCAGATTTTATAGTCGGGATTTGTAAGGTAGCTGAGAATGTCATAATAAATAGTTCTACGTTGCTTGATCCGTTTTCTTAATGAGTCCATGAAACTAAGCAATTTACCCTATGGCATGAAAAATCGGTATTTATATAATCCAATCCCGGGATTTTGCGAGGCAAATTTTCTTCCGGGATCCCGGGATTCCGAGATCCCGGGATTGACATCCCTAGTGAGTGGTCTACAAATCTCTAGAATTGTGGATAAATTCACCAGGATAGAGACAGGCGAAAAAGTTCATAGTGGAACATTCGCCGAAATTCACGGCAGACCTGATAAACAAATCAAAGACAAAAAACAGTTAAAGCTATAGTGGGTCTAAGGACAGGGTATTGTAAGCTTTATAGGCATCAAAAGCTTATGGAATTGACGGAAACAGTCATGTGCAGACTTTGTCAATCTGAAGAAGAAAAGACAGAACACATTTTCTGTCGGTTCGACGGCCTGGCAAATAAATGTGCGGTTCTTTGTACTAGGCATTGACAAAAAGCTATTATGGAGGGTTCAATCTCCAAGTTTCTAGCCTTTTTGAAAAGTATAGGACTGGAAATGCAACTAAGGGATCAGAAAAAGTTCACAATAGATCTGAAAAGGTCACAGTGGAACGGGCCGATAACCACATAAAAAAAATCTAATCCAATATGTAAATTGGACATGATAAATTTTCTTAATCAACGAACTGTTATTTAATATACATACTTTATTTTTATCCAATACCGTTGCTCCGCTTCCCGCGCTGTTTGAATTCGCTGTTGTAGACGGTGTAGCCGAGGTATTTGTGTGGGAAGGACTGTATGGCGAAGGTGAAGTCGAGTTAACATTTGCCGGTTTATCTTCTTCAATTGGTTTTGTATACTGGAAATAATCACAAAATAAAAAAATAAAACTAAACAGAGCCAAATTTATTTTTTGTGTGAAAATTTGATTACATTGAAATTTCCTTTTTTTATTTATAAAAAATACTAACAAAATATACCATGGAAAAAATAGCTTCACAGTGGTCTTTGAAACGATAACCGACTAGCGTTTCCAATTTTCGGGATCAGGATCCGGTTTTGAAATCCTAAGATAAAATTCTATAATCCCAGGATCCCGGAATTGACTCTCAGAATGAGAAATCTAGTCTAAAGAAATACTTAATAAAAATGCAGCTTAGTATATCAAAAAGAAAATGAGAAAAAAGTCTTATTAAAATAGACAAAACAAAGGAACATTCATATTTAGTAAGTAAAAAAACTTTGTTGCAAAAAAACTGGGAAAATAATTCTTCAAAGAGTCGCAGGTTGGCCACACCTGTACTATATATTTGCTAATATCTTCGATTTGAAAAAAGATATCAAGATGCGATTTTCACTGACTTTTTAAGCTGGTTCCTCTTTACATAAGCTAAAATTACATATACTATTGTATTTAATTTTTTTGAAAAAACGGGCAATGTCAGTTAATTTGTGCCCCCTAACATTACTACTGTTAAATGCTTATTATTATTGTTTATATAATATAGAGTAAGGAATTCTCTTTTAAACGAGCCCTAGCCCGTCGGATTCCGATTATCAAGTGCGGGGTTATTAGCATTTAAAGAAAAAATCCAAAATTTGCTTGATATTATGACGCCATTATTTATATTATCCCTTATCTAAACAGAATTTTGTAAAAATTCCATTTTCTTATTTGCCAAAGTAGCTGCGCCCTCTAGCGGCCATTCTACAAACTTGAAAATAATTTCCGGCAATTTCTCATGGCTTCTTTAGTAATATTTTTTTTCCGCGGCACTACGGCTAATACTTTCCGAGATACAGCCGAGAACTATTCTTAGTGGGACAAATTAGACAGATTTTATTAGTGATATAGCGTACTAGTATAAAACTTACAATGCTCTTAGTGCGTTCAGGTCTACTCGCAATAGGAGGTGGTGGTGCTTCATCTTCAATTTCCGAACTAGGAGCGTGCGCGGGGCTATGGTACGACTGTGGACCGCCTTCAATATCAGTTGGAGTTGTACTACTTGGACTGGAACTTGATACATGACTTAAAGACGAACCTGTAATAAAAATGCATATCTACGTTTTTCTTTTTAAAAACTAAAAAATCGTATTTTTTGTGATATTTGTCCAATCATACAAAAAGCAATTTGAATTTAAAAACATTAAATATAATACGCAAGATGCCCATATACTTCAGAAAAACATTTTTGTGAATTTTATACTGATAAAACATTGGTTTGATACTTCGTTGATAATAGAACTTTTTTTTATATTTCTGATATTGTTGATCATATATATACATATTATTGTAATGTAAAATGTAAAGTTAGAAAAGACCTCCTTAAAACCTAACTTTTCTGAATAAACAGCGTTGAAGACGGCTGGGGAATCACAATCGATGATAATTTTGACGAGGTCAAGCCCTAACTTCATTTAATAAAAATTGACATATAACTTGTCAAAATTAATACTAATTATATCAAAATTAAAAAAGGATAGAACGTTTCCAGACAGACAAATCTATTTTCAAAAAATTATTTTTTCTCGAATTTTAAACCATTTAAAAACCATTTTTACTCAATATAAAATTAAATTATAACCTTCTTAAGGCCAACTAGCAGTAAACGCTATTGAAAAATAAAAAGAGTATGGGCCAAGTAATGACATCTAGGGCTTGACCTCGCTAAAATTATTATCGACTGTCATTCCCCAGCCGTCATTGACGCCATTTTTTTTGATCATATGGTATTTATAATAATATAATAGTAGTTCTTTTGTCAATTCATATAATAATATGGGCGAGTCTTCAATAAGTGCAAATATTTTCAGGGCTGGTAGATATCGATAAAAAAACAGATCTTTTCCTTACCGTTTTTTCAAATAAGTCCAAAATAACCGAGTTATTTTATTTTGAAAATTTCCAAAAAAAATGCTTTTTTGTTTAAATTTTGAGAACCACTGGATCTTTTCTATTTTTTTTGTAAATTTAATATATTACCTGTGTTGCCATATTATCAAGAAATTATGGTTTTTAACTGAAAACTAAAAAAATTTCAAATTTTCAAAAAAAAATTTTTCGCGAAAAAAAGCCCCATAATCGTAATTCTGGGATCGAAATATACTACCCCTAAAAATATTTGCACTTATTTAAAACTCACCCTTTATAATTTATTAAAGCTACTATTTCCTAAAAAAGTAACTTTAGTCATGAGTCAGTTCTATATTTCTGAGAAAATATTTATCAAATATTAAGTACATTGATGTATTATACTTTAAATTCATTATTATCAATTTAAAATAAAAACAAAATTGATAAATATACTTTTATCCATATCTAAAGTATATAGGTAGATAAAAATTAATGATTATAATAGCTGCATATATTGATTGCAACCTGCCTCTTACAGCACTGAAAAAAATATTGTGAAGTACCTACTAGTAATATATTATTTTAGTAAAATTACTATGTCTCTAGTATATTCTTTTGGCCCATATGCTGTTAAACACTAAATACAACCTTAAGAGATTACCATAAAAATTGATTAATACACCATTTGATAAATAAATTTTACCATCTGATTATGTAAAAAAAACATTCTGTTTTCGAAAATATGTTTATGTAGAATTCAGCAAGCACAAAAATAAAAAAATAATATTGGTATACATCTTGTATCAACTGTTATGGCGGCAAAATTGTGAATTTTTAGAATACTGACTATTATAGTATACTGACTTCCTTGCCTATAGAAAAAAAAATAAAAAATAATTTTATAATATTTTTCTAAACAAATAATGTGTTGAGGTTGAATGCTAAATTGATTTAGCATACTTTTTTTCAATAATTCATTTTTTTCCATTTGTTAGAAATATTTTGGCACATACTGTAAAGACAGATATTTACCAGAATGGGTAGTTGGTGTTGCTTTGGTCATATATTTGGTATTTGGTGGCTCCTTAGAACTGTTATCATACCAATTGAGAACATCCAACACTGCTTGGGGATTATTTTTCTGTTCTTGTTTGCTGATATTGGAATTTAACAACAAACGCGACCATGCTTCCGGCATTCCCTAAAACAAAGCAGCAATTAGGCTACCATTTACTGATCAATCGTTTGATTAAATTATCCTGATCAATATAGTAATACAATATGATCAACAGAAAAAGGCGTCAGCGATGGCTATGAAATGAACATTACTATCACTTGATATCTTCTTGATATGTAAAATTATATGGGGAATGTCATCGATCGTCATTTCCAAGCCAACTAGACGCCATTTTTTTTTATCATATGGTACTTCATGTACAGTTTGAAAATCTTGGTTCAAATATATTTGACTAAAAAAAATGGAAAAAGAAAAATTTTACTTTTACCAAAGAGTAATTTGTTTTTCAAAAGAAGCATTAAATTTATCCTTATTTTTAAATAAAGAACATTTTTTGTATACACTATTAATTATAAGAAACATAGTTTTTAAAATATTAATAAAATATTAGATACTATTAATTATTCTTTTATCACTCTAATTATTTATACACTAAACAATAAGTTGTTCTTGATAGATTTATGTCATATATTATTAGTATTTTAAGTCATACCTACGGTAACATTAAATTAAAAATATATATTATAAATATAATATTTACATACATAATTTGATATGTACATAAAAAATATAATATTTTGGAAAAAAACATTTATTAGAACAATAACTCATAAGTATTATTTATTCTAAGAATATTAATAAACTATTTCATATTAAAAGTTTGAAATATAAAATATCTAGGCTACATTAAAAAAAAATTAAGAAAAATCTATAGAACCAAAAGCTAAAATTTAAATAACAAAAATCTTATTGTGTTTTTACAACATTCCATATACAAAACAGATTAGTGTAGATAAAAGGAATAGAGGGAAGAAACATTATAATGGCTCATGAGTCACAACTTCCTTTTGCTTGATAAATTTTTTAAATTGCTATAACCAAGTTGGATAAATACATAATGGCTTAAATTAATAACATGATATCTTATAACTCAAGTTAGAAGAAAGATTTATAATTTTATGTAAACTTTATAAGATGTGTATTATCTTGTTTGATTTAGATTAAATTGAGGATTTATATTCTATATAAAAAACTGATAAAAAAATTCTTATAAAATTTCATTTAAGAAAGTGAAACAGTATAAAACTACCTAAAGGTATTGACAAAATTAATTAGAGATAATAATTGATAAAACCAATAACATGCAAAACTATCTAAAACCTAATAGAAAAAGAACACAAAAAATCATCTTAAAAGGTTCTACTCTCAATGCAACTAAATAAAAATATGTTACAACCTTCTTATATTACTTACTTTCAAAGGCAGCTTGTAACAAAATGTAATGATTAATATTACATACACAAAAACACAAAATCATAACAAGCACCTACTCTACTAAATAATTTCAAATGTATTTAACTCTTAAACATTAAAAATACTTACAGTAAATTCTCCCGACACTGGATCAAAACCAACATGAACAGTATGTTCGAAATTTGTTGGATAAGATATATTGGGCTTATCTGAAGAGTATTTTAATAACGTCGATGCCTTTTTTGCTTTAATTGTCTTTTTCTTTCGATCTGCCTCTTCTGGTTCTTTAGGAAGAGGTCTATCCACTGATATTGTATTTACAAAGTCAGTACCCCTGTTTGAAGTTAATCGAACAGGAGGTGCAGGGGGCTTTTCGTCGTCAGACATGTTTTCTCTATAAATACATATTATAAAAATTACATACCCAGTCTAAGTTGTATTTTAAGCATATAATAAAGTCCAAATTGAAAAGGTGGCACTTATAAAAATATCTTTTTATATGGGCGGGCCGGTACAATGCGTCATTGTTATACTTACAGAAAAATGATAGGCACTGAATGAATTAAACTCAAAATATAATTCGACACACAAACCAACTAAACTGAGTTAAAAAGATAACATTTACGAAGGAGATATGTACAAATTAATCAGATTAGTATCCAAAACTCCACAAAATCTCTACCATTTTGATGTCAAACGAAAAATCCTCAGCGGAATGAATCACAGACATATTCTCAAATCCTTGGATTACTTAGGACGATGACACGTAGAGATAAACAAATTTAGATTCTTTCTTGCATTGATTCATATGAATTTCTTTTTCTAGGGATTTTTGGATACCTTCCACAACATACAATGACATATGTCAATCGCAGGAAAACCAACATAAATAATTCTAAAAAATTAAAATAATATTTCTATGAAAATCTAAATACTATCTTATGATTGTATTTTCTCTTTATTTTAACAATTTCTGCGCACAAAAGGTAATACCGCACAGAATTTCAAAGAAAGAACTATTTTGAACAAATTTACCTGAAATTTACCTATCTAGACTACATCATATATAATGTAGAATTGTCATATATAAATAGGTGGAATATTCGATACCTTATTTGCTTACTACTAATCACTAGTATTCTGTGGTGACTGTCGTATTCTGACAATCTGACTTCTGACATCGTTTTCTGTGTCGTATTTTTTTAATCTTTTAGATTAGTATGGCAAAATATGGTTAATTATTATTATTTTCTGATTTTGATTCTTGAAAACCTTTATTATGAAGAAAAAAGTAAGCATAAATAAAAGTGAAATTGGTATACCGTGAAAATTAAATATGTGGTGTATCAAATTTTAATATTATGTTGATAATTCTCAAATTATAACAATTTCTTAGGTATTGCTAATGGGAAAAAGTGGTTCAGGCAAGACGAGTATGAGATCCATAATATTTGCAAATTACATTGCTAGAGATACTGGCGGTGACCGCCTCATATTCTTTCAGATATTTAGCAATAAAATAAAGAAACCTGTTATTTTTAAGCTGTTATTTTAAGCTGTTTTTTATAAATAACTATAACAGTTTCAACTGTTATCTAAAAATAACAGTTTTGCCCATCACTAGTCATTTGTATGTTATGCCTCCTTGTCATATAAGTATACCTACTGATAAGGTAAAAATAATGGACAATTTTTACAGTTGATGTGGAACATTCACATGTAAGATTTTTGGGCAATCTAGTTCTGAACCTGTGGGATTGTGGGGGCCAAGAAGCATTCATGGAAAATTACTTTGCCTCTCAGCGAGATAACATATTTAGGAATGTTGAAGTTTTAATTTATGTTTTCGATGTTGAAAGCAGAGAATTGGAAAGAGATATGCATTATTATCAGTCGTGTTTAGAAGCCATCCTACAAAACTCCAGGGAAGCCAAAATATTTTGCCTTATTCATAAAATGGATTTAGTTGCAGAAGACCAGAGAGATATAATTTTTAAAGAAAGAGAAGCTGATTTAATTCGACTCTCGAAACCTCTAGACTGTACCTGCTTTAGAACCTCAATTTGGGACGAGACTCTGTATAGAGCTTGGTCGAGCATAGTTTACATGCTAATTCCTAATGTAAAAGAATTAGAGACAAGCCTACAACAGTTTGCAAATATTGTAGATGCCGATGAAGTTTTATTATTTGAAAGAGCAACTTTTTTAGTTATATCACATTGTCAAAGAAAGGAACACCGAGACGTTCATAGATTTGAAAAAGTCTCTAATATAATAAAACAGTTTAAGTTGTCTTGTTCCAAATTGGCAGCTCAGTTCCAAAGTATGAAAGTCAGAAATTCTCTTTTTGCAGCTTATATTGATATGTTTACTAGTAATACTTATGTTATGGTATGCATGTCTGATCCTCAGATTCCATCTGAAGTTACTTTAATAAATATTAGAAATGCGCGGAAACATTTTGAGAAATTAGAAAAAGTGTCAAATTCCTCTATAACTCGTTAAAATCTATAACAAGTAATAATTATTTCAGGTTTGCCATTTTACAAATACAACTTGGATAGTTTTCTTAATACAAAATCACAAGAATATTCAAGAGAAAACATGATATACCTATGTATGACTAGAAAACATTGATATATACAATATGAAAATTGGGTAAATATACAAAATATAATACTATGTGATAAGATGATTGATTATGTGTGCTAGTATTTATATTATTAATGTTAATAATTATTGTTTTTGTTTGATGTGTTTACAATATTATTTTTTGAGTAATAAATATATCTTTATTTTTTCAAAATTTTCTTGTAAATTTATTTACTCTTAAACAATAAAAAATATATTATTATTAAGATTGTTTATTTATTTTTACTTTAATATATTAATACCTATATATTACTAAACACAGAAAAACTGATCTTTAAAAAATGTTGATCTCAAAATATTTTTTGTGGTTTAATTTAAACTATAAAATTCACAAATTCATTTATAATAAATCGTTTATTTATAATAATAACGGTTTCATTTTCGATTTCAACAAAAACACTATACTGGGTGGCGCATCGTCGTTGGAAACAGGAAATCCCATGAAAATTTTGAAGTGTCCAAATATTGGCTCCCTTATTGATTTTACATCTAAGTTGTTAATAGATTTTTTAATGGTCTGCGTACGCTGAATACACATGCCAAATTTGAACATGTAGAATGTAGAATAAGTGAGAGGGGGGGGGGGTTAATCACTGCGACCTTAAAGATTTATTGTGCCCCCTTCCTTGAGTCATTACATAGTCTATAACCCATCATAGCCCTGTTGTAGAGGGGACAAGGTATTTCCCATCCTCCTCTGACAACAGATGTTCTTCCTCCGAGGGTATATACCCTTCCACGGTTGGAGTTTGGCCCTCCGTGCCCATCAAAAAAAAGGCATTTATTATAAGGGCTAAATATGTTTAAAATATTTGGTTTTTGAGATATTTACAAATATTTAAATATGCATGTTTAGAATTTAGAATGAGTGGGAGGGGGGTTAATCACTGCGACCTTACAGATCCATTGTGTCCCCCTTTCTTGAGTCATAACTCATCATACAGTCCCAGGGCTTTGACAAAAGCCAGTATCTGGGACGGTTTTATAGAGGGTAGTTCTCCATCTCCAATATCAGTCGTACCAAAATTCATGGCACGAATGGTTGTCGTCTCGGCGCACTCAGTGATGAGGTGGTGTTTCCCCATCTTCCCCACAGAATCTGCATTCGCCGTTTCTTCTTAGTTTCAATCTACTGAGGTGTTCATTGAGGAGACAGTGTCCTGTTAAAAACCCCGTGACAATCCGAAGATTGTTCTTACTTAAACCCAGGAAGATCTGTGATTTTTCTTGATCATAAGCCCTTAGAAACTTCTTCGAGTGTCTTAGACCGTTGCAAGATTTCCATTCCAGGTTGCGGATGGAATCTTCCAAGTTCTTGAGTTCCGCCTTGAGTTGGTTACCACTTGGAAAGCAGAACGGTTCTAAATAATATGCATGTTACAAAAGAATTGATTATTAACACCCTGTACATAACTTTTCAGAATTAATTCTTGTGCTGAGTTTAAAGGTAAAGAAATAAACTTTACTTAAAAATGTTATTGCTTCCTTAAATTTATACAGGGGTACCAAAAATTGGTGATCTATGTTAAGGATTTATTTTACTTAAAAACGTTATTTCAAATGCAACACCCTGTATTTTTTTAAATAAATAGAAGCAGATTCAAATACTCTTTCAAACTATATTAGGGTTTCCTATATCTATCTATCTCAGATTTTGAATAAAAAGCGATTTTTAAATAACATTGCTATCAAGATGGCTGGTATCGCCATGGCAATTTTCTAGTGACAGTAACTATTTTCAAAATCGAAATTAGTTTATAGACTTTATTTAAATTTATACCAGTTTACTTTTATTTAATTTACCTACAATAGTTTAATAAATAATATTTATTAAAATATATTTATTATTTTATCAAGAAAAACGAAGAAGTAGTTCTTTGTTTTATTTTACGATAACTTGTAGATATATGGATTTTCTATAAAAGAGCCAATTACGGCAAATTCAATTTCTTCATTCCAACGACAGGTTTCTGCCTAATAGGTTTTTTATAAACTACACTACCAACTCTGCGAAATAGAAAATAGGACAAGTAGTTTTTTAAAGGAACACTTACCAGGAAGATTCCTATTTGGATATCTTTGAGCATAATCTCTTGAGGCCAAGAAATAATTTTCCTCACAAAATAAAATCACTAGTAACATATCCATTCGTTCCGCCAGCAAATACGGCTTTATTTTTCTTCATAAAATAAAGAATACTTACTTATTAAACTATTGTGGGTAAATTTTAGTAAACTGTTTAAATAATAATGTCCATAAACTAATGTCAATTTTGAAAATAGTTACTAAATGTCACTAGAAAATTGCCATGGCGATACCAGCCATCTTGATTGTAATTTTATTTAAAAATCGCTTTTTTTCAAAATCTGAGATAGATAGGTATAGGAAACCCTAATATAATTTGAAAGAGCATTTGAATCTGCTTCGATTTATTTAAAAAAATACAGGGTGTTGAATTTGAAATAACAAAGTTTTTATGTAAAACAAATCCTTAAAATAGATCACCAATTTTGGGTACCCCTGTATAAATTTAAGGAAGCAATAACATTTTTCAGTAAAGTTTATTTCTTTACCTTTAAACTCAGCATAATAATTAATTCTGAAAAGTAATGTACAGGATGTTAATAATCAATTCTTTTGTAACATGCATATTTAAATATCTTTAAATATCTTAAAAACCAAAGATTTTAAACATATTTAACCCTTATAATAAATGCCTTTTTTTTGGACCTAAGAATCCAAAAATGAAATAAAATACCGGGTGTGTGTGTGTTCCATAAGAAAAAATATAACTTTGGTATGGATCTTAGTTCTGAGACACCTTGTATATTTCAAAATAATTTTAAATTGTGCACATTGCCTCCCCACATATACCCATAAAATATTTTGTTTCTACATCTTTCCGTTTTCCTATAATCAACCGAGGTGAATGAGGTGTGCCACCCTGTAAATTTTTAATTCCCATAAATTTTTTTATTCTCATAAAATTTTCTGTAGGACCTACGGTTCAGCCTGAAAATTAAATCCAAATTTTTTTGAGTTTCTCAAAAACGGTGGGGTGGGGGGATACGAATTTTCTAATTTCAGCTTTTCCAGTGGATCACTTACGACTGGCAAAGTATGAGAGCGAGGGTTCGTCAAGAGAGAAAGAGAGAGCATCCTCCTCGGGCTGGCATGGCGTACCAATGACTCGGACCTGCAATTGGATATCAGATACGTCGAAACACCGGTTCCCATTAGAACACCGAAGTTAAGCGATACTAGTGGATGGACGGGTGACAGGTTCGAAACTCTGTATGGTGCTGTTGTCCAAAAAAAGGCAAAAGTATAAAATCTATTGACACACACTGCTCATTCACGCCGGTTCGGGGCCAGATGGGAGTCTAGACGTGGTCTAGACTCTAGACCTATGGGCTAGACCTTTTTTGATGCCAGATTAACTGTACTAAAAATTCACGAGGTGATTGCCTGTTAAAAAATAAGAGGGTATATAGTTTATATTTTTTCTCATGAAGGTGCTTTCATACAAAAGGAATTTTATTATACAAGGTGGACCAAAATTACAACATTTTCGACTTAATTATTTCAAAAACTATAAAATATATTGCTGTTTATTTAAACGTGTGTTTGGTACTAAATTGATCATACTCCAATATTGTGTCTACATTCTTGAAATTCCTTTCCAAACATTTTTTTCCAATTCCAATTCCAAACAGATTCAGTAGACGTACTTTAAAAATTTCAATTTTATATACAGTATGTCCCCGAATTGTACTTACAAGAGGATTTTTTTTATTTTTTATATTTTACATTACATTTTATATACTTTTACAAATTTTCATGCTGTTTTAGAGAAAATAAAAAAACTTGAAAGTATAATTAAATTCTAGTCCTAGTCCTAAAAGTCAAAACCAGTTTCTGTGGTATGTAATATAATTTCGTTTTCATTATTTGATAGATTTTGATAGATAGTTCAATACTACGGAAAGGGTGATAATAGTTATAGGAAAATGTGATACTTTAACAACAGCAAAAAATATGAAGTTAATCAAAATTAATAATAACCATTTATTAAAGAATGAGATCTAAATTATATATATTACCATAGAAACGCGTTTTGATTTTTGAAAATTCAACCATATTTTCATGTTTTTTTTAACTCTCTCTAAAACGGTATATGGAAATTTGCAAGTATAAACGGGATTAACCATTTTAGAACAAGTAACAATTTTTATGAAGAATGCATTTTTTTCAAAATATCAATAATAAAAAAGTGTTTCCTCTTGCAAAGAGAATCTGCGGACATACTGTATATATATTTTTATCCTTTTAACTGCTCTATGTAGAGACAGTCAACTAGAAACTATTTTAAGTTTCCAAATTGAATGTTGACTATTATACAATTTTATTAAAAATTATTCGTGGGATAAAAAATATAAGACACAATGTGAAATACCTGTTTGAACACCCTGTATATGCGTACCGAAATAATTCTATCTAAAACTAGAAAATTTCAATGGCGAATTGTTATTGAAAAATGGTGGTAATTTTATTGTGTTATTGGGTCACCCTATATAACCAAATAACTTCAGCAGCAGGGAAACGTCACATCGAAAGTGTTTATTTGACCCCCCCCTAACTTTTTAACAAACAATGACCTCTTTAATTATAATAACAGGCCGTGAAATTTTTAATATTTAGGTAGAGAGATAAGAAGACCAAAAAATAGTCCTACCATTTTTGTTTTTCTCACTATCAAATTATTATAAAAATTAAAATAAAAGAGTTTAATGAAATACTTGATGAAATAAATTAGTTGCTAGTTGTTAATATACAGGGTGGTCCGAACTTTATTCCGGAAACTTCTGCAGATAAAAATAAGTAAAAAAGTTTGTATAAATGTATCCTAAAATGCTTAGTTTCGGAGATACAGGGGGTAGAAGTTTCATTTTTATTTCGATTTTTTCCAAATAATTTCTGAAATAATGTCAATATTTGGATGAAAATTGGTGTCTGGAAGTTTTTTGACATGAGGAATTTGATTTTGATGTCAATATGACTCCTATTTGTAGGGGGCGCCACCTACATATTTTTTAACTAGTTTGAAGAGTAATAACTTTTCGTCCGTACCTGTATAAAACTACTGAGTGAAAAAATATACATTTCCATGATTTTTACGTGAAAATACCTCTTGTTAAAAATCGCTATACGAGTATAACCTTTCTCAAGATATTTACAATGGTAATAGTCCATTCATGTCATTATTGACAAAAATTAAACATGTTGAGTAGATAGTTATTTGACTGAAATAATAAATTTAGGAACTTTTTATTGTTTTAACTTAATCATAAATTTTTCATTGAAAAAATGATGATAAAACTGTATCTGCTGAACTTTTGGCACAAAAAACATTTCAAGTTTATGATTTCAGTCCAATAACTATTTCGTCAACATTTAATTTATGTCAATGATGACAGGTATTGATAATTTAGATTCTGAATATCTCAAGAACCATTAAAGCCGGAGTCTCATGCATCCGAAATCCGATGACACGACGATCCGACGGTGCTCCTATTGGTCGAAATATTTTGACAACAATTTTTATCCCATAATTTTAACTAATCATCCGACGTCGTATAAAGTTAAATTTTGTTTAACTTTTGTACGATATCGTGTGTTTTTTAACCTCACTTTTTTTTAAAACATTTGTTTTTAAAAACAAGTTTAGTGGGAAGTGGGCAATTTCGGGATATTTGGCGAGGAAGTTATTTTTATAAGTGTTTCTCCAATAAAACATGACATGAATCTCTATTCAGCGCAGCAGAAAAATGTTAAAACTGTCAAATTTCGGAACGAACTTTCGGATGTATGTGACAGGCTTTTTTTATTTCACACGATAACTTCAAATTTCGGATGTCGTACCATCGGATTTCGGATGCATGAGACTCCGGCTTAAAGCCGGAGTCTCATGCATCCGAAATCCGATGACACGACGATCCGACGGTGCTCCTATTGGTCGAAATATTTTGACAACAATTTTTATCCGATAATTTTAACTAATCATCCGACGTCGTATAAAGTTAAAAGCCGGAGTCTCATGCATCCGAAATCCGATGGTACGACATCCGAAATTTGAAGTTATCCTGTGAAATAAAAAAGCCTGTCACATACATCCGAAAGTTCGTTCCGAAATTTGACAGTTTTGACATTTTTCTGCTGCACTGAATAGAGATTCATGTCATGTTTTATTGGAGAAACACTTATAAAAATATCTTCCTCATTAATATCCCGAATTGCCCACTTCCAAACTTGTTTTTAAAAACAAATGTTTTCAAAAAAAGTGAGGTTAAAAAACACACGATATCGTACAAAAGTTAAACAAAATTTAACTTTATACGACGTCGGACGATTAGTTAAAATTATCGGATAAAAATTGGTGTCAAAATATTTCGGCCAATAGGAGCACCGTCGGATCGTCGTGTCATCGGATTTCGGATGCATGAGACTCCGGCTAAATTTTGTTTAACTTTTGTACGATATCGTGTGTTTTTTAACCTCACTTTTTTTGAAAACATTTGTTTTTAAAAACAAATTTAGTGGGAAGTGGGCAATTTCGGGATATTTGGCGAGGAAGTTATTTTTATAAGTGTTTCTCCAATAAAACATGACATGAATCTCTATTCAGCGCAGCAGAAAAATGTTAAAACTGTCAAATTTCGGAACGAACTTTCGGATGTATGTGACAGGCTTTTTTTATTTCACACGGTAACTTCAAATTTCGGATGTCGTACCATCGGATTTCGGATGCATGAGACTCCGGCTTTACTCGTAGCGATTTTTACCAAGATGTCAAAAAACTATCAGACACTAATTTTCATACAAATATTGACGTTACTTCACAAAAAATCAAATTATTTGGAAAAAATCGAAATAAAAATGAAACTATACCCTGTATTATTTTTATCTGCAGAATATGCTGCCGAAGTTTGCGGAATACAGTTCGGACCACCCTGTATAAAAAAATAATTTTATTGATTATTGTATAATCCTGAAGTAGGTATCAACTCACGTCCTCCCACTGAACCTGATAACAGAATATTAAACCAAAAAGAACAAAACAAATATTTATTCAAACAGTTCAAACATAATTGCTACAAGTTCACTAATGCGTCATCGAGAAACCCTCTGTATTTCTCGAAAACTTTCTAGGTTTCCTTGTAACAATACTGGAAGTGTTTATAATTAGTATCATTTAAAACTCGTTTAGTATCTACTCTATAAACCGCCTAAAGTGTATTGTATTTATTTAGTAAAAACAGACAGACGTCTATCATAACAATTGTGCGTGGAGATAAAAAAAATTAATAAGAGATTTAGTAATCCAAAATCGTCTGATTCCTCTCTAGTCTCTACACAGTCTGAATTATAATATTTATACATATTCCATCAGTGATGCGGTACAAATGTTTTTTAACATCGCATGTGAGATAAGATTACGGTTCTTGTTCTTCTATACATTCGTATTAAACATCAATTTATTGGATATACTTTGAATGGTGAAACGAATAACAAAATTATATTATCGTTTAAATTACGGTATAAAAATCTTGTTTTTCATAATGTGACCTTGTTCGAACATGGAATACGGATAAAGTTCATTTACCATGCATTCGTTTACATTGATTCATTCGCTATTCAAATTTTGAGCGATCGATTTTTCGGTATGGACAAATTACTAAAAGGTATAATGAAGTACAGATCTACTGTGAGAGATACGATGGTGAAACAGTTCCTAAAAGTGAAAGATAATCCGACGGTAAGAGAACTTTAACTATTCAGTTTGAATCTTTTAAAGTTTATGTAGGTCATGAAAACAAAAGGCGCGCGCAACTTTGTCACAATTTAAAAACGACACGTGTATGTATGATAAACAATACAATTTATATTTAATAATCGAAACTAAATACTGTTAATATACTTTATTCTTTTATAGCCGTGCAATTAAGTAATTAAATCATTTAGTAATGGGTAATATACAGGGTCGCCCATTCTAATATTTTTATAGAATTAGCAATAATAGCGATAGCGCACACTTGTATGTTTTACATATACCGGATGCGTCTCAAAAGTGGCTCACACCTTTAACTTTTTCACTTTTTCATTGTGTCATTTTCTATCGAATAAAGTAAAAAAATACTGAGGGTGCCATTTAAAAATCAAAAGTTGTAGTAATTTCCGGTGAAACAGGACGATTTTAATGAAAATTATGTTGGAACCACTCTATTAATGCGCGAGTATCTAAAATTAACTTTTCTAACATGTCTTGAAAACCATTCTGTAAAAAAAGTAGTAACGTTCACCGGTCAACGTATCCTCGAAACTGTATGGACAAGAAAAATTGAACCAATAATCCTGCACGCTTTTCCTCATTTGAAAAATTAATATTTACAATTTTTGTTTATTTTAATTTACAAAGTTTGGATGTGACAGTTTCACATTTCTGAGAGCAACGACGATTGGACTCTATGGACTTTAGAAAAAATCGAAGAACACAAACTCATTAGGGGTGTGATTATCTACAACTTTTATCTGAAAACTTTTTTTCTAAAATAGATTATAATGGAATTAGGGACAATTTTTAAAATAGCCAAAATTTGTTTTTTTCGAAATATCTAGTAAGCCATGAACTTTTTCAAAAATCTGAAAAACGCATATTTATGACCCGACAAAACTGCAATTCTTTCCCCATTTAACCGACTCCCTATCTCCAGTAGTTTCCGAGATACCCATAGAGAACATCGTAGGAAACTCACTCTGTAGAGCTCTTATTATTTAAAACGCACACTAAGATTCTTTCTCCCGAAAAATATGCGAGTTTCTCTGCAGAATGAATATTTTATAGTTTCCATTATATTTTCAAAGTTCTTAGATTTCCAAGTTTTGTTTTTGTTTACTATAAAGTCTCGATATATGTTTTTTATAGTTTACGTCTGGTGAATGTCACCAATCGTTATTTCCAAGCCAACTTGACGCAATTTTTTCGATCATACATTATTCTCCCGCGGAACATTACATCATAACTACCCTCGTACTATATTATACCGGGTGAATCTTAAATAAGTGCAAATATTTTCAGGGCTGGTAGATCTCGATAAAAGAAACATATTTTCTCTTTACCATTTTTCAGATAAGTCCAAAATAACCGAGTTATTGAAGTTTGAAAATTTAAAAAAAAAATTTGTGAGCCACCGGATTTTTTCTGTTTACATCCCTTTTAGTGCCGTAACCATAGATAGGTAGTATCAGAGATTAAGAAATTACCCTGTGGGAAAATTTGCGGTGACCTAAAAAGTTTTCGAAAAATATACAAGGAAATTTAAAAGAAAGTGCACGATTTTTTTTTACGAAAAAATCCTCATAGACGTGTTCTTGGTGTCGAAATATACCTCCCCTGAAAATATTTGCACTTATTTAAGACTCACCCTGTATTTTTTTATTCGTCATTATTTATTGCTTTATTCTTATTAGAATGATTTAACAGCCCCTAACCACAGATTATAAACTTTGTTTTTTCTTTATTGTTTTTCGTGGTTCCAATTTTCGGAATCGGGCACTAGTTAGGTTACTAGTTTGCGCACATAGCACGCCCACTTATAGCCTCTAAAATTGTGCACAGCGCCTGACCGGCACAGTTATTAGAGAGATATCGGAAAACCGAATAGCGTCATGCAGTATTTACGCGTACCTTATCATGGTTACGATATGCGCGAGTCAATTTTTAACGCAACACCCGCTAATAACGTTACCGCCTGACGTAATTTGCGGATCAATTACACCAAGCGCTATTTCTGAATAACGTTTAAAAATTGCTCAAACGGGCATGTGCGGGTATTTGACAACCGGGGCCGGCCAGCGAGATCTTTTATTTTAGGTTATATCTGAATTGTATTGAATTATTACTTTAGTTTTATTAGGTAATTTGATATTTAAGTAGCTGGGATTAGTTTTAATTAAATAAATATGGCCTAAAATATGAATTCCACCTCTTCCAATATTAAAGAACCTATAAAGAGGCTTAGGTTTACAGCAGATGACGACTTAGCCCTTCTAAGAGAATTTGTTGCTTGTTGCCCTAAACCCACTGGCAGACATTGAACAATAAAGCACTGGAAATAAGCACTTTAGCCCTTTAGTTTTAAAATACCTAGAAAACAAAACAATTTCAAAGTTTTAAATTCAAAGTTAAGTTAAGTTTAAATAGCGGACGCGACGCGAACAGAATTCTTTCCGATCCGGTAACTATAAATGAAGTGAGTTAATACCACCTCACGTAAAGGAAATAACACCTGGCCTTATTAACGTCCATGCGCGCTATTCGGTTTAGATACCTCTCTATTACGCTGTTTATTGTTATTTTACGCGAGTTTATTTTTGCGCACAGGAAATTTTACTCGTTTGCACATCGTCATAAAAAACAATTTTCGTACCACGAATTAGGGACAAGATTTTTATCTGTATACTTATAGGATACCTAATCTGTGCCCTAACTGACATCAACCTATTTTAGCCCAAGGCAGTATTCTTTACGTGCATAGACAGCCGAATGTTACCAACCCGATTTACTCAAACAAATGTAGGCGATATGTTTATAAGTAAGTAACAAATATTTATCAATAAGATTTAATGAAGCATTTTATTTGACTAAGTTAGGAATGCTGGAAATTTGGTACCGCACTCGCACTGTTTTCCCGACGAACAGAATTCGAACGAACCCGCAGCTCTGGAATTAGGTTGCGTAGTGAACGATATCAGGCATATAATCGTATGCGGGCACAGTGACTGCAAAGCTATAAACTTACTCTACAAACTCAGGGATCCAGAATTTGCCTCAAAGGTAAAAATTGTATCATTTTTTATTTCATTAACAAATATATTGACTAAATATACACATGGCCAAAATTATTGCATATATCGTTTAAAAATATACGGAAAGAGAAATTTAAGCGGAATTTAAAGAATCTTTTTTTATACATAGCTTTGATAATCTGTAATAAATATTTTTTTGTTAAAATGGACATGGTAAACAATGTTTATCGTTCAGACCCAGTTTTACAAATTCTTGCACATTTCGATTTGTGGTCTCTTGGGTTTCAGAAGAAATTTGACCATTGTTTTGGCCTTAAAATGGCTAGAAACATTATTTCACAGTTTAATAGAGTCACACTGTCTCGACAAGGCTCCCGGCAAGTTGCAGTAGCTGAAATTGTAGGAGTTAACCAAAGCGATGTTTCGCGAATATTAAAAAACTTCAGGGAAACAAACGAGGTTACAGACCGGACTGAAAGAGGTAGAAAGAGAGTTACTACTGCTGTGCAACACCGTCAAATATCCCTAATTGCACGACGCAATCCTCTGCTTTCTAGTACTGCTATTAAAAATGAGTTAACTCGCCTTGAAGAAGTAAATGTTTCAAGAAAGACCATACGAAGAATACTCCATGACAGAGGATTACATTTAAGGAGGCTTCTACGTGTTCCGAAGCTTAATTTACAGCACAAAATTACGCGACTACAATGGGCGGAGGAGATGAGAGCAAATGGACTTAATTGGAATTTCGTTATGTTTAGTGATGAAACAAGAATAGGCCAAGTGTCAGACTCGCGACGAACTTTGGTCTGGAGAGCATCTGGAAGACGAGCCCGCTTGAATGCAGCTTAACCCTGTGTCCTGTTTCAAGGAGGAAGCATTATGGTATGGGCAGGTATAATACACGGAGCTCGAACTCCTCTTGTTTTTATTGATGGCACAATGACAGGTGCCTCATATCTTAGGGCCCGTCCAGACGAGCGACTCAGTAGCGCTACTGCGTGGCGCCACAGAGTGGTTCACATTGTTTTGTCATTATATCACACGTATCTTCAAGAAGGGCGTTCAGACGAGCGATTTTGTGTCGCGAGGTGGCGCGTCAGTGGCGATCGGTCGCCGGTCCCCGCCACGAATCGCGACGTGTTCTCGTCCAGACGGGCCACTTTTAAATTAGTCAGCATCCCGCTTCACTACTGGGTATACATTATTCAATAAAAAATGGCTCTCCACACAGATCGATTTCTAGCGTGGCCAGAATACGCCACTTCAGCGTTCAACGCTTCAGCGTGGCGCGGCCGAGTCGCTCGACTGGACGGGCCCTTCGAGACGTTTTAGAGCCTATTGTGCGTCCATTTCGAGGGACAGTGGGGGATGAATTTGTTTACATGGACAATAATGCTCCTCCCCATCACACTTTAGCGGTTCGCGAATTTTGAGAGGAAGAGGGTATAAGAAAACTGTGGTGGCCACCGATGTCTCCAGATATGAATATGATCGAGCATGATTGGGACATGCTAAAACGCCATATTGCCAAAAGGAATGATCCCCCGTACCTTAAATGAATTTAAAATTGCTGCGCGCGAAACATAGTAAGCCATTCCTCAACATCTCCTGGACATCTTAATTGAGAGCATGCCACGTCGTCTCACAGCTTGCATTGAGGCTCGAGGAGGCAATACAGACTATTAGTTGTGAAAAATAATTAAAATTGTTTTCTGTTTAAACTGAAATTTGTTTTTGTTGATTTTTTCTCATTATGAAATAAAATTATAATAACAGCCCAGTTGCACTTAGATTTTTAGTTTTATATTAGTTAGCCGTGTAGTAAGCCAACATGTCCAAAATAAAATAAAAATATCGTTATATGCAATAATTTTGGCCATGTGTGTAAGTACTTCAAATTTAAATTTATTTTTTTGTGCTCTATTTAAATATATAACTAGAATAACCAGTCAAACAAATCACTCAAAACACATGAACCTTTGAAGGAAAACAAAAAATTGTATCAACAATCAGTACTTAAAATTCTAGGGAAGGGTGTATATCATGCGTTCAGCTTTACAATTTAATTACGTATCGTTCAGTGGCAGATACAGAGGGGGGGCCCATGGGGCCAAGGTCCCCCCTAAAATCTATAAATTGGGTTAATTATTAGGTTTTTGGGTTAAAAATTACGCTCTAATTAACATTACTTTTTATTTGCCCCCCCCCTAAAATATATCCCGGGCCCCCCCTAAAATAAATTCCTGTATCCGCCCCTGGTATCGTTATACTTTATTTGTTTATTTATTAACGAGTTGTTGTAATTTTCTTACTTGCATTTTTGGTAAACATAAGTGGAATTGAGTTGGTGTTCGACAGTGGTCGCGCTATTAGAACTCTGAATTCAAAAATCGATATCCCGAAATCCATTACAAATAATTATTGATTGTAGTTTTTTTCAAAAACTCTCTTAGTAATTCTGCTATATTTTTGTCGCAGACAGTATGTGAACATCTTTACAAATAAAAAAGTTACACGATTGCTGAAAATTGCTATGCACTAGTAAATGGACGGTTTTTTTAAATTTTGAATGGAAAAAAAACCCGGCGAATTGTTCTCATTTAAACATCTTGTAAAGGATTCGAACTGAAACTGATTAAAGTCTTTAAAAATAAGCCGTTTGCGATCGTTATTTTACTTTACTTGATAGGGAAAGGCGTACCGGAGAAATGTGGCAACGCCGCAACAGCAGACCGTCGCATTTCTCACTCCGACTTAAAAAGATCCCTATGCGATTTACACACATTTAAATTTATTCAATATTTTTCAAAGAAAAATATACACATACTTTTGGTAAGTCATTTATACAAAAAATTCAGATATTTTTTTTCTTTTCAGGAGAACAGAAGACTTTCACCACTGCGTTCGTGGATGTGTACGCATGCCCAAAGTAGTATAGATAAATTTGAAGAATCTATTCCAAACGATTTCAATAAACCGTTATTGTTTCAAGGAGAAACGCCTCTCAGGAAATTTGTAGCCTACATAGACCCGGATAAAAAATTTAGTATAGAAGATCGCCTGTCACAAATAAACACGCTACAACAATTACAAAACATTGCCAGTTACGGATTTTTAAGAAAGAAATTAGAAAAACATCAACTTCATATCCACGCGCTGTGGTTCGATATTTATACGGGTGAAATATATTATTTTAGTAGAAGACATAAACGATTTATCGTTATCGACGAAGAAAACTTTGCCAAACTTTTTGAAGAAGTTATAGTATACTATTCATAGTGATTTGTTTAATATTATACTTCTTACATGCATGCCATATATCGTGTAATCAAATGAAAACAACGTCATATTAGGAGTATCATTTCAATTTGAGCTTTACTATGTTTACTGCTAAAATGGCTCGATTCCGTGATATCTCGTAAATGATTGTAATTTATTATCCAGTTTTGAAAAAAAAGGAACAATGCTGAAAAGTCTAAGAGCTAGCAACGTTTTCGAGAAAGTATTTTAAGACGTCTGGCTCTTTGATATATCTTTTACTATGCTCTCTGGAACAGCATGCAGACCGTCTGGCTGCCGATACCCGTTGCGTTCATTACTGCGCATCGGAAGAAGATCCTATATTTTTTATTAATTTAGTCCTATAAATTCTAGTATTGAATATAAATCGAACATGTCTCCATAACCGATCAATGATTCAGAGTTCGAATCTGGGTCAGGGCAAATACTTTTTTATTTTATTTTCGTGTATATTCTGATAATAAAGTATTAAATAATTCTGGTGATTAAAAAAAACAAATATTTAATACTTTACTATCAGAATATAAACGATAATAAAATAAAAAAGTCTTGCCCTGACCCGGATTCGAACTCTGAACCATCGCACAGTGCTTCGTCCCATGGACAAAAATCGAAAAAAAAGTTAAAATTTACTAATATCTGAATATGTAATTTTATACTTATAGCAATGTTCAACCATCCTGTATATTATTTTTCATAAACAGCGTTTTTTGTTAGCAAATATTTTCACTAAAAATAAATTTTGCTATCATTATCTTATCAGTGAAAAGAATAACATTCATAGTAGTTCTGTATATTATGGAGTTAAACGGTACCAGGCCCTGCGCACTCTCCGCGAAACGTCAAACCACGAAATTAGTACGACTTCAAGACACCGTGCGCTAGTGTCGCCTGGTGGGGGAAAGCGACAGCCAATAAGAATTTTTCTGTTTTATGATTGGTACCTGCTCAAAAGACGGGCGACCAGCTGAATTTTAAAATTTTTCAGTCTATCCTCGGCGTTCTTTGGGTTTGTTCGTGGTTCGATCTAAATTTTTGTAATTGTTACGAAGTGTTATTGTGTTGACTTTTTAAAAATGGTGTTATATTGCTGTGTGTTGGGCTGTAAATCCTCTAGTAGATCGTCGATTTTGCATAGTATGCCAATGGATAAAGAGGTAAGTGTACTTATGTTTCTGACCCGTTTAAAAATTCGTATATGTAGTATTTTTTTAGGGTTATGCAACTCCAGGAGATCCTCTAAAACTTGCAGTATTTAAAAAAAAGAAGTATTTTAAAAAAATAAAGTAAAACATAAAAGCCTTAAATAAAATTAAGCAAGTCCCTTTATAAAGTTTAATGTTTTTATTGCTTTTGTTGATAAATATTGTTTATATTATAATGTAAAATGTCTTTATAATGTGTATGTATATAACGTAAGGTACTAATCTATATAACGAATTATTTTTTATTCAAATGTTGAATGGATAATATTATAGTATTATTTGATGATTTTTAATAAAATTTTTGTGTTTCATATTGGTTTTTGTATTGTTCCGTATCAGTCTTATTAGAAATATTATATACATATTGCTTTTTTCTAAACGTGAAAGAATTAATACTGTTTTTTTAGTTTTCTGTAAAATAAAAGTTATATTTTACAGAAAACTAAAAAAACAGTATTAATTCTTTCACGTTTGGTAAAAAAGCAATAATGCAATTCAATTTTAAATTCCCAGCACCTGGCGGGAAAAATGAAGATTTAGTACGTCTTCAAGTCACCGAGCGCTGTAAAACGCGTTCTCGATAAATGACGATAACACTTTTCAGATGGAGTAAAATTGATAAGCAATGCCGATCTGGTTATTACTTGGCTTGATCATAAGGACAAGAACTCAAAATTATTTGTATTTCAAAAAATGTGTTCTTTATTAGATATTGATGAACCTTCCAGTCAAATGAGACACTACTTGTGCCTGAAAAAGCCCACTATGTTGGAGCGAAACGTCGCATAAAAAAGTTTGCATCTTTCAATTTATTATAAAACCTCATACCCAAGAAAAGGAAAAAATAATATATGGATATGGTCTATTAAAGAGGTAACTATTAACATCCGAACCCCTCATACCAACAAAAAGAACAGTAACAACGCGAAAAAGTAACATATTAGAAAATGATGTACAGAAATATCTTATATGTGAGGATACCTACTTCATCTACCTGTGATTTGGATACTATAAATTTGGAAGATTCTGTCAGCAGTGATTCTTCTGAATCAGAGTAGTTACGATCTATGCACTTTGTTGTCCTAAAGTAAATTTATACTATCTTAAGTTTTTTTTAATTAAATATAACATTAATGTTTCTTTTTCATTAAAGAAAAACATTTTTATCTTATATTAGGCTTATATTTAGGAATAATGTTCTAATGTTATTTCAATTCTTTTTTATCACAGGGATTTATTTAACACTTGAACCGTTTTCATACTATAAATTATCATTTCCTTAGATGGAACACAGCTCCAACATTTTTATTATTTATAAGATTTTTTTTTTCATAAACGTGGGACTAAGAACATCATCATTTAGTACAACGAGAGTACTCATCATTTGTGTCAAATAAACCTAGTTTGAATAAATTGTCTACAATAAAAAAGAAGTTTTGCATTTTTGTCCTCTAGAGCCATATGTTCGAAGCACTGTGCATCGGTTCGTGGTCGGAAACTCTACACACTGCGCTATGGAGACATGTTCGATTATGTGTTCGATTTATATTCAATACTAGAATTTAAAGGACTAATAAAAATATAGGATCTTCTATCAATGCGCAGTAGGGAACGCAACGTTTACCGGCAGCCAGACGGGCCGCATGCTGTTCTAGGGAGCATAGTAAAAGATATATCAAAGAGCCAGATGTCTTAAAATACTTGTTTTTCCGACGTTGCTAGCTCTCGTACTAGAATTTCTTCAGCACGTCCGCAAATATTTTGACTTATCTCATGCGACAACTCTTATGGCGACATATCGGGTGCGTCTCAAAAGTGGCTCGCCCCTATAACTTTTCTATTTTTTTCAGTTAAAAAAACGAGATTTGGTACGTTAGTATATGACATAAATTGGGATTGATTGACGTATTCAGTTGTTTTCGGTCACTTCCTGTTTCACCGGAAATCACTACAACTTTTGATTTTTAAATGGTACTCTCAGTATATTTCTACTTTATTCGATTGAAAATGATACTCTCATAAAATCTTGAAAAAAAATGAAAGCTCAAACTGAAATATTATTTCCATATCTATCATGACATCGTTTTCATTCGACCATACACTTATTTATTTATATTTTTATATCTAAAATTTAATGTAAATAACTGAACTTTTTATACTTGTATCTTGTATCTCATAATTCCTAGATAAATAAATGTATATACTTTTTCACTTTTTAAAAATTAAAATTTAAACTTTATTGGAAACTAAATTAATGTGATTTTGGAAAGGTTAAAAAATAAATGTCGCCAATAAATACAGTTATTTGTTTATATTCAATCTATTTATATACTCAACAATTTCAACATCTTGGTTGACATTATTTTTCTTAAAAAATGTTTTTATCGCCTCCATGCCTACCTTTAAATTATCTTTAAAATATTTCTCTTCCTTATTTGAATTAGAACATAAAAATATCTCGTTTAAATCTTCTGAAAGCTTGTATGCTACCACCGATTTAAAATGTGTTCTTAAATCTTTTAGAATGTTTGGCCTTAAACTTTGATCCCTTAGGACGACGTTTACGATAAGTACACCTAAAATAATTTGAAATAGGTTTTAATATTTGTATTAGATTATCTTAAAACATGTTAATACCTTCTTCTGAAAGCGATTGGGAAACATCCTTTAATGTCTTGGGAGATAGAAACTCTTTTGGTGGACAACTCATGCCTATCTCTGAATTTTTATTATCGACATCACATAGAATTGCTTCTACTTTTTGCCCTGTAACAATCATTTAAATTACATTTATAGTACAACGTTATCAAAAAAGGTAATTAAATTCACAATAATTAAGGAATTCATTAGATTACAATTTAAGATATACAGGGTCCGGCAAGAGTGCGTCGGACATCTGTAGCTCCTAGAATAAAAAACTTGAGAATTTTGTTTAAGTGCAAACCCAAAGTATGTGTAGGATATATTACAGGAAAATATTTTAACTTCTATAGGGTGGCTCAAGGGTAGAGGTGTGTAGTTCGTGAACGAACTAGTTCCAATGAACTATTCCGACCCCGGAATGAAAGGAACTAGTTCCTGGTTTCTCAAAGAACTAGTTCCTCAGGACCTATTCCGGGATCGAGACTGTGGCCGATATATAATAATATGCGACGGCGACGGATCGGCCAGCGCGCGTAGCTCGATGGTAGGCAGGAGTGGGGAGTGCCAGCTGTACGTTATCGGATCCGGATCTAGAGGAACTAAATAAAATAAAAGACTAGTTTACGTACGTACGGATCGGGCCAGCGCGATCGATGCTAGGCAGGAGTGGGGAGTGCCAGCCGTATGTTATCGGATCCGGTCCTAAAGGAACTAGAGGAACTAAATAAAAGACTAGTTTACGTATGGATCAGCCAGCGCGATTGATGCTAGGCAGGCGTGGGGAGTGCCAGTCGGATGTTATCGGATCCGGACACAGAGGAACTAATTAAAAGACTAGTTCACGGGAATCTATTCAGTCGGCAGATCCGAGATATGATACAAGGCGACGACGATGGAGTCGGCCTTGTCTATTGCCACGGCCGGCGTAATTACCACAGAAAATTGTCGTGGATACTGTTTTTGTTTTTTAGTTTGTTTTTTAAATATTTTATGGGAATGTTTCACTTTAGGTCCCTAAAATTAAGAAATATCTTATAAAACGAAGTAGATATTGTGAATTTTTAGAGAAAAACAAAAAGCTTGAAGTGAGGAAAAATGCAATTTTTCGTAAAATTTTTGTAATATTTGCTCCAACTGTTTTGTGATATAGTTTTTTAAACTCTGATTTGAGTTTATTTTTATTTTTTTATCTGCAATAAAACTTACCTATATGTTTTTAACATACACAATTACACATCTCGTTATATCTCCGTACATTATAAAAATTATACAGGTCATACTGTGAATAGTTCTGATTGACAACGAAACGCATTAGCAAGCAAGGGGGATGTCAATGTTAGTCGGGAACTATTGTGAACTAAAGACCTAGTTCAAGGAACTATTCCTCTGAAGGAACTAGAACTAAGGAACTAGTTCCTCCCAAGGAACTAGAATTCCCACCTCTAGATCTGGGTGTTTTTTTTTAAATATAACACCCTGTATATTATTGCATTTTGGTTTGCTTTCAGATTACTTTACATAATCCTAAAATATGAGCAAATATATTTCGATAGTTTCAGAGATATTAAAAAATAAATCAAAAATATATATTTTTCAGCCCTTCTTAAAAAAATTATTAAAAATACAAGAACTGTTTTGAAATCAAAACTATATTAGGTATTTACTTTAGATGGTCTGTTCTTACTTTGTTATAAATATGGTAATCGTAAATCATACAGAATGTTCAATATTCTACGCCAAACTTTCTAAAATAGAAAATATTTTTTCTTTGTTTTTTTTTAATTGAACATCCTGTATATTATTTTTTATTAGATGGAGAGTTAAAAAATGAACATTTTTTGTATTTAAAGTATTTTAAAATTTTTAATAATCTTGCAGATACACGTAGTATTATTTCATATGGCGCTTTCAATGGTAAAATACGGGAGAAAAATCATTAGGTGGCTTCTTAGTTTTCGAACGGTTTTGATGCCGTGGTCGTAATTACCATAGGCATTGAGTGGCTTTGATAAAAATTTATTGTGGAAAATGCCATGAAATATAAAGCCGGGAATATCTGCCACACCGTTAAAAATTTTGGAATACTCTAAATACAAAAAATGTTCATTTTTTAATTCTCCATCTATTGAAAAAATAATATACAGGGTGTTCCATTTAAATAAAACGAAGAAAATTTATTTTATATTTTAGAAAGTTTGGCGTAGAATTTTGAACATCCTGTATGATTTACGATTTCCATATTTATAGCAAAGTAAGTACAGACCATCTAAAGTAAATACCTAATATAGTTTTGATTTCAGGACAGTTCTTGTATTATTAATAATTTTTTAGAAAGGCTGAAAAATATATGTATACTTTTTATTTATTTATTAATATCTCTAAAATTATTGAAATATATTTACTCATGTCTTAGAATTATGTAAAAAGATTTGAAAGGAAGTCAAAAATGCAGGGTGTGCCATTTAAAAAAAATCATCCCAATCCACTTACACTTTTTTGAGCCAAACTATAGAAGTTAAAATATTTTCATGAAATACATCTTCGTATATCGGGTGTTGCATCGTCGAGCGGGACATAGGAAATCCCATGTAAATTTTAATGGGGTCAATTATTGGCTTCCCTAATTATTTTAGAGAATAATTATATTTAGGTTTATTGTAGAGCACTAAAACCCACATTCAAAAGAATAACTTTAGATATTTTTGATTAGCCCGTTTACGAGTTATCGCCGATTTCTTTTTAAATATTTCTCCTTTCTTATGGCCCTGAAATTTATCTATTTAGTGCTTTATTATTATTATTAAAAATTCATACCTACATCGAAAATATTATATAGCCATGAATTACACTCCCGAAGAAAAAGTATTGATGATTAAATGGTATTATGGTACTATCAAGGAAATAGTTATCAAAAGGTGTCGGACATGTTTGCTGCTCTGTATCCGAATAGACCGATACCTGAAAAATCTACAATCGCAAGGAATATCCAGAGATTTGAGACCAAAGGTACCCTAATAAATAACTGCAGATGTGAAGCAAGGCAGGAACAAAGAGAAGATGCAAGAAATGATACCGACTTGGAAGTTTTATTGTGCGTGGAAGAGAACGATGGAAAGATCAGCACAAGGAAACTTGAGGATGAAATAGGAATAGATCACACTACAGCGTTTCGAATTTTGAAACGACATAAATACTATTCCTTCAAATATGAAAAGCACAAAGAGCTACGAGATGGTGACGAAAAACGGCGGCAGGCGTTTTGTTATGATGTGATGGAAAGAGCAAACACGGATAGGGAATTTTTAAAAAACATATGTTTCACTGACGAATGCACGTTTACCTTAAATAATGAACCCAATGTTCAAAATTATCGATATTGGAACAAAGAAAACCAACACAGGTTTGTCAAAACAAGGACGCAATATCCACAGAAAGTAAATGTTTGGGCAGGGATATTCGGACACAATATTATCGGGCCATTATTTCTTACGCGAAATTTAAATGCAGAATATTATTTGGAACTACTCGAAAATCATATTTTACCTGCTTTACATGATGCCGCTAGGGAAAATCAGGAAGTTTAATACCAAATGGATGGCTGCCCGGCACATAGTACCCTGGCTGTTCGGGAATATTTAGACAATAGTTTTAACGGAAACGTTATTGGCCTAAATCATACAGTAAATTGGCCAGCAAGGTCTCCTGATATTTCGTCAAATGATTTCTTTCTCTGGGGCCATTTAAAAAACAGGATATACAAGGATAAAAAATACCCAAATCTAGACGAGTTAAAAAATGCTATTTCTGCCGAATGCAATAGAATTTCAGTTTACCAACTAGCGAATGTAAGAAGAGAATTTTATGATTGCCTGGGTTATTGTCTATCAGTCGATGGATGAATATTTGAACATCTTCTTAAATCCTAAAGTTCTAACAATTTAATAGTACCTAAATTAATAAGTTATTGAATATTGTAATAATACTATAATTAATCTTGTAATTGATTACTTTATATTACTTTAGTTCATATTAATTTGTATTTATAAATATATCTTTAAGATTTCCGATGTAGGAATGAGTTTTCAATAATAATAAAGCACTAAATAGATAAATTTTTGAAATGACAACTTCATTTGACAGTTATCTTTTACCTTGACTGGTGCTCATAAGTAAATACAGGGCCATAAGAAAGGAGAAATATTTAAAAAGAAATCAGCGATAACTCGTAAACGAGCTAATCAAAAATATCTAAAGTTATTCTTTTGAATGTGGGTTTTAGTGCTCTTCCATAAACCTAAATAGAATTATTCTCTAAAATAATTAGGGAAGCCAATAATTGACCCCATTAAAATTTACATGGGATTTCCTATGTTCCGTCCGACGACGCAACACCCGGTATACTTTAGGTTTGCACTTAAAAGAAAATTCTCAAGTATTCTAGGAGCTACAAATTGCCAGACCCTGTAATTAGGCACTGTATTCTAGTTTTAGTGATTTAGTAAATCAATTATGTGTGATATTGTGTTTATAAGTACAGGAGCCCATGCAATATGTAACAATATTGTATATTGAAACTTACCAACTTTGTTTAAATCGCTAAGATAAACTAAACCATCTTGAATGATAGCTCTTAATTTTTCATCTTCCTTAAATCCAAACCAATCTTTAGCGATTTCTAACATTTCCGAATCGATATCTACACCAATTATAACAGCTTCAGGCAGAAATTTATGCAAAAACGAACATAAACTGCCTCCTCCTAACCCTAAAACTGCCACTGTTGCGTTTTTCTTGATTTTATACGCAAGATGTGTCGCAACGCTCATGTATATGTGATGTTGGCACATTAATGTTGAAAGATCTATAATATTCTTTTGTTTTCCTCCTCTGGTTTTTATTACTTTAATTTTGGCTTCTGACTGGATGACTAATTGAGAGCTAAGGTAGAACAAACGTCTGAAAATATCTCCGTTTTCATGTTCAACGTCTTCTATTACATAATCGCCGGAAAAAATTGATTTACCTTGATGCCTTATTTCTCGTTTACCAATATCAGAGCCTAATGAGAGAAACGCAATCTGAAAAGGGAAATTTATACCTATTTTTAGGTTAATCTTGGTTGAATGAGAAAAACTATTATTTTTAATTAATCGACACCGTATACCTATAAAAGAATATATCACGGGTACCGCTTAAATTCTTGTCCCAATATTGAGGAATGGCTATAGGCTTGGTGAATTTTAGTTGATTTCAACAAATTCCGACCGCAGCGCTTCAACGGCAGAAATCAGAAATTATCAGTATGTATTTGACGTCCCCGTTAAGTTCATGTTGATCGCATTAAAATAATATTGAAATCGTAGCTTTATCATAATATTTAAGTATTTTAGTTTTTTGCTAGTGCAGTTATTAAAACTATAAAACACTCAGGTACGAGATTTGTGTGTAAAAGATTTGTAGTAAAAAATAAGTGAAAACGAATACGAATTAGGCGTCGTGTTGTGTTATGACAATTTCAAATGTTAATAAAATTGTCGAAAAAGTGTTAACGCTTAAAGGAGAGCGTAATTAGGGCGGTGTTGGGTGCAAAAACATTCAATAACTCAACTTTCCAGGATATTCAACTCTCCCGAAACAACATTTTATAGCTTCATAGTGTCCCACACCGATTTGATCAAAAACAAAAATGGATTCAAGCAGTTCGACGAAACAAGTAAGTAAACAAAGTGCTCGTTACATAATCAAAGAACTAAATAGACATATACTATGAGAGGATAAAATATAATTGGCAATATTAATGGTATACTTTTTTTAATCAACTAGTGATTAAATGTTTTATAAACATCTTCTAAACTTATAATTATGTACCTTTAAATGTAACTATGTACCCCGTATGTACCTTACCATAATTATATGTACCTTTAAAACATTTCGTTATAGCCTTAATTGTGACCCCACTAGCAAAACCTGAGATTAAAACTATGCTCGCTACCGTAGTTGACCCTTCAAAAAGTTTTTTTAGCTGGAATAATAAATTATAATACAAGTTAGGCCTTGTGCCTTGTGACGATATCAAAATAATTACTTTTTATTTTTAGAATCTTCAACACTTTTAGAAAATTAAATAATTTTTTTTTCGTATATTCGCTATTTAAACCCGTGTATTTGTATATACTAGTGGTTTACGATATTCTCCGATAGTGGCAGCACCGGCGGAGAATGCACCAAACCTATAGAATTTCCCACATAAGTTTATCCCTGGGTTGTCTAAAGTTTTCTGTGCTTGCTCAAGCTGGGACCACTTTGACTGGGCAGTTTCAAATCATATATTTTATTTTATTTGAAATTAAGGTTAAAGACGTTCAAATAATGGAATTAAGTCTTTGAGAAAATTGGGAGCTTTTTATAAAACATTCTGAAATCAATTAAGTTTGAGAATGTAACATTACGCATATTTTCATTAAACGTATATGAGGAAAATGCAACAATTTCAAATTCGCCCTGTATTTCGGGAACTCAGATGGCAAGGATAAATCTGTGTGTAGCATCTTTAGTTTCATAAAAAGATAGCAAATGATGTGAAAACCGCATGTAAAACAGACTAAAATGGGACACACTGTACAAGGATCCCCACTGTACATGATCACAATACAAGGTTACTACACAAGGCTGTTTTGTGGTGGATTCCAATTATTTGCTTCCTCTGAATTTCAGAAATTAAAGTCTGAGTGTTTATTAATTTTACTATTTGCTATGGCTTGTCTGTGAAAATAGATCTATTATTTCTTAAAATCAATCAAATTATTATTACCTATATGATTTAAATGAATAATAGTCGTAGCAATTTTTACCAAGAGACTTCTTTGACAGGTAAGAACACAAAGTTATTGCTCTTCAAACCAGTTAAAAAAAATGTAAGTAGCGCCACCTACATGTAGGAGCCGTATTGATGAAATATCGACAGTAGTTCAGAAATTAATTGGAAAAAATCGAAATAAAAATCAAACTTCTACACCCTGTTTCTCCGAAACTTCGAAACGACGCATTTAAGGACAAAGATTTATAAAAAAAGATACTAATCTATAGAATATGCTTAGGCTTTCTTGAATATAATTCGAACTACACTATACCGGGTGCGTCTCCAAAGTGGCTCACCCCTATAACTTTTTTATTTTTTCAGATAAAAAACGAGATTTGGTATGTTAGAATATGACATATATTAGGATTGATTGACGTATTCAATTGTTTTTGGTCGCTTCCTGTTTCACCGGAAATGACTACAACTTTTGATTTTTAAATGGCACCCTCGGTATTTTTTTACTTTATTCGATAGAAAATGACATTCTGAATAGAATGACATATCATATGTCAACTTTTGACATTCGCGCTTAATAAAAATTCGTATTTTAAAATTCAATCTAGAGTGCCATGGCCATGTTAAAAACACAAATTCTTAATTAAGGAGCCTTGGAAAAATATATTTGATCGTTAACGTTTTTAGTGTCTTGTCCTGGCCAGTTAGAAAATGCACAAATCGTATTTTTAATCATATCTCATTTTTTTCAAATGGAACGAGGGTGGCTCATTAGCATATTTGGAAAAATCATTTTTTTACGAATAATTTGATACCACCATATACATATTGATACCACCCACTTGGTATTTCGAGTCAAATTTTGGTTACGAACCGCAAGTTATAATTTCAAATAAATCGTATGCGAAAATGTTAAAACTTGACATATGATATGTCATTCTATTCAGAGTGTTATTTTCTATCGAATAAAGTAATAAAATGCCGAGGGTGCCATTTCAAAGTCAAAAAATTATAGTCATTTCCGGTGAAACAGGAAGTAACCGAAAATCAATCCTAATTTATGTCATATACTAACATACCAAATCTGGTTTTATTAACTGAAAAATTAAAAAAAAATTAAAAAAAAATTAGGGTGAGCCACTTTTGAGACGCACCCGGTATACAAGAGTTATTGTATGCTTTATTATTTTAATATTACTTACTTTGTGGTTTTTCAAATGCGCTGGAGCTAAATTACATATTATATCTTCTAACTCGCTTTTCACAGCATCTAAAGACTCATACACTTTCCCCCTGTGCATTGAAACTATAGCTAATCGGTTATGATTTGTCATTGTTACTAAATTTTGTCTACCAGATTTAGTTGAAAACAACCATTCCGATTCCCTGGAAATATTGAAATATCTGAATAATTATGTTGTTAATCAGTCATCAGGGTTGCCACCTTTTGTATTTAAAAAATCGGGACAGCACTGGTGCAACCATAGACTTAAAATAAAATATAGACTACACTATTTACATCTCAACGCGGTCAAACAATCTTTTTTGTACACATGTTTACTTCTGGGTACAGTCGACCGAGCCTTCCTCATCCAGCCAATGTTGTCACGTCTTTAATATTATCAATATTTTTTTTCTTGTTATACACATATATTGAGATATTAATACTACAGTTTAATAAAGTAGGTTTGATTATTTCATAGATGTATTAAATAGTACTTATACTACTAAATTATAAGTCGGATACTGTTTAAAAAGGATAAGTTCTTTACAATTTGACAACACCGATTAGAGGCGAGGGAGCCTATTCATTCATTTATTACCTTGTAGTACGCGTCGCATTTTTTAAAAATAACCTGGAGTTATTGAAAATAGCTCTGGTAGTGGCCTTTTTTAAAGGGTATAACGTCACATATTTCGTAAATAAGTCGACAATCACACATAAGAATGTAACGCCCCCTGTAGACTGGGGTAACGGTCCGTATAAATCCAGACTAATAATTTCATTTTTTTCTCGGATATTACAGGAGAAAGAGGAGCTTTTGGTAATAAACTCAATTTTGCCTTTTGGCAAATGTCACACGCTTTTAAGCATTTTTTGATATCACGAAACATGCATTTCCACCAAAAATCATTTTTTAAAATACTCCATGTTTTAAAAATTCCAAAATGACCTAAAGAAACATGACAATCATCAATAATTTTATTTTTAAATTCTGATGGAATGCACAAACGGTAGGATTGATCGTCTGATTCTCTTACAAAAAGCAATTGATTTTTAAGAACAAATTTATTTATCTTTTCATCAAGTTGTTGATTCTCTAAACCTTTATAAATTGGCCCAAAATAACTATCGTTTTTTTGCGCGGCAGGTAGTTTTTTTAATAACGTGTTCAGCTTATCAGGAAACTTGATCGACGAGGAAAACACTTTAAAACACTTCTCACCCGGAACCGAATAACGAATACCAGGGTTTCTCGATAGTATGTCGGCTATTTTATTTTCCGAACCCTTAACGAAAGATATTTTAAAATCATACTCTTGCAGAGCTAAAGCCCACCGAGTTACCCGAGGCGTGAGTAACCGACACGTTTGAATATAACATAAAGCTCGGTTATCGGTTAGCACTTCGAAATGACGTCCTAATAAATAAATTCGCCACTTCTTTAACGCAAATACAAGAGCCAAGATTTCTTTTTCGTTGGATGTGTAATTTCTTTCCCGATCAAGTAAAAGTCTACTAGCGTACGCTATTACTCGTCGTTCTCCCTCTATCCTTTGAAACAGTTGAGCGGCTATTGCGTAATCACTAGCATCAGATTGTACGTAATAAGTGGCAGTATTGTCGGGGTGGTATAGTAGTGTAGCATTCTTTAGTAACCGTTTTAACTCATCGAAAGCCCTGTCCTGTTCAGTATTCCAAACCCACTTATTTTTTGTTCTTAATAATTTACTTAAAGGTTCTGTTACGCCCGAAAAATTCTCACAAAACCCTCGATCGTAATTACATAGTCCCAAAAATGACTGAATATCTTTTTTATTTTTCGGTTTTGGATAATCCTGAACGCATTGAATTCTTTCAGGATCGGGTTCTATATTATTTGTGCTTACAATGTAACCCAAATAATTTAATTTTTCTGGCATAAATTGACACTTTCGAAATTTAACTGTCAACCCAGCTTCGTTTAGACGGGAAAAAACTTGATCCAAATGATTTAAATGGTCTTCAAAATTCTTGGAAGCTATCAAAATGTCATCAAGATACGGTATAACAAAGTCATCAAACTCTGAACCCAATATCTCAGAAATGCATCGCGAAAATGAAGAAACAGCGGTAGAAAGTCCGAAAGGTAACACCGTAAATTGATAGCACTTAGTACCAACCAAAAATCCCGTATACTTTTTATCGCTTGGGCGCAGAGGTATTTGCCAGTATCCAGACGACAAATCAAGACTAGTTTTAAATGGTTTCCCGAACAAAGACTTCATAATATCATCAATAGGTCGTGGTAACTCGTATTCTTTTTCTAATACCCGATTTAAATGTCGCGCATCCAAACAGACGCGAACCGACCCATCTTTCTTAACCTCTGTGACTAACGGACTAATATATTGGGTGGAAGCCCTTTCAATTACCCCCCAATCAAGCATTCGCTTAATTTCATTATCTACAGCTTCACGATGTGCAATTGGTATAGGATATTGTTTAACTTTAAAAGGAGTTTCATTAATCAATTTAATTTTGTGATAGTACAATTCGGTTCGCCCCGGTATATCAGAAAATATATTTTTATATTTCAAGAGAAGATACTTAAACTGATTTTTTTGTTCAAATGTTAAAGATTTATTTTCGTTTATAAATTCTGTATTAAAACCATTTCGATCAGTATTTAAAGTATTTAAGGAATATTCTTTTTTTAAGGCTATCGTTCTAGTTTTTTTAATGTCGCTCGGAGGAATATAAAAATGAATCGTATTAATTGTTGAGACTGTAAAAAACTCTTTATTAGAATTTAATAATGTTATTGTATCATTTTCTAAGTTTATTTTACTTTTCACTGAAAATAAAAAATCAATACCTAAAATTATCGGAAAAACTAAATCACTAATTAATAAAAATTCATAACTAAAATAGTTATTAGCTATTTTAAAATCAAGAAACAATTGTTTCGCTATTTTACGTTGTTTTGTTTTAAACGCCCCTGTAATACGAATCCCCGTTACCGGAAAACTAGGAATTTTCTCTTGAAAATCTCCCAATTGAGCGTAAACGTCACCGGATATGCAGGATATTTCTGAGCCGCTGTCAATTAGTGCTGGAAAAGAAAAATTAAAAATTGAAACAGTAATAACTGGTGATTTTTTATTTTCAATGTTAAGATGGTCAAACTCACAGTCAGAGCCCCATGGCTCTTCTTCCATATTTTTATTTAGTATTACGGCCATTTTGCCACTGTCAGTTGTCTCCGGCCCTAAAGACTGTGGCTCGGCTCGTTTCCCGATATTTCCAAATTCGCTACCCCTAAATCGTCCACTAAATCCACCGCGGATACGTTTCGATTTGCATAATTTTTTCTTTCGGGTCCCAACCTATCCTTTTCATAACGCGACCCAAAATTTGATCTGTCTACCGTTCTATGATTATAATATTCCGCTTGTTGCAGTATTGGGATTACTTCTGACAATTTCTTTAGCCCTATTATAGCGCTAAATATATTTACCGGAAAATGGCGGGCTATACATTGAATTAATTCAAACTCAGACAGGGGTGGTCTGAGATATTGTGCCATAGCTACGTATTTTGTAAAATGGTCTACTAGAGAGCCAGTTTCATACTTTCCTTGCCAAATTTTTAATTTTATTTCTAGTTGTTTAGTTTCGCTCCAAAAATATCTTAAATATGCTTCCTCAAATTCTGTAAAAGTAAGAAATGATTTAAGATATGCCTCACTCCACGCTTTAGCTCTACCCTGTAATTTTTTTGCCAATAAAAATTTTATTTCTAGAAATGAGGTATTATTTCTCTGTAATAAAAACTTAATTTTTTCTAGAAAATCTATAGGGTGTAACGTATTATTACCATGAAATTCTGGAAGCATATTATCTATGTTTGCTAAAATTCTATTATATTCGCTAATGTTATCAATTTGAAAAGGTAAAGTTTGTTGATTGTTATTTTTAAAGGTATCTGTTATAGATTGATTTACAATATTTCTTATAAAACTATCTAAGTTATTAAAGTCCCTATTATCATATGGCGGTGGTGGTTGGCGTGGGTGTTGATTAGTTTGTTGTGCAATTCTTGTAGAATCAGGAACTTTTACTTGTTCACCCAAAAAATATGGAATGTTCCTACCTTGAAAATCCATGCCCGATGTATATATTGGTGATTTCTGTGTAGGATAGCGTGGCAAACCTCTGGATGCATTCGAAAGAGGAATGCGCTCATTTTCTGGAATATTCCTACGCCGGACAGCTCCAGTAGGTTGTCTTCCACTTGAAGTCTGTTCTGGAATGACGCTCTCGTTTCGCTGGGAAAATGTGGGAGTTGTTTGTAGCTCCTCGTTCATTCTTCTCGCCCCCAGACGTGTTAAGGGTGGTGAATTTCGACTGTTATCAGCAGGAGGTGTTCGTCGAACTGCCATTCTTAGACTCGGCCGTAGTTGGGTAGCCAAGATGTAACAAAACTCTATAAGGGGTTAGGGGTTCGCTCAAGTCAAAGAAAACTCTTTCGAAAAACACTCCGAAAATTCTTTATTCTTGGTATCTAAAATACTATACATTTACTTAGCAGGGGGAAAATTTTATATATATGGTACAATCTTACCTATCAAGCCTTTCTACTAACTTTTAAAAGTACAGTTTTACACTTTATCGCCACAGGATAATAAAATGAATACAATAAGAATAGTTGTTTCAGCGTACAGTAGCGAGAGTAAAATGAGAATCGAATTCAAATATGCAAGGCGCAAAAAAAGATTTAAATAAAAAACTGACTCTCCAGGTAGAGCTACGACCAAATAAGATTCCCCACATTGTTATGGCTGCTACAATTGTAACAAAATCATAATTATAACCCTGTTAATAATTAATAATGTTTTTATTAAAAATATATTCCGGTTTATTCTAAAATTATCTTCAGGATCTAAAATAACATTCAAGAATTTTAAAATTATATTACATTATGAAACAATATTTTTTAATATACCGGGTCGTCTCAAAAGTGGTTCACCGCTATAACTTTTTTATTTTTTCAGATAAAAAAACAGATTTGTATGTTAGTAGGTATATGACATAAATTAGGATTTATTGACGTATTCAATTGTTTTTGGTCTCTTTCTGTTTCACCGAAATGATTACATCTTTTGATTTTTAAAGGCACCCTCGGTATATTTCTACTTTATTCGATAGAAAATGATAATAGAATTCTGAATAGAATGACATATCATATGTCAACTTTTGACATTGTCGCTTAAAAACAAATCGTATTATAAATTTCAATCCAGGGTGCCATGGTGTTGTTAAAAACACTAAGTTTTAATCAAGGAGCCTTGGAAAAATAGTTTTGATCGTCTAATGGGTTTCGTGTCTTGTCTAGGCCGATTAAAAGATGTACAAATCATATTTTTAATCATACATATGTCAATTTTTTCAAATGGAACAAGGGTGACTCGTTAGCATATTTGGAAAAAGCATTTTTTTATGAATATATTGATACCACACACTTGGTATTTCGAGTCAAATTGTCGTTATGAACCACGTGTTACAATTACAATTAAACCATATGCGAAAGTGTCAAAAGTTGACATATGATATGTCATTCTATTCAGAGTGTCATTTTCTATCAAATAAAGTAGAAATATACCGAGGGTGCCGTTTAAAAATTAAAAGTTATAGTCATTTCCGGTGAAACAGAAAGTGACCAAAAACAATTGAATGCGTCAATCAATCCTAATTTATGTCATATACTAACATACTAAATCTTGTTTTTTTATTTGAAAATATAAAAAAATTATGGGGTTGAGCCACTTTTGGGACGCACCCGGTATAATAAAGACAGTACCGAGTTAAATAAATGTAGTTTTCATTTTATCCCCTTCCTATCACCTTCCTTGCTTTAATGGAACAGATTTATGTTTTCTCTATTTTACATAATAAGACATCACTTAACCAGAAAAAAAATTACAACAATCATATTTTTTTTTCTCTCTCTGTCGCCGATTCTATTATATCTGTGGAATAGATCCTGTTTTCATTAATATTAGGGGTTGTAAATGTTTGACTAAATTAATAATTTATTATTAATTTCAAAAATTACGTAATTTCGATTATAAAATTTCTTCTATAACGTGTATTTTATTATTTTTATCCTTTTTGGACTCTAAGACGTTTTTTCTAAACTTTTATTTAAAAAACCTGTCCTAAATCTTAATAAAATATAAAAAAGTTTAAATACGATATATTTTTAATTTAATTATAGCTTCATTAAAATAGAAAAATTACCCGGCTATGATACGGAGAGTTCAGGTGTACTTGAGAAACGAAAGACAGTGTTGTGTTTCTCGACAGAGTCGTCAGGGAACGACCGTTACGACAGAGACAACCTATCTATCGCTCGTGTCGCACTCGTTATAACCTAAAACAATAACACAACAATAACAAGACATTGTCTGATCGGATGTTCCAGCTATTTATGAATGAGATGCTCAGTCTATATTTTATTTTAAGTCTATGGGTGCAACCATTTTGCTTAAATGTAAAATTTTATGTGCCCATCGGATTTTGAAACAGTATTTTATGACTTTTTGCGTTAACTTAAAGAAATTATTCGAAATTTATAAATAATTATGCAAAAATAAAAAGTTGAGTTAAAAAGTTGAATAAACTAAACCTAACCTAAACAAAATAAAACGTTTCAGCTCTATAATCTGTACAATTGGCTTTATTAGTTTATTTAATTATTTTTAAATGAACATTTTTTGGCAAAATAAAACACTAATTCACCACACAACACCAAAATGCTTTAAAATATAATATACTTAGTACACACAAGCATAAAAAGGCCTAAACCCCTAGACCTACAAGTGCGCTAATTCCCATTAAACACTTTACTTTTAACAGTGGACGCGCGTTTCGTTCATTAGCTTAGCATCATCCGTAGATGATGAAAACTGATGATTAGCTTCAAATTTATGGTGAGCGAAACGAGCGTCCAGTGTTAAAAGCAAAGTGTTTTGGTGTATTGCGGTGAATTACTTTTTTATTTTGCTGTTGTAACACCAATGGTTTCAAACCCCAACTGTAATGAATATTTTTTATTTGTTTTGTTGCTGTAATAAGAGCCTTGTAATTTTTAATAAAATCCAAAAATTCTTATATGCGTTATATTAAAATTAAATGAGATTTGAAGTTCCGTTCTAATGAACTTAACTGAACATCTATTTCTAGCGTCTGTCTACTTCAACATCATACGTGAAAATATACATATTGTTAACTGGACGGCTACTTATTGGGGAACAGAATGGCAACACTGCATCTAATTCCAAATGAGTAAATGAGTACTAAGCTAAGCTGCCGACTCGTCCCGTCGACGTCGCGTCGTCTCTCGACGAGCGGGCCGAGGTTGCCATATTTCAACCATAAAGCTCTTGCCGCGAGTAATAAACAAATTAACAACCCGTATAAATAACAACCTTAAACAATGAAGGCATATAATTTACTCTAGTTTTAAAAATACTTTATTTTTTTATCTATAATTTTTATATCTTCTTTGGCAAATTTCCTTTACGCAAGTTTGTATTATCGAATATTCATTAAACAGAACATCAATATCTATTCCTTTTAATTCTAAAATTCCTGAGATTTTAATTAATTCGTGGAAAAGAACTGTTTTTAAATTCAAGTTATTAATAAACATGTATTTTTTATAATAAATTTTACAATTTTATTGTTTAATAAAAACGTGGCTACTGAACAAATAAAAATCGAGACATTAGGGCTTTGCGTGGGGACGCGGGACTTTTGGATCAAAATCGGGACAGGTGGCAACCCTGTCAGTCATACACAAAAAAGCACAAGCAGCTAGACAAGTAAAAATAGATTTGTATAAACAAAAGTTTACCTTCCTTGAGGAATGATGAAGGCCGCGTAGGGTAAATTTTTGGCCTTGTATGGTACTTCAACAACATGAACAGTATACCTAGGTGACTGACTGCCCGGTTCGTAAAGATCTAAACTGATCTCAGCATCTTCATTAATATTACATTTCTTTAAAGATGAACAAACAAACGAAGCCGTTTGAATACTAGTAATGAATGATATTATCTCCTCAATTGAATTATATTTATCGATTTTATTGGTGGAACCTAAGCTGGCCTCTAAAATCTATATAATATAAAAAAGTATAATAGTTGTTCAATATTATACAGGGTGACCCATGATTCCAAAAAAAGGTCCCCTATTAGGTTCACTATTTCAGATTTTAATCTACACTTTCTATAACCAAACAATATATTGGCAGTCTATATAATTCTACATCATGTAAAATGTCAGCAATCTTCATATCTAAACCATCGCTGACGCCGTTTTTTTCGATTGTATGGTAGGTACTTAATTTTGAAAATGATAAAGAACATTTCTTATTAGAGCTCGAACACACTGACGCGACGGCCAGGTCGCAACGACCAGCCAACGGCCAGGGACGCTAGTGTGCGTTGTATCATTTGATTTAATGGTATTACGTGTCGCACCGACCAAGCTGCGGCCGCTTGGGCGTGAACGTTAGTACGCGTTGTATCAGGCTGCTGCGACCTGGCCGTCCTGTCAGTATGTTCGAGCCTTAAGAGATATATAGGGCCCGGCAATAGTGCGTCGGGCGTCTGTAGCTCCTAGAATAAGAAACTTGGGAATCTTGTTTACGTGTAAACCTAAAGTATGTACCAAGATGTATTTCAGGAAAATATTTTAACTTCTATAGAGTGGCTCAAAAAAGTGTGAGTGAACCGAGATGATTTTTTTAAATGGAACACCCTGTATATTATTGCATTTTTGGCTTCATTTTGGATCACTTTACATAATCCTATGATATGAGTAAATATATTTCGATAGTTTCAGAGATATTAATAGATAAATAAAAAAATATATTTTTCAACCTTCCTTAAAAAAAATTATTACAAATACAAGAACTGTCCTGAAATCAAGAGTATATTAGATATTTATTTATGATTAGGTGGTCTATATTTACTTTGCTATAAATATCATATTCTTAAATAATACAGGGTGTTCAAAATTCTGCGCCAAACTTTCTAAAATATAACATAATTTTTCTTGTTTTTTTTTAAATGGAACACCCTGTATATTATGTTTTTAGGACATGGACAATTAAAAAATGTACATTTCTTGTATTTAAAGTATTTCAAAATTTTAATGGTTTTGCAGATACGCGCAATATTATTTCATATGGCTCTCTCAACGGTAAAATACGAGGGAAAAATTATTGGGGTTGCTTTGATAAAAATTTACTGTGGAAAATGCCATATGAAATATAAAACCGCGAATATCTGCGAAACCGTTAAAAGCTTTGAAATACTCTAAATACAAAAAATGTTCATTTTTTAATTCTCCATCTATTGAAAAACTAATTTACAGGGTGTTCCCTTTAAAAACATCCATTTTATATTTTAGAAAGTTTGGCGTAGAATTTTGAACATCCTGTATAAATTACAACTACCATATTTATAGCAAAGTAAGTACAGACTATCTAAACTAAATACCTAATATAGTTTTGATTTCAGGACAGTTCTTGTATTTTTAGTTCTTTTTAAGAATGGCTAAAAATAATATATATTTTTCATTTATTTATTAATATCTCTGGAACTATCAAAATATATTTACTCATACCTTAGGATTATGTAAAGTGATCTAAAAGGAAGCCAAAAATGCAATAATATACAGGGTGTTCCGTAGAAAAAAATCATCCCGATTCACTCACACTTTTTTGAGCCACCTTATAGAAGTTAAAATATTTTCCTGAAATACATCCTCGAACATACTTTAGATTTACACTTCACAAAATTCATATTTTTTATTATAGGAGCTACAGATTCCCGACGCATTATTGACGAGCCCTGTATAATAATTCGCAGTTTTTATGATATTTAAGGCAAATCCTATGATTAAACAATATCCAGCGACACATTTAAAAAATTAAAACTTTATTGAAAAAATATATTTTTTGTCTAATACTGTTGGTTATCTGTGAAATTTACTCTAAAAATACAAAAATATACATGAATTGGCAATTTTAAGACAAAGCGCAAATCCTATTAAAAGATATCCAGCAGCACATTGAAACATTTTTAAAACTTTAGTAAAAAAAACATATTTGAATTAAGCAGTATATCTATGAAAATACTTTTTAAAATGTAACTCAACTAAATTTAATGTATAATCTTCCAGTGGAGACCTGCAATAATATAGCTGCAGGAAGAATAATAAACTATATTTCAATCTTAACCCTATAGGTAGTAGGTGTTATATATTCAGTATTAGTATAAACTGCATAAAAGGTTGGTCTCATTTCTTCTGGAATACAGAAAGCAGATCCAACAATTACATATCTACAATCATCACTAAAAAGGCTGCATTCTCTATTAAGTTACTCTGTACTTGTAAGAATAATTAAATGCTTTAACTAAAAAAGTGGCGCCTATAATTTTATTCTGTAACACTTTCCCTACCAATATACCTACCATAAAGAAACGTTCAAAATATCTACTTTTAATATAATTTTGAATACCAATTGATAATGTATCATAATTGCTGCTGGCCCATGACAACTGCTTGCATATCTTAAATATAAACCCAAATAGAGAGCTTCCTGGGAACACTTGATCACCCTATATTAATATCCTTGAAAATCACTATGCTTACCATTCTTGGCAATGCCTTAAATTTTGTACATATAACCATAAACACAGGCAAAGCATTTTCTCCATTTTGCACAGATTTAGTTTCAGGTTCAAAGCATCTAACAACTCTAAACATCCAGTCATTTTTTGGAAAATATAACAAAATTTTATTTAAAATATGTTCTTGTAATAAAGAGATACACAAATATCTTCCTCCAAGCTTTAAAAGCCTTTGTATTTCTGCAAAGTATTGGTCAATTGATTTGATAGTTTCATCATTGTCATTTGGCATTAAGGCATCGAGTGTGCCTTTGTCAATTATAACACTAAATTTTTCATCTTCGAAAGTGGTATGTAGAGCATCCATTTGAATATATTCCAGACCCGGCCTTTCTTTATCATTTTGAGAAAGCATTTGTCTAATTACAATATTAGATATATCAATATTTGTTATTTTACTAAAATTGTAACAAATTAGATAAATTAAAAATAAATAAATTAGGACAGTTTACTGGAATCCTATATCATATAAATCTTTACCCAGACTCGAATTACCACAACCCATAACTAAAATATTGTCTTGAGTTTTTACATATTTATGTATATACCCTGAAAGTTCAGGATACTCGCCATACCTTAAAAATAAATGATTAAAAGTACATATTCTGGAAGTAGTTTAGTGACTGAAAATTATACCATTCAAAAGCTTTATTTCCACGTTTTTTAAAGAATAGATCCCAATATTCCTTCTGACTAAATTCTTCTTTAGTCTTCGGCAATAAATTCATTGTTTTAGTTTTATTACTTAAAGACAATAAATGTTTATATTTTGCAGATATTTTCTATTTTAATAAGTAAATAATTTCAAAACAACAAATAAAGTTTAAAATGAGGTTAGGATACTTGAATCATAAAATACTTGAACTACTTTAGATGTTCAAAAGTATAAAATGATCTACCAGTGATCTACGTTAGGCAGTTTAGGCCATAAAAAAAATAACATTGATGAACCTTATAGTCCTAGCAGCTTAAGATCGTTAAATGAAAAAGAAGAAAAATAACTATTTTTGTCCCAGAGATATAGAGTGAAATGTCCACAAAAGTAATGGATTAGATATCATATCCTATTACATAGCCCAGGCAGCTGAGGCTGCAAAACTAAAAAAAAATTATTGTCGTTTGTCACTGTCAGCTGAGCTTATCACTTTATCGCTAACCCAACTTTTTTGGTCTGTGATGTTTATGTTTAGTATGTTCGTTAAAAGTTTAGAATAGCAAAACAAATGGAATTTACCCAAAAGAGAAGACACCCAGAAAATATTGTTGTTCGATTATTAAATAGAGAAAGATATGGTTCCCGTAAAGCCGGCACCCAACTTCACACGGTGCGACAATTTTACCAAAATATATTTCCAAACTTTACAGTTATTAATGTTGAAAAACCTCCTTGTTTTTTACGAAAATTTAGCCCTGATGGAAAATGTTTTATAGCGTTTTCAGCCGATCAAACTTCTTTAGAAGTTTATAGTTATCAAGGGCCAGCCGCAGCTGCTGATTTACTTCAAAATATTGGAAATTATGATACCTTATCAATTAGTATTCAAAATGATATTAAAAGTAGAATTTTTGAGCGTTTCTTTAAGGTATATTGGTAGGGCAAGTGTTCTAATAAAATTATTAGTGCCACTTTTTTAGTTAAAGCATTTAATTAATATTACAACTACAGAGCAACTTAATAGAGAATGCAGTCTTTTTAGTGATGATGGTAGATATGTAATTGTTGGATCTGCTTCCTATATTCCAGAAGAAATGAGACCAACCTTTTATGAAATTTATACTAATAATGAATCTGTAACGCCTACTATACGGTTAAGATTGAAATATATTTTATTATTTTTTTTCTGCAACTATATTATTTCAGGTCTCCACTGGAAGATTATACGCTACATTTAGTTGACTTACATTTAGGAAAACTCTGTGATATTAGAAATTTTAAAATAGATAAAATATTCTTATCCCATAATCAGGGACTTTATTTATATAAGGATACATTAGCAGTTTTATCTGTTCAACATCAAATGATTCACATTTTCCAAATCTTAGATGGAATGTTTGTAGATGTGAGAAAAATTGGAAGATTTTGTTATGAAGATGATTTGTATCTGTACAATTCAGTATATCCAAGTGAAGCTGCATTTAAAGATGTTTATATAAATTCCTTGAAGCACAGGCTTTTAACATTCTTATATAAAAGAGCCTCAAATATAAGCGAATCTACTGGTGATCCAACAGAGTTACGAAAATTTTATCTACATTTCGATAATTTTAATTCATTAAAAATGTGGAAAATGCAGCTTTTAGATGAAAATCATCTATTGATAAAGTATGCTAGTGAAGAAATTGTTACTTTAAAGCAGACTGATGCAAACAGTAGTGAACCACAATTTTTTATTGTGTATAATATTAACAGCAGTAAAGTGATTGCAGTTTATGAAAACAGCTCAAAAGAATTAGTAAACTTGTATGAGAATTTCTGCGATTCATTTAGGAATGCATGTCTCTATAGCTGAAGTTAGACAATAGTTAGACAAAAACAATGCTGTCCTTGTCTAGGCGGCCATACTTGTCGTGAGGAGAATGACAGGAATGACACTAATGACTGTTTCCAATTTTCCTATTTCACTGTCACCCCCCTGACTCCCGCGGCAAATGTCCAAGAAAGACTAATCATTCATTCTGATTGGTCCTGTCCGGTCGTAGCTCACGTCGTATTGTCGGTAAGCAAAATCCCTGTCCAAAAATTTTGACGATCAGCGCCATCATCCGTCATAATTGGGAAACTTTTGCTGGAACCATTTTTAATATTTCACTTACATGGCCCTGAATGTTAGTAGCAAAGTAACAAAATATTCTTTACAGGACTTGACAGTGACTTGAAATATTATATATGATTAAATTTTTGTGCATTCTTTTTTTGCGGCGTTTACCTATTTCCGAATATTCTCTATTCAAAAGACGATAGCCCTAGCAGCTGCGGCCAAAAAATATGTATAGATGTAAAAAAAAGTGAGAAATTAAAAAGAAGAACTATTTTTTTATATATCTGAAAAAACTTTTTAAACTGACGTCAGTTTTCGAGTTTTTGACAAAAATGTCCAATTAATAACACAAAAATTTGTTTTTGGTAACTGAAATCCATTTAAAAATGTGTCTTTTGTGATTGTGTTATAATAGTATAAGGAATTAAAAATGTCCGAAAAGACTTACAAAATTTGCTCTAATATAAACAGTTTAACATGAGGATAGTGAAGATATTTGGATCATTTTCTCTTCTTCATTTCGTAGTTTTTTATATAAGGTAAATTGATTTATTAATTTGTGCTTTAAGAAGTAGTGGTCTATTTTTTTAGTGCGGTTTTTTTACCCTGTGTCCTTTTGGACCCTTTGAGTTTAAATGAACCTAACTTGGATATTCAGCATACATCTGCATCATCTGAAAATTTAACAAATACAAGTACTGATCAAGGTAACCCTAAGGAACCGTTAACAGCAGAAACATCACAAACTGAAATAATTCTTGAAACCAAGGTACCAAAGGAACAAGACTTGAAATTGCAATATTCAGAAGTTATATCCCAAAGTTCAGGTGTTGAAAAAGAGTAAGTAAACATAACATCACAGTAAGAATTCTGTTTATTTATAAATGTATAATTCTTTTAATTTTGTAAACTTTTATATAGTTACACAAGTTAATGTTTTAACCTTGAATTATTTTAAAACCCTAAAAAATATTTCAAGGATGTTCCAAGTTACCTTTAGATGTTAGAGATTACACAACTGGGTTTAAGTTTATATAACCTTTGTAATACTCTGTACTTATAAAGTTAAAGAAATATCCCAGCGAGGATAAGATTGTTTAACTTGTATTATAGTTCCTCTGACATACATTATCTTTTTATGCTAACTGGTGTATAAAACTGCACAAGGTGTTTGTTTTATAAATTTTAACGGCATTTTGTTCATGCATTATTCATATATTGAACATGCTCTATTTACTCATAACTCTAATAATCTTGTTATTGCTGTTATTGAATTCTTTTTAAAAAGTGTTGTTGAGCAAATATATCACATGATTTTTACCCAACAAATATTTGAATACATGAATTGGATAAAGTTACAAGGAAATAATAATGTAATTGTATTTTTGCGGCACAATTTGAAAAAAGTTTTATTTTCCTGTGAAGATATAGTTCTATTTAATGATAATAAGTTTAAACATAATTATAACATGAGAAATAAGAATGTGAGTATAGTTGAAAAATGTAATTTATATTTATAAAAAATATGAAGTATATTCTGTATAAGTTTGCTAATTCTTAATTTTAAAAGTAATGTAATACAAACATCTAGATATATTTCTATTATCAATTTTATAACAAAAAAATTGCTTAGTGTTGGTGAATATGTAAAAATAATTAATCTTCTGAAAAAATAAAATAAATCTAGTGTTTAATATGTATCTATTATAAGTACATATTCTGCTAATTTTTGTCAGACAAAAATGAACTGTTTATTTTGATAAGTATTTATTTTATATACAGCATATATATTTTGATATAAACTCTCTAAGTAAACTCTCAAGGCTAAATATGTTGTTATACTCTATTCAATGAACTTTATCTGCTGGTAATCTAAATATATACTGAGTGGTTTAAATAAAAAGTTGTATTCTATCAATCAACAAAGGAAGAAATTTTAATGTATACATATTTTAAAACATTGTTAGCTCTATTCAGGCAGTTAGAAAACAGAAATGAAATGAAGCAATTCTAATTGCATATTCAGACTCAAAGTTTTTGATCAGACTTGATCAGGGTATGATATTTCTTGTTTCCACTATATATTCGCCCGGTATTGAAGAATCTACATTATAGCAATTACATATTTGGTATTTCTTAAAAAATAATTTTGGGCTTTTCATCACTGGAAGAAAATCTCCAAATAAAAAAGTTATTAGGTATTTGTAAACGTTTTTTTTTATGAAAAAATATGTTTTTATGTTGTACATTTTCTTCTAGTGGCGAAATACCTAGAATTATTTTCAAGAAATGTACCCGCCACAGAGGTATAGACATTATTTAACTCTTAGGTAATCTGAAAATTAAAATCTCCATTAGAAACAATAGCCATTTCAATAGCTATCTTCATAAAAATTGAAGGGGTGGCTCCAATATCCAGGTAGCTTCACTTTTTTTAGAAAATGAGTTTTTTAATTAATTACCTTTTAAAAAAATTGGCCGATTGTTTCCTACAACAATCAGTTCTCTCGATATAACAGTAAATAAATGGCGACGTTAGTTGGAGCTGCCTTGCTCTGGGTTTGCAGCAGGAATCGGGCAGCTCTTTTGATTTCCCACAAATTTATTAAAATGGAGCTGCCTGGTTATTGCAGCCACCTCTTCAATTGGTTTTAGGAAAAAGTTTTAATGGTACCATGCCAGAAAACCGAGGCAGCACTTTCGTTGAAACTCGCGCGACCTAACTTTATAGAAAAAACGGCCATCTAAATACCGTATGATCGAATAAAAACAGCGTCCAGTTGGCTTGGAAATGACGATCGATGACATTTCCCGTATAAATTTACATATAAAATGACAGCGATCTTATTTCATAGCCATCGCTGACACCGTTTTTATTCGATCATACGGTAGTTACTTAGTAAAAGTAAATAGAATAATTAACAATAATTATGTTGTAGTATGTATAATGTGTGTAGTCTTCTACAACAATTATGTTACTTGCTTTGGAAACTGTGTCTTAATAACTATAGTTCCGACAAATTTATTTTATTATTACTTAGGTATATTCAAAGATTATTCATTAAATTTGAAAAGGTACTTGAAAAAGTTTAATAAGTGCAAATTTAAATCGAAAATAAAGTTAATGATAAAAATAAATTATTTACATGTGTTATCTGTGTAGTTTCATAAAATCAATGTTTTTTTATGAAAACGAAAAACAATTTCATACATATATATTTTAGATTTTTACTGAGGACTGAATTCTCAAAAAAATACCTTTTAAACTGAACAATCAGAATCAGATAACAACTTACCTATATCAAAATTTGGTAGTTCTGATAGTTTTTTTAGGGTTCCGTACCCAAAGGATAAAAACGGGAACCCTATTACTAAGACTTCGCTGTCCGTCCGTCTGTCACAAAGGTCTATCTTATGAACCGTTATAGCTAGACAGTTGAAATTTTTACAGATAACAAATACTAAAAACAGAATTAAATAAATGTTTATAAATAAAAAAATACTTTCACTAAACATTATCTTTGAAGTATGAATTTTACATAGAATCTTTCAAGTCCTCGGTGGCCACGTGGTTAAAGCGTTAGGACTTTACGCTGCTCACATTGGAGCTGTAGCAAGGCAGGTTCGAATCCTAGTCAAGGCGACTTTTTTTAATCGTTTTTTTTAATTTTTACATATTTAATTTTAGTTTTTACATATTTATTTTTAGTTTTTACATATTTATTATTGATTAATACAATTTTTAGTCATGTGTTTCTTCATTTTTTTTAAATTACTTATAGGCGCATTCAAAATTTCAGCTAAATCGGAAAAAAAGTTTATAGTAATATAGTGTCTAATGTATAGATAATGAATGGTACGGAACCCTTCGTGCGCGAGTCTGACTCGCACTTGACCAATTTTTTTGTTATTTAGAAAACCTATAAAAAGAAAAAATATAGAATGTGGGGATTCCAATAATACGCCAAAAATTTCTTTTCTAAAACAAGTATTTACGGAGACATATATTGGCTATAGTGAACATCCAATTCATCCTTTTTTTCAAAATTAAAAAACTTTTTATTATTTATTGTATCTATTTGATTTATTGTTATTGATTTATTTTCAGAATTATAAATAATGATACACCTGTAGCTGTGTCACAAGTTGATTCGGCTACTAAAGAATTTCAAGAAAATGTTCCACCATTATCGTCAGACGGGGCATCACAACATGAAGGAACTCAAAAAACCAACGTTAGCCACATTTTACCTGGAGCTAGCGAAGAGGAAATTAATGATAACATCACCATTTCAGTATCAGACAGTGAGAAGCATACAAATAACTTAACAGATAAGGTTGCCGAAGATATACCTTCATTTTCGGAATGGGCGCAGAAACAACTCGAAGAAGTTGAAAAAAAGGAACAGTCCAACTTTTCCACGCCAACTCAACAGTTTGCGAATACGACAAAACCCGGATCTGCAGCTAAGTTAAGGTGGAAGAATTACGCGTCGGTAGATTGCGGCGCTAAAGCCATATTAGCAAATAGCGAAGGCAAAAATTCGTGGGCAATATTATCTCCTTCCAGAGATGAATATAAACTTGATCCTTGTAATAGTAGAATCTGGTTTATTGTTGAATTATGCGAAGCAATTCAATTGAAGAAAATTGATATTGCTAATTATGAGTTATTTTCATCCTCACCTAAGGAATTTACAGTTTCAGTTAGTGATAGGTTTCCCACTAGAGATTGGTCTATTATAGGTAATTTTGAAGCAAAAGATGAAAGAGATGTCCAAAGTTTTGATATTAGTACTGATACATTTGGAAAATATGTTAAAGTAGAAATAAAATCTCATTATGGTTCTGAACATTACTGCCCATTATCACTATTTAGAGCCTATGGAACTAATGTGTTTGAGGTGCTTCAGAAAGATGACCCTGCTCATGAACAACCTATAGAAGACGACGATGATGATGATGAAGCACTGGATAATGCTATTAAAAATGACGGTCAATCTGGAAATATATTAAGCTCAGCAACAGATGCCGTGCTTTCAATGGTAAAAAAAGCTGCTCAAGTACTTGGAAATAAAGTAACGAATGATTCTAGTCAATTAAATAATGGCACAAGTTCCGAAATATCCATTATGAAAAGTTGCAGTTCTCCTAGTCATTATGTTGTTTGTAACAATTGTTCTGATTTGTTGTTTGGAAAAATATTTGAGCTGTTGAGTTGTAAGCAGGAGGAAATTAAAAACCTAGTCAGAATTCCTTTTGTAAAACAATCTTTGATAAGCTCGGAGGTATGTAAAAGTTATGGATTTCATCTTGGTGACAAGTCCAGTAAAATCAGTTTAAAAACCTGTCCAGAATGTGTAGTTTCGTTCTTTCCTCCTCATTATATTGGAGCCATGTGTAATGTGTTAGCAACCATACAGAATAAAGTACTATACAATACAAGTTATCAATATGTAAATATTACTGAACCTACTGCAAAGGAAGTATTATCTGATATGGAGGAAGAATCGAAAATAAATTTGACAGAGATTGACTCTAAACAAAATAGTATTGAATATACTTTAACTCATCAGCCAACAGAACCTCTAAATGTAGATCAGTCAAATATAAATTCAAAAGCTAGTTATTCTACTGATATAACCTACACATCTAAAATAAAACCTTCAAAGTCGCTGGTAACAGAATTACCGGAACATTCAGAACTTAATACAGCATCAGCTAATATAGAAGAAGCTGCTGAACAAGTCAATAATGTCGAGCAACAAGAAGACCCTGACGTTTCAAATGTAGAACCAACACTTGTGGAGAGTACAACTGAAGTACTTCTTGAAGTAGAAACGACGGAGAGTAGTGGTGAAGATAACATGGACAAAATGATGACAGATTTCAGTAGTGAACCTAGTCCAGTTGTAAACACTGCAAATGCTGCCACTCTTCAGGGACAGAAGGAATCTGTCTTCTTGAGGTTGTCCAACAGAATTAAGGTACTTTTTTATTGAATTTATTAACATTTTTTTTATAAAAATTATGACCATATCTCTGCATCCCAGGGAATAAGCAAAAGATTATATTTATGACAGTGACAGTTTTGTAATTTTAATGTCAATGTAGTTCTGTCAAAGTCTGTAGTTCTGTCTAAAATGGTTTTAATCAAGAGGGCTATTTATTATATTTTTGCTGATATCTTCGGTTTGAAAAAAGGTATCAAGATGCGGTTTTTACTGAATTATTAAGCTTTTATTCCTCTTTACTACAATTTTTATTATTTATTTACTAAACTATTCGAAACGCTAAAAGTACTTGGAAGAAAATTATGATAAATGGAAAAAATGGTAAGATTTAACACCCTGTAGATACGGAACAAATCTGAATCGGACCTATATTGATATGAAAAATAAATCTTATTTTTACGTGAGAAATCTCCCCACGAGAGATGGCACATGTTTTTTGAAACACCCTCTATATCTACAATTATTATTATTAAAAATTACTCAATGTTGAGAAATAAATTAACCTCTTATGAGTTGAGAAAATATTTTATTTTGTTTTTATCACAAGTAAATTTAAGTAAGGCGCCATCATTCATATTGTTTTATCAAATTTATTTTGGGATTAAGATATCTATGATTTAGCGTTTTTTTCTAATTATCTTTAAAAATCCGATCGTATAACGAATCTAGTACTGTATGAGGTACACCATACAATTTATTTTTTAAAATAAATTGACGATTTTTAAAATTTTAGAAACACATAAATCTACCAGACTTAGCGTTTTCTTATTTCTAGAACATGAAACATAATATGCGCGTATTTAGAAAACAGCAGTAGTAGGACAATAAAACGTTTTGCATGAATTATAGCACAATATCCACAACTACGCACCTTTTATAAGAGATCTGGAAGGTTGATATCTCCGGATATTGTGTTATGATTCGTGTAGAACCATAAACCATTCTTCCACGTTTTGTTCTCGTTCTGATGATTTTATAATTATATTATACAGGGTGCATGGTTAGAATTGTATTCAGAAAACTTCAGCAGCATATTCTGCAGATAAAAATAAGCAAAAAAGTTCATATAAATTTATATCCTAAAATGCTTCGTTTCCGAGATACAAGTTTCATTATACATGAGAAATTTATTTTCGATGTCAATATGACTTCTTCTTGAAGGGGGCGTCACCTTCATGTTTTAACTCATTCGAAGAGTAATAACTTTTCGTCTGTACCGGTATAAAACTAGTGAGTGAAAAAATATACATTTCCTTAATTTTTTTACGTAAAAAATGTCTCTTGGTAAAAATCGCTACGAGAAACCGTTTTCAAGATATTTGGAATGGAAATAGTCAATACATGTCACATTATTGGCAAAAAATAAATATGTTGATTATAGTTATTTGACTGAAATAATAAATTTGAGAACTTTTTATTATATATCATAAATGTTTCTAGAAAAAAAATACGATAAAACAGTTTCTGTTGAATCTTTGGCACAAAAGTTATACATATTTCGATTCCAAATATCTTGAGAATCATTAATCGTAGTGATTTTTACTAAGATACCTTTTTTACGTAAAAAATGACGGAAATGTATATTCTTTCGCTCGGTAGTGTAATACAGGTACGGACAAAAAGTTATTACTCTTCAAAACAGCTATAAAGTACGTAGGTCTACACCCCCTACAAGTAGCAGTCATACTCACATCGAAATCGAATTTCTCACGTCAAAAAAGACCCAGTGACAAATTTTCATTCAAATATTGGCGTTACCCATTACCTCAGAAATTATTTGAAAAAATCGAAATAAATGTGAAATTCGAAACGAAGCATTTTAGGACATAAATTTATACGAACTTTTTTCTACTTATTTTTATCTGCAGAATATGCTGCCGAAGTTTCCCGAATACCATTCGGACCATCCTGTATAATATACTTTACCATGACCAACATGACAGACAGGCCAGAGACATCGATTTGTGACGTCACCGCACTGGTCCGGCTTTTGTATTGTGCCATATGGTACTGCACATAGGTTTTGCATAAATAATAGTATTTATTGATAGTTTTGCCAGATATAAATATGAAAAATATTATACAGAGAGGTATTAAAAAATAACATAATTGAATAGCATTAAAATTTAGATCTAAAGCACGAATATTAATATGAAATAAACTACAGCATAAGCTGAACAAAATAAAATCTAGATAATAAAAAGCGTGTCCTAAAATTGCGTTAGCGAGTATTCAGCAACTAGTAATAACATATAGTCTGTCCAACGACAAAATCCTTGACAGTGATAGATGTGTCTGTCATTTTAATTTCAAAGTAGTTTATTTTATTTTACAAAGAAATAAGTTGGTACAATTGGAACGCATAATTAATATATTTAAATTTTGAGTGACAAGTGATTACTTCAAAATATTGTAAAAAAAACTGTATAAAACTGAAAAAATCTAATCTTGGTTAATTAACTTTAATCTTAATGTTTTTCTGCAGCACTAAAATTTATTATTTACCTATTGTGTGATGTTATTTTACAGATACTCCAGTTTTTGGTACCATATACGAGATGGTATACATCTTTATTTGTGGCTAATACAACTTTCTGGTCATAGTCTCTGACAAGCTGTGTCTCTGGCGGTCTCTGTGCACCGAATATTAACTGTAAACTATGGTCTGGGTCAACACTTAATTTTCCCTACAGTTTTCCTCCACTTAATTTTTTTTCACACCAAGCACCAAACCAAACAAAACGACACAGTCCAAAATGCAAAATATTTATCATTTCTATTTGACATAATTTGACACAAAATTATAACCTATAATTTGGCAAGAATTTAACAATTCTCAAAAATCTTAAGTTGAGTTCATACGCATATGCGTCCGTTTGTCGTTCATCGTTGCGTCAAACCAATAATATTTAAATATGATCTGTCATTTTTGAAATAAACCAATAAAACTGGTTAAAAACAACAAGAGACGACGCATGACGTATTTATTTATAAACCCATCCATAGTTAACTTAAAAAATATTAGAAACTTTTTTTAGTGAAATAAATGGATTGGTATGGAAGTCATCTGCTTTTTTTCTGTCATCGTCTGTCGAAATCTTACCTGAGAAAAAAAACAGAGTATACCTGTGATAAAAAGTTTCCAAATATTAAAAAATTTGAAAACTATGCTTTTTTTTATATACTTTATTTACTTTTATATACTTTAGTTTATCGACAAGTTAAGAAAATATATTGTATATGATAACGGCAGAATACATTTTAAAGTTTAATTAAAAATAATTGTAAGTAATTTGCCTAACATATTTAAAAAAATGTGGGTATCAGATAGAATTAACTATTAACATTAAGTAATTTGTAGTTCGATGTTCATCAAGTAACCATCTCCATAAATCGTAAATAAAAAGATAAAGATATCATTTTTTTTATATAAAATACTGAAATAAAGTACAAATTCATTTAATTTCTTTAAAATATATTGCCATTTCATAATAATAATAATACTTTTCAATATTTATTTCATCCTGAATTTCCAAATCTTGTTTTCTTTCATCGGGACAGATACTAGCTTTTGTCAAAGCCCTGGGACTGTATGATGAGTTATTTTTTCTCTTTATGGGAACATGCACAGAGGGTCCATAAGAGGGTTGATTTGGAAAAATTGTAGGCACAGCATGTTCTGTAGGTTTTGGACGTGACCTAGTTACAGTTAATATTGTTGGGAAAGAGAATGTAGACAGATCCTGAGGACTTATTATAATTGCTGCTACAAGGCACAGGCACAGAACAATGTCGCGGAATTTTTTATTTCACAAAGTAAAAATAAAGAAACGAAAACTGTTTTACATAAAAATACACGTCACTTACGTTGGTTTAACACTATACACTAACACTAACGCCTATTAATTATGTTTTTATATAAATTCCCCAACTTTTTCCTAGCTCGGACACACAGCCGGCATCGCCGGTGTTACTATAATTTTTATCGAAAGTATGGCTTTTTCGCGGGTACGATGTTATGAATCGGATCTAGATAGTTCACTCTTCACTCAAAATTATTTTTTTCTCAAAAATTATTTTTTTCACTCAAAAAAATTATTTTTTTCACTGAAAATTATTTAGCGTTTCTATGCTAATAAAATTATTTAGTATAATATTATTGGCATAGAAACGCGTAAAAAACACAGATTTGTTGCGAAACTAATGAAAACAATTGGTTTGTTTACGACTACTAATTCTGGACCACTTCGGTAGAACTGTCAAAACAGTCAGGCCTTGAATATGACGTTAGCCACGACTTTACCTTTTCTTGTTAACTATAAAAAACTATCCTAACCTATCCATATTATAAAGTAGGTATTGAAATAAACCGTAACTTTGATGTGATTTTAACTTTAACCATTTGAGAAACTTACCTCTGAATCTAAGTTATTCCAATTTTCTCTTGGTCAAAACTATGTGCAATATGCTTTAAGAGGTCTAAAAACCTTCCTATCGCTACTATTTGCATGTATTTCAAAATTCTGCTTCGTTGTAACTTGTCTTGTATAAAAGTAATTTGTTTTAGGCATTGGAAAGAAATATGTCCTTGTCCGGACAATACCTGGAAGAACTTAGTAAACGATATAAAAAGCAAGTCGAGGAGATGCAACGAGTGTTGGAAAAAACCGAAAACACTTTAAAGAAGGTTACCGAAAAAGACGAGGAAAGGCTTAAACAACTAGAAGATAAAATCGATTCCTTAACCGTCGCCGTAGAAAGCCTGTTATCCGAACGCGACAGTTGGAAAGTTGCCTCTTACTGGTTGTTTTTTGCCGGCGGTGTTGTATGTCTTATATATTGTTACCAGAGATGTTCAACACCGAAATCTACGTCACCCGTTGGTTCAAAATACGCTCAAATACAGCGCCGCAATTCTACAGACTCCGTTATAAGACAGAGCCCTAAGAAAAAGAAACGGAGACCGAGCGATCAAGCGTTGAAGATTGTCACGACAGCGGCTTCAGGCGACCAAGAACGTTCGAAGAAGAGGCGGAAGAAATCCTCGATCCAGACCGACTCGTTGGACAGCACTGAGAAATTTTTACCGAGATGCACGTCGAGCAAAATCTGGTTGCCGAAATCTCAAAGCGCCGATTGGGTGGAAAGCAGGAAAGTAATCGAAGACATTCCATTTGTTTTAGACGAGTGTGACAATTCAACTCTGGAACCGTTGCCTTTCACAACCGAAGTGGAGGTGATAAAGGTGCCTCCCTTTGTGAACACTGCGACCAACGCGAGATTGAATAGGTCGTTTAAAAGCAAGAAATCGCAAAGTGTGGAGGAAACGCGAAGTCGACAGCCCAGTCCGGTATCGTCGATCACTGGAAGCGTATCCAGTGGTACGGAGCGAACTCCAAAAAAAGAAAAAAAGGGGTTCAAGAAATTATTTAAAAGGGTATTTTAGAGGTGTCGAATAACTAGTTAAATTATTATTGTGTCGATATATGTAGATGGTTAAGACTGAGTAGTAGCAAATTAAATTGCAAATTTATAAACGGAAATAATAAATTAGGCTTTTTTCTGAATAAAATATATCTCAATCCTTATTTTTATTAGTTTTTATTTATTTATTTATCTGTACATTTACTAGCTCTTATGTGTATAAAAATTTGGAATAAAGGCCGATTTATGAAAGAAAATGAATAGTTTTATTCAAATAACAAAATAAAAACCAATATTTAAATGTGGTAGATGGAGAACATTCCAATTTGGAGTCGTTCCTGCCAAAAATAAGATGTGGGAACTTTTGATTCTTGGACGAATGATGCATGTAAATTATTCACCAAAATGGAGTGGTTTCCATTTCTAAAAATATTGACCATTGTGTTTGTTATATTCCTAATATATTTATGCAGATGTGAGTAGTTATTTTATATCTGCTGCTGATATAAAACCACAAGATATTTGTAGTTAAATAACATATTTGTTCTTATCTACATACAGCTCATACTTTTAGTTCTTGATTATACTATACAATTAATAAATTATAAATTAGTTAATAGGTATATATTTATTATAAAAAATCTGATGAATATTTTGTCTTGGTGTTGCGAGAGGATTGCTTTAATAAACCAGAATACTCGTTCCAGAGTTTGTTTAAATGTTCTGATTCGTATCCTGTTTCGCCCTTGATTTTTTTCTGCACCAGTTCAAGAACAGCAACTAATAAAAATTCAATGTTCTTCAAAATAAACCTTTTTTGCTCTATTTGTTGCTCATTATTGTAAGAAACAACGTTGTGCCTCATTTGGGACTCAAAAACAATATAGAGCGTTTCTTCTATCACGTGTAGTAATTCAGTGGTTTTCAGTTTTAGGCAATCGTCAACTAATGTCAAATAAATTTTTGTGAAAGCTACATTACATGATGTTAATTGAAGCCACACGTCTCCAGTAACATAGAAGTCTAATTTAAGTCCCATATTGCTGTATTCTTGTAGATATCTAAAAGTTAAATATTTCAGTAATAGATGATAGCAAATGCCAAACAAAGTACTGCAGACGTCACCAGTGTGTTAAAAAACCTTTATTCTAGGGATTTAGGTTTTAAACACACAAAAAAATAGACTTCTAAGGAAAAAATGGTTCCAATGAAAGCGAAACATGTTTTTTCGGGTAGATAAGTGATGACGGCTGTTTCTGAGATAACTGTGTCATGCTATTCGATTATCATCAGAAAGGGAATACCATTACAATTGATAAGTAATAATCTACACATCATTAAATGGCAGGAAGAAGAAAATTGTAGAATTAGTGCTACATCTGCAGAAAAAAATTTGTTTCGCCAAGATAAGCCATTATTTCACAACTCTGCAATTGCCTTGGCGTTACTTATTTTTAGTTCCCAAATTGAAAGTTGCACTTGGAGGACAAAATTATTCGCCGAGCATGGTTCGTTACCACCTTAAATAACTATTTAGCTTACATAGACGCTAACTACTATTTGGACGGATTGATGTAGTGGAAGAAAGGTTGGGAGAAGTACAGAGCTTAACAAGAGTTTGTAGAAAAGTAAAAAAAAAGTTTGGCATCACTGTAAGGTGCAGACTTTTCAAGTAAAATTCGCGAATATAATAAATGTGAGTATTTTGCTTTAATCCCACACCTTCGCCTAGTCAAAATGCCGGTCGTCGCATCTCTATAAAATTGTGAATATATCAAATTTTAATTCATATTGTTCTATTATTATCGTTCACTCGGCGTTGCAACTTTGCGAATATTTGTCATTTTATGACTGGTTAAAACAAATATGAAACTCAAAACCGCAAACACATTTTGGCACCCCACGTTGGGCTCCATACATTGGTAATCAGCACTAGAAAAACTGAATCACCAAAAAATAGAAGAATGGTAAAAATAGGAACGGAGTTAGTATTCAATTCGACCCCTGTGGCAGCGAACAAACGAAAATCGCTTTCAATTTTCTGAAGATTTTGCTAACTTATACTTTCCTAACAAAAACCTACACCATTCCTAACACAACATTGATGTTTTGTTTGTCAATATTGCAAATACACTTGATGACACGAGCGAAACTTTGTTAGGTATTAGAAATAAAGCCAATATGCACTTACTTGGCCAAACTGGCTTTTGATACTAAATTCATTGGAATCCATTTGTCTTCAGAGGCTCTCAACTTCATTGAATCTACAAGTTTCTCCCTTGTATCTCTCAATGCTTTTACAAATGAAGATCTTAATGCCCCATCTAACTGATAACGAAAATCAACACCGTATGAACATAACCTTTCACACTGAGATCTTACTAACAGCACGCATTCAGTGATTGTAGAAAGACTAGTTTGTGGCATAAAAACTTGTTTGATAAAATGTGTAGTGAATAGATTAAGTTCTCCACTCGCCCAGACTACATAAGCTGAGGCACAGTCAACTGAATCAGGAAAAGCTCTCAAAAATTCCTCTGACATATGACACATATTAGTAAAAACGACACTAGCCAAATGCCTGACATACATTGTCGTCGAGCCTTCTCTTTTTACTCTTTTACATTGAGTTTTCAACATACTACTACATAATTTTAAGAACAAGTCACATGATTGAGTAGATCTTCCCAACTGATTAAGCAATCTCACAGCTCTTCTTGTAGCCCTTAATCCACCTTGTAGTGATTTATCAGGGTTAACTTCTAGTTCCTTCATCAGGGTCTCTATTAAACTGTCTTGCTTTTGTTCAACTTTTTTCTTAACATCTATGATAACATGATCGAGTTCACCATTTTGTACTGTAATTTTTGTTATGTAATTTTGGGCTTTTTGTAAGTAATTGGCTGCATCTTCAAAATGTCTTTGGGCAATGCAGACATCAAGTTCATCAGCTACATCCAAAAACCATTCAGGATGTATTATAGTAACTTCTTCTGGTTTATTATTGATACTTAAATCAACCGACGTTGACCTAGAGGGTGACAATTTTTCTGACAAAGTCGATTCCCTTTTTTGTTGTTCAGCAGCTAACTTTGTTTTTTTGGCCTGATCTATTTTATCTAACCATTCTTTCTGCAACAGTTTGACTCCAATTAATAGTATGCCTATTAAATGAGTAAAAATCACCTCAAGTGGATCCCCATTTCTCACTTGATTATGATATTTAAGTTTACATGTTCTAGTGTAAAGTAGATACCAGTATCAATGCTGAAACAGGTCCTTTAAACTAGTTTTAACAATTTTTTACAATGAAAACCTTCTGATTCAATTGAAATCAAAGTTTATATGTGTACATACAAATACTAGCGCCTTCCTTAGATGACGTCACGCGTAAGCCTTAAGGCCTTCTTTTTGGGTGGTAACGGTCAAAGAGAGCGCTCACCCCTTAGAGATAAATAACTAAATTTGCTCTAGCTTTCAATTTTTTATTTGTTGACTTAAAATTAATTAAAAATATAATATTTAATTTTTTTGAATATTATGTCAAAATAAGAATATTAATCCTTAAAATTTCATTATACAGGGACAGGCAATAGTGCGTCGGGCATCTTTAGCTACTAGAATAAAAAACTTGAGAATTTTGTTTAAGTGCAAGCCTAAAGTATGTACGAAGATGTATTTCAGGAAAATATTTTAATTTCTATAGCATGGCTCAAAAAAGTGTAAGTGAATCGGGATGATTTTTTTAAATGGAACACCCTGTACATTATTTTTTTATTAGATGGAGAGTTGGAAAATGAATTGTTTTTTTGTACCGTATGATCGAATAAAAACGGCGTCAGCGATGGCTATGAAATGAAGATCGCTGTCATTTCATATCTAAAATTATATGGGGAATGTTATCGATCGTCATGTCCAGGCCAACTGGACGCCGTTTTTTTTCTCGATCATACGGTATTTAAAGTATTTCAAAAATTTTAATGGTTTTTTGCAGATACACGCAGTGTTATTTCATATGGCTCTTTCAACTGTAAAATACGAGGGAAAAATCCTTAGATTAAGGAAAAATCACTGGGTGGCTTTGATAAAAATTTACTGTGTAAATGCCATATAAAATATAAAACCGCGAATATCTGCGAAACCGTTAAAAATTTTGAAATACTTTAAATACAAAAAATGTTCATTAATTTTCCATCTGTTGAAAAAATAATATACAGGGTGTTCCATTTAAAAAAAACGAAGAAAAGTTATTTTATATTTTAGAAAGTTTGGCGTAGAATTTTGAACATAAAGTAAGTACAGACTATTTAAAGTAAATATCCAATAAAGTTTTGATTTCATGACTATTCTTGTATTTTTAATAATTTTTTTAGAGAAGGCTGAAAAATATATTATTTCTTATTTAATTATTAATATCTCTGAAACTATCAAAATATATTTACTCATATCTTAGGATTATGTAAAGTAATCTGAAAGGAAGCCAAAAATGAAATAATATACAGGGTGTTCCATTAAAAAAAATCATCCCGATCCACTCACACTTTTATGAGCCACCCTATAGAAGTTAAAATATAATCTTTAACTACAAGTCCGAAAAATTTTCATTGTAAAAAAATTGTTAAAATGTAAAGCTGAAAACTTCTTTTTCGGGGATTTATTACTGGTATTGTCTAGAGTAAAATTTTCTTTCAGAGTATTAAATTTGACTGATATAGTTTTTTTAATTTAAGATTTATTTTATTATTTGAAGAAAAAGTTTTTTTTGTAAATTTAGATTGGTTTACTTAAATTATTATTTATATTATTAAACTATTATTATTATTATTAAATTAATTAACAATATAATAATAGATAGATATTAAACTTTGAATTTCTTATCAAGGAATATTAAACCATAAATGTGTAAAATTTTATTATACATAATTATCACTAATAGTGCTTGAAAATCAATTTTTAATTAAAATGTTTCCTGTAGGTTTTTTAAATTAAAATAAAACAATTGAAATTGTTTTTGGAGCTTTATTACTGATGGTGTTTATATTAAAACTATGAACTTCAATTCCACAGTCGAGTAGAGAATGAGAGATCTATACAAGGTGATCTTGAGAAGGTGACACTTACCTTGCTTGTATTTGATGAACACTGAAAAACTCTAGTATCAGGAAAAATTAATAATTTAAAAGCATGTTTGATATTGCCCAAATCACGAACATTTACAACAGCTAAACTACCCAATTCGTACATACTTTCAAATGCATACCTCATTATGCCTCGACTGTTTGAATTTCTAATTGTTATCATTAACCCATCATTAAATAAATAAACATGCACAAATTTCAAAGCCGTACTTTCAGTAGGATCAATTTCCAGTAAGTCACCTTCAAAAAGTAAAGTTCTACCAGGCACTTCCAGTAAATCCTTACAGTTTTCTACTTTTTCAAGGATCATTGATAGTTTTTGCTTGTTTTCCTCCTCAACTTCTTGCTCACTTAATTTATTATTAGTTTCAACATTAACGTGAGTACCATCTTCTAAAATTGATGTAGCAGATAAGGCATTTAATAAAGATTTTTGCTCGGAAAGCAAATGCGATAATTGGTACATTTCACTTTCTAAGTGAGAAATTTCTTTAGCAGTTTCAATAAACTGTACATAATTCTGATACACGTTTCTCTTCAAACTGCTACTGGTTTCATCTGCTAAAGCTTGAATTTTCTTTTTAATATTCTGCAATTCGGAACCACCTACATAATTTTGCGATGTGTCTCGTACATACTTTTCGGCAACAAATTCTGGATCACCGAATAATTGAAAACTTGGTTCTTTCAACTGTTCCATGTTAATAGTATAAATTGTAAGTAAGTTTTCCGCATAAATGGAATAGTGAATAGAATGAGAAGTATATTATAAATAGCAGTCAAAATGCTAACACAAATATTTAGTATTTAACTAGTTTCTAGTTTTGACGTTTAAAAATTAGGTTAAATTTGTTTTTGTGCTATAAATTTTTGACAAGACTACTTAACTCGAAATCATATATAATTTCAAAACATATATGATGTAGGTTCATGATAATTCCCATATATAATTTATGTTAGTTTATTTTTTGACGCGGATTTACGAGTTTTAAATTTCGTGTTTCGAAATATAGGATGTAAGCAATTTAAGCGGTAATGGTGTGGATCCGGTGGCTGACCTTGAAACGAGTTTTTGCTGCATATAGTCACTGACACTACGCATGCGCACATCTTCGATGTTGCCAGATTGCAAGTTATTTTGGAATTATTTTCAGTAGAAAACAAATATGTGCTTTTCAGTGTTTTTTTTTGTCAATATATACCGTATGATCGAAAAAACGGCGTCCAGTTGGCTGGGAAATGACGATTGGGGACATTTACCATATAAAATGACAGCGATCTTCATTTCATAGTCATCGCTGACGCTATTTTTTTTCAATCATAGTACGCCGGTATATTATTTATATTATTATTTTAATATTTCGCACAACACGTGAACGCTTATTATGTATTTTCATAGTCAATAAAATTAAAAAGAAATAAAATTCTAGATTCCCATAATTAATCTAATTGCTCTAGATTGTTATACTATGTTTAAAAAGTGCTTTATTAAAAATTCGGGAAATTAAAAGGGATGTGTCCAAGTTTTTTCTTTTTTTTAAATTTTTAATTGATGTAGCTCCATGTCATGTTCATAATAGTTTTTTTTAAACATTCCATCAAAACTACGGAGGCCTTAAAAGGTCTTTTAGCCTCCGTAATTAAAATTGTAGAATCAGCTTCAGCAACATTAACTGTTACCTTGTTTAATTCTGCTTATACATATATTGCATTAATTTTTCTGCTACCTTAAGATTTCTCTATTCTTATACCTAATTTATGTGATTTCTTAGCATATATGATTTATAAACCATATTTTTCCTAATGGAAGGATGGAATAGGATATGCAAAATTAAGATATTTTAACATTTATTTCCCAGACAAAGCATAATATAGTATTAAGATTAAGACATAACAAATATTATAAGAAAGATCTTAATATAAATCACAAACTAACTAAGTCTTAATTTGGTCTTGTGTAAACATAGGTATAAAACTAATAAGATCGAAACTCAACCTTCACCATATTGTCAAGATTTGGTAATAGGAAACAAGAAATTACAGTAAATTAAGAAAAGAATATCAAAGTACACGATATTAAATACTGTAATGTATTCTACGACAGAAACCATCTCTCTTCTAATGAGAAAAAGATAAAACATAAAGCTTATTGAGCTTATTTTAGTCTTATCAACACACTCTTCGATAAAATATATGTCTAAAATTGCTATTAATCCACTAACTTGATATTTTTAAGAAATTATGATACAAATATTTTAATCAAAGTATATTTATATTTAGTAACATTATAGGTAAAATGTTACGTCTATCTCCCATTGGCGTGTATTGTTCTATAAGACTCGTCATGGTAGTACTTCAATACATCAAATACATATAATCAAAACTATTGTTACCTGTAAATAACTAGAAATTAAATAACTTGAAAGAAATAAAATAATTCTAATAAGTTAGTTTAAAACCATTAAGAAAAAATCCGTAAATGATAATTTTTAATTCTAATGTAAATATATAAATAAATGTTATCATTATTACAATTTTATTAATTCATAATACTTTCATTTCACAATCTTTATTATCCTTCTTACCTTAATTTTGGATATCAAGATAAATCTGAAATTATAAAATTAATTATAGAATTTGTATTAGGTATTAACACTGAAAAAAAATTTTTCAACTGCAAATAATTCGAAAATAAACTGCAATTTGGCAACATCGACGATGTGCGCTTGCGTAGTATCGACGATCAAATGCAGCAAATATGGGCTTCAAGGTCAGCCACCGGATCCACACCTTTACCATTTAAGCTAATGCTGCTGCAAAAATCAGACTCGATTAAGGCGGATTCTGTTTCTACATTTGCTGTCCTCCATTCGCGAACTTCAAGTTCCGGGCTTTACGCCCTGGGGCCACTCGAGAACGGTTCTGAAAGGAGCGGTGCGCGATAGCCTGGTGCCTCCATATGGCGCGGAACAGTTCTGGAACTTTATGACTCAATTGAATGGGGTGAGAGTATCGCGTTCTTGAACAGTTCAGAGCTGCTCAACGGCGTGAAAGGAGGACAGCAATTGATGAACATTCAAACGGGGGTGGTAACCCTACTACCAGGCCGAATAATCCTAGCAGCTTAAGCCTTCAAATACTAAAATATTAAAAAAAGGAAGAATTAATTTTGAATTGACAGCTGTAATTGACAATTGACAGTATTTAACGGTTTATTGAAAAACAAAATTTTTGAAAGTTTTCAATTAAAATAATAAAATATATAAATAATAAAATATTTTATTCGACATCGTAAAATGATCGTGAAAGTTGTTGTGCATAGCAGGGAATTATCATAACTGTGGAGAAAAATTTTTTGATTATTTTTAAAGAAGTATACATTTTAAACTGTTCCTTGTTTTGTTGGATACAAAAATGAGAAGTTCAAGATCTTTATCAAACATACCGTTGCCGTCCAATTTCCGAAGAGATTCTTCTAAAAATAGGGACCGACCTAAATCAGTCGTTCGGTAATTATTAGTATTATACATCTTTTTTTATTATTTTAAATAATTTTCAACTCTTCATCTATATACTAGTGGAAATATTTTGAATTGTTTTGTCAATTATACCTATATACTAATTTCTTTCAGTAATAGTCGGGAAAAAAGCGCCGATTTACTGACTCCCTTAGCTTACAGAACATCTGATAGAAAGTGGCTATTTGAAAAGCAAAGAAACACTCCGTCAACACCATTTTCTGCTTGCAGTAGTCGCTATAGGCCTTCCAGTATAGGATCAAAGGTTGGATCAAACATTAGACAGTTAGAGAGTTAAAGCACTGCACAAAACTTATACATAACTCTTGAGATGTAATGCAGAGATTTACGTTAAGCCTTTGGTTACATTGTCATGTAAACAAGGGTTAAAGCAAATATTTTGACATACATAATGTAAAGAGTACATTTGTATTTCTAAATGGTTTTGTGAAAGGATTTTTTGTATTTTTAAAACTGAAAATTTATATTTTTATTCCAATGATTCCCCATTAAATTTATAAAAATCTAAAAATAAAAAAATCATTAATGGAAATTACGATATTATCTGGTTTTCAGACTTGGTTTATTTGAGTTATTTAAGAAATTTTGGGGTCTGTGTAACAAGAAAGTGTAAAAAGTAAAAAGACCTATTTTAATATAATAAATTGATCATTTGATAGGTAATATGTAAACTTCTAAATTGTTTCTATACTTGTCCTTTAAATATATATTAAAAACGAATGGTGAAAGATTTTTTAAACTCACCCCCCAGAAGGGGCGAAAGAAATAAATAAAATTATTTTTTCGAAATTTCGGCGAAACTGTATGAACTAGAAAAAAAGTTAAAATAAAAATTGAGGAGCGTCAAATTTTACATAAAAATTATCTCTATACTCTTTTTGCTCAGATCAAAATTAACCCAGATAGGGTGGCTAGAAGCCAGGGAAGATAGAAAAATTATAAGTTGAAAAATTCATATATTTAAAATTTTTATTCAATTTGTTTGGAAAATTATAATTTTAAATTGAGATTTTTTTAAATTCACCAGGTGAAAAATATAAATAAAGTGTTTTTTTCCAAATTTCAGAGAAACCGTAAGGACCTGTTTCAATAAAAGTTGTCCCCTAGCTTCTAGTCTAGTAGAGTTAATTTTGATTTGAGCAAAAAACATATAGAGATTATTTTTATGTAAATGTAGTTCTTACCGTTTCTCCGAAATTTCGAAAAAAATAATTTTATTTATTTCACCCCTTCTCAGGGGTGAATTTAAAAAAAAATCTTTCACAATTCATTTTTAGATTTTTTAAAGTAACTTATATCAAAAATTCAAGTTTTCACCAAAACTTTGTATTTGAAGGCCTATTTTCTTGGACTATACAAGACAACCACAGCTATAACATAAGTTTCTTGTGCTTTAACTGCCTAATTACTTTATTATCTATCTAGAATTACTATATTTATTTTTTATTCATTTATTTTATTAATTATTATTTTCATTATTATTATTTACTTCACTGAAACAGAAATCTAAAAATAAAACAATATATTACAATATTTCACGCTCTATCTAGGCAAATTCCAATACACAATATTCCCTTTTTGTTTTTAGAACTCTCTCTCTGTCACAAAGAGAGATAGATCGCCAAATGTTCCCTCTTTGCATAAATTAATGAACGATAAAAAGTGGCTCCATGAACAATATATTAAAGTAAGTATCAAGTTTTTTTTTAAATTGCTTTAAATACTCATATCACCTTCCAGGTTCAGGGATTTATTCAATCTAGTGGACTTTTCCCTCCTGATCTTGCAGGGATGATTAAACCCCCAACAATAAAAACTTTTGTAGAACTGATGTCAATATTATTAAAGGAAATAATATCTACTGTACCAATTAATTCCCAAAACTACACCGAAATCGTTTTGTCAAACTTAAAGTTGTTGAGATATCCAGGTTCGATTACAATGTCAACAATTAAAAGTGGTATGTATTTATGTACTACATTGAATAAAAAGACTGTTATTTTAACAAAATTAGCGACACTGCAAAATGATTTTAAAACAGCTAACTTCAATTCCTGTTTATTAGTGACATTCTAGTTATTTTTGACATTTAAGTTAAAATATACAGTAGGGTAAACTCAGTAATTTGTTGGTCTTCTTTGCCAATAAGTCAGCGCCGGATCTAGGGGGGGGGGGCAAACTGGGACACAGGCCCCCGGCGACAGTTCCAGGGGGCGCAAAAATCATACCTAATATAAAGGCGGACTCTCACGACTCGTCTACTTGGCAAGTACGCCAATATTTGCGTACTTGGCAAGTATTCCCACCATCCCCACTTTGTAAACAACATTGGCAAGTGTGGCGCTCACACGACGCAACGTGTCCATTTCAACAAGTAAGCCAGCACAAACATTGTTTAAGTCCTTGGCAAGTAAACAGTATAGTCGCATCCATGGATACCGGTCGTCCCGAAATTGTCGTTGCTAGTGACTTTTTTTAAGTTCTTTTACTGTACACTGCAATACAATTTTTTTTTTTATGTTTAGCCATCCATATGAAGGGCTCATTTTTATCCATAAATTCATCATTTGAAGACTACACAGGAAAAACCAGCTTTGTCCATTTTAATTGGAGCCGAGAAAAATGCAATTTAGTGTTTTTAAACAAATGTGTTAGTTTCAGTTGAATAATTAGAAAAATATATGTTACTACCAATTCTGAATTATTAATACTGTTATTGCCATATTCTGAAATACCTAAATTAACATGTCAAAATGCAAAACAAAACAGGAGAAAAATCAGGAACGTCCAATTAAAGGTTGTATAAAACCTAAATCTGAACTATTATATTTTTGTTGTAGGAAGAAAATTAATATTTAAGTAGGTTTTTATTAGAATACATAAATTTACTACATGTAATACTAATTGCAAGATGCATGCTTGTCGCCCATGCGTAAGGACATCTCTGGTTTTTGCCATTTACGCGTGGACTACTCTGGTTTTTCCTTTGTACGGCAAAATAACCAAAAAAAATCTCTAGTATCTCTGGGACTAAGCGTATTATTGCTTTCTTTTTTTTCAAATGACGCTAACATTTGCCTATAAAGTTGTATCGCTATCTTAATTTCTATGAAAATGTGACATCTGTTTTTTCCCGCGTAGTCTTCTCGCTTATTGCTTGTTTTAACGTTTTAAATTATCCGCAATTAACTCGAAAAACACTACGATCCGGAAATAAACGGGACATACGCTATAACAGTACAATTATTTGCGCAGTCGTTTGAGCGCCTCGGCAAGTATAGCCAAGGCTGGGCTACACTTAGCAAGTGTACGAAATTGTGATCCTTTGACTCGGGCTATGTTTACCGACAGAGAGTGGGAACGCGACAAATAATTGCACAAGGAAACCGTTCTCACAACGAGGGCGAGTATATTCCAATTACAAATATTTGTCAAGTACAGGAGTCGTGAATGCGCCTTAATATGATTCATAATAAAAGACTTGCTCCACAACCACAAAGCACCTAGCATGCCGCTCACGTTCTTCTATAAAGTATTCATTTGAGTTTAAGAGGCCCAGTTAGTTTTTGAACACACCCTAAGCGCTCGTTCTAAAATGCACAAACGAAACTGCCAAAAGGGGGTTGACTTAGCTTCCATCTTTAACGTATGAATATCAAAAACAGTATTTGATTTCTTCCTTAGTTTCGAATTTATTTCATAATTTATCATAATACAAAAAAATCTATGGAGATATGCTTTTTACTATGGAAAATATACTTATTTTAGCAAACACCATGCACGGCTGGCCTCATTTTATTACAATAGTATCTTGGTTGATAGACAGAGTTACTTTAAGCAGAACTGTAGTAGTAAATTATGACGAAGAGTCTCAAAGAGCAGCCGCATGTCAAGACATACTTTGGGAATATAAGATCACACGTTACAATTATTTCTCTGAGGGTGAAGTATGTTGGTTGGCATTTTATTTTCAGGGCGAACATTGTTCTGAAAAAGCTCCACATCAGGATTCCTATTTGGTTAGGATTCCTAATTAATCGGTTTTTCTCATCACTAAAAATTATCTTTCCAAAAATATAACACACTTGATATTTTGTTCGAGTCCCCTTCGAAATACAGAATTTTTAAAAGTTCGCCACTTTTAACTAGTAGGCTTTGATGATCTGCCCCTAATGGAACTCGAAAAAGTTATCACCAATTTTTTGTAGCCAATTTCGAGAATAATTGAATAGTCCCAGTCGTTGGCCATCGAGGCCGCCGCGCCGGACTTAGCACCTATGGATTTTTATCTTTGCAGAAGACTAAAGGTTCTTATTTTAAAATTGCCGTATAATCTAGACAATTAGAAGTACGTAACGGTTATGCGAGGGTATCTTTCACCCTCATTGAATTAATGAATTCCGCGAGAAATATTCAGAAACGGTCCCATCTGTACAGGGTGGGTCAAATTCGACGCTTTTAAAGGAAAACACCCTTTTCTATATGAAATAGACGAAAACTAGTTTCGGTGTCTGGAGCTCAGTTTTTATTAAAAACATGAGGGTGAAAACCGCACATCGATATCTGTTACCATTTATGAGTTACGGGGTGTTTTTCAAAAATGTGCATTTTTAACAAATCGCCGTAACTTTTTTGCTGTGGAAAATTTTGTATTTTTATGAAAACATTTCCAAAGCACCTTTTTACGTAGAATTTAATGGTTTAACTATATTTTTTTTTAAATTAATAATATAATCCCCAGCGGGTAACTTAAATTCCAGTAAGTGAGCCCGGCGCCGAATATGTTCATGGTTGGCAACAATGAATTTAAAAATCGCGTCCTCGATTACGTAACTAAAAGTTTAATTGGTATCCAATATACGTTGCAAGCCTAGGAGTATTAATTATATGTTTGATTCACACAAAATGTGTAATACTACTGTCTGTATATTATACAAAAAAGACTGGAATGATATCATGTAGCAACTTGCAACTGCGTTAATACGCCTGGCGGCGACCGCTTCATACTCTTTCAGATATTTAGCAATAAAATAAAGAAACCTGTTATTTTTAAGCTGTTATTTTAAGCTGTTTTTTATAAATAACTATAACAGTTTCAACTGTTATCTAAAAATAACAGTTTTGCCCATCACTATACTAACATACCAAATCTCATTTTTTTTATCTAAAAAAATAAAAAAGTAATAGGGGTGAGCCACTTTTAAGACCCACCCGGTATATACGGCGTCGTATAAATTTGCTACCTGCAATGTATGTAGAAAATTCGCTCGGCTTTTTATCGAGTATGTCACATTAAAATCGGATTTCAATTTATTTCATTCTAGGATCGCTTGCGTTCGTCGCCTGGTACTCGAGCGATGTCGGTTATTTCAATAATCGAGTACTCGAGCGAATTTTCGCTCGATTTATCCCATCACTAGTAATTTTAAGTTCTTGTCAGTGAATTTAAAGTATACAAGGTGTCCCAAATAAAAAATAATTTTTCTGTTGATAACTCTTAAATTATTAATTTAAAAAAAAATATACTTAATCCATTAAATTCTACGTAAAAATATGCTTTGGAAATGTTTTCATAAAAATACAAAATTTTCCATAGCAAAAAAGTTACAGCGGTTTGTTAAAAATGCACATTTTTGAAAAACACCCCGTAACTCATAAATGGTAACAGATATCGATGTGCGGTTTTTACCATCATGTTTTCGAATAAAATTGAGCTCCAGACACCGATATTAGTTTTCGTCTATCTCTTATTGAAAAGGGTGTTTCGCTTTAAAAGTGTCCATTTTGGCCCACCCTGTACATCGAAAATATTTTTAGAATGTGCGTTATCATTACCCGCATATTTTGTAAAGAAAATTGGAGTGAAAAACTGAAACAGGAAAATTGATATGAAACTTTTTCGGAATAGTGGCCCAACCTGTATACCGTGCTGGCAACTGTTACTTTTGGGTCAGTATTTACATGTGTGTGGAAGTAAATCGCATAGAGATCTTATTAAGTCGGAGTGAGAGAAATGCGACGGTGTGCTGTTGCGGCGTTGCCGGTACGCCTTTCCCTATCGAGAGAAGTAAAATCACGATCGCAAAGCTCTTATTTTTAAAATACTTTTTTTTTTGAAAAGTTAACTAGATAAAATCATTAGATATGTTTATGAGCATCTGAAATGGAATTATAAGAATATCGTTAGAGTGTCCATTGTTTTATAACGAGAAAACGTCAGTAATCGCGATAATTTAAAAACTCAACTTTTTAACACATAATACGCCATAACTTAAGCACTTTAGATATTGAAACCTTTTTTTATTTTAAAGATCGCATCTTTTACAATATGTTGGAATAAGAAAAATTCGATAAAGTTGTTTTTTCCCTTCAAAAATTGTAAACATTGCATAGCAATTTTCAGCAATCGTGTAACTTTTATATTTATAAATATTTTCCCATATTGTCTGCGAAAAAAATATAGCAGAAATGTTAAGAAAGTTTTTTAAAAAAACTACAATCAATTATTTCTAATAGATTTCGAGATATCGATTTTTGAATTCAAAGTTCTAATAGCGCAACCACTGTCGAACACCAACTCAATTCCACTTATTTTTACCAAAATACAAGTGTTTCTAACTTGCACTTAAAAATTTTCAAGCTATAGGGAAAATTACAACGACTCGTTAATAAATAGACAAATAAAGTATAACGAGACGTAATTAAATCGTGAAACTGAACGCATGATGTACACCTTTATCTAGAACTTCAAGCATTGACAGAGGTACTGATTGGGTCAACCGGTCGACTGCGACAAATCTGCTTATCCCCTACCACATCTCTTAGCAATGTGCACAGTTTCTCGGTTTATTTCATACGTTTGACAACGTGTTTACTGTTCTCTCTTTGTTCAGCACGTTATAAACGCATTGTACTCTTCTTACATACGGAAATCTCGACTCAAGACTGACCTTTGCCAGCCCTTAGTATATGCATTTCTCATAATAATTTTAACTTACGTTAGAACGGAGATTACATTGTTCAAGCAGGGAATGCCTTATTTAACGATTTAACAAAAGTCACGGACACAGATCTAGATGGTCTTAAAATTCTCGAAGAGAATTTTGAGAAACTTCAGGCTGATGTAGAACTTACAGAACATCAAATAGAAGAATTAACGCACGAACATACAAAGATACAACAGCTAAATCAAGAGAAAAAACAAGTTATTACCCAGTTTCAGGTGATTGAGCTTCAGTTACTAAGACTGAAATTATTAAAATTTATATTAAAACTTATACTAGGAAAATAAAGGCAACAGAGAACAAGAAGTTGAAGAAGAGCTGGTTCGTCTCAAAAAATTAGTCAGTAAAGAACAAGAGAAAAAAGAAAAACTTACAACGTGTTTAACACAATTACAATATGAAATAGCTAATCAAACATGTAAAGTAAATAGTTCTGTATATTTTTTTAAGGCAGCATTAAGCTAATTTTTTGATAATTTTTAGATAAAGGAAAAAAACGAAATTTTAAATCAAATAGAAGATTTAAAAAGGGTTGTTACAAGGAAGGAGAAAAAAATTGCAGGATACAGATTGATACAGGACGATTTGGATCGTGAATTGAAGACTAAAGTTGTTCAAGTAATACTTTTCGTTACAGATCTATACTGTTAATAATGCAATAAAATTATTGATAATTTTATTATAGCGTTAATGGTTTAATACATAGTAGTACAAAAAAAAATATAAAGTTTTGATATGTTGAGGTTATACGTACTAAAAGGAGACTTTTTAAAATCAAAAGAGTTCCTGACTGTAAAGTGTGAGCTTGACCCCCAAAAACCACCCCCAATACGCACTGTGGTGGTTTTTCTCGTTTTTCTCGAAAACCATTAGTTGCACAGAAAATTTTATTCTTGTCAAAAATATTCCTTATAAAATTTACTACAAAAAAGGTTCTATTCATTATTTATATTTATCCCATGCATTTCGAGCAATAACCGTTTGAAAAATGGAGTACAAAAAAAATACAGGTCGCCTTTCAAATAATAGACTCCCAAGGTATTTTAACGTGCTAAATATACACGCAACAGATATAATACTGTATAATATAAACAAAAATATTGCCTATTCCACAAAACTAACATTCATACTTTCATCTATATATTGTCATCATCTATAGTTTCTAGAATGTGCTCAGTATTCGAACAACTATTTGTACAATCAAAATTGCCTCCCACATCTGCTGCAGCTAGGTAACATTCCCGGAGTACATATCTTCAAGTACAAATATGGTAAGAACAACCTATTAAATCCGACCAGTGGGGCTGGAAGAAAATCAACAACACCCTGTCACCTTTATATACAACAGAATCGCCCGCCCCTGCTTCAATTATGTCATTAATAACGTGCAACTGCAAACAAGATTGTGTAAAAAGATGCAGTTGCATTAAAGCCGGCATGAAATGTACAACTATGTGCGGAACCTGTTGTGGGCAAAGTTGTTCGAATGAGCACATTCTAGAAACTATAGACGATGACAATATGTAGATGAAAGTATGAATGTTAAGCAGAGTTTACACTGTGTCACTTTGGATGTACAACCAAAATGAATCACTCAGACTGAATTCATCTAAATTGAACATCCTTGTTTACATATTTTCATCCAGTTCGCAGCAGTTCACTGTTTCATCTTCTGCAGGCTGCCACCTCTCCCAGTGTTTTCTATATCGAGGTTGACAGCACGGGTCGGCGTCGGCTCTTTACATTTTTCACTTGCCATTCAATCTGGATGAATCAACGGTTCGTTGAACGCTTCTTTCAACAAAAGTAGGAAGATCGTCAACTTGTTTCATCGTTCAATTTTAGTGTATACTTTGGATGAAACAGAGCTGAAAGGCAATTTATACTTATCACTTTGGATGAATCATCCAAGTTGTACATCCAAAGTGACAAATGTAAATGAGCCTTTAGTTTAGTGGAGTAGGTAATGTTTTTGTTTATATTATACAGTATTATATCTGTTGCGTGTATATTTAGCACGTTAAAATACCTTGGGAGACTATAATTTGAAAGGCGACCTGTATTTTTTTGTACTCCATTTCTCAAACGGTTATTGCTCGAAATGCATTGGATAAATATAAATAATGAATAGAACCTTTTTTGTGTAGCAAATTTTATAGGAATATTTTCGGTAAGTATAAATTTTTTTGTGGGACGAACGGGTTCTGAGAAAAAAGCGAAAAACCATCGAAGAACGTATTGGGGGTGGTTTATAGGGGTGAAGCTCATAGTTTAAAGTTAAAAACTCTTTTGATTTTGAAAAGTCTCCTTTTGGTGCGTCTAATCTCCACATATCAAAACTTTATAATTTTTTTCTTCTATTCGGCTATTTTAGGTCTAATATAAATATACTATAGTGGCGCACTTCATTCGCCTCAGTTGATTATACGAAAACGGAAAATATTAATGATGAAATGCGACGGTGTGCTGTTGCGGCGTTCCCACATTTCTCCGGAAGTAAAGTAAAATCACAATCGCAATCCGCTTATTTGCAAAAGACTTTTTTTCGAAAAAATAATAAGATAAAATCATTAGCATCTGAAAATAAATTAAGGTTAATTCTCACTATACCTACCGTTTCCATTCCATATCCGTTCCGTATTTTTTATTGTATAGACGCTATACGTAAGCTTCCGTTCCGTATCAGTTCCATACATTTTATTGTACAATTTATATCATTACGAAAGTTTTATTTTAAAAAATTGTATCTTTTGAAAAAGGTAATAGATTTAATTAAGAGGTGAAAGAATAAATAAATATCAGCAAAATTTTAACAGAGCTGGTACAAATTAAGAACGTGACAACGCTGTTTCCGATGCGCTTCAGTCCGTCCGCCAAAAAAATGTATGGAAGGAAAGGATATGGAACCGAAGGGAAACGGAACGGATAGTGTGCATTGTCCTATTCATTTACATGATATAATATTTTATATAAACGAAAGGGAAACGGAAGGGAGCTGATATGGAAGGTATAGTGAGAATAAACCTTTATAAGGATATCGTTAGAGTGTCCGTTTTTTTATAATGAGAAAACGTCAGTAATCGCGATAATTTAAAAACCCAACTTTTTAAACACATAACACGCGATAACTCGAAAACCACTATAGATATTCGACACTTTTTTTATTTTGAAGGTCGGATCTTTTACAAGATGTTTAAACGAGAAAACGCGAATCGCCAACGCTTTTTATAGAGTATGGCCCTGAAAGAAGAGGATATGGGCATAAATTTGTTGTTAACATATATTTTGTCTCTCATTCACTAAAGATGTAATTTTATATTCTATTTTTTTAATCAGATTGAATCTAAAGTAGATGCTTGGAATGTGTCAGTGACTAAAACATTTCTGCCAGATTTGCAACATTTGCATTTAAGAGAAAAGGGATTTCATTGCGAGGATTTTTTGAAAGTGAGTATACTAAAAAAAACAAAGGCCTACTTTGCTTTTCTAAATCTTTTCGACTATCGAAATTATTCGTGACAAAAGAATGACGCAAATTCTGACAAGCTATTTTAATTTATATTTCTTTAGAAAGTTTTAATGTATATTTATATTTTTATTTCGAATTATTGGTGTTCAGAATACCAAAAACCTCTTGTAATGAACCATGATTTATAAAGATTTTAAAACTGAGGAAAAAAAGCAGCCTGTCTAAATTTAATAATAAATAATAAAACTTAGGACCGCATATGAATTTAAAGTATTATCACATTTTTGATTTTTGGTTCTATAGGATTGGTGCATTTAAATTATTTTTTTAAAATTCCGACAGCAGCGCTCAATACGGCAGAAATCAGAATAGCTACCTATACTTTATTTTACGGCGTCCCGGTTGCCGTTCATGTTGATGGCATTGAAATAATATTGAAATCGTGATGTCATGATATTTGATTATTTATTAGTATTTTGGTTTTTACTTATAGCATGATATTTAAGTATTTTAGTATTTTGGTTTTTACTGGTGCAGTTATTGAAACTATAAACTTCTCAGGTGTGATGTAACGCTGTTTCAGGTAGTAAAAATTATGTGAGAAATATCTCGAACTGAGCATCGTTTTGTGGTTGTGGCAATTTCAAATGATAATAAAATTTCCGAAAACATGTTAACAAGAAAAGGAGGGCTTAATTGCGTGATTGTTGGGTGTAATAATATTCAATATTCCTTAGTCTTTTTATTCAAAGGTATACCATCATAGTTGCGCAACTAGTAACTAATAGCACATATTATAGAGATTATACTCTTTGTTTTTTCTTTATTGTTTTTCGTGGTTCCAATTTTCAGAATCGGGCACTAGTTAGGTTACTAGTTTGCGGACATAGCACGCCCACTTAGGGCTCTAACTCACTGACGGCCAGGTCGTTGCGACCTGGCCGTCGCCGTCGGCTGGCCGGATGTATTGCGTTTTTAGCTGCGGTCAGATGAACGACCAGTTTCAACAGAATTGTCAAATCTAACGATTTTTTACGTTTTACCAATTAGAAAATATTGTTTCAGAAATGTTAAAATATCCGAGTTAACTAAAAAGCGAAGTTGCTATTCACAACAAACAAAAAGCATTGTGTACGCGCGACCGACAAAAAGGGAGATATTCTGTTTCTTTGTTCTACCGATATGGCGCCCTTATCGACTTTAAAAGTAAACATATTAGGGCCATCGTAAAAAAAGATCGTCAGACACTGGCTCTAAATATAAGCAGGTAGAAAGTTTAGCTTCCAGTTATTTCAATGTTTACAATATAACGAAGAATCGACAACAGTAATTACTTCTATTTTTATGAATGTCAAAATAATGTACCTAGTAGAAATATAATCTAAGGAACCCTGTTTGAAAAACGTTAAATTAAATATAATATTTAAAATACAGTTGTCCTCCTTGTACATGACTACAATACAACTAAAAAAACTAATTTAATAAAAAAAACTAGTGGTTGTAGAAAAACTTTAAATATTATTTTTTTTATTTTTTAACATCGAAACTCAAAGGTATAATACCAGGTATCATACCAATCATAAATAGTGTAGGTATGTCATATAAAAATGTTTTGAGTTTTTACTAGAATCGACCCTTGATAAAAAAAAGAATTAGATTTAAGTTTACCTTTGATCCAGTCTGTATACTATTTCTTTGGATTTTCTGCACGTGTGCAAAAACTACACTAAAACACTATATCTTATAGAAAATAAAATATTGTGCCTTGAATTTGAGGGATTTCATCTGAAAAATTATTAATTTTTAAGAAAACCGGCAACAAGCGGCAGAAAATAATAATATTTCCGTGCGGTCTTCTGGTCGCAAAGACCAACGGACGGCCAGGACGTTAGTGTGCGCTATATTATTTGATTTAATGGTTTTAGAGGTAGCTGCGGCCTGGCCGGTACGACCTGGTCGTCAGTGTGTTCGAGCCCTTATGGCCTCTAAAATTGTGCACAGCGCCTGGCCGGCACAGTTAATAAAGAGATATCGGAAAACCGAATAGCGTCATGCAGTATATACGCGTACCTTATCATGGTTACGATATGCGCGAGTCAATTTTTAACGCAACGCCCGCTAATAACGTTACCGCTTGACGTAATTTGCGGATCAATTACACTCCAGAACGGTAAGGTTAACTGTTCTTGAATTACACCAAGCGCTATTTCTAAATAACGTTTAAAAATTACTTAAATGGGCATGTGCGGGAATTTGACAACCGGGGCCATAAGCGGCTAATGTACAATCCTATCCCGCGACGCGACGTTGCAGATTATGTAGACATCACAGCGGAAAGTAACGCCTGGGTATAGGCTGTTTCGCATGAGCACCTGTGGCTCCGTGACTGAGGCGAATGGTCCGTGGTTCAAATATCACGCCGGACAAGAACTTTTTTATATTTTTTTTGCTTATAGCAAAAAAATATAATTGTTATAATAAAAAAAATATTATAATGCATTGGTTTCACTCTTTTTGGTTGGATTGGTTTAGTTATTTGGCAGGTTGATTAGCGTGGTTATTTGGAGGGTGTTAATTCATTGGTTAGTTGGTTATTTGGTCGCGGGATGGGATTGCACATTTAGCCGCTCGTACCGGGGCCGGCCGGCGAGATCTTATATTTTAGGTTATGTTTGAATTGTTTTGAATTATTACTTTAGTTTTATTAGGTAATTTGATATTTAAATAGCTGGGATTAGTTTTAATTAAATAAATATGGCCCAAAATATGGATTCCACCTCTTCCAATATTAAAGAACCTATAAAGAGGCTTAGGTTTACAGCAGATGACGACTTAGCCCTTCTAAGAGAATTTGTTGCCCTAAACCCACTAGCAGACGTTGAACAATAAAACACTGGAAATAAGCACTTTAGCCCTTTAGTTTTAAAATACCTAGTAAACAAAACAATTTCGAAGTTTTAAATTCAAAGTTAGGTTAAATTTAAATAACGGACGCGACGCGAACAGAATTCTTTACGATCCGATAACTATAAATGAAGAGAGTTAATACATGGTTAATACCACCTCACGTAAAGGAAATAACACCTGGCTTTATTAACGTCCATGCACGCTATTCGGTTTACCGATATCTCTCTATTACGCTGTTTATTGTTATTTTACGCGAGTTTATTTTTGCGCACCGGAAATTTTACTCGTTTGCTCATCGTCATAAAAAACAATTTTCGTACCACGAATTAGGGATAGGATTTTTATCTGTATACATATAGTATACCTAATCTGTGCTAATAGCTTATAAAACTATAAACTTTTCATTTCTAACCACAAATGACGTTATTTGCAAATTTAAGTATAATTAGTTGAAAAAGTTTAAAGCTTCATTCGGAACCTCGCAATTAGTAGAAAAAATAGTGGTTTCTATTACACTTTATACTTTTTAGTTTACGATCATTCGCAATGTCTAAAAAACACAATTAAAATTAATAGAATATCCTAGCAACAGCAGCTTGCGATAATCAGTTGTATCCATAGAGAAAGCCTAATATTTAGCTTATTACACGGACAGCAGAGGCTGAGATAGGTACCAAAACTGTAGTTGTTAAAACAACGCAAGGAATTCCTTAAGGTGGAGTGACCTCCCCCTACTGTGGAGCTTGGTAGTGGATGAACTACTAGACGAATTAATTTCTAGCGGGAATACACTGCATAGGGTATGAAGATGACATAGTTATGATTGCACGGCGGAAATATGAAAGCACCCTGTGTGATACTGTCCAAAGAGGACTCCGCATCGCTGAAAGATAGTGCAGGACTTTCGGGGCTGAGCATCAACTCAGACAAAGGGAAAGTTAAAAGTTTTTAGTGGAAAAGTTAAAAGTTTGGTAATTTTTTCTACTAATTGAAAATGTCTACCATTAATTTTGACGTTCTGAATGCTTACATTGATATTAAAGGAACTTCTACGCTAATTGAAACCACTAATTTATTCCACTAATTGCGAGGTTCTGAATGAAGCTTAAAGTTTCTTAACTTTTTCTACTAACTGAAAATTACTACCACTAATTTTGACGTTCTGAATGCTTACATCGAAATTAGAGAATCAAACTTCTACAGTAATTGAAATCACTAATTTCGAGGTTATGAATCAAGCTTTACATTAAAATTAAAGGAACAAACTTTACGCTAATTGAAACCACTAATATTTTCCACTAATTTTGAGGTTTTATATGAAGTTTTACTTATATGGATAATCGTCAAAATTTCGATAGTCGAAAATGTTGAGAATCACGGCCTAGAAACAAGTTAGTATGTTACAATTACATGTTTTTATAATAGGAAATATTAGAAATGGATAAGGAAAGAAGATTAATCGAAAAAGGTCTCTTAGAAGAATTTAAATCTATTCAGGGCGATATATGTCAGAAAGAACGCGAGAAGATAATATTAAAAGAAAAAATTAAAGTTTTTTTGGACAGAGAAAAACGTTTGGACGATTCCAGAAAAGATATTGAAGCGGACAAGGAAAAGCATCAAAAAGTACGTGAACTCTACTTTATCCCAAATACGTTTAAATAAAATATACGGAGGGTACCGCTTAAATTCCAGTCCCGATATTGAAGGATGGCTAAAGAATTTCAATGCACTTCCTACATAAGTCTATCCTTGTGTTGTAGGAGGTTTGACTAAACAAGGATAAACTTATGTCCTGAAACCATTCAGACTCGATTTTCTGTCCTTCAATACTGGGACGTAAATCCTCTCATTGCTCTTATGGGGAGGCAGTCGTATATTTTATTTAAACGTATTTGCTTTATCCTCAGAATATGGACTGGTCTTTATGCAGGGTCTTTCTTAACGATTTTCGCGCTCGTGGCAGAGCTGCAACAAGTCAGTTTTAAAAAGACTTAAGTGTTAAGTTATTTCTAAAATCAATATTATTTAAGTCTTAAGTCATTTTTGTAAAGGCTTAAGTCAATATAACATTTAAGTCGTTTTTATGACTTAACTATATTTTTGACTTAAATCAATATAATAATTATATTGATTTAAGGAGGATAATTATTATCCTCAAGACAAGACAACCAGAATTCAATTTAAGTAAATTTTTTAAATGTTAATATTAATTTTCTTGTATTACTAATTAGCGATTTTCTTACTAAGTATCATATTATTAATTTATTGAGACTAAAACCACATAAAATAAAACGGTTAATTTTTAGTTTAACTACAAATATAAAAATATGTTGTTTTTTATAAAATTTAACCGATTTTGTAGTACTTTATATGTATCCATTACAAATAGATGTCATCGAATACATTTCTGTTAAAAAAGGGTGATGTGTTTTGATCACTATGTAAGGATAAGGGCTGGATGATTTTAAGGTACTATTCAATATATTCCAGATAAATTTCTTTCGTTCGTCTTTCGGGCCACAAATGGAGTCGGGGATTCACTTGAAAGACAACAGACTCACTACGCACGCGTAACACAACAAATAAACAAAACCGGTTTCGAAAAACTAACATTTTATTTTATAGCGGTATTGAGCATTGCTTTTTTTATTCCGCTGCTTGGCTGCTGCCTAACAGTTTAAAAAGAAATGCTGCTGTTAAAAATTTATCATAAAAGTATATAAAAACCTGAATTAAGCCTGTTATAAAAAGACTTAAATCTTTTTAATGACCTAAGTTTTTTTCTAAAAAGACTTATTTTTTTCTATTTTGGAATAAAGATTTAAATCACAAAAATCAATTTCAAAAAAACTTAAATTTTACGTTTTAAGTCAGCTGTTGAAAAATGACTTAAAATCAAACGACTTAAGTCATGATTTAAATCAAAAAAGATTTAAGTTTTCTGTAAGCTTCCAGCTCTGACTCGTGGGCGTGTATTGTCAATTCTTTTGTGTTTATTTTGTTATATTACCGCTTCATGCATTTAAATCTGTCCAAAGATCCATTACAGCGACAGTCGCTAATATCTTAACGTAACTTTTAAACGCAAATATCTTGAAAACCGTTCATCGTTTCGAACTAAACGAAGAGCACCTGGCGTAAAAATGTCATAGCTTTTTATATCATTTGTTTAAATTACCGTATTCATTAGGATAACAAAAAGTGACACACTAGATCCGTAAGGTCGCGGTGATTACCCCCCTCCCATACCGGGTGCGTCTCAAAAGTGGCTCACCCCCTATAACTTTTTTATTTTTTCAGATAAAAAAAAACAGATTTGGTATATTAGTATATGACATAAATTAGGATTCATTGGCGTGTTCAAATGTTTTTGGTCACCCCCGGTATTTTTTTACTTTATTCGATAGACACTCTGAATCAAATGACATAACATATGTCAACTTTTGACATATTCACTCAAAAACAAATAGTATTTTAAATTTCAATCTAGAGTGCCATGGCTGTGTTAAAAACATTAATTTTTAAGCGGCCCTCACACGATCAATAATATTGTTAATATTTTTGATTATTGACAATATTATTGAGTGTTTGAGCGTACATATTGATGTACTTTCAATATATTGATGGATTTTCGGGATCCTGAAAATACTCGACAATATTAAAGGCGGAGCTAGTCGTATTGACAATATATTGATCGTTAGGTCGCATGATTGACAAAATTTCACTAGTTTATTCGTAACCGTGGCGGAAGACGGAACATCGCCGTCATTGTTTTCACCAGTTTCAGATCGCAATCATCAGGCTCCCGTTTCTTAACGTACTCTAGAAGATTTAGTTGGCCGAACCTTGGAATGGAAAATTGGATATCCATTTTTTATATAACGTCTTTTCTTAAATTTTTTCCTCTATTTTTTCTCACTGACTGATACTCACTGCCAAAATGACACGCTCTTTTATCTTTAATTTTTTGGCATAGGGTATAATTCACACTTAATATCTGCACAAAACTTAATATTGATATATCTATTGACCGTGTCAGGCCAACTTTCAAATATTGATAAAACATTGACAATAAAAAACATTGACAATATTATTGATCGTGTGAGGGCCGCTTTAATCAAGAAGCCTTGGAAAAATAAGATTGACCGTTTAATATTTTTAGTGTCTTGTCCTGGTCGGTTAAAAGATGCTCAAATCGTATTTTTAATCATATCTCAATTTTTTCGAATGGAACGAGGATGGCTCATTGGCATATTTGAAAAAACGCACTTTTTTCAAATAAACCATATGCGAAAATGTCAGAAGTTGACATATGATATGTCATTCTATTCGGAGTATCATTTTCTATTGAATAAAGTAAACATATACCGAGGGTGCCATTTAAAAATCAAAAGTTGTAGTCAAGTGACCGAAAACAATTGAATATGTCAATTAATCCTAGTTTATATCATATATTAACATACCAAATCTCGTTGTTTTATCTGAAAAAATAAGAGAATTATAGGGGTGAGCCACTTTTGAGACGCACCCGGTATATTACATCCCAGGATAACGAAAGTACGACTAGTACTACCCTCTACCCTAATGGAAAGCACCCTTTTAGAACTGTTACGGATAGTTGTAATTTCTACTGTATGATCGAAAAAAAACGGCATCAAAGACGGCTGGGGAATGGCAATTGACGATAATTTTTGCGAGGTCAATAATACTATGGAAATAGATTTGTGTTTGGAAACGTTCTATCCTTTTTAGTAAGCATCCAATCTTTAGTTGACGTCTAGAGGTTGACCTCGCCAAAATTATCATCGATTGTCATTCCCCAGTTTGGTTTGTCGGATAAACATGATACAATTTACTTCTCTGTCTCTTAGATGCTTCAAGGGATCGAAGATATTACGAAAACCCAAGATTTTGAAATTAATCATTTAGAACAATTAATATGTCAAAACAGGAAAGACGCAGAAAATTTAATTAAAGAATATGAAGAACGGTAAGTTATTAATTAGCTTTAAAAAATCGGGTGATGATGACATCGTTGCACAAACCGCCATTTTTCTTTTTTTAAACAAAATTTCCAACTGGTTTAAAATATACAGTGTTGTTCATTACATACGACACGGAGTATTGTAGCTAAACGATTAGATTTTTACAAATTGTAAGTTTTGGGTTCGTTGAAGGACTATTACAGCTACAATTAAAAAGAGTGTCCCAAATAAATAAAAAGTATTATAGTTGTATTGTTTTAAAATGGAACACCCTGTATATTATTCTATTTTTAGATTCTACGATTGAAATAAAGGTAAATTTGATTAAAGTTTATCACACTTAAGGCTTCATTTTTCCAAGGGTATCGAAGTTTTTAATACTAAATATTTACTGAAGTTTATTTATTGATCAGATATTGTGTTGCAATAATAAACAAAATACTATCTTATACGGAGTGCTTCAAAATTTATATTAAATAATTACTAGCTTTAAACGGCAATGACTTGTTTAATTTAAATGGAACATCCTGTATACTTTATGCGAATCAGATGTGCAATTTAATCGTCTATCAGATTGTATTATACCATTTTTAGGGTTCCGTACCCAAAGGGTAAAAACGGAAACCCTATTACTAAGACTTCGCTGTCCGTCCGTCCGTCTGTCACAAAGGTCTATCTTATGAACCGTTATAGCTAGACAGTTGAAATTTTCACAGATAATGTATCTATGTTGCCGCTATAAGAACAAATACTAAAAACAGAATTAAATAAATGTTTATAAATAAAAAAGTACTTTCACTAATCATTATCTTTTAAGTAAGAATTTTACATAGAATCTTTCAAATCCTCGGTGGCCGCGTGGTTAAAGCGTTAGGACTTTACGCTGCTATGACGTTGGAGCCGTAGTAAGGCAGGTTCGAATCCTAGTCAAGGCGACTTTTTTTTAATCTTTTTTTTAAATTTTTACATATTTTTACATATTTATTTTTACTTTTTACGCATTTATTATTGATTAATACAATTTTTAGTAATGTGTTTCTTCGTGTGACCCTTGGTGCGCGAGTCCGTCTCGCACTTGACCAATTTTTTACCTATCTCTTCAAGTTTTCGTAGAAAATTAATTTTCTTATAAGTTAGACTTCGTTTATCACTATACCCATGGAATATTAATCGAGGGTGATTTTTAAATTCACTTTTGCCAACCATGGACATATTCGGCGCCGGGCTGACCAAAGGTGTGATTTCCTAGCGACGTCTGGCGTCCGCGGCCCGCCGCACACTGGGTCGTTTTTATTAACTAGGAGGTCAAAACCTGTATTTTATTAAATCAATGAAAAGTAATGTATCGCTTTATAGGGAAACGAACCGCCAGACGTCGCTAGGAAATCACACAACTTAAGTATACAGTAAAAAAGTACAAAGAGCGTAAGAATCATGCCGGGACCCCATTAGGCCACACGCCACGCTGTCGTTCCACGTGTTGCAACGTGGGAAAGAGTGTACACATGAGATCTAGGACAGACGAATCGTCCATCACACGTGTCGTAGCATGGGGTGGCGTATTGCCTAGTGTGTACGAAATACATGTAATTAAATGGAAAAGCATACGCACATTTCTTAATGACGTGCTGTGGCGTGGCGTGCGGCCTAATGGAGTCCCGGCTTCATGCAGCCGGATCTTAGACTATTATAACAATATTAATTTACTTTTAGTATACAGCAATCTTCCCAACATTTGAATCTTATGGCAAAAAAGGGAATGGCTATTTTAATTGAGGCACATAACATGACCTTAAGGCTTCTTGCTAGAATTGATGTAAGTAAACAAGACATTTTATATCTGTTGTTTTACAAGCGTTTTTAGGTTAAGTTGAATTCGGAAATGCAGAAGCTACTGTTAAGGAACGAGCAAGCCAAGGAATCTTTACATAGAGCTTTTCAAGAACTTATCGAATCAAAGGCTTTAACTGAGAAGTTATATGCTTGCTTTAATGAAGAAAATTAAAATACTTTTTTTATGTGTTGCATTAAAATTTGGATTTACTATTTATACATATTTAGACTTTTTAATTAAACTTTTGTAAATTAAATTGCATATTATTTGACATTAGTTACCTAAAAATCTTTGGTGTAATCATAATAATAAAAATATGCTAAAATCCCAGATAGGGTAGAAGTCATAAAATGATGTGATATCTTAATATAGTGGAAAGTAATTTAAAAAATATATACAGAGTGTCCAAGGCTGAGCGTGCGTTAGAAGTTCCTAGAGAACCACAATATCTAGATCGGAGATTTTTTGCACATCATTGTTTTACAACGAAATATATCGATTAAAAATATTGCGGCACTTCCGGAAATACCGGAAGTTGACAACAACTTTCTTATTTTAAATGGCTGTCCCCATTTTTTATTACATTCTTAAATTCTCTGTAAAATTCTATGAATATTGATGTTAAACACTCTGTACCTAGCATTAACCGTTTTTAAGAAAAAAAATATTTAAAATTTTTGGACGAAAAAAACAAGTGTCAAACAGTCAGACAATTTATTTCCATCTGTAAGAACACGAAATATTTGAATTTTCTATATTATAAATACTGCCTGCTTAAGAGTTTAAAAAGTGTATTTATAAAAATAAATCTCGTATTTTCGCTATTTAGTGATCTATCTAATTGTTGATAATAATAATATACAACAGCGCCAAAGTTGGCTTGGAAATGATGATCTATATAATAACATACTGCTTTTTGAACAAAGTGTCACAATATGACATGACCAGATCTATTGTTTTACATCACTTGACGTTTAAAGTCATAGGCCAAGAAAAATATACTCTTTAAAACTAAACTTTAAATAACTTAAAAACAATTTATTTTAGGTATAGGAACATGTATAGCCAAAAGTAACGAATTGAAAAGCCTTTTCACTAGTGAAATAAAAAAAGTGGGTTTCCACTTGAAATAAAAAATGATTTACGATAATTTTTTTATCGCTCGATTCCATGACAGCTGCAGTCATTATATGACATTCAAACAATTTCATTTTTGAAATAGATAGCCACATGTCTTCTCTTTATGACACAGTGGCTGTGGTAATCACTCAATTTGATGTTAGGCTATACACATATTTTTGACAGGCAGTCTTTTTGTCCAAAAATTTGAAATATTTTTTTTCTCAAAAACGGTTGGTTAATGTTATACAGGGTGGCGCTCATTCCCCTCGGTTGATTATACGGTTGAATATGTGCACAATTTAAAGTTATTTTGAAATATACGGGGTGTCTCAGAACTAAGATCCATACTAAAGTTATATTTTTTCTTATGGAACATCCGGTATTTTATTTAATTTTTGGACTCTTGGGCCCAAAAAAAGGCATTTATTGTTTTTTTGAGATATTTAAATATATTTAAATATGCATGCTACAAGAGAATTGATTATCAACACCCTGTACATTACTTTTCAGAATTAATTCTTGTGCTGAGTTTAAAGGTAAAGAAATAAACTTTACTGAAAAATGTTATTGTTTCCTTAAATTTATACAGGGGTACCAAAAATTAGTGATCTATTTTAAGGATTTATTTTAAATAAAAACCTTGTTAGTTCAAATGTAACACCCTGTATTTTCTTAAATAAATCGAAGCAGATTCAAATGCTCTTTCAAACTATATTAGGGATTCCTATACCTATCTATCTCAGATTTTGAATAAAAAGTGATTTTTAAATAAAATGGCAATCAAGATGGCTGGTATCGTCATGGCAATTTTCTAGTGACAGTTAGTGACTATTTTCAAAATCGACATTAGTGTATGGACATTATTATTTAAACAGTATACTAAAATTTACCCACAATAGTTTAATAAGTAAGTATTCTTTATTTTATAAAAAAATAAAGCCATATCTGCTGGTGGAACGAATGGATATGTTACTAGTGATTTTATTTTGTGAGGAATATTATTTCTTGGCCTCAAGAGCTAATACTTAAAGATATCCAAATAGGAATCCTCCCGAAAAATGTTCCTTTGTAAAACTACTTGTCCTATTTCCTATTTCGCAGAGTTGGTAGTGTAGTTTATAAAAAATCTATTAGGCAGAAACCTGTCCTTGGAAGTGAAGAAATTGAATTTGCCGTAATTGGCTCTCTTATAAAAAATTCATATATCTACAAGTTATCGTAAAATAAAACAAAGAACTACTTCTTCGTTTTTCTTGACAGAATAAGAAATACATATTAATAAATATTATTTATTAAACTATTGTAGGTCAATTAAATAAAAGTAAACGAACGGTATAGATTTAAATAAAGTCTATAAACTAATGTCGATTTTGAAAATAGTTACTAACTGTCAGTAGAAGATAGCCATCAAAAAAATCACCAAAAACCAGCCAGCTTGATTGCAATTTTATTTAAAAATCGCTTTTTATTCAAAATCTGAGATAGATAGGTATAGGAATCCCTAATATAGTGTGAAAGAGCATTTGAATCTGCTTCGATTTATTTAAATAAATATAGGGTGTTACATTTGAAATAACCAAGTTTTTATGTAAAATAAATCCTTAAAATAGACCACTAATTTTTGGTACCCCTGTATAAATTTAAGGAAGCAATAACATTTTTCAGTAAAGTTTATTTCTTTGCCTTTAAACTCAGCACATGACTTAATTCTGAAAAGTAATGTACAGAGTGTTGATAATCAATTCTCTTGTAGCATGCATATTTAAATAGCTCAAAAACCAATGATTTTAAACAAATTTAACCCTTATAATAAATGCCTTTTTTGGGCCCAAGAATCCAAAAATGAAATAAAATACCGGGTGTTCCATAAGAAAAAATATAACATTGGTATGGATCTTAGTTCTGAGACACCTCGTATATTTCAAAATAATTTTATATTATGCACATTGATTCCCCACATATGCCCATAAAATATTTTGTTTCTACATCTTTCCGTTTTCGTATAATCAACCGAGGCGAATGAGGTGCGCCACCCTGTATATAGAGCGTTTAATATCAAAATTCATAAATTTTTACAGATATTTTAAGTATGCAATAAAAAATGGGGGCACCTATTTAAAATAAGAAAGTTGCTGTTAATTTCTGAAATTTCCGGAAGTGCCGCCATATTGAAAATATTTTTAATCGATAGATCTCGTTGTGAAACAATGATGTACAAAAAATCTCCGATCTAGATATTGTAGTTTTCTAGAAACTTTTAATGCACGTTTAGCCTAGGACACCTTGTATATATACAGGGTGGCACATTAAGGCGGGAAAAAATCAAGTATGAAAAAAAGGTTTATACAATAATTGTTGCATGGTTTATAAAGGGGCATATCCTACAAATATTTTGTTATTTACATGGTGTCCCAAAAAAAAGTTATGATTAAGTTTTAAGTTTTTTAAATTTTCACCTTCCATTTTTCTTTACATAATTAGATTCAGCATAAAATTCTGCAAAATGTAATTTAAATTCTGTAAAAGTGTTGCCATTCTATTTCGTATTTAATGAAACTTTGGTTAAAAATAACTATCTGAACAGTGGTTAAAAACTAGAGTGAATTTAACTTTATTAAAATATTTAGGTATATTTTCCTAAACACCAAAAAAAAAACAGAATAAACCCTCGAAAAAAAATTATATTATCTTATACAGGGTAAATTTTATGGTGTCGCCAACATCGCAATATTTAAAATGTTATATCTCATATTTTTTAAATGCAACACACTTTATATTATTTTTATTTTAGATAATAATTATTTTTTAAAATTATTTTAAATATTTTTATTTTAGATAAGGTGCCCGGTGGCGTAGAGGTACAGGCTCTCGTCTGCCAATCTCAAGGTGTGGGTTCGATTCCCACACCCGGCATTTCATTAGCCGACTATTTTTATTAAAATAAAAATAGTTTGGGTACCTAGGTCGACTCAGCCTTAAATGAGTACTTGGGATTCACAATCCTGAGGTAATAATAGGCGGTTGAAGCGTAGTGCTAGCCACATTACCTTCATTGTATACCGAACGGCTCTAGTATAGCAAGCTGTACCTTGCTACTCCCAAGGCGTTAAACGCCTATATACGGGAGCAATTATTATTATATTATTTTAGATGCAGAATTAAAAAATGAATTTTTTTTGTATTTAAAGTGTTATCTAAATTTTTAACGGTTTCGCAGATATTCGCTGTATTATATTACATATTATGGCTCTTTCAACAGGAAATTTTTATCAAAGCTACCTAATAACGATTTTTGGTATTTTATCGTTGAAAACTCGTTATGTAACATAATTTGTATAGGTAATATCTGCAAAACCGATAAAAATGTAGGGACACTTTAAATAAAAAAATGTTTATTTTTTAATTCTGCGTCTAAGCGAACAATAGTATACAGGGTGTTCTGGGGGTTTAAAAAATATAAGTATATTAAAGATATGTAGCATTTAAATATTGCACTATTGGCGACCCTATAAAAAATACTCTGTATAGAATAATATAAATTATCGTTCACTGATTTATTCTGTTATCCTTGGTTTTAAGAAAATATAGCTAAGTATTAAGAAAGTTATATTCACTGCAGTTTTTAACTACTTTTCGGATATAGTGTTTTTAACCATAGTTTTAGTAAATAAGAAACAGAATGACAACACCACATAGTGCTTCAAATAAAATATATAATATATATATATAGCTCACCTGATGATGGGGTAGGGCCCCGAAATCGGTAGTGAGAGCAGGTTGATCCACATTATGACGAACACAGCGTGGAATTAATTTCTATATTAGCAGTTCAAGGCAAGAAACTCTTATATAATTTAATAATATATATATATACAGGTTGTTAATTCGACAATTACTTATAGGGGAACAGAATGGCAACACTGCCTATTGAAAACGCATGCATTATTGATTTTTCTGCCGACTCGTCCCGTCGCGTGGTCTATCGAGCGGGCCGATGTTGCCATATTTCAACCATAAAGCTCTTGCCACGAGTAATGAACAAATTAATATTATATATATATATATATATATATATATATATATATATATATATATATATATATATATATATATATATATATATATATATATATATATGCAGATATGCATAATTTTATGCTGAATCCAATGATTTACGGAAATTCTTAGGATATGCACCAGTATAAACCACGCAACATTTGTATAATTTTTTTTTCATAACTTTGTCAACGATGACGATATTGGAATCCTTGCACTAATGTGCCACACTGTATATCAAGGTTGGAAATTAAACAACATATATATAAAAAGTCGTTATTAATTTCTTATGGAATTAAAAATAAATAATCCGCTAGGAGATACATTTTTATATACAAGAATACTATTTTCTAGCAGTTCTAATTAGATTAAGTTATGATTGCCTTGGCCTTATTTTTTCATACATAACATTTTGCTGTTTATTCTTTAATGTATGCCTTTTGACATAATGAAAATTGTCTAAAGCAAATTCATAAAATTCATTTTCCATCTGCCATACTGTACTTGCTTTAATTTTTTTTATTGTTTCTTCTGAAGGTAAAATCTTCTGCACCGTTTGTCTTAAGTGTGACTTATTGCTTTGGGTAAAGTAATCCATTGCCCCTTGAAAAAGCCTAGGTAGAGATAATTCCAGTACAGCAATAAAATCTTCTAATTCTTCAGTTACTCCGACCAAAAAATAGTTATTAACCAGATTGTTTTTAGCTTCTGAAAGAGCCCATTTGTTACCAGGTTTCCTAAAATTTCAAATATGGACTTACATAAAACATTGTTTTATTTGTAAAAAAATACTACTCACCAACAATTTGCAGCATGACCACAAAAATATGGAATTTGTAACCATATGGAACTTGGGTCACATTCTGGAAGACTTTTTTCTACACATTCATCGAAAGTCTAAAAAATCACTATTTAGTTTAATGTGTAGAAAATGAGGAAAAAATACCATTTTGTTGCCGGCTTTCCTTCTGACTAAGTTTGGTCGAAAATTATCTCCATATCTAACAAAATAATAGTAAGAAATAAATCTATCAAGAGGTTTACGCAAAATGTTAATAAATAAAGGTTGTGGTGCTCCAAATCTAAAACAAGAAGCGCCTTATAACATCACCAGTAATTTATTATGCAATAAAATTTACTTGTTAAAATCTATATATGCAAAATGACCATGATACAATGCCGGTTTCATTGTATTCCAGTTCGTAACATTCATTACAAAGTTGATTTGATTGGTTAATGATAAAACGTTATTATTGGCAGTTATGTTTACATGTAAAACATGATACCGATTTCTTTTAAATAAGTCATATGCTATTCCAACAAAACTTGTAGAACCTGTTTTGGGCACCCTATTGTATAAAACTACAATATCGTCTTCATACTGTTTAACTACTAAACGTTCTGGTTGTTCTTTATTTCTGATTATGTTCTCTAAAAACGGTACGATTTGTTTATCAGAAGTTATTTTTTTGAACTTGTCCTCCCTTACCTAAGTAAAATATTTTATTTTGGAGGTTTATAAGTTGAATTTGATAGATTACTCCTATTGCAGCTATAAATATTACAGTAAGAAAATATTTACTTTTTTTGCTCAACATAACTATTTCGAAATAACTACATTGCAAACGTAAAAATAAACTTTTATTTGTATAACTTATATTTTCTCCACAAATTTGTTTTTACTTTCTTTGACAGCTAAACCGATTAAAAACTAAGGTTAATTTTTAACTTTTCCTTTTTTGATTAGTTTTACGGCCTAAGATGCCAGGACTATACGGCCAGGTGATGGACAATACGGTCTGGACCTCGGGTTTGTCTCGGGTCTGGACGATGCCTTTCTTGTTTACGTGGAATTCGAACCATGGTCATGGGTCAGTCATATCATGATATGGCCGAGGGGAGGGGTTCGTATCCCGCGTAAACAAAGTAGCCCTGCTGTATCTAATAGTACCACTTGCTTTTGTAAGCGCCAATTAAAAATCAAAAAGAAGACAAATAGCACTTAACCTTGAAAAAGTCCTATTTTATTTTGGTATTTAATGTCATTTTCATGTTTTGATGTCTCTGGTTTTGATTGATAACAAATACAAAGGCTAACGTAATAACAAATAAATCTTAAGTTATGAGTTGATTCTCTGATTAGATAAAAAACTTACTGGATTAAACTGTATTATTTGTAAAGAACATTTTGTGTCACAGTCAGGTATTAAAAGACGAAGCGTAGGTTCAAAGCGTATACATCAAATTTGAAATGTCTGTGCCAAAATCTACAACAAATTTGCTCCAACAACTTCGTCTCTCTATGCAGAATTCTTTATATGTTAATAAACCCGTTCAGGCTTATATAATACCATCTGTTGATGCTCATAACAGTGAATATTTAGCAGAATGTGACAAACTTAGGGGCTTTATATCAGGTTTTAATGGATCTGCTGGAACTGCAATTGTTACTAACAATGCAGCATGTTTGTGGACAGATGGGCGATATTATTTACAAGCTACTGAGCAAATGGATTCCAATTGGACATTAATGAAAGAAGGTGATCCGAATACTTTAAAACAAGGTATGATTTTGAACATTTTTTTGTATACTTTCAATAAAAGTATTTTTCTTAGGTCAATGGCTAGTCAAAAACTTACCGACTGGATCTCACATTGGTGTTGATCCTAAGCTTATTACAACAGAAACATTTGTACCTTTACAGAAGGAGTTGGAACTTGTTGGTCATAAACTAATTCCTGTTAAACAAAATTTAATTGAATTACTTTGGAGTAATAGACCCAAGCGTCCACTAAATCCAGTTAAACCATTGCCTTTGGAGTTCTCCGGTAAAGCTGTGGGAGATAAGATAACCGAAGTTATTAAAGCAATGAAGGATTCGAGAGTTGATTTTTTTGTAATAACTGCTCTAGATGAAATTGCTTGGCTTTTAAATTTAAGAGGATCAGATATTGATTTTAATCCAGTGTTTTTTGCATATGTTATTATATCTTCCAGTGGCTCATTTACTCTTTTCATTGATCCGAGACAAGCGACCGATGAAGTAAAAGAACATTTAAAATCTGAAGCTGGAGATGTGTTTAAAATTGAACCATATTCTCGTATAGAGGAAGTGCTTAATGAGATCTGTTTAGGTTTGGATGGGTTTGTTTGGTTTAGCGAATCATCAAGTTATGCCCTTACCAGTATTATTCCAAAGAAGCATCTTCATTTAACAGATACTACTCCAGTTCAGTTAATGAAAGCAATTAAAAATGAAGTAGAAGTTAAAGGTATGAGAAATGCACATATTAAGGATGCTGCTGCCTTATGTTGTTATTTTTCATGGTTAGAAGCAAATGTAGAGAATGGAGATATTACTGAAGTTAGCGGTGCTAATAAGTTACACGAGTTCCGAAGCCAACAAAAAGATTTTATGGGAGATAGTTTTGAAACTATCAGTTCTGTAGGCCCTCATGGAGCAATTATTCATTATCAACCTGATGAAACAACGGATGTACCTATAACAAGAAATTCCTTATATTTATGTGATTCAGGTGCACAATATAGAGATGGTACTACAGATGTTACTAGAACTTTTCATTTTGGTACTCCTACTGAATATGAGAAAGAGTGCTATACAAGGGTATTAAAAGGTCAACTACAATTAGCATCTCGTATTTTTCCAACAAAAATCAAAGGAAACCATTTAGACTCTTTTGCTAGAGAGTATTTGTGGGACGTTGGGTTGGATTATGCTCATGGGACAGGTCATGGTATTGGACATTATTTAAATGTTCACGAGGGGCCCATGGGAATTTCCTGGAGACCAATTAATACTGATCCAGGTTTACAAGCTAATATGTTTCTCTCCAATGAGCCAGGGTATTATGAAGATGGCAAGTTTGGAATTCGAATTGAAGATATTGTTCAAATCGTTCCTGCTAATCCTCCACATAATTTTAACAATAGAGGATTTTTGGGATTTGAGACTATAACTTTGCTACCTAAGAGTTTGAATTTAATTGATGTAAATATGCTGACTAATGATGAAATTAAACAATTAAATCAGTATCATCAACAATGTAGAGATATTGTGGGATCCATTTTAGAAACAAGTGGACAACTTGATGCTAAGAAGTGGTTATGGAAAGAAACAGAACCCATATCACGATAAAATAATACATATTAAAGATGGGAGACATTTAGATATGATATATTTATTCAAAATGAATTTTATTTAAAAGCTATACTTCAAAAATGTATTTTTGTATATGTAATTAAACGAGAAAATTGATGATAATGGAAAATATATTAAAACACAATTTAATAGTAATATATTTATTGGTCTTAATCCAGTTTGATTTTTGCTAATACAAAACAAAATAAATAAATGAAATATGTCAATCTGTTTCTGATTATTTTTTATTCTTTTTCTTTTTTGTAATAGCTCTATCACTTTGTAAAGATTTTGGGAGATCTTTTGTAACAGATTTTGATGATTCTAATATTCCAGTAGGTCGTTTTGAAGGGGCTTCTGTTTGTATGTCTGATCTATTTTGTTCAACTTTCTCATAGGATAATATCAAAATAATCTCGTAAAATTCGATAAACGATAGCTTATAATTTAAACAATAACGCTTCGTTTCTGTGACTATTTGAGGACAAACTTTAGATATGGTTTTTAATATACGTCTTCGCCCCAAAGTATTAAACGTATAAAGGCTTTTGTTTTCAAACTTATTTTCGGTATATTGCTTCGCAATTCGAGTCTTTTCTGAAAAGAAAATGAACTATAATCAGACGGTATTATTATGGATTTATGAAATACCTAAATGTCTTAAATGTTTAAAGTAATGAGTAGGAGATCGATAAGTAGATAAGAAACAATATATCTAGTAAAGCTGATAATCATTGCACATTGCATCACTTATCTCTTTGCGTGATTATTTTTGCATCACCTCACTGGAATTGATTTCCATTAATATAGCGAAAAGTGCAGTGAGAAGTTAAGAATATTTCAGACAGTAGGGGAGAATGGGGAAGGTCAATAACAATTTGTACAAAAATGGAATAAATTACAGTGGCGGATCTAGGGTAAAATACGTCGTGGGCAAAGACAAAATTTGGCGCCCCCAGCCCCCACAATTCGAAAAAGGCTGTACTTAAACTGCCGTTAAACGGTAGCTTACTAAAATGCCGTTAATAGGTATGACATCGTTGATGTGACCTAAGGATGTGACGCACTTGACGGCTTTGTGAAATATAGGAATTTTATAAGGATTAACCAACGCTATCCATCCCACCAAATAACCAACTTAACCAACGCAACTAACCTCGACACTGATAAAAAATATACAAAAAAACAAATATAAATTAGTAAAAACCAACCAACCCCACCAAATAACCAAGTAACCAATGAATTAACACCCTCCAAATAACTACGCTAACCAACCCGCCAAATAACTAAACCAATCCAACCAAAAAGAGTGAAACCAATGCCATAAGATCACGCTATAAGCAAAAAAAAATATAAAAATGTCTTGGTTGGCGTGAGACTTGAACCACAGGCCATTCGCTCACGAAGCGATAGCCTCAGCCACAGAGCCACAGGTACTCTTGCAAAATGCTTATAGCCAGGCATTATTTTCCGCCGACATGAACGACGTCACAAATGTCACAATATCTATTAACGGCATTTTAGTAGGCTACCGTTTAACGGCTGTTTAAGTACATCGTTCAAAAAATGTGTAGACACCCCCCCCCACCCCTAATTTTTATTAAGATACTATTTGAGACACGGGTTACTAAAAATGTTTTTTATACATACTACTGGGTAAATGAACTTGTAGACATACTTTGAAGTTTTTGAAATTTTAGTTTCGGAGATATAGCATTAATCGGACCTTTTTTAACTACAGATGTCCGACCCACTATTGCCGGACTCTGTATTTTTTTTCATTTTTTCAACTAAATATTCGGTCGACTCGAAATAGCATGTCGGCGCCCTTGGTCGGCGCCTAGTCCTTACTGGTGTAATATGTAATAAATACCTTAATAAAAATACTTACCACGAAAATATACTTTGTTGTTTAATGTCACCATATTTTTACCAATTTGTATCGCATATTCATTTGTGGCGTTATCGTCATTAATTAGTTTGTAGCAAGGTATTTTATATCCTTTATGTATGCAGGTATGGTGTAATAACATTTCGACTGAGTGAGGTTCTCCAATTTCTTTGTACAACCCATACATAGATGCGATAGGAACAAGATCCTTAAAATGGGTTAAGCAGTTTCCTATAAAAATATTCTTAAAGTCAAGTGAAACTCTATGTCGAACATCTGGAAATATTCGAGTAAAGCGGCGTTCAGGCAGGTCGATTTTAGTTAGTAAATTCACAGTGGCGGCTCGTGGGTAAGAAATTAGGTGAAGAGTTAATTTTTTCAAATTGCGCCTCAGGCGAAAATTTTTTGGCGCGTTCACCATTTTGTCAACATTTTTAAAAATATTATTTGAATTATTGCTGCATTCACCATTTTGTCAACTTTTTTTTGTTATTATTGTTACGTTTTTCGTCGGTTCCGTGTGGATAGAAAGTCACAATTTTTTAAACACTATTTATTTAACACTAATTAACAAAAAACAATAACGATAAAAGACTTATAGAACTATTTACAAACGATTTATAACTAAGAATTTATTTTGAACTTTAGCGCGTCAACTGTACTGTTTATTTATAACTGTCCTCTCTAGGCCACAGCCGCCGGCTTTTATACCTACAGCAAAAGAAATCTAGAATAGTCCATAGATCGTTAGGTGCATAGATGAGAAGGTTTTCGAATGTTCTCGTATGTACTAGTCCATTCCAGTGGGACTCGATTCTTCTCGAACGAATGAATCATTACGGTGTCTATTCTTTAATGCGATGTTAAGGTCATCTGAGGGCGGGACATATAGTTAGGTTAGGTCGAGTCCACACGGGTCCGCAACATTATTTATACACTAATACCTATAATATTTTCGTTTTAGTTTTTGCTAAAACGCATTAAGTAAAAAGAGATACAATCAGTCTTCGATAAACACATTATTTTGCATTCCAGTGAAAATTGAGAAAAACATCTCTCTTATCTTCATCTGTCCACCGTCTGAAGGGAGTTGCCAATAAATTGCACACCAAGTCATTAATTGTGTTCATTTTTTAACACATACACACACAAAACAGTTTTAAAACAACAACAAAACAAACAGCAAAAATCTGCAAAAATTAACAAGTTAGTTAAATTAACAAAAGCCATTAACAAACAACAATAAATAACAAACAACTTTGCAGTCTTTACACGGTTAATTACTCGCCGAAGTAGCCGAATATTAGCATAAATGCAAAAATTATGCGCTGCTGTCACGCATATCCTGAACAAAATGAGGACGAAGAGAACTGCCCAAAACCAAAAACTCATTCACATGAGACCGATGTGAATCACATCGGTCTCCGATAATAAACTGCGGAGCGGGGGAACATCTGCAGCTAGAGACGTCACGTTACCATGGAAACCGTGCAGCCGCTTAGCTCAGAAATAGAAACATTTTCACTTGTATTTGCACTTCTGGCTTGTAGGCGCGTGCGGGCCTATAATGCTACTTTTTCGGCCGGAATTAACGATGCGGTGGACCTATTATGCAGAGGTCCACCGCAGTATAATCTATAATTGGAGCTATTTCGGCTATAACGACATTTTTTGAAGGTACATAATTATAATTTTAGAAGATGTTCATAAAACATTTAATCACTGATTGATTAAAAAAGTATACCATTAATAATATTGCAATTTATATTTCATTCTCTCATAGTATATGTCTATTTAATTTTTTGATTATGTAACGAGCACTTTGTTTACCCACTTCTTTCGTCGAACGGCTTGAATCCATTTTTGCTATTGATCAAATCGATGTAAGAAATTATGAAGCTATAAAATGTTGTTTCGGGAGAGTTGAATATCCGAGGAAGTTGAGTTATTGAATGTTATTGCAACCAACAACGCCCTAATTACGCTCTCCTTTACGCGTTAACATTTTTAGGGCAATTTTATTAACATTTGAAATTGTCACAACACAAGACGCCTAGTTCGAATTCTTTTTCACTTATTTTTTACTACTTGAAACAGCGTTACATCACACAAACCTCGTACAACTTAACAAGTATAGCTAGATACGTGAGAAATATAAAATAACACGCGACCGGTGCTATCCCCAAGTCTCTTCCTATATTTGTACAACTGTACTTGAGTGTTTTATAGTCTCAATAACTGCACTAGCAAAAAACTAAAATACTTAAATATTACGACAAAACCTCGATTTCAATATTATTTTAATGCGATCGACATGACGGCGCGCGGCGGCCTGAACTATTTATTGATAATTTCTGATTTCCGCCGTAGAGTGCGCTGCGGTCGGAATTTGTTGAAATCAACTGAAATGCACCAAGCCTATAGGCGCATAAAATCTAGTTGGCGAAAATATTATTATTATTATTCGCGAAAATATGGAATGTTATGTTAGTATTACAAATGATATTTGACAATAAGCTTCATAAATTTCGGGTTTATTTTTGATTCGTGCCCTCTAACGGACAGACGAAGCACTTTTGTATAGAGGTAAATTGTGTGCAATTCATTTATTTGGATTAAAAACATTCGTAGTTCTATGTTCATATTTTACTAGGGAACTCCCTGTATATTTTGTAAGCTGCTTTGGAAAACAAATTCTCCATTAAAAAAAAAACTATGCGATATGGAGTTTTTTACAAGAGATAACGAATGTACTACATTCTTGTACGAGAATGTACTACATTCGTTATGAATGTAGTAAATACTAGTACGACCATTTTACGAAAAATAAATCAGTCGTTGGTGAAGTTGGAAAACCCTTCCCGTAATTTTTCTTGATTTTTGTAAAAGTCAAAAAGCACTTAGCAAAACATAAGTACTCCAAATCCCGTTCAAATCGGAATAGGGTTCTTAATAAAATATCCTAAAAAACGTGTTTTTTTTTGTATACCGGGTGTGTGTCAAAAGTGGCTCACCCCTATAACTTTTTTATTTTTTCAGATACAAAAACGAGATTTGGTATGTTAGTATATGACATAAATTAGGATTGATTGACGTATTCAATTGCTTTTGGTCATTTCCTGTTTCACCGGACATGACTACAACTTTTGATTTTTAAATAGCACCCTCGGTATTTTTTTTACTTTATTCGATAGCAAATGATATTCTGAATAGAATGACATATGTCAACTTTTGACATTCTCGCTTAATAAAAAATCCTATTTTAAAATTCAATCTAGAGTGTCATGACTTTATTAAAAACACTAATTCTTAATCAAGGAGCCTTGGAAAAATAGATTTGATTGTCTAATGTTTTTAGTGTCTTGTCCTGACCAGTTAGAAAATGTATTTTTAATCATATCTCAATTTTTTCAAATGGAACGAGGGTGGCTCATTAGCGTATTTCGAAAAAGTATTTTTTTACGAATAATTTGATACCACACACTTGGTATTTCGAGTCAAATTTTCGTTACGAACCGCCAGTTATAATTTCAAATAAACCATATGCGAAATGTCAAAAAGTTGTCATATGTCATTCATTCATGTCATTCATGAGTGTCATTTTCTACCGAATAAAGTAAAAAAAATACCGAGGTGCTATTTAAAAATCAAAAGTTGTAGTCATTTCCGGTGAAACAGGAAGTGACCGAAAACAAATGAATACGTCAATCAATGCTATTCCATGTCATATACTAACATACCAAATCTCGTTTTTTTAACTAAAAAAATAAAAAAGTTATAGGGGTGAGCCACTTTTGAGACGCACCCGGTATATGTAGGTAAGTTGTGTCTAATTCAAAAGTTGTAGTCATTTCCGCTGAAACAGGAAGTGACTGAAAACAACTGAATACGTCAATCAATGCTATTTTATGTCATATACTAACATACCAAATCTCGTTTTTTTAACTTAAAAAATAAAAAAGTTATAGGGGTGAGCCACTTTTGAGACGCACCCGGTATATGTAGGTAAGCTGTGTCTAATGAACCTATTTTGATTCCAAAAATATGTAGTAGTTCTAGGTCCACGATATATTGGGACACCCTGGATACTTTTTATATAAAAAAAGTTAAATTAGATATTTACCTTGAATATTTCCAGATTTAGGAAAAACTTCGGTATCTAGAAAATCTTTGAATGTGTGGTATAAGAACCTGTCGAGAGTTGTTATTTCTTCATTCATATTTAAACTATACATCAAACAGAATACACATACTATTGCTTGGAGAAACTGCCAAAAATAGATTGGTTCCCACGGATTGTGGGTACTTTCTAGGCAACTTTTTGGATTTCTTATTAAAATTTCGTCTATTTCTACAATCGGCAGTCCTCCTTTTTCCGTTAAACCAATATCTCTAAAAGAGTTCAATCAAATAAACTTATGATTTTGTTACCTTTGTTATGATGATGTTAACTTAAAAAACAAGGAGAGGAAGAAAAATGATATCTACTAAAATAGATATAAAATGCGCGGAGGTTTTTCAGCGTTTGTCTTTGGAAAATATTTCCTACTTTCATATTAAAAAAATTATTGAATTTTGTATGTCTTCCGGTGACTACCGGTGCGTCCAGACCTGATGAGACGAGAGCGAGACGAGCGCGAGACATTACAAGACTGGCTTTCGAAGCTGGAAGCGTCTCGAACACCGAGCGAATAAAAATAATAGTAAACAATCACATACCGGGGTGCATCGTCGAGCGGGACATAGGAAATCTCATGTAAATTTTAATGGGGTCAATTATTGGCTTCCCTAATTATTTTAGAGAATAATTCTATTTAGGTTTATTGAAGAGCACTAAAACCCACATTCAAAAGAATAACTTTAGATATTTTTGATTAGCCCGTTTACGAGTTATCGCCGATTTCTTTTTAAATATTTCTCCTTTCTTATGGCCCTGTATTTACTTATGAGCACCAGTCAAGGTAAAAGATAACTGTCAAATGAAGTTGTCATTTCAGAAATTTATCTATTTAGTGCTTCATTATTATTATTAAAAATTCATACCTACATCGATAGCCATGAATTACACTACCGAAGAAAATGTATTGATGATTAAATGGTATTATCAAGGAAATAGTTATATTAGGTGTCCGACATGTTTGCTGCTCTGTATCCGCATAGACCGATACCTGGAAAATCTACAATCGCAAGGAATATCCAGAGATTTGAGACCAAGTTAGTTATTTAGATTATTTTTAGATATATACCGGGTGGTCCGAACTGTATTCCGGAAACTTAGGCAGCATATTCTCCAGAGTAATGTCATTATTTAGGTCAAAATTGGGGTCTGGGAGTTTTTTGATATGAGAAATTTGATTTTGATGTTAATATGACTGCTATTTGTAAGGGGTGTCATCTGCATGTGTTTTAACTGTTTTGAAGAGTAATACTTTTCGTACGTACCTGTATAAAACTACTGAGTAAAAAAATATACATTTCCGTGATTTTTTACTTAAAAAAGTATCTTTATAACAATCGCTACGAGATCTGTATACAATGATTCTCGAGATATTTGGAATCTAAAGATATTTTTTGGAAATTGATGTGTTCGGAAACGTCCTATCCTTTTTTAATCTTTCTATATTAGTGTTAATTTTTGACAAGTTTTATGCCAATTTTTTGTAAATGACGTCTAAAGATTGACATCGCCAAAATTTTCATCCATTGTCAGTCCTCAGCTGTCTTTGACGCCGATTTTTTTTCGATCATGCGGTACTATACTAATATTTAAAATATATTCAATAAAAGCTATAGTAATTCTAATACCGTAATAATTAACTAAATCTCCCCCAAAAAAATCCTTTCTGGGTATTTCGCCACTGCACTGCAAGAAAATCTACGAAATAAAATAGTTATTTTTTGTAAACACTTCTGCGTTAAACCTAAACGGACACTGCTTGTCAGATGTTATGTTTACAGTTATACAAATTTGCCTAACAAAGAAAAAAATGCTTAACGTTTCGGATAGTTTATCTCTTTCCGTCGTCGGAAAATTTTTTAACAGAACGGCAACGGTTTCTTGTAGACGTATCTGGTTTAAAAAAGTAAAGTGTTCTCGAATAGTTGAATTTAAATATTTTAAATAGTTTTTTTCATTATTCTTTGTATTTTTTGCTTCCGACGACGGAAAGAGATAAACTTTCCGAAACGTTAAGCATTTTTTTCTTTGTTAGGCAAATTTGTATAACTGTAAACATAACTTCTGACAAGCAGTGTCCGTTTAGGTTTAACGCAGAAGTGTTTACAAAAAATAACTATTTTATTTTGTAGATTTTCTTGCAATTCAGTGGCGAAATACCCAGAAAGGATTTTTTTGAAGAGATGAATCCGCCACATAGGTATAGACATTTTTTAATTAACTAAATGTTTGCCTCAGACAAGTTTACATAAATAATAAATATACATTCAATATAGGACCTATGTAGTTTTCGTTTGGGTAAAAGCCTTACCATACACGATTTTAATTATCGAAAGAAGTAGGTACTATCAGTACGGAAATAGTACATAGGGCTAAGGTTTTATATGTGAGACATATTTTTTGTACGTCTATGCCTACCTATACAACTGCCACAAAAACAATCTAACAAGTATCGGTTCACAATTTAATCCTTCTTCTCCACTTCCTAGCTTGGCGTACGTTCGGTATATGTTTCTTAACTGAGGTAGATATATGATAATCACGTTTTTCAAATCGGTCATATCCAGAATACTGCTCAGGCTCAAGCTTGATTCTAAAGTATCAGTTACGAATTCTTGATTGGAAGGAAGATAATTAATACAAGATAACGAAACGGGAATGTTCCCTGGTGACCTGCAAACAAATAATAATCCTACGTAAGCACATTTCTTACGTACAGGGTGTCCCATTTTTGTGTGTTTTACATGGTTTGCCAAGCTATCTTGTACACTCCGCACTAAAAAAAGTTCTAAAAAGAACAATGTTCGACTGTAAGGTCTGCTAGTAAACATTTTCAAGCTTAAAGTATCATAACACTATATACAGGGTGGTCCGAACTGTATTCCGGAAACTTCGGCAGCATATTCTACAGATAAAAGTAAGTAAAAAAGTTCGTATAAATGTATCTCCTAAAATGCTTAGTTTCGGAGATACAGGGTGGAGAAGTTTCATTTTTATTTCGATTTTTTTTTAATTATTTCTGAAGTAATGTCAATACTTGGATGAAAATTGGTGTCTAGGAGTTTTCTGACGTGGGAAATTTGATTTTGATGTCAATTTGACTCTTAATTGTAGGACGCGCCACCTACATTTGCTTTAACTGTTTTGAAGAGTAATAACTTTTCGTCCGCACCTGTATAAAATTACTGAGTAAAAAATATACATTTCCGTGACTTTCTACGTAAAAATGCCTCTTGGTAAAAATCGCTACGAGCAAACGTTCTCAAGATATTTAGAATGGAAATAGTTAATACATGTCACTATTAATAATAATAATAATAATAATATAATTTATTTTGCACGAATATCATTTACAACAAATGTAATTTACAAATAAATAATAATAATAAAAAAAAACATGCACAAAAGGAACCGAAGACAATTAAAATTTGTTTAAATTCAGTTCCTGTCAGATCACGATATCAGCTAGTATAAATGTGTGTTATGTAGCTAAATTATTTTACTGTAACTTATCTACAAATATAAGTAAATTATATAAAAATCCTATAACAAAGAAAATTTAGTATGAAATTCAAAGAAAAGTATTTTATACTAAAATAATACTGAAGTAAAAAAAACTAACTTCGAAATATTAAATGAGAAACATCTAGTGAACAATGCTGTTTTGTGAGGTTGTGGAGTAATAACTCCCTTAATTCTAAGGTTTAAGTTGTGCACATCTGTTCTGAATTTTATTTTATTCACCAAGTATGGGGGACACTCCTTAGAAATAACTCCATGAAATAAAACCAATGAATGCATCTTACGTCTATTTTCCATATTCAACCACTTATGCGAAATGGGATCATATTTTCTTATACCATAAATATTATATATTTCATTGACATAAAATATACACTTTGAGTAGATAGTTACTTGACTGAAATAATAAATTTGGGAAATTTTTATTTTTTTTTAAAATAATCACGCGAAAAAATGACGATAGAACCGTTTCTGTTGAACTTTTGGCACAAAAACATTTCATATTCAGTCTAATAACTATTTAGTCAACATTTTAATTTATGTCAATGATGACAAGTATTCATAATTTCGATTCCAAATATCTCGAGAACCATTACTCGTAGCAATTTTTACCAAGAGACCTTTTTTGCGTAAAAATAGTCGTAAATGTATAATTTATTACTCAGTAGTTGTATACAGATACAGATGAAAAGTTATTACTCTTCAAACCAGTTAAGGAACATGTAGGTGGCGCTCTCTACAAGTAGGAGCCATATTGACATCAAAATCAAATTTCTCATGCCAAAAAACTCCCAGACACCAATTTCCATCCAAATATTAACGTTACTTCAGAAATTATTTGGGAAAAATCGAAATAAAAATGCAACTTCTACACCCTGTATCTCTGAAACTAAGCATTTTGGGGACATACATTTATACGAACTTTTTTACTTATTTTTATCTGCAGAATATGCTGGCGAAGTTTCCGGAATACAGTTTGGACACCCTGTATTTAAACCAAAAACACGTAATACAAAACTAAAGTGTCAAAACGAATGAAAATGCCAGAAAATAAATAAATAAATGCGGCAACTTGACATTTTTTACAATAGAATAGAGCTTACCACCTGAATCCCTAGCGCGAAATTTAAATTCCAGTTAGTCAGCACGGGGCCGGCGCCGGCGCGGCGCGCCGCGCTATGTCCATGGTTAACAACTATACGTATACTTATAATATTAATAGATATCTTTCATTTTCTTAAACCTTTATTCAATATTTCAATTGTGATTTTCTTGGGTATAGGTTTCTTTATTAAAAATTAAATGATTTCTGGATGTTTTTATAGTTATTTTTTATACAAGAGGATAAAATGGTATTTTATCGTCGACCAAAAAGATTATTATTAATTATTTATTGAATTAATTTCGGGAAACGATAATGCAATTTCATCGTCGTGTGTAAAACAATATTTTTTTCCATAGCGAGTTACGTTTTAAAAAATATTCAGAAATTAGCATTTCAAGGAATTTATTACGAGTAGACGAGTAGAAAAAATATTATGTGCTGGGTTGGTGTTCGTTTCTATGTAATTTGACAAATAAATAAAGCTGTCTCTTTAGTTGTCAGTTTTGAGTCAATATTTTTTAATTCTCTTTCGTGTCGATTGTTGATTGAATTGGAGCCAGAAATGGCTCAAAACGAAATAAGTAAATTACCAACAGATATTCAGGCTGAGGCGACAAACGCCATATCCAAACTACTTCCATTTAAATCCCGAATAACTTATGAAAATGAATACAAACATTTTCAAAAATAGAAGCAATTAAAAAACGTGCGAGAAGAAATAAAGTTTTTAACCTATCCTCCCTGTTAAAGTATCATTTAATCTACCCTTGCGGTTAAAGTACTATTTTTGATAGATATAAGGCAATTTTAACAGTTGCTATGGAAAAAATAATTTATTTGCCGACGTTTCAATCTTTTATGCAAATCTTTCTCAAGGCATCTATAATATTTAAAAAAATAAATCATTTTAAATGAAATGCTATATATTTCGTTAGCTCAGTGATTAAGAATATTAAGTTTATTAATTAATAATATTCATATGAATTATTATAACAAATAAAATAAATTGTCACAGTTTATAGTTATTAATCCATATTGTTCAGTTGTCATATTGTTGAATCATATTTGTTAAACCTTTGTGATCTTTTTAATTTACGACCTGTTTCGAATTATAGATTTTCGATTTGAGATTGTATCAAAGTAAGATTTAAAAATATATATTAAACTACTTTTAAGCTCTTTTATCTAAATGTATATTGATAGGAAGCAGTCCTATATCAACGCGCAAACTGATAATAAGCAATAAAACGATTTAATTACATATAAAAGTAGCAAAATATGGCTAGATAGTTTGATATCTAAATTAATTGTTAGTTGTAATATTTTTATACTTACTGACGTGAAAATTTCACATGAATTTTCATCAGTTGTCATTTATACACCATCGTTCCATAATATACAGGGTGGCCCATCGAAAACGTTCCGCAAGGCATAACGGCCAGGGTAATTTTTTTTTAGAAAATTCAAAAACACGTCAATTTTGTTTGTGAGGGGGACAACTTTTGCCCCAAGAATTATTGCAAAACCTTCAACCCTCTAAGCGGGGGTGTCTTCCCCCGATTTTTTTCAAATGGGAAGAGGGGGTCAAGTGGTACCGCAGTGAAAAGGGCTTGCTATTCTCTAAACTTTCCTGCTTCGTTTTTGAAGATCAGTCGAGTCGTTGGGAAAATATGAAGGATTGAAATTTGAAAAGTTTTTAAACATTTATCAGAGTAAATGAGAAGGATAAGTTCCTTCGACCAATTTGCTGTTTTTTTCTTATTATTTCTAGATGTTTGCAATCGGATTTGCGCAGATATTCAATAAACGCCATCTGACAAACACCTTTATGGCAAAATTGTTCGCCAGTTAGTAGAAAAATTTCGCGAAACTGGTTTGCCGTTATGAATAAAAAGAGGCAGAAGGAAAATCCTGTAGTAAATGAAGCTATGGAGGTATTCGTATTGGGCCAAGTTGCCATGGACAGTATTCTGAGTACAAGAAAATTAGCCAATGAGACCGGCGGGAATCGTACAAGTTTCCAAAGGATATTAAAACAACACAAGTTCCACCCGTAGAAAATTCAGTTGGTACAAGAACTCAACGAAAACGATTTTGATCGTTGCTTGCCATCAATTTTGTGAAACTATGAGTGAACGAGTGGCGAATGATAATAATTTCCTATTTAATGTGTGTTTTTCGGATGAGTGTACTTTCTTCTTGAACGGTGTAGTTAATCGGCACAACTGTCGGTACTGGGCTGAGGACAACCCCTGGGTTTTTCACGAGGTGCACACACAAAACCCTCAGAAATTGAACGTGTGGGCTGGTATTTTTGGAAATTCTATTGTGGGTCAGTTTAACGATATCGAGAAGAACTTCAACGTATAAGTCACAGAACAGCTATCTAGCAACTGCCGCACCTGATCGTTCAACGTTGTGGCAAGTGAAACAATGCTTAAACATCTAGAAATAATAAGAAAAAACAGCAAATTGGTCGAATTTATCTTTAATTATCATTTACTCTGATAAATGCTTAAATAAACTTTTCAAATTTCAATCCTTCATATTTTCTCAATGACTCGACCGATTTTCAAAAAACGAAGCGGGAAATATAGAGAATAGAAAGCTCTTTTTCATTGCGGAGCTACTTGACTCTCCTTTCCATTTGAAAAAAGTTTGGGGATGACACCCCCGCTTAGAGGGTTGAATATTTTCAAATCATTTTGGGGCAAAAGTTGTCCCCCTTCATACCAGACAATTCCATTGTCTGATTCCCTTACTTCTCGACTTGACTAAAAGATGGCGCCTGAAAAAGTCTTTTAATTTCTGGCGGATACGTTGCGGTTGTGCAGGCAACCAGTAATACATTTTTAATTTCTGGCGGATACGCCATTTTTCTTGACAATACATTACTTATTCGATATGAAAGAATTTTTGCAATTTTTATATAATATTTGAAATCTTTTAGTTACGTAATCGAGGGCGCGGTTTTTAAATTCATTGTTGCCATCCATGGACATTATTCGGCGTCGGGCTGACTAACTGGAATTTAAATTTCGCACTGGGGATTCAGATGGTAGCTCTGCTGTAAAAAATGTCAAGTTGCCGCATTTATTTATTTATTTCCTGACATTGTCATTCTTTTTGACACTTTAGTTTTGTATTACGAGTTTTTGGCTTAAATAAATCGTGTTATGATACCTTAACCTTAAAAATGTTAAAAACTAGCAGACCTTGCAGTCAAAAATTGACCTTTTTAAGATCTCTTTTAGTGCAAAGTGTACAAGATAGCTCCATAGCCGTAAAAAACTCATCGCAACTTTATTAGAATATTTTGAACGGGAAAGCGGTAGTAATGGCTCTTTATGTCCCTTAAGTGCTGTTAAGAAGGTGAGTTTTGTTGATATAAATAAGAACTGTTTATATATTTATAATTAATCTTTTTTTGTTTCCTAAAATATTTTGATTAAAAGAAAATATATAAAAGTGGGCAACGCTGTGCCGGTCAAGCTTAATCACGTGACTAAAAGTTTATTTTTTGATATGAACTATACAGGATGGCGCCTCTCATACGACGCGGAGGCTCCAAGGAGAACGGTAGTTTATATCGAAATGAAGTTTTGGCAGCGTATGCAGGTTAATTGAAAGCATTTTATAAAATTTTTTAGAGTTCTACAGGTGTCCTCAAATAGTACAAATAGTACACAAAAAAAATTGCGTTTTTTGTAATGGAACACCCTCTATATTGATTGATTTTCGAATTCTATGTAGAAATAAAGGTGAGTTTTATTAAAGAAGCATATACCTAAAATGTAAGGATTTTGACATATCTCACATTTTGTAAAAATGAAGAGTAAATTTAAAATTTCAATAACAGCTACCTAAATTTTAATTGACCTTGTATAGTCTGATATTTAATTAAAGCAACTATTGTATGTTAAACCAAATTAACATTTGACCCGAAAAGTTATACAGAGTGAGACAAAATTAATATGTCACTTTTAAAAACAGATTACTTCTTTATTTTAAATAGAATACCCAGTATATTATTCCGGTGTTCATTGGGAAATTCATATATCTCCAAAATATTATTAAGGTTGCCTACCCCTCAGACAAAGATTTTTCTAGATATTTTTATTTTTATGATTTTGCTTCAGTAGATCTTAGAAAAAAATCTAGGTGGGGGTGATATACCTTTTATTAATTTAACAAAAATTAAAGGATGTAGAGTAAAATACTCAAGGGTAATAAAAAGATTAAAACATATTTTAATTATTACAAAATTAAAACTAGATATCAACCTATAATTATGTGACAAAAATTAGCTAGGTGAAATAAAATGCTCAAAATGCTTCCTTTCCTGTTAACTGCATAAAATGATTGTCTTTTCATGTTAAAAGGCATACGTGGAGTGCTACTTCGAAAATCAGCCACAATCATTTCTCTCATGTTGTCGGCAATAGTTGGTTGAGTTTTGTAAAAACTCTCTTTAACATATCCGTACATAACAAAGCACAGTTTAGATAAAATCAGGAGCATTTAAGTATTCTATTAATTGGTGAATGCACACTGCATTTATACTTCTCTTATAAAAGTCACCTTTATTTTTCTCCCAGAATCCAGAAATCAATTAATATATAGGGTGTTCCATTACAAAAAACACAACTTTGATATGTAACTTTTTGGGGGGACACCCTGTAGAACTCTCTATATTTTAAAAAAGTGCTCTGAATTAACCTACATAGCTCACAATATTTCATTGCAATATAAACTGTCGTTCTCCTTGGAGCCTCCGCGTCGTATGAGAGGCGCCACCCTGTATACTTATAATTAATACTATAGTCTGTGAAGCGAATAACTTTGAATTTGACAGTTCCGGCGGGCTTTTCTAGTGTTAATTTTATTAGGTTAGCAACTTGCGGCCATGCTGACGCAATGCCGTCTCTAATAGAACAGCCTCACTTGACTATGGCTGAAATCGCACTCCATAGTCAATGTAGACAGTTTTAGTGTTAAGAATAATAATTTTAAAAAATATGTGGTCATCTTTTCACAAGTTTATATTAGTTTATTAATTGTAGTAAACATTATGTGGTGTGTGGTGTGAATATTTTATATGTAATTTTTTGGATTATATTCGACACTATTTTTCCATATGGACACAACACTGATGAAGGCTGTAATGTTACCCGAAACGTTTTTTTTTAAACCAAATAAAAATAATGAAAAACCAAATGAAAACTTAATCAGCGTTTTTCCCGAACCTAAATCCCAAGAAAATCAAAAATTTTAGAATAATTTTACATATAAAATGACAGCGATCTTTATTTCATAGCCATCTCTGACGCCTTTTTTTCTATGATATTGTATTATTTGCAAATATAATTTTTCGAACATTGATACTTGCAAAATATACATATAAATTTTGTGAATTCAAATAATAATACATCACTATTAGTAGATATTGAATGTTTTCCGTTAAATTAGATCGATTTTCAAACCCCAAAATTTAAAATATATTTTACATTTTATCCATTATCTGAATTACCTATTCATTATTTGTATATTGTAAAACATTTGCTGCATTTGTGTGGTTCATAGTTTATTTGCCAATAATAAGTATTTATTACTATAAACAGGTATATGTATTGTATTTATTATCTGTATATTATGTATATTTCATGTAAACTATATCATTTTTAAAATACAATGTTTATGAATGAACATGTATCAATAACAATGTATCATGAATACATGTTTTCCATGTATTCTACAACATATTTATTAATCCGTAGTATCTAACTAGCGTGACGTCATCAATCTCGCTCCGAGGCTGTTCTATTAGAGACGGCATTGGTCTGATATTTAGAAATGTCAAAAGCTGATGGCATTTTACATTTGGATATTATGACATTTTGTGTTGATTTTTGCAAGAAGAGGAAGAACTGTCACTTGTTTTATTATTTTCCTTTTTTATTTCACGAAAGTAAAAAGAGTTACCTATCTGATTCGTTCAGGCACTCAGTTTAAAGAATATCAGTAACTTTTTTGACAGAGGAATTTTATATTTACCATGTTGGTAAAAAATAACGGTCAAAATTCAAAGTTATTCATGTTATAGACTATATATTGATCATTTTACTTACGGTTTTACAAAGCTATTGAGATCGATTTCGCTTATTTCCGATGTGTTCACGTAAAGGCACTTTTTCAAAATGTTGTCTACGAAATACGTCAAATCAACTTCTTCTATAACGTTATGAATTGGAATTTTTAAAGGTGGCTCGTTCCCGGTATTAGTTTGTAACAATTTTAAGTATTGTCCGGTTTTAATGTTGATTGAACTCCTTAATATATTTGATATGGATCCTTTGCTTAAAGATGACAAGTTTTCCTGCAAATAAAGGTAGAAACGTGACAAACTTACGGTGATAACTTCCTATGGATACTTATTTTCACTTTAAGTTAAAAATAACACACTGGCTAAACCGCTATACCGGGTGCGTCTCAAACATGGCTCACCCCTATAACTTTTTTATTTTTTCAGATAAAACAACGAGATTTGGTATGTTAGCATATGGCATAAATTGGGATTGATTGACGTATTCAATTGTTTTCGGCCACTTCCGGTTTCACCGGAAATGACTACAACTTTTGATTTTTAAATGGCACCCCCGCACAGTGGAACGAGCTTATAGGAGCGGTTGGACATGAGGTTTTTTACATGATACTTTCAATCTGGAAAACTTACAATTATTTTCATATCCTGTTTATATTATGTAAAGAGGGACGTCTTAAATTATAACAAAAAATTGTTGCCTTACATAACTTAAACCATATATAGGGCGCCCCAAAAATATAGTGTGTTTTACCAAAACCAACTTTTTTAAAGCCCATAACTTTGCTTCATTGTTATCAATTTTTTTTTCGTTTTGAGATTTTGGAGAGGAGGAACTTTGAGTTTTATTAGAAAAAATATTTTTAATAGATTAATAATTTATTATATAGGGTGGTCAACAAAAATCAGCCTTTGAAAATTGCATAATTATTGCATTTTAATAAACGCGGTTTTAGATAAAGTTAATGTTTTCTGGACAAAATAATGTTAAAAAATAATGGTTTAGCATGTTTTTCGTTTCGTTTTTGAATATTTCAGCCAAGTGATAACCATATTAAATTACTGTATATTTGAAAATTATTTGAACGACTAGCATTATTTGTTAATGTCAGGGTAAATGTCAAATAAGGCGTGCGGGGAAGTATCACTTTACGCATTTGTTAGGAAAATAACTATAGTAAAGTGATACACTAATTTCTCATTAACAAGTCATATTTGAGAATTATTTTTTTAATAGTTGTGCTTATAATAATAAAAACCGTAGATGTATCCTAAAAGGAGGGGGGGGGGGGTGCAATGATTTGGAAATTTATACATAAATGTTAAGAAGGATAGTATCTAATAATAATAATATCGGGATAACCATATATTTTTAAAGCCAGATTTGTTCAACCTATATAAATTACTTAAAAGCCCCCTGGAAATAGTATCCATCGTATAGTTCAAAATTTGTTTTTTCAAAAAACGGCAAATTGGGGCAACTCTTTTATATATGTTTATAATAAGAGAGATCTGTAATAAAAATTCAAAACTTTTTAATTCAAAAATATATAGTGGGTGATTGATGAGAATGAGATGTATGTACAACACTTTGGCAAAAATTCATTAACAAAGAACGAGTTAAATTAAAAAAATAATATTTTTAAAAAACCTACCACAGCTTGGGCAATAAAAAAAATCAAATTGTGGTAATATTTTCAACATGAATTAACCTTTTTGAAAACGGTTAATTTTAAACCTTTGTAAAAACGACAAAATACATTTTTGTTTTCTAAAAATTAGTTTTTAAGAGAGGCCTGACATTTGTTTTTGAAACTACCATATTCAGTTTCCCATTTTCCCAAAAAAAATTTTAGCCCCATGTCCAACATTTAACATGGACTCGTTCCATTGTGCCACGGTATTTTTTTACTTTATTCGATAGAAAATGACACTCTGAATCGAATGACATCATATGTCAATTTTTGAGATAGTCACTCAAAAACAAATTCTATTTTAAATTTCAATCTAGAGTGCTATGGCTGTGTTAAAAACACTAATTTTTAATCAAGAAGCCTTGGAAAAATAGATTTGATGTTTTTAGTGTCTTGTCCTGGCCGGTTAAAAGATGCCCAAATCGTATTTTTAATCATATCTCAATTTTTTCAAATGGAACGAGGGTTTGGTTTTATTACATTAGCATATTTGGAAAAAGTATTTTTTTACGAATAATTTGATACCACACACTTGGTATTTTGAGTCAAATTGTCGTTATGAACCGCATGTTAGAATTTCAAATAAACCATATGCCAAAATGTCAAAAGTTGACATATGATATGTCATTCGATTCAGAGTGTCATTTTCTATCGAATAAAGTAAAAAAATACCGAGAGTGCCATTTAAAAACCAAAAGATGTAGTCATTTCCGGTGAAACCGGAAGTGACCGCAAACAATTGAATACGTCAATCAATCCCAATTTATGTCATATACTAACATACCAAATATCATTGTTTTATCTGAAAAAATAAAAAAGTTATAGAGGTGAGCCACTTTTGAGACGCACCCGGTATACTAACAATACCGTCATCCGGCGGCATGATATTTATACAGGGTGGCGCACCTCATTCGCCTCGGTTGATTATACGAAAACGGAAAGATGTAGAAACAAAATATTTTATGGGTATACAGGGTTTTCCAGACTGAGCGTGCAATAAAAGTTTCTAGAGAACTAAAATATCTAGATTGGATATTTTTTGCACATTATTGTTTCACAGCGAGATCTATCGATTAAAAATACTCTCAATATGGCGGCAGTTCCGGAAATACCGGAACTTGACAGCAACTTCCTTGTTTTAAATGTGTATTACCGTTTTTTATTACATACTTAAATTCTCTGTAAAATTTTATGACTTTTGATGTTAAACACTGTATACCTAACAATAACCGTTTTTGAGAAAAAAAATGTTTAAAATTTTGGAACGAAAAAAACTTGCCTGTCAAAAAATTTGTATAGCCTAAAATTCAAATTTAATGATTACCACAGTCAATGCGGCATAAAGAGAAGACATGTGGAAATCTATTTCAAATATTCAATTAATCGAATGTCATATAATATTGGCCGTAGTTGTCATAGAAAAACTATTAAAAAATTATCATAATTCACTTTTTTCAAATAGAAACCCACTTTTTTTATTTTAATAGCAAAAAGGTTTTTCAATGCGTTATTTTTTTATTATACATGTTCCTATACTTAAAATAAATCGTTTTTAAGTTATTTAAGATATAGTTTGAAAGCGCATGTTATTTCTCGATTTTAACTACCTAGTAGCCTATGACTTTAAACGTCAAGCGATGTGAAACAATATATCTGTCCATATTATATTGTAAAACTTTGTTTAAAAACCAGTTTGTTATCAATCAATTCCAAGCTTCTAAGCAAAGTTTGCGCCGTTTTCTTTCGATCATATAATATCAAATATTATATATCACTAAGGAGCGAAAATACGAAATATAAGTATTTTTAAAAATACACTTTATAAAATTTTAAGCAGGCAGTATTTATAATACGAAATTAAAAAAAAATAGTTTTCTAACAGAAGGAAATAAATTGTCTGATTGACATTTAATGTCAAAGGAGGCTAAATAAAATCAAAAAAATATACGCTTTGAAACTAAATGTTGAATAACTTAAAAACGATTTATTTTAGGTATAGGAACATGTATAATGAAAAAGTATCAAATTAATAAACCTTTTCACTAGTGAAATAAAAAAATAAAAAAGTGGGTTTTACTCAAGGACTGTATATATTCTAAAGGACTGTTCGATCGCGTCAAATCGCCGCTCTCGTAGTCGCCGTGGAATGCTGCTCCACAGTGCGGCGGATGGTTATTCTAGCGGGACAAAATCTCAAGAGCAATGTTTGGGACTCAATTTATTAATAAATAACTACAAGATAATAAAACTAACGGACAGACGGACAGATGGACAGACGGACAGACGGACAGACGGACAGACAGACAGACACCATGAAAATATTTTGTATTTAGGTCATTTATGACCCAAATAACTCATTTTGAATGAAATTAAAAAAAACTTTTTTTTGCCGATCTTAATAGCCTACCATACCTATTGGTATGGTCGGCTAAAAATAAAGCAGTGTCTGTTGGCGGAACGAATGGATATGCTACTAGTGATTTTATTTTGTGAGGAAAATTGCTTCTTGGCCTCAAGGGCTTATGCTTAAAGATATCCAAATAGGAATCTTCCTGATAAGTGTTTCTTTGAAAAAGTACTTGTCTTATTTCGCAGAGTTAGTAGTGTGGTTTATAAAAAACGGATTAGGCTGAAACCTGTCGTTGGAAGTTGGAAGTGAAGAAAATGAACTTGGCCGCAATTGGCTCTTTAATAAAAAAAAATCCATATATCTACAAGCCATCGTAAAATAAATCAAAGAACTACTTTGTTTTTTCTGATAGAATAATACATAGATATTTAATAAATATTATTTATTAGACTATTGTAGGTAAATTAAATAAAAGTAAACTGGTAAAAGTTTAAATAAGTCCATAAACTAATTTCGATTTTGAAAATAGCCACTAACAGTCACGAGAAACTTCTCATGACGACACTAGCTTTCTTGGTTGCCATTTTATTGAATAATTGCTCTTTATTCAAAATCTGAGCTAGATAAGTATAAGAAACTCTAGGAAACCTTAATACAGTTTGAAAGAACATTTGAATCTGCTTCAATTTATTTAAAAAAAATACAGGGTGTTTCATTTGAAATAACGAAGTTTTTATGTAATATAAATATTTAAAATAGACCAGCAATTTTTGATACCCCTGTATACATTAAACGAAGCTATCAAAATTTTTAGTAAAGTTTATTTCTTCGGCTTAAAAGTCAGCACAAGGGTTAATTCTGAAAAGCAATGTACAGGTTGTTGACAATCTTTATTATTATAGCATGCATATTTAAATATTTTTAAATATCTCAGAAACCAAAGCTTATAAACATATTTAAGCCTTATAATAAATGCCTTATTTTGTGTCCAAGGGTCCAAATATGACATAAAATACCGTAGTGGATCTTAGTTCTGACATACCCTGGCCCCATGCCCCCCCCCCCCTTCTGTCTCCGCCACCGCATTTAACATAGAAAAGACCTACCTTTGTATTGATCTGCTGAGATATATCTTTATATATTTGAGTTGGAGTACGGAAGTCACTCTTTGGGTTGGTTGTCGAGAAGTTTTTTTCTGAACTTTCTTCGATGTTATCTGTCTGATTTTTCGTATAGGTACAAGGTTTGTCATCTAGGAAGAGCGGATCTTTTTCAACGGTTATGCCATTGCCACAGAATATTACGCCGGGACCGTGTTTTTTATTGTACTCCCACGTTCCGGCCAATCTAGCTCCATTATCATATCCGAAATTCATTATGCCTAAGAAAAGATTTATTTAAATTATGCATACAGAGTGTCCCAGATTGAGATTGCATTAGAATATATATTTGCATAGAGAACTAATATATCTAGACCGGAGCTTTTTTTGCATATCATTATTTCGCTCAGAGATCTCTCGTTTAAAATTGTTTTCAATATGATGGCACATAATATATATTTCATATCAATTAAACTTTTAGTTACATAATCGAGGGCGAGATTTTTAAATTCATTATTGCTAACTATGGACATATTCGACGCCGTGCTGTCTAACTGGAATTTAAATTTCGCAGTGGGGATTCAGGTGGTAGCTCTGCTGTAAAAAATGTGAAGTTGCCGCATTTATTTATTTATTTCCTGACATTGTCATTTGTTTTGACACTTTAGTTTTGTATTACGAGTTTTTGGTTTAAATAAACAGTGTTGTGATTTGTGATACTTTAAGCTTGAAAATGTTTACTAGTACCTAGACCCTGCAGTCGAATATTGTTCTTTTTAGAACATCTTTGAGAGCGAAGTGTACAAGATAGCTTAATAGCCGTAAAAAACTCATCGCAACTGTATTAGAATATTTGGAACGGGAAAGCGGTAGTAATGGCTCTTGATATCCCTTAAGTGCTGTTAAGAAGGTGAGTTTTGTTGATGTAAATAATAACTGGTTATAAATTTATAATTAACTAGCGTGTACCAGCGACTTCGTTCGCATCGAATTAATCATTTGTAATGGTGATGATAAAGCAAAGCAAGAATTTCCATTAACATACAAACTGGATCAAATTTTCTCACATTTATGTCAGCATGGGAAAAACAATATGGCGATATTATTATATAACTTGGTAATATTTGAGGGGTAGTTTCATCTCGTTGGAATTTGACTTGCGAAAAATCCGTTTGCCAAAAATAAGCTTTTTACGTCAAGCAGTTTAAGCAGAATCGTGGTTAAGAAATAACCCAACTTTTTGGAACAACCTGTATGATTTTTTAAAAAATTTCAAAATATGTAAAAAAATCAAATAAATTATGCTTGTCCAAGCGTTTTCCCGAAAGACTAACCGTTTTTTAAATAACAAATATTGTAATATTTGAGGGGCGTTTTCACCCTCTTGGAACTTGAGATTCGAGAAACCCCTCCTTATCGAACCTCTACACCCCACAGTCAATCCGTTTGCCAAAAATCAGCTTTAAACGTCAAACAGTTTAAGCAGAATCGTGATTACTCAATGGGCATATTTTATGAAACACCCTGTATAAATTTATAAAAATCTTAAAATATGTAAAACAACAAAATAAAATATACGTGTTTAACAGTTTTTTCGAAAAACTCACCGGTTTTTAAATAAAAAATATTTTAATTTTTGAGGGATAGTTTCACACCCTTAGAATTCGAGTTTCGAAAAATCCCTTCTTATCGAACCTCTACACCCTAAAGTCAATCTGTTTTCCAAAAATCAGCTTTTTACGCGCTTTAAGCAGGATCGTGATTATTCAATGACCAGATTTTTCGAAACACCCTGTATACATTTTAAAAAAATCTTAAAATATGTAAAAAAACAAAATAAAATATACGTGTTTAAGCGTTTTTTCGGAAACTTGACCGTTTTTTAAATAAAAAAATATTGTAATATTTGAGGGGTGGTTTCACCCTTTTGGAACTGGAATTTCGAAAAATCCCTTCTTATCGAACCTCTACACCCTAGAATCAACCTGTATGCCAAAATTGAGCTTCTTACGTTGCGTGGTTTGAGCAGGATCGTGATTAATCAGTATGTCAGTGACTTAAGGATTTTATATATTAGTATTGTTGCGGACCGGTGTGGACTCGACCTAACCTAACTATATAGCCCGCCCTAACTATATAGCCCGCCCCCCGACGAAAAACGTAACAGTATAGATTTATTTTTGTCTCCTAAAATATTTTGATTAAAAAAAAATATATAAAAGTGGGCAACCCTGTGCCGGTCAATCAATCACGTGACTAAAAGTTTATTTGGTATGAACTGTCGTTATCAATTTCAATAATCAAATTTAAAAGAAAACTATGAAATGGGCTGTCTCTGTCATTGAATTAATTAATCAAAATTTATCATGAGTCATTTTTTTCAAAGGGAAATCTTTTTAAATCCATTAGCAGACAGGTTTTTTTATTTTTTGAGTATATCATGTTTTTTCATTGATTTCATTTTCTCATTCATCATTTAAGTATATCATGTCCCTATAGCTAAAGTAGCCCATTTCAAGTAATTTAGAATTTAAAAAAAGTTTTGTTCCTAATTTTAGATTAATCATAGTAGCCTATGATTTTAAATGTCAAACAACGGAAACAGCAAAAAATATGATGTTAGTTCAAATTCTCTTAATAACAATTTATCAAAAAAAACGAAAACGAAATTATATTACCATAGAAACGTTTTTCGATTTTTAGGGATTGAAGTATATTTTCATGTTTTTTAATTTTCTCTAAAACGGTATGGAAATTTGGAAAAATATAAACGGAATTAACCGTTTTAGAACAAGCAAAATTTTTAATGCATTTTTCTCAAAATCAATAAATAATAAAAATCCCCCTTAAAGGGGATTAACATGCAGAATGAGTGGGAAAAAGCTACTCACAATAGAACTCAATGGAGAAGAGTTGTAAACTCAGTTAACAGCGACAACCAAAAAGTAAAAAGGCAACAAAGCAATTAAATTTTTGAATGTCCGTGTTAGTGCGGTAGGCAGATAACATCACGTATCGGGCTTTTCAGTCACAGAAAAGCTCATGAAAGAAAACGCCTTGTGTGACCATCTTTATGTGTGTCGAATACTCGTCAGCGAGTAAAACGGCTGTATAATAAAAAAGTTTTTCCTATTGTAAAAGCAATCCGGGGACATAGTGTAGAGTGTTTGATATCAAAATTCATGAAATTTTATACAGAATTCAAAGATATAATAAAAAGTGGGAATATCAATTTAAAATAAGAAAGTTGCTGGCCAACGTTTGCTACTTCCTGAAGTCCCGCCATATTAAGAATATTTTTAATCGATCTCTCGCTGTGAAGAATCTCCGATACAAATATCTTAGTTCTCTAGAAACTTCCGATGCAAGGTCAACCTGGGAAACCCTGTACATTGTCTTAATATATCGTTTATTGTCAATAATAGTTGATAATATTATTCATTCAGAGCAGATATAACAAGGTCTTTCTTTTATTATGACCATACACCATATGATCGAAAAAAAGGCGTCAGCGATGGCTATGAAATGAAGATCGTTGTAATTTTGTATGTAAAATTATATGGGGAATGTCATCGATCGTCATTTACAACCAACTGGACGCCGTTTTTTTCGATCATACGGTACTATTGCCATAGAAAAACAATGCCATATCATAATGGAAATATACCTGCTCCAGAACGCATTCCAGTAATCCAATTGCCCTTATACCAATTGTAGTTAACAAAACTGAAACTATTTTGTGGGACTAAATTCCATACGTATTCCCCATATCCGTCCTGATACCCATCACTCCATTTGCCAACGTAGTACTAAAACAATTATTACGTTTCATGTATACCATTGAAGTAGAAGTAGAGTATAAAATACTTCCAGTTAAAAAATATCAACAATAATTTACCATTTTATAATAATGCTAGATATTTAAAAGATTAGAAATTTCAATATTAAATGGTTACATATTTTGTAAAAGACAGAGTTAAAATTTTAGGTTGATATAGTTTGTAAAAGACAGAGTTAAAATTTTAGGTTGATATAGTCTGTCCAACAGGTGGTATAATGAATTTTTTTAAAGGTATATAATTAAAATTTTAGAAGATGTTCATAAAAAATTAAGCACTATTTGATTAAAAAAAGCCAAATTACCATTAAGATCGATCTTATATTTTATCTTCTCATACTATATATTTCATACAGGGCGCTACAAATTCGAGGTACGAGCGATTGGTATCTCGGTGTAACCGTACTAAATACAAACATGGTTAAATTGGGGTAAAGTTGCGCCTTTGGGATGTTTACCAAGATGCCATCAAAAAAGTTTTAAAAATTTTAAGGATTGCTTAGTTTTTTGGAAAATAAATTTTATTTTTTCCTGTCGTTACTTTCTAGAAAATCAAAAAAACTAGTACACATTCTCATAGTCCTTCCCCTAGGAGATGCAAGACCTTGTCGTTGGTGGGGAAGCTCCTTGTCAGGTGCTGGCAGAATCTCCTCTAGCATTTTGGCTCGGTCCAAGAAGCATCTCACTCATTGTCTTGTCTCTGGCTGTAGTGGCCAGGGAATTGCACCAAGACATTTAAACCAGGCACCTTCTACTGTCTGTGGTCATGTCTCGCCGGTAGAGGGTGTGGGGGGGTCTTGGCTTAATCGCCTCGACCAAGAGGAGACAACCTCACCAAAATTTGTTGTTTTATTTTACGTTGTGAATAAATGTTAGTAGTTATTAAAATTGTTATAAAAATATATAATTCTAATAAAAATAGATAAGTTATAATAAGTATTTATTAACACAAACATCCGATACGCTACTGAAGCAGGTAAGTCAAATTAACGTATCTAAATTCTTTGACATCTAATCTTTGACAAGTAATAAATAAAAGCTAAAAATGCAAGAAAAATATATAATTTAGTTAATTTAAGTGAATTTCATAAATGATCGGTTTACTACACGTATGTATATTATATAGTCACTTACTAGCGAAAAGTTGTTCCATTATTTTACTCAATTTTTGCCGAGATCTACCGCACGCTACACAACCAACTATTTTAGAGTCTTTTTCGATAAATCGCGATAGTGTCACTGTTAATTTAAGTTCTGCCACAATTTCCATCTAGATTTACTACCTTTATACAACTATCAGTAGTAGAATAAATAATAAATAACATAAAATAAGCTCCGTAAAGACTGACAAATCCACAAAATTTCAAATCAAATTCAAATGTGTCAAATGAATCGTCAAACAGAACTGTCAAGGATCCCCACCCTAGAGAGCTTTTATGGTGGCTTTTCCGCCCACCATGCACGAATACATGGATAGCATTATGCTCCTTCCTTAGTCTTCTTATTCAAAGTTGTTAAGGTACCCAAAACAAAAAAAAAGTATAAATTGTGGCATATCATTGTACTGAGGAAATTGAGTTCTTTCAAAAACTGAAATAAAAAATGCAGGTCCGTATTTGTATCTCATGCATTATTAGCTAATTTAAAAATCTAAAAATACTATCAGATAGCCCTAATAAAGTGGATATGACAATGTGCAATTAGTTTTTTGGTTTTCTGAAAAGTGACAGGAAAAAATAAAATTAATTTTCAAAAAAATCTGTTTTTCCAAAAAACTCAGCAATCCTTGAAATTTTTAAAACTCTTTTGATGGCATCTTGGTGAACATCCCAAGGGTCAACTTTGCCTCAATTTAACCATCTTCGTATGGATTACGGTTTCCGAGATACCAATGCTCGTGCCTCGAATTTGTAGCACCCTGTATAGTCTATTTAATTTTTTGATGTTGTTTCGTTGAACTACCTGAATCCATTTTGGCTTTTGATCATATCAGTGTGAGAAGCTGTGAAACTATAAAATGTTCCGGGATAGTTGAATGTTATTGTATCCAAAAACCACGTAATTACGTCCTCCTTTACGCGTTAACAATTTTTCGACAATTTTGTTTTCATTTGAAACTGTCACAGCACAACGTGGCGGCGACGCCCAGTTAGGGTTCTTTTTCACTGAATTTTTACTGCCCGAAACAGCGTTACATTACACAAACTTCGTACCTCAGTGTTTTATAGTTTCAATAACTGTACTAGTAAAAACTAGAATACTTAAAAACTTAAAATATTTAAATATATGACAAAGCCACGGTTTTTATATTTTGTCAATGCGATCACCATGAACTGTAATCGGGACTGCGTAAATACAGAGCCGGAAAGTTCTGATTTCTGCCGTACTGAGCGCTGTTGTCGAAATTTTAAAAATCAACTGAAATGCGCCAAGCCTATAAACATTTGTCTAAATTTTGTCATGCTTACATCATTATTGTTCCAAATCATACAACCTTCCCCATTAATTTTATCATTTGACCAACTTCCTTTATACTTGGTACCATTTTTAAACTGTCTAAATCCATATCCGTGCCTCATATCATTTATAAATTCGCCATCATACCAATTGTTTTGATCGTACACCATCCAACCTTTACCTTAAAATAAAAAATATGATTGGTTTTTCTCGTAGATTAAGAGTATTTTCTACAATATTCTTTAGTATTCTTTATTCCGATTTGCCTCCAAAACTTGATTACCAGACATATATTTTTCTAGAAAAAATTATTACTAATTTAAAAAAATAATTTTTTCCAAATTAATAGATCGTTAGGTGCATAGAGAAGGTTTTCGAATGTTCTCGTATGTACTACTCCATTCCAGTGGGACTCGATCCTTCTCGAATCTTCGAATGAAGCATTGCGGTGTCTATGCGATGTTAAGGTCATCCGAGGGCGGGCCATATTGTTAGGTTAGGTCGAGTCCACACCGGTCCGCAACAATATAAAAAATAAATCTTATTTTTACGCCAGGAATCTCCAGGCGAGATATGGTACATGTTTTTGGAAACGCCCTGTATATTATAAATAATATTAGACTCATTTCTTAAGTGCTCTACTCACGCGGCAATTTTTATTTCAATCAGCAGGGAACCATTAGCAGGACCCAACAGATTGTGTGTTGTATCAAATTGGCGCTCTCCTCCATACGATGCAATTAGCAGGACAGCAATCAGTTCAAGAGACATCAAAGTTGTGAGATTTGTGATATTATTATGGCTCCATATTTAACAAAAAAAAAGTTGACATTGCATTAGCAATGTCTGTAATTCCAACTCATAATAAAAGAAGGTGGTGAACTAAAAACTGGTTAAGGCAAGCGAGGAATGTCCTTATAAAGGGCAATAATTTGCGTCCAGATTTCTTTCTCTAGGGCTAACATCTTGACCACTTTAAAACAGTTGCTACTAATACTTAAAACAAAACGAAACGATACACGTCGCCAGTCGGTTTCTGTGGAATTGTCTTGCGCGCTCTACACACGTCCCAACTTACAGGAATCCGAAATAAAATTGTTTGGGCAGCCGAGACAATCGCCAATTTGCAAATTGTCCCTTATTAATGTCACAATTACTCTACACACAACGCAATCTGCAGGGTGCCTGCAAATTTTGCCCTACAGATTGAAAAGAAATTGCCGCGTGAGTAGGGCACTTTAGGGCTCAAACTCATTGACGACCAGGTCGCAACGACCTGGCCGTCGGCTGGCCGGATGTATTGCGTTTTTAGCTGCGGCCAGATGAACGACCAGTTTCAACAGAGTTGTCAAATCTAACGATTTTTTACGTTTTACCAATTAGAAAATATTGTTTCAGAAATATTAAAATATCCGAGTTAACTAAAAAGGGAAGTTGCTATTCACCACAAACAAAAAGCATTGTGTACGCGCGACCGACAAAAAGGGATCTTTTTTCTACTGATATGGCGCCCTTATCGACTTTAGAATTAAACATATTAGGGTCATCGTAAAAAAAGATCGTCAGACACTGGCTCTAAATATAAGCAGGTAGAAAATTTAGCTTCCAGTTATTTCAATGTTTACAATATAACGAAGAATCTACAACAGTAATTACTTCTCTTTTTATGAATGTTTAAGTTACTTTCTTAATTTTTTTTTCAAGATAATGTACCTAGTAGAATTATAGTCTAATGAACCCTGTTTGAAAAACCTTGTTCTCCTTGTACATGACTACGATACAACTAAAAAAACTAATTTAATAAAAAAAACAAGTGATTGTAGAAAAACTTGAAATATTATATTTTTTATTTTTAACATCGAAACTCAAAGGTATAATAACAGGTATCATACCAACTATAAATAGAGTAGGTATGTCATATAAAAATGTTTTTACTAGAATCGACCTTTGATAAAAAAAGGGATTAGATTTAAGTTTACCTTTGATCCAGTCTGTATACTATTTCTTTGGATTTTCTGCACGTGTGCAAAAATTACACTAAAACACTATATCTTATAGAAAATAAATTATTGTGCCTTGAATTTGAGGGATTTCATCTGAAAAACTATTAATTTGGAAGAAAACCGGCAACAAGCGGCAGAAAATAATATTTCCGCGCAGTCTTCTGGTCGCAACGACCAACGGACGGCCAGGACGTTAGTGTGCGCTATTTCATTTGATTTAATGGTTTTAGAGGTAGGTGCGGCCTGGCCGGTGCGACCTGGTCGTCAGTGTATTTGAGCCCTTAGTCTTTTTATTCGAAGCACACTTACCACTTCGTTGACCAGTGTTCCATTCGCCATTGTAAAATATTGGTGTCGAGTTGATATTAAGAACGCCTTTTCCGTGAAAGAATCCCAAACAAAAATCGCCGTCGTAGACGCTCAAGTCAGGAAGAACCATCTCTCCACGACCAGAAGGATATCCATTTTTAAACTGCCCCTAAATATATATTTTATATTACTGATTGTCTTGGAGTTTTGGTGTGGTTTCAAATTATGTTAGTAATGGCATTTGTGTTTCCTTACGAATTAACAATAAATGGGATACATTAGATCAGTCATTTGATGATATTGCTGATCTCAGACCATAGATAAAAGAAACAAGTTTAGATTGGAAAGTGCCCATAAGGACAATGTAAATACTATTTGGCGCTATTTTACAACGGTCGCTCTCCAAAGCTTTTGATAATTTCGGCTTTTTCCGGAATTATGTCGCCAAATATTATTTATTCAAATTTATTATTACTTTCTTTTAATTTTTTTGAATGAAATACAGTGTGTTGCATATAAGAAACTTTATTTTATATATGGACATGTATGAAGTACCTATGAAACAATGGAAACCGACGTTATGCCACGATCAACGATGGTTTTTGCAGTTCACAGTTCACACAGCTTTTTAAGTTTCTATACACTTTTTCACAATTATCACGGGTTTGAGTAAATAAAATTTAAATTAAACTCACAAGATAGCAATAATTACTTTGAAAATGGATGCTTTAAACACTTTTTTTAAACCCCCTCCCCCCCAAGAACCATCGCTTTCGAAGATCCCAGATGACTGTTTATCTTCAACATAAATTAAAATTTATTTTTCCTTATTGTTAGCATTCTGGTTTCGTTCTATAAAATATTGCGTTCAAGTAAAATTGTTTAAAAATGATAAGAATTTGCTATAACAGCGCTTTCAGATGGTGCGGACCGTCGTGTCCGCGCGGATGTTTTTTCAAGATAGCTCGTCCGGACGGAACATACGCGACCCATGTGAAATTGTGCATTTAAACTCATGGAACTGGCGGACGGTAAGCGCGGACGCTCCGCTCCATCTGAAAACGCTGTAACTCAGTAATTTTTCGAAAGAAAAAAAATATTTTATAGCATATATCGCTAAAAAGCTTTAAATTAGCACTTTTTATGAAGTCATGACAATGTCAGTCTCAGTTTCGCACTGAACACACAGCTATATATAGCTATATATTTATATATATATATATATAAGTCATATACATATGTCAGTCTATATATATATATATATATATATATATAGCTATATATATATATATATATATATATATATATATATATATATATATATATATATATATATATATATATATATAAAGCGGTCGATAAAATAGTAATTAATACAATTTTTAAAATAAAAAACGCAAAAACAAGCGTCGTTACACAATGGAAATAAGATTATGACAATATGATAACAATGAAAAGTTGGTTTCCATAACAATGTATAATTTGTACTTGTCTAAACCGTATAAAATAAAATTGTGATTATTTTGGAAATAAAAGATGGTTTGAAAAATAAAGAAGGTTTGAAAATGGCAAGTCATGATGTTGGAGACATATTTTTAACGCTAAACTTATGGCGTTGATTTATCTACGTAAGTATACCGGGTGGTGCATCATCGTTGGAAACATAAGAAATCCTATGCAAATTTTGAACTCTTCAAATTACTCTTCTCCCTTCTCCCTTACTGATTTTCTTCTGATTCTCTTCTCCCTTACTGATTTTACAGCAAAGTCGTAAATAATTTTTTTAAAGCTTTATATATGGTAAATACTACAAATACACATGCCAAATTTGAACAATTTTGGACCAGCCGATTTTGAGTAATTTAAAAAAGATTGCATCTATTTTTAAATTAAAACCGAACAGGTAAAAATCAAACACCAGTTAAAATCTGACATACCTTAGGTTTACAAACTATGATTTTGTAGCTGTCAAAAGTAATTTAATTTTAATATACGGGAGAAATAAACCGAAACACGTCAGATACACTGTTTAAGTTATTTCCCGCGTAGTACCGTTTTATCATGCTCACTTTTTCTTTATGTGTATAACAATAAATTATTACTAGTACTGAATATTAAAATTTTATTAAAATTAAGTTATGTTTGAAATTGATGTTGACAACTTAAGGTATGTCGGTTTTTGACTGGTGTTTGATTGTTCGCTATTCAGTTTTAATTTAAAAATCGATTCAGTTTTTTTTTCAATTTACTCAAAATCAGCTTGTCCAAAATTATTCAAATTTGGCATGTGTGTTTACCAAACGTAGACCTTAAAAAATCAATTTACGACTTCGCTATACAATCAGTAGGGGTCAATCAAAATTTGCATGGGATTTCCTCTGTTTTCAACTACGATGCACCACACGGTATAATATGATCTAGGGGAATTACAGTCATTTTATATTTTCGTTACCCTTTATATTCGAACGTGCAGCTGCATCAGAATGACTAATTATTTAAATATCAGAAAGGATGTTTATACATGTATGATTTATTTCCTGTTTCGGTTTATAATAGATAAATTGTCATCTAAATTTATTATCATTAATAATTAACAACACTGAGATCTGAAGCATCGTGGTTTTTTATTCTTGATTTATTTTTAAACGATGCATAAATATATACAAATATTACGATTGTACACTGCACACTGAATATTACAATATAGTTCCAATAAACTAAGATATGAACGTGTAACCGGCGAATCTTATCATTTCTTCGCATTCGCCAGGAAATCTTCCTCCGGTGTAGCTGTATGGGTTCACGGTCATTTCAAGCGGACGGACGGGACAAAATGGAAAGATATAAATATTTTAGAAAATGTTATTCAGACACAAGTTTTGTTATTATAACTTTTTGAGAAAAAATAGATAATAAAGTTTAGCGTGCTACTAAAAAACTTAACCTTTAATGATAGTTAAATTAAAGTCGGACTTGAAAGGGCGCACTTGCAAATTTTTGGACGCATATTTGTAAACGACGTCCATGATCGCGATTCGGTTTTAGGCCGAACGATACCGCGTAAACAGCATAAGATATGGCAAATCCGTTTGGTAAATAGCATCCGTGATTCCAAATTTTAACTGCCTTAACACATCTTACACATCACCGGACGATATCGCGAAATTTATTAATGGGTTGCTCGTAATCGTAATCAGCCTTCAGGATCGCAAATTTTGTTTGTTAACACAAATTAAACGACCTAAAAATAAAAAAAGGGTTTCAAGTGGCCACCCCTTCCTATAACAACCACGCATATTGCTGCTTAACTTTGGTGATAGTACGAAAAAATACACGTTGACGTGTTGTTGATTCATAAACATTTCGAATATTATAGAGGATTAAAATCGTGTCGAGAAATCAACAGAAAATATATTCCTAGATGACATTTTATGTTCATCCAACTTACATATAATACGTATGCAAATTACTTAAAACAAAATAGAGATATAATATATTTTCTATAATTATATAACTTTTCTTAAAAAAAAGATGTGTCCTTAACTATAAAAAATATTCAAGAAGGAACTAAGTTACAATCTACTTGATCTTCTTGTACTAGAAAAAGTCAAATTTCACCTGCAACGAAACTACACAAAGTGTAGTTTTTATTTTAAATTTACGAAGTAAAAGTCTCTAAGCATTGGGTAAAATGTCCTGGAAATTAAAAAAATTCTGTAACTTTATTCATTTCAGCCATTTTTTGGTTTCGATTTATAATCTGTTTTTTTAAAGTTAATTTGTTTTGAGTAATTACTCTTGTTAATTTCTGTAACTTACCTCAATTTCTTCTTTTTTTAACGAAAAGTGTTCTAATAATTTCTTTATCTATTAACTTATATACTCGTGGTTTGGGGGCAAATTATTTTTTTTTGCAAAATATTATTTAGTACTATATTCTTTGGTAGACATCTTGCACTTGCGAATTTTGCGATCTTGAATGCTGATTACGAGCAACCAATCAACAAATTTCGCGATATCGTCTGCTGTTTATAAGAGGAGTTAAGGGAGTTAAAATTTGGAATTACGGATGCTATTTACTAGACGGATTTGCGATATCGTATGCTGTTTACGCGGCATCGTTCGGCCTAGAACCGAATCGCGATCATGGACGTTGTTTACAAATATGCGGACGGAACATCAAAATCCAATTGGTTTTTTTATGCTTACGTTCAATCTACTATTTCTGAATTTATTTCTAAATAAAACTCATAAAACTCGACTACGAGTAACAACAAATCCACATGACAAATCCTAGGAACAGAATCAATGATATTTTTTTGAAGGATGGAGGGGACAAGACGGACGGGGCCGAATTTGCCGCATAATTTTTTTTCTTGTCATTTGTAATATATTGTATTTTTTTCCGTTCTATTAGCCTAAATACTAAAAAAATACGAATAGCCATAGCCTTTATAGTCTTTGAGAAGGCTTTCGGCTCGATATATCCTAAGGCAATAATAGAAGCCTTATAATAACTCTCGCCAATATATATAAAGAAGCCAAAGCAAGTGTAATTATATATAAAACAACCCCATAGTTCCCCACCAAGCTGTTTACAGCAACACTAGAAGATATCTTCCGTCAACTGGACTGGGCCAAAAAAGGATTAAAAATAGATGGATAATATCTTAACCATCTAAGTACGCTGCTTAACCATCTTTGCTGACGACATAGTTCTAATTGACAATAGTTCTGAAGAACTAGAAGCACAAATTAATGATCTAAATACAGCCAGCAATAAAGTAGATCTCAAAATGAATTTAGCAAAAACTAAAGTAATGTACAATGAACTAGTGGAAAAGAAAAGACATTCTAATAAATAACACACTACTGAAAATAGCAGAATATATACAGTGTGAGTCTTAAATAAGTGCAAATATTTTCAGGGCTGGTAGATCTCGATAAAAGAAACATATTTTCTCTTTACCATTTTTCAAATAAGTCCAAAATAACCGAGTTATTTAAGTTTGAAAATTAAAAAAAAAGGTTTTTTTTTTCGAAAAATTTTGAGAGCCACCGGATTTTTTCTGTATTTCCATCTCTTTTAGTGCCGTAACCATAGAGTAAGCAGTAACTATGGTAATATCAGAGATTAAGAAATTATACCGTGGGAAAATTTGAGGTGAACAGGCAGTTCCAAAAAGTTTTCGAAAAATATACAGGAAAATTTAAAAGAATATACACGATTTACAACATCTTTTTTTTTTTTGCGAAAAAAACCTCATAGCCGTGTTCCTGGGGTCGAAATATACCACCCCTGAAAATATTTGCACTTATTTAAGACTCACCCTGTATATTTGGGACAACTAATACACAGCTCGGGATCTCAACTACCAGAAATCAACAGAAGAATTAAGTTAGCATGGAGTTACATACTTATGGAAGAAACTCAATCATATTCAAATCTACAATGCCACTATCTTAAGAATATTACTTATCTAAAGAATATATCACTTATCTAAAGAATATACATGCGAAACCTGGACACTTAAAACCGACATCATAAGAAAACTTAACAACAACGCACAATGGAACAACGCACAATGGAACGAAATATGCTGGGAATAACTAAGAGAGACCGTAAAAGAATAGAGTGGATACGACAAAAGACCCACGTAATAGATGTCATCAACACAGTCAAATTCCTCAAATGACAATGGGCAGGACACCTGGCAAGAAGAACGGACAACAGATTAAAGGACCATAAAAATTACAGCATGGTACCCACGAGGAATTAAGAGACCTAGAAGAAGACCGAACATGAGATGAGACCATGATATTAGGAAATTGGCAGGGATAACTTGGGCCCGCATAGACAACAATAGACAACAATGGGCCCAACTACAAACAGAGTATCTAAATATGTGAGGGAGGCTACACCATAATTGGAAATGGTTGAATAAGCTGAAAATGATGATGATGATAAAAAAAAGTTGTTTTGTTTTTTTTGTCAATATTTCAAAATATTTTTAGAAACAATTTTTCTTTTGTTTGTATGCATAAAATAAAGTTAATTTTGTTAATTTATAACTTGTAAAATAATTTTTAATGCACACAATTTTTATAAAAAAACATTTCAATAAAAATATGATAGTTTAGAAGCATGCCTTTCAACAAATAAAGAAGCCCAGTTAGATACTTTCTTTACTTTATAAACACATCCGTTCGACCAAAAGAACGTCCCATTTCCGTGCATCAGATTGCCATTCGTTTGACCTTTATAAATATTTCCATTTTTGAAAATGATTTTCCAGCAACACATACAGTCAGAGGCACAGCTCATACCACTCGAGTTTTCTACGATCATGCTGCTATTTGTGTTACTATTTCCTTCTAAAAAGAAAATAATCATGTATGCAAAAAATTAAAATCATAGAAAATCAAATAATATAGAGGGTGTTCCATTAAAAAAACGAAAAAAAAATTATATTTTAGAAAGGTTGGTATAGAATTTTAAACACCCTGTATGGTTTAAGATTACGATATTTATAGAAAAGTAAGAACAGACCAACTATAATAATGTATTTAGTATAGTTTTGATTTCAGATCATTCCTTGTGTTTTTATTTTCTTGTAAAAGGTTGAAAATCAGGGGCGGCTCGTAGCACTGGAAGATGGTGAGGCACATTAGAAGAGAATTTTTATTAGTATGTATATAAGGGTGGCCATTAGTACGAGGAAGTTCTATATAAAAAAAGTACATATCCTAAAAATATTTTCTTTAAAATTGCAATAGCATTACCATTTTTCTGTACAGAATTGGGTTCAGCATAAAATTCAGCATACATCACACTATTGATTTATTTGAAGCACTATATATGCGGGATTTCCATGATAATTCATATTTGAAAAATTTCATTTTTTAAAAAGTGGTAAAAACCTGGAATGAATTTAACTTGATATATTATTGCTTAAGTATGTATATAGCGAGGTATGTAGAATAAAAGAAGAAATCCGAGAAAAATTCACATCCACAGGGATTTTTTTATGGCGCGGCCAACATTGCAGTATTATAATGCTATATCTCAGTTTTTTTAAATGCAATACACACTGTATATTATTTTTAGTATTTTAGATACCTTTAGATACCTACAGACTTGAAAAGCGCATATTTCTGTATTTAAAATATTTCTAAATTTTTAGCAGTTGCGGAAATAGCCTTATGTAATATAATTCGCAGTATTATACCTATTACATAGGGCTATTGCAATAGTAAATTTTTTTTTATCAAAGCGACCTCAGGATATTTTATCTTATATTTTACTCTGTATGGTAAAATTTTGTTTTTCTACCCATCCTATAAAAATAAAACAAAATGAAATCTTTAACAAGTCGCTTTACTTTTTGACTATACACAATTTATCTAGAAATGATTCGAAAAACTTTACCTGGGGAAGTCCTCTGATGATGCATGGTCCCTCTAAATCATCATATCAATCAACAATAAGTCACTGCCCACTTTTTAGGTATTTACTTAATATCGTCCTATTGCTGCCAAAAGTCACAAACTAACATTTTTCCGAACAACCAAATTCAATCACTAACTATGTTTTGAAGCGGAGAATCGATTGCAAAAGTCATTACTTTCTACGATTTCTGGCTATTTATGTTTTATTTTAATACCGAATAGCTACTAACTATAACATCTTTATGCAATGCAATTCATCTTTAGACGCCTTTTTCTCGGAAGTAATAAAAAGTAAGTTAGTGACTTTTGGCAGCAATGGGACTATATGTACAATGTACAATAATCAGTAAGAAGAGTAATTATTAAACATGCAATTCACATTAAAAAACGTAGATATTGATATTAATCAATTAGAGACAAAACAATGTAATAACCGGCAGAATTAATTCAAACTCTGATTCAAACTAAGCCAAATTCCCAAATAATGCAATTCTGCATTTTCAGCCTGTCGCCTAAAATCTCTCGGGCTGATCGGGAAGTGATACATATTTTTAACGAACGGCTTTTAAGGTTTAAATTTACATTTGAGGCTCGCCTGAATACGGTCTTTTTACGCGCAACTACTCCATACATTTTATCTCTCTTCAACTAAAGGTTTTGCCTATGCTTTGAACGCTGTCGCTCCGTCAATGCGATATACCACAATACGCTAGACAAGGAAAGGTGAGAGGCAAACCTCTGCACATATACTTCTTAAAGAATAAATGAGATGGATATACATCGTCGAGTTTGTCGCATATGGGTAAGCGCGTTTAAAGGAATACCATCGACGTAATTTATTGTAGAATGACGGTTAAAAAATACAATTATTATTGATGCAAATAGGGAAAAAATATAAAATTGTGATTAAAGATGTATCGATTAATACGTGTAATTTTTCAAATGTATTGGTGAGGCACTGCCTCATTTGCCTCATAGGACAAGCCGCCCCTGTTGAAAACACTGCTTTATTTTATTTATTTATGAATATTTTGAAACTATCGAGACCTATTTAATAATACCTTAGGATTATGTAAAGTGATCAGAAAGGAAGCCAAAAATGCAATAATATACAGGGAATGTTCCATTTAAAAAAATCATGCCGATACATGCACATCTAAGTTTTTTTAACTTTTGTTAGTTTTTTATAGGAGCTACAGATGGCCGACGCACTATTGCCGAACCCGCATAGAGCCGTTTTTACTACTGTTTGAACCGTGGCAACCCTCATTTGTGGCAACTTTTTCATAGGTAACCTATAAAAACATGCATGTAATAAAAATATAGCTTTAATTTGCCGGGCATGTAATAAAAATATAGCTTTAATTAATTAAATACCGGGTGCGTCTCAAAAGTGGCTCAGCCCTATAACTTTTTTATTTTTTCTGATAAAACAACGATATTTGGTATGTTAGTATATGACATAAATTGGGATTGATTGACATATTCAATTGTTTTCGGTCACTTCCGGTTTCACCGGAAATGACTACAACTTTTGATTTTTAAATGACATCCTCGGTAATTTTTTACTTTAATCTTTAATCGATAGAAAATGACACTCTGAATCGAATGACATATCATTTCTCAATTTTTGACATAGTCACTAAAAAACAAATTTTATTTTAAGTTTCAATCTAGAGTGCTGTGTTAAAAATACTAATTTTTAATCAAGGAGCCTTGGAAGAATAGATTTGATCGTCTAATGTTTTTAGTGTCTTGTCCTGGCCTGTTAAAAGATGCCCAAATCGTATTTTTAATCATATCTCAATTTTTTCAAATGGAACGAGGGTGGCTCATTAGCATTTAGTTATGAACCGCATGTTACAATTTCAAATAAACCATATATGAAAATGTCAAAAGTTGACTTATGATGTGTCATTCTATTCAAGAGTATCATTTTCCATCAAATAAAGTAAAAAAATACCGAGGGTGCCATTTAAAAATCAAAAGTTGTTGTCATTTCCGGTGAAACCGGAAGTGACCGAAAACAATTGAATACGTCAATCAATCCTAATTTATGTCATATACTAATATACCAAATCTCGTTGTGTTATCTGAAAAAATAAAAAAGTTATAGGGGTGAGTCACTTTTGAGACGCACCCGGTATAAATGATTATAAATGTTATGAACGTAATGGTCGTCTCCAAAATCAATATTATTATTTATTATTAATTAATATAATTATTTGCTGCAACTTTTTGACTGACACCCTGTTAATAGTATATTTCACTATTCAAAAATATAGAGGACAGTTTATACTGAAATGAAATTTTGTGGGCATATGTAGGTTAATTTACAGCCCTTTTTAAAAATATAGAGAGTTCAACAGGGTGTCCCCAAAAAAATTACACATCAAAGTTGTGTTTTTTTGTAATGGAACACCCTATATATTAATTGATTTTTCGATTCTAGGAGAAAACTATAGGTGAGTTTTATTAGAGAAGTGTATGATTGAAATGTAAGGTTTTTGATCTATTTAACATTTTCTAAAAATGAAAAAGGATTTTGAAATTTTAATAAAAGCTACCTAAATTGGAATTTACCCGGTATAGACTAATATGTAGTTAAAATAACTATTGCACTTTAAATCAAATTAAAACCTGACTCAAAAACTTATACCAACGCTTATACAGGGTGAGGCAAAATTAGTGTTGAACACTGGTCACCTTTAAAAGCAAATTACTCCTTTATTTTAAATGGAACACCCATTGTATTATTCCGGTGTTCAATGGAGAATTCATATTCCGTATATTATTAAGGTTTTGGTTTGGGTTGGGTTGGCCCCTCAAACAAAGATTTTCCTAGATACTTTAATTTGTATGATTTAGTGTGAGTAGATCTTTGATATTTGATAAAAGCTAGGTGGCTGTGATATGTATGATGTTACTTCAACATAGCTGTCTAATTAGTTCAGCTTTAGCAATTAGTGATCATTTTGTATCAATTAAAACAAAAAAATTCTCAGAAATTTTTCAAAAATGGAAACTTATCCTACATCAGAGAGAGTTGATATGATTCTATTAGTTGCTGATTACAATATGCATTTACCAATTAGTAGCATACTTAAATGCTCCTGATTTTATCTAGTCTGTGCTTTGTTATACGGATATCTTAAAGAGAGTTTTTTCAAAACTCAACCAACTATTGTCGACAACATGAGAGAAATGATTGTGGCTGTTTTTTTAAGTAGAACTCGTATGCATTTTAAAATGAAAAGATTTTTTGAAAATAAAATTATTTTATGCAGTAAACAGGAAAGGAAGCATTTGATTTCATCTAGCTATTTTTTGTTACATCATTATAGATTTATATCTAGTTTTAATTCTATGATAATTAAGATATGTTTTAAACTTGTATCTTTTTATTACAGTATTTTACCCTACATCCTTTAATTTTTGTTAAATTAACACAGCCACCTAGATTTTTTTAAATAATAAAGACCTACTCATAAAAATGAAAATATCTTGGAAAATTTTTGTTTGAGGGGTAGGCAGCCCTAATCATATTTTGAAGGTATATAAATTCTCCATTGAACACCGGAATAATATACTGGGTGTTCCATTTAAAATAAAGGTGTAACTTGCTTGTAAAAGTGACCAATGTTCAATATTAGTTTCGTCTTACCCTGTATAACTTTTCGAGTTTAAAAAAAAAATTAATTTGGTTTAACATACAACGGTTATTGTAATTAAATATCAGGCTATACAGGGTAAATTGTAATTTAGATAGCTATTAATTGAAATTTAAATTATATTCATCATTTTCACAAAATGTGAAATATGTCAAAATCCTTACATTTTAGGCATATGCTTCTTTAATAAAACTCACTTTTATTTTTTTCTAGAATCCGAAAATTAATTAATATTATGTAGGGTGTTCCATTACAAAAAAAACACAACTTTGATATGTAGCTTTTTTGGGGACACCCTGCTATACATATATTTTTATAAAATGCTTTCAATTAATCTATAATCTAATAATTAATCTAATAACCTACATATTCTCCCAAAATTTTATTTCGATATAAATTAGCGTTCTCTCTGGAGCCTCCGCGTCGTATAAGAGGCGCCACCCTGTGCGTAAATATTAGTATTTGATTAAAAATATGATGAGCGTAAAGGTACGCGCACACTGACCAGAGCCGCACGCGCCCCATCGACCGAAGAAAAATATTGTTTGTGTTACTTTCAATGAAGGTGCGCACACTAGTCAGAGCCGCACGAATCGCATCGACGAAAATGCGGCCAGCATTGTTGGGCCAGAATGATTTTCGGTAAATGCGGCTAGTGCTGCTGATGTCACACGCAATTCCTTCCACTCTACGTAGCGTAGGTAGCCGAAGAGGAGATTAGAAATTCAATATGCTAAGAAAGTTCGCAATTTTTTCATGGCTCATATTGAAATATTGAAACATTTTTAGTTCATCCTCAATTAAATATGGAAATAATGTGGATTTTTGCCAATATTGTGAACCTATAAGTTTCGATTCTTTCTCGTGATTTCTTCTTCTATTAGCAAGGAGCTCATAATTATTTCTTGTTCGTTGTCATTTATTGTGGAGAAATATTAAAAAACACGCTTACCACCGCAGACAGGACTCCGGAAGCGACTGATGAGAAATTCGATTGGCAAATACGGGTGTAGTAGGGGCAAAAAGAAACAAAATAGCGAATAATGCGGCGCATGCGGCGCGTTCGGTACGGCTCAGTGTGCGCGACAAGAAAAAAAGTGCGATTCGTGCGGCGAGTGCGGCTCTGGTCAATGTGCGCGTACCTTAATAATCCTGCAGCCGGATCTTAGACTATGTTATGGTTTAAATAATTAATAAAAAAAAACAGGATTAAGAACTCACTTGTTGGATCGCTCTCAAGAGTAGATACTCCCGATTCCAAGGTCGACGCTTGGCTGGTGGTTAGCGAATCCGACAATACCGTAGTCAAATTATTGGGATCCATCTGTTTGGCGAACTTTTTTTCCGCGATCGCGTCTTCGAGAAGCGCGTCGAAGAACATATTGGTCAACATTTCTCGGCAATGGACGGGCTCTTCAACCATGTTGATCGATTCGGCGGTACTCTGCTCTTTAAGTATCGAAGTCGACACTGAATTCGACTCTCCATCTTGGCTTTTGGTTGATTTGCTGGACCTGGACAGCCGTCTTTTTGGACTACGATGTTTACTTCGTATATCTCGAGCACTGTGCTTGTTCGTTTTGCTATCCATTATTGAACTGATTTGATCGGTTTAGGAGACTGTCACTGAATGACAGTGAGGTATAGGGCTGGAAAATTATCAATATGCATTTTTGTGTACGTTCAGGTAGTCTAGCATCTCACCAGTTTAATTATGATAGGTACCTGTTAAGTAATATACATGTAGTGCATAACGAATTATTTGTACAGGGTGTCCAATTTTCGTGTGTTTTGCGGGGTTTCTAGTTTATTATCAGAGATACAAAGAATGCGGTTTTCACATAAATATGTAGAATTATATGGGGAATGTCATAGATCGCCATTTCCAAACAAACTAGACGCCGTTTTTTCGATCATACATTACATATGTATATACACGTTTAAAACATATATATTTACAATATTTTTTTATTTAATTATACATTAGGTATACACACGTTAATAAATAAACAATTGTCTTGATGATCAGTCCACTGTGACTGGTCGACACAGAATTCGACTCTCCATCTTGGCTTCTGGTTGATTTGCTGGACCTGGACAGCCGTCTTTTTGGACTACGATGTTTACTTCGTATATCTCGAACACTGTGCTTGTTCGTTTTATTATCCATTATTGAAATAATTTGATCGGTTTAGGAGAATGTCACTGAATGACAGTATGATGACAGTGAGGTATCGGGTTGGAAAATTATCAATATGCAATTCATTTTTCTGTGCGTTCAGGTAGTCTAGCATCTGACAGGTTTAATTATGATACCTGTTTAGTAAGTAGTTATTTTTAGTAATATACATGTAGTACATAACGAATTACTTGTACAGGGTTTTTCAATTTTCGTGTGTTTTATGGGGTTTCTCGTTTATGAGTAAAGATACAAAGATGCCGTTTTTACATAAACATGTAGAATTATATAGGGAATGTCATCGATCGTCATTTCCAAACAAACTGAATGCCGCTTTTTTTTCGATCATACAGTACATACCGTGCTGGCAACTGTTACTTTTGGGTCGGTATTGTATTTATATATGTGGAAGTAAATCGCATAGGGATCTTATTAAGTCGGAGTGAGAGAAATGCGACGTTGTGCTGTTGCGGTGTTGCCGGTACGCCTTTCCCTATCAAGTAAAGTAAAATCACGATGGCAAACCGCTTATTTTTAAAATACTTTTTTTTGAAGGATAACTAGATAAAATCATTAGACATGATTCTGAGCATCTGAAATGGAATTATAAGGATATCGTTAAGGTGTCATTTTATTTATAACGGGAAAACGTCAGTGATCGTGATAATTTAAAAACTCAACTTTTTAACACATAACAGGCCGTAACTCAAGAACCACTTTAAATATTGAAACTTTTTTTTATTTTCAAGATCGGATATTTTACAATATGTTTACATAAGAAAAATTCGATAAGGTTGTTTTTTCCATTCAAAAATTGTAAACAATCCATGCATTTACATTTAGAGCATAGCAATTTTCAGCAATCGTGTACTTTTTTTATTGATAAAGATTTTCACATACTGTCTACAAAGAAAATACAGCCAGAAATATTAGCAAAGTTCTTGAAAAAACTACAATCTATTATTTCTAATAGATTTCGAGATATCGATTTTTGAATTCAGAGTTCTAATAGCGCGACCACTATCGAACACCCACTCAATTCCACTTATTTTTACCAAAAATGCAAGTGTTTCTAGCTTGCACTTAAAAAAATTCAAGGTATAGGGAAAATTATAACGACTCGTTAATAAATAAACAAATTAAGTATCACAAGACGTAATTAAATCGTGAAGCTGAACGCATGACGTACACCTTTCCCTAGAACTTTAAGTACTGACAAAGGTATTGACTGGGTCAACCGGTCAACTGCGACAAATCTGTTATATCCCCTTCCACGTCTCTTAGCGATGTGCACAGTTTCTAGGTTTATTTCATAAGTTTGGCAACGTGTTTACTGTCCTCTCTTTGTTCAGTACATTATAAACGCATTGTACTCTTCTTACATAAGGAAATCTCGACCCAAGACTAACCTTTGCCAGCCCTTAGTATACGTTTTTGAAATTCAGTTCTTTTCAATATTTTTATATTGGAGTTCAAATTTATCAAAAAATCACGAAAAATAGTTTGATAATGACTTACTATGCCCTTTGTGTCTGAACTTTTCAAAAATTACGAATATAACTGACTTGGTGCCAAAATCGAAATATTATATACTTAAAATATATGTTTCGAATATACTACATGTATATAATAATGTTCAGTATAATAAACGTATATACTAAGATTAACGGAAAATAAAGCCCTTTAATATGCGTATATTATACGTTGCATATAAAAAAAGTAATATGAAATACGTATATTATTTATACCTTTAAAAAAATATACGATATTTATACGGATAGTACGTTTATTAAACGTATAATATACTCTTGAACGGTGTTGCTTAGGATGTTTGTTTAATTTTACTTCAAAATTTCCTTTTTAGTGAACTGTTTTTAGGCCACCTTATAAAATATGAAAGATAAATGTTTAAAACTATAAACAATAGAAAAAGTATAAAATAGAGGAATATCCGTTTTCAGTGACTGTGTTTACAGTGATTAATATTATCAATTTAGATGTCCATTTATTGTCGTCGGCGTTAAACAGACAGTAGTTACTATCTTAAGCGTAGCGCGCTGTGTAGTTTTGTGTTAAATAAAAATGAACAGTTCAAACGATTATGGAATTGAGCAATTGCATCCGAGGTATACAGCAAACTGCTTATCCAGATTAACGTTCTTGTAAGTTACATTTACTCTGATCTTTATTATATAACGTTGTTTACACTAAAACGTACTGGTGTGTTTGTTTTTGTGAAATATTCACACGATTGTCTTTAGTGTTTGCGTTTGAATTTTTGATAATCTTAGCAGGAATGTAGTAGGTATTCTATTTATACAGCATTACAGTGGTCTGGCTTAAATAATTTTAGATCGCGATACGTTTTTCTCTCAACTGATGCATTACTATGTAGCGGTATCTATGAGTAATTTTTAATGAAAGTATACCGGTGTGGTACATCGGAACGCCGGGATATAGGAAATATATATTATTTCCCCAGATTATTTTATGCAAAAATTGTATGAGACTTTTTTGAAGAGGCGTTAAAGTTGTACTTTTCTGTAGAATTTCTTTTCATTTGAAATAGTCATTTAAAAGTGATTTGCAAAAATCTACCTTCAAATTAGTATAATTTATAATACGGCCCAGAGAAAGCTACAAATACCAGCAAAAATATGATTGTGTCATTGTCAAATTTGATGTCACATTTTGCATAGATAAATGAAACAAGTTTAGATTAGAAAGTGCCAATAAGGACCTTTGAATAAGAAGACTAAGGAAGGAGCATAATGCTATCCATGTATTCATGCATGGGGGGCGGAAAAAGCACTCTAGGGTGGGGATCCTTGACAGTTCTGTTTGACGATTCATTTGACACATTTGAATTTAATTTGAAATTTTGTGGATTTGTCAGTCTTTACGGAGCTTATTTTATGTTATTTATTATTTATTCTACTACTGATAGTTGCATAAAGGTAGTATATATAGATGGAAATTGTGGCAGAACTTAAATTAACAGTGACACTATCGCGATTTATCGAAAAAGACTCTAAAATAGTTGGTTGTGTAGCGTGCGGTAGATCTCGGCAAAAATTGAATGAAATAATGGAACAACTTTTCGCTAGTAAGTGACTATATAATATACATACGTCTAGTAAACCGATCATTTATAAAATTCACTTAAATTAACTAAATTATATATTTTTCTTGCATTTTAGCTTTTATTTATTACTTGTCAAAGATTAGATGTCAAAGAATTTAGATACGTTAATTTGACTTACCTGCTTCAGTAGCGTATCGGATGTTTGTGTTAATAAATACTTATTATAACTTATCTATTTTTTACAGAATTATATATTTTTATAACAATTTTAATAACTACCAACATTTATTCACAACGTAAAATAAAACAACAACTTATTGAGTCTACCCCACGTCTACCCTACATCATAGTTTTACATTTTTTAAATAAAATTAGAACGACACTGATAAACCGGAATTTAAGTCGGCCATATTTGAGGCCTATCGCGGTGTACCTAAGATTTTTGATATGCTCCTTCCTTAGTCTTCTTAAGGACAATGTAAACATTATTTGGCGCTATTCTTGAAACGGTCGCGACCCAAAGCTTTTGAAAATTTCGGAGCGGTTCGGCTTTTTCCGGAATTATATCGCCAAATATTATTTATTCAAATTTATTATTATCAATACATATATAAAAGCTCAAAGGGTTTTTTTGTTAAATCCATCCCGCCGCGCCGAAACCGTTTCACCAATCTTGATGATTCTTTTTTTAAATGAAAGGTACATACGTCTAGATTTGTGATGAAGTATTTTTATATTGTTTAATGGCTATTTCTTTGTGTAAAACAACTAAATACTAAAACATACCTGAAAAACACCTGCACACAATACCTCCAGAAATAAATTATTTGTCATTGTCAGCGGTGTGTCAGTTAGATATTTGTTGTATGAAACATATACAAACTAAAATATATGGGAAACTGAAATTGAGATTTTTGAAAGGACTTTTTTACCGCAACCAGTTATACACAAATTTATTAGTTCTGTGACGAACCACCGGTCGCGCTTAAGGCGAAAATATTTAGGCAGTTCAAATCAAATCAAGTCAGTTCTAATCAAATAATATGTACCGTCAAAAATCGAAAAAAGTTTTACTGGAATTTTAGTGATTATTTAAACTTTTTATTAAAAACAATGATGGAATCAGGCCGTAAACCCTTTCATAAAGTATGTTGTTCGATGCCGGATTTGTTTTCCAAAAGACATACATTCTCGAAGAACGATCCTACATTATTTCAAAAGTGATATCAAGTGCGAAACCTTAAAATGGAAAATACAACACAGCAAGATATTTAAAAGATTTATAGAGTTTGTGATTTACATTTTTGTAATCAAGATCGTACCTGGAATAAAAAGAGTTTTAGAAGTTAATTCTAAAGTTTTTATATACACCAGTTCATATGGGTAAGTATATGCATTTAGATAAATAAAGAAAGTTTTCAGATATTTTGATCTAATAAAACTAAAATAATCTTTTAGATGATCAACCTACTGGTAATTTGGTGTCCGGTGATGTCGATCCAGGTACAAACCCTGTATTTAAAGACAAACATTTGTTGTAGAACTTGTTGGTGGACCACTCTCTCGTTGGTATTAGACATGTACTGTTACCTGAGATATAAGCAGTAACTGAAAAGGGTAGGTACCTACACCATAGGCCAAATTAATGTCGCAAAATATTCAGTAATGAAGATGAACATTATTTAAAAAAAATATCGTATCAACTTTATAACAAAAAATATTTTAAGTGAGCTGTAAATAAACAAGATATAGCACTGGCTACTTTAATTTGACAGAGAGTGATTCAATTATTAGATATTCCAAAGTTTATTAAAAATGTTAATATGTATTACGAATCCAAACTGAATTGGGTTTATTAAAATTATCGTTTTAGATTTTTTAAATTGTATCTATCATTTTAGAGAAAGGATCAGATAATCCTAATCAGGAATCTTCCAGAGTGCAGATGATGCAGTTTTTGTGAGTGAGGTATAAGGTCTGTCTCTTGTAAGACCTCTTTTAAGAATTTAACCCAGGCAGTTGTTTACAACCAAGTTAGGTAAGAATTAAAAAATATAATAAGTGGAGCATACTACTCAAAAATGTAAATTTGCTTTATTAGCAATTGTTTTTGAATCCTGCTTATTTTTAAAATGCATATAAACACCATAATTATTTCTTATGAAAAATAATGCTTGTGTTAAATTAAAGACTAAGATAAAAAGTTCATAGCCAATTTCTGTTGAGATTTTAGAGCCCTTCAACGGCATCAACTTTTAATTTTTTCCTCCTATAAACCATACTCGAGGTTTTTTTTGATGTGTCACATAATTATACATATTTATTTGTTTTAGATCTCAAGCATAGCAAAGGAATCGTCCAACCTGTGAATTCAGTTTAATTACTGAGATCAAGGATGATGAAACATTCATTATGATTATACAGAGCTACAAAGAGTCATGTTGAGAATCCAAATTATCATAATGAATTGAGACGAGACAACACCTGGGTGGAAATTGAGGAAAAATGCAGATAAAAGGCATTTTTATATTAACGTTATGAATCCAATATTTTTATCAAATCGTCACATAGATAATATTTCTCTACGCATAATACTAAAATTAAAAAGGTCAGGTTAAAACAACTTTAATTATCCGTGCGAAAAACAGTGCTTCGCATGACTTCGGCTTCGGCGGGCTTCGCTCAAGTGCTCATCATGCTTTAAACTTTTGCGAAGCGCCAAAATGTCATTGGATTAATTGCATGTATTTTGATTCTTCGCGTTACTTCGCTTTAATCCGTGGGTCTGCATTTTTATACATAGATACCATTGATCCAATTCACATTTTTTCGCCGCGCTTGGAATAAGTTCGCGACAAAACTTTGTTAGTTGTATTTTATATTATTTAATACTATTGTATTGATTTATAATTATTATTGTATTTATATGAACAAGTTAAGTATAGCAGTGCCGTGCGAGCCTTCGTCTGAAGAAGAAATTTTATTTATTGTATAATTTGTATTATTTACTTTTTTTAATAAAGTTATTACTAATAATAATTATTCAACATATCCACACACACACACACAAAGTTAATTATTTTTATTTTATTAACTATAGCTGTTTTTTCTATCTATTTCATATTTTTTGATGAGGATAAGTTAATTCTAAATAAAACGTCACCTGTTTGAGAGCAATACGATATAATGGAGCGATGTCGTATTTAGAGTAACTTATTCTTATTAAAAAATAGGAAATAGAAGAAAAATCATCTATTTTCTGTACAAAAAAAATAAATTACGTTCCAAGAATTGATAATAGATGGCGCTAGAGTGGACGCAACAATATAGTTACCTGTAGTTAGAATGTAAAGTTTCCTGTAAAATAAAATAAAATTGTATCATAAGTTGTGTAACGACCCGATGCATGGCGCCACTGAATTCTCCAACAGACGGTATCATTTCAGTTTCCTATATATTTTAGTTTGTATATGGTATGAAAATCTGGTTTAGAAGAATGAAGTTCTACAGAAAGAATTAGAAGAGATTTTTGAAATTCATCAACCAAATGGGTAAAGTTAGTAAAAATGTATATAAACCTTCGTGACCTCTGGATTATACACATAAAAATTTGCAAAAACGATCATTTAAAAGACATGAGTTAATTATTTGGACAAAGCGAATTTATGAAATTCATACTCTTAGGGAGTAGAATAGAAAATGAAATTTTGATGTACAAAAATGCATTACTATAACATCTAGAAGTTTAAAATTTTATACAAGGGTTTATTTAGTAACATCATCAATAATATGAACGAAATATTTCTTCTTCAAATCATCCTTCTAGGAATAAAAAATAACGTATAAATAGTGTATTAATGCTTTTGAAAAATAAAAAAAAAATCAGGGGAGTATATCAAGAAAAGCAACAATTGAAAACTTCAAAAATTTAATTGAAAAAAAAAAGTAGTACAGTTTATATGGGACGATTCGAGGTGCAACGCGAACGTAGTCGCGGGAAAAAGCTAGTTTTATTTTAATTTTATAAATAAAATACAGTGTGTTGCATACAAGAAACTTTATTTTATGTAAGGACATGTATGAAATACCTATGAAATATTGGAAATCAACGTTATGCCGCGATCCACGATGGTTTTTGCAGTTCATAGTTCATAACACAGCTTTTAAGTTTTTAATGCCACTTTTTCACAATTATCACGGGTTTGAGTAAATAAAACTTAACTTAAACTCACAAGATAGCAATAATTAGTTTGAAAATGGACACTTTAAACATTTTTCGGTATTTTTTCAATGAGAGCGCTTTAAATTTTGAAAGATTTAATAATTTTTGAAGATTTTGACTTTGACAACAGAAAATTATTTCTGTTTTTGTTAGCGGTTGTTCTTAGCAACCGTTATAGCAGCGCCAGATCGCGTACAACGGTCGCGACCCAAAACAATTTCGCGACCTATAATTTTGTCGGGCAATCTTAGATCCCAATCTAAATTTATTTCCTTTATCTATGACATTTTGTTTACAAAAATTTGAAGGTACCAAACAGGGTAATTTTGTATAAAATAATTATAAATTTCGCAACTTCTGTACAAGTTACGATGGTTAAACGACATTTTGCTGGAAATAATATTCCCGCTGTGTTAGATTTGTTCGCAGCTCAATCTCTGGAAAGGCCATATCGAATAAGTCAACAGTTTAAAGAATAAACCGGATGTTTAAAACTAAAGGACTAAGGTATTAAACACATGGAAGTGTGAAGACAGAAATAATTGAACAGGAAGAAAATAACAATGATTTGAATATTCTTCATGTTGAAGAAAAGACAGACATTGATTCTCGTTTATTGGGGATACAGTAGGAAAAAACCACAGGGTCTTTCGCCGAACAACTTCTTCCGGTGGAGTATTTATATAGGTATATTAAATACAAACATTTAGATGGACTGACAACGACACCTCTGTGTTACCTCTGCTCAAGATTCTCACCTTAACAGTTTTGTATTGTGAGGCGTGAATTTCTCAATCATTTGGGGTATTTTTTGTCTGTGAATAGGGAATTATGTAAACATTTTATTAATTAGTATAGTTTAATAAAGTTCCTTGTATTACAAATATTTCGATTATCCCTTGAATTGTTGTGGATGTATGTGGCATGAGCCCCAAAATCTATCAAAATTTACATGGGATTTCCTATGTCCCGCGTTCCGATGCACCACACGGTATACATTCATTACAAAAATCGGAATAATATTATTTTTAAAGATGTTCCTAGTAAACATATTAATAATTTAATATTTCAGCTACACATTAAATATTTTTAAGAAGATTTATAAGAAGGCAATCAAAGAAGATGGCTTACATCAAATACCTGACAGCTTTAAATCGCAAAAGCTTGGCCAAGAATTGGAAAGGATCATAAATAGTGATATCAAAATTCACAATAATCTCTCACTATATAGAGTTCTTTGGAAATTTATTGGAATAAAATATCTATTTATTGGAATTATGCAATTGATCGCAAGATCAATATCTGTGTAAGTAGTTGAGAATTTCTCAGTTACTTTGTTGAATATTTTAGTCTCTACGATGCTACAGCTCTACTTAACTGACCAAATGGGTAAAGTACTCATTTCTACTAAGGGCTGGCAAAGGATAGTCTTGGGTCGAGATTTCCGTATGTAAGAAGAGATACATTTTACAATACGTTTTATAATGTACCTACCGAACAAAGAGAGAACAGTAAACACGTTGCCAAATGCATGAAATAAACCGAGAAACTGTGCACATATTAGCTTTGTTCGTTTTCTTGTTATTACCGATTCTGAACCGTCCTAGAACTGTGATGCGTATGCGCAGAAGGAAATATTAAGACATTATTTCATTTGCGCATGCGCTGCAGGGTTCTAGGACGGTTCAAAATCGGTAATAACAGGAACCCGAAAAAAGCTATTGCTAAGAGACGTGGAAGGGGATATAGCAGATATGTCGCAGTCGAGCGGTCGACCCAATCAGTACCTCTCTCAGTACTTAAAGTTCTAGGGAAAGGTGTACATCATGCGTTCAGCTTCATGATTTAATTACGTTTCGTGATACATTATTATTTGTTTATTTATTAACGAGTCGTTGTAATTTTCCCTATATCTTGAAACATTTTAAGTGCATGTTAGAAACACTTGCATTTTTGGTAATAATAAGTGGAATTGAGTTGGTGTTCGACAGTGGACCCGCTATTAGAACTTTGAATTCAAAAATCGATATCTCGAAATCTGTAGATTGTAGTTTTTTGAAAAACTTTCTTAATATTTCTGCTATATTTTCTTCGCAGACAATATGTGAAAATTTTTATAAATAAAACAATATGGACACCCTAACGATATCTTTATAATTCTATTTCAGATGATCAGAAACATAGGTATCTAATAATTTTATCTAGTTATCTTTTCGAAAAAAAGTTTAAAAATAAGCGGTTTGCGATCGTGATTTTACTTTACTTGATAGGGGAAGGCGTACCGGCAACGCCGCAACAGCACACCGTCGCATTTCTCTCACTCCGACTTAGTAAGCTCCCTATACGATTTACTGCCGCACATGTAAATACCGACCCAAAAGTAACAGTTGCCAGCACGGTATACTTTGGTTTTCAAATTTTTCGCTTTTGGTGCACTCCTGGAAAGTGAATGTTTTTTTTTGGTTTATATTTGGTTGATTCCAGGGCTATTATTTGTGTCCTATAAAAGTTCATATACAGGGTGTTTCAAAAAACATGTGCCATCTCTCGTGGGGAGATTCCTCACGTAAAAATAAGATTTATTTTTCACATCAACATAGGCCCGATTCTGCTTTGTTTCCTAGCTACAGTGTGTTAAAGTCTTAATATTTATTCGATTTATTATACTTTTCTTCCAAGTACTTTGAGCGTTTTGAATGAAATGTTGAGGGTAAAAGTTATTATAAATGCTACATATTTTAAAGCTAATAAAGTGTCGCCATATTCATCAGGGACGTGCATATGGGTTATCACTGGAATATTTGTCTAAAAAAAGCATGTACGCCACTGACTTTTTTTTCTTTTGTTAGCGGAATAGTGTAAGCTATTTAATGCCGATTAAAAGTTGTCTCTTGATATTTTGTCGATTTCGGCCTCCTTGATGAGATAAAGGCAATTTTATTAATTTGCCTTGGTCCAAGTCTAATAGCAACCTTTAAAAAATATTATCATTAACTTGAGAAAGTTTTAAATAAGTACTCATTGATTTTTCATCAAAAAATATGACAAACGTTTCTATAAACATGGGTATGAAAATGCATAGTTTTAGAGATACAGGATGTTAAAACTTTTTTGGTGGGACCGAAACATGTCTGCAACAACTAAAAAGAGACTTGGAAGAACATTGGTAGAGTCTAGAGTCAGTTCTTTGCTATGGTTAAGAGCTATGAACTCTGAGTGCAGACGCGAAGCGCAAAATCCAAGTTGTTGAAATGGACTACCTTAGAAGAAGTGCAGGTATATCTAGGATGGAAAAAAAATCAAACATCGAGGTCAGGCGTATCATGAATGCATCGGAGGAAACAGTACTAGATCGAATCGAAAAATCCAGCTTAAAATGGTTTGGACATGTTCTGCGTATGCCGGAGAACAGGTGGCCAAAAAAAAGTTTTTCTCCCCAGGGCAGAAGCGAGGTAGACCTAGAAAATCCTGGGACGGAACGGTTACGGAAGCAATGGAAGCTCGTAACCTAAAAGCTGATGACGCTCTAAATCGAGATGTGTGGCGTAGGGTAACGGGAAGGCAGCAATAGGCTGTAGTTGGAAATGAGTATTAAATACTTAAACCAAATCCCGTTTATATATATCTTCATAAACATTGCTAGGTTAATAAAATGGCCTCTCTCTAAATTCATTACTGCTAGGAATTAATAGACAGACGTCCGATCCAGAGGAACCTTACTTTTCAAATAGAATTTAATTTGCAATTGCACTTTTTATTGTCTAACGATTTCAAAACAGCTTTAATTATATATTAATTAAAAAAACTAATTTTAAATGTTTTAAAATTAGGTTTTTTGTAATTATCTTAAATACCATAATTTTATTATTTGAAATTGCTGTATGTTGGACTTATAGTAATAATAACTAATAATAATTTTAAAAAATAGGTGGTCATCTTTTGACAAGTTTATATTAGTTTATTAATTGTAGTAAACATTATGTTGTGTGTGTTTGTGAATACTTTGTATGTAATTTTGGGATTATATTTGTTTTTTTAGCATTGAAATATGTAGCACTTATAGTAATTTTTACATTCAAAATGTCATTCAAATCACTAAAAGTACGTGGAAGAAAATTATAATAAATCGAAAAATGATTAAGATTTTAACACCCTGTAGTTAGGAAACAAAGCAGAATCGGACCTATGTTAATATGAAAAATAAACCTTATTTTTACGTGAGGAATCTCCCCACGAGAGATGGCACATTTTTTTTCGAAACACTCTGTATTTAATTTGTATTTCTTTGTAGGATCACAATACCATTCTACGTAGGAAAACTAGTATCATATTTTGTACCTGCCCAAACACGCATCACAAAACAGGAAGCCATTATCCACGCTAGTCTAGTCATCGGCCTTAACATCTTCAACTACTTCTACTTACACAACTATCTTCTGTTAATCTCAGCTCTAAGTATTAAAGTACGCGCGGCATTCTGCTCGGTGATTTACAGAAAATCGCTGAAACTGTCGCCGGCGTCGCTTTTGAAAACGCCACCCGGTAAAATAACTACTTTGATTCAAAAAGATGTTCGAACCGTACAGGAAATGGTTCGTCTAGCGAATGACGTTTGGATTGGTCTGGTGCAAGCTTTGATCGTGTGCGCGTGCGTATATTGGAAGATTGGAGTGGCGGCTGTAGTTGGATGTGGAACGTTTCTTGCTATTCTACCGTTGCAAAGTAAGTTTTAAATATGTTTTTTTCTGTTAATGTGACTTCATGTGTAATGTGTCTAAAACACATGCAGTAGCAGTCCTCAAATTTATAGTATGTCCTCGGATCGTCTATATAAAAGGAAACACTTTTTAATTATAAACAATTTCAGAAAGATGCTTTATAAAAATGTTTGGTATGTAAAATTATAAACATATTATAAAAAAAATCTAGTAGTAGCCTCTAGTAGTGCAATCAGGCTAAGAGAAACTGGTTGCTGGACCGAGATTACTACTACTACTGTCATTACTCGCTGACGAGTATTTGACACGCATCAGAAGGTGGTTACTCAAGGCGTTTTCTTTTATGAGCTTTTCTGTGACTGAAAAGCCCGATACGTGATGTTATCTATCTTCCGCACTCCGGACATTCAAAAATCTCATTACTTTGTTGCCTCTTTACTTTTTGGTTGTCGTTATTAACTGAGTTTACAACTCTCCTCCAATGCGTTCTATTGTGCGCTGCTTCCCCCCACTGATGCTGCATACTTATCCCCTTTAAGTTTTCATGGAAAACATTTTTGTATCTTTTGAGTTGTCCATCCGGTTTCCTTTTACCCTCTATAAGTACACCGTAAAGAAGAGATTTCGGTAGACAGTTTTCTTGCATCCTGCATACGTGGCCAGCCCATCCAGCTGGACGGAGAAATTCTACAGACACAGCAGTATTCTTGGAAGATTACCGAAGGATATTGTTGCTGAACCATCAGACTATCTGATACCTAGGTTTGGAACTTGGCAAGAACTTTCTAGTCAGAATTACAACCAGAAAGGAATGGGAGACTCACAAACTACTGAAGGAATTTGATATTGCGCTATTTATGACGGATCCAAGATGGATTCAGGTGTAGGTTCGAGGATGTTTTCGAAAGAAACTTGGTTCTCTTGGCATTGCAAGGTCTTACCGGCTTCCGGATAGATCAAGTTTTTTCCAGGCAGAGATACTTGCCATTTGGAAGGCCTGCGAATGGCTGAGCGGGGAGACACCTTATGGGCGCAAAACTTCAATAATCACTCACAGCCAAGCAGCCATGTCGGCGCCTGAACTCATCTACCATATCCTCCAAAATAGTAAAAAAGCTTACGACAAGTTATCCTACATGGCAAGTAGGCATGATATAACCTTACTTTGGGTTTCAGGCCACAGGAACATCGAAGGGAAATAACGCGCTGATGAACTTGAGCTAGATGCATCAGAGGAAGTTTTTACCACTCTCAATACCATAATAAAGACATTTACCGCCATTTTCTGTCATGGTAAATAGTAGATGGAAAACTTTAAGCACCTGCAGGACAGCCAGGAAAACTTGGCCCAAATACGACCTTAAGAAATCGGGAGAGCTCATAACTAAGTCGCGTAAGGATACCGCCAGGCTTACGACGGTATATACGAGACACTGGCCAATTGGCCAACATGCGGCGAGAATGAGCATCCCTTTTAACGAAGTTTGCCGAAGCTGCAAGAACTCGAAGGAAGGGGAAACGATCCCCTTTTCGATTCCGGCTTTGTATAGGATCTGTAACCGTTTCGTTTGTAGTTGCAGCTTTGTAAATCTTGAAGATGTTGCCGGGAAGAGCATAACGGAAGTCACCCGTTACCTTAATGCCACCGAATAGTTATAAACAATTAACATTCCAACTTTTTCATCCCTAGGGTTCTCAGAGTGAGTGGTATCAAAACGGCAATTCTGCTAATTGGAATTCAGCAAGCGGTCGGCACTCACCACTTCAACTAACCAACCAAGCATACAAAAATTCTAATTTTAATTTATAAGAAAGGCAGCAAAGAAGAGATCAGAAACTACAGGCCATAATAAGCCAACTACCCATAACATACAAGATATTCACAAAAATAATAAACAACAAAATACAAAATACACTAGATGCTGCACTAATAAAATTTTCTAATGTTTTTAAAAATAAACAAAATATATTATTTTTATTTACCCTTTTGAGGGCTGTAACTTCCTCGGGAAGCACTTTAGGGCATATTATGTATAATAATAAAGTAGTAGTCAGTTAATAATAAAAACTCATTAAATTAATGAATTATTCTTAAATTTTTAGTTTTAATTGGGAAAAAAGCATCTTCATATAGAACCCAAATTGGAAGAAGTAGTGATGAAAGGCTCCAGCTCACTAAAGAAATTTTTGCTGCAATAGAAATAATAAAGATGTATACTTGGGAAATTATATTTGGAAGAAAAGTCGAAGAAGCTAGGAGGTATTTTTTAGTAGTTATAGAGGGCTGTAAATGAATAAGTGGAAAAATATGAAGTCAATTTTGTTTTCTAACTTACTACTATCATTTTTAGCCCTTATAATCCTAGGCGGAAGCCTAACATGATTGGTTCTCTTAATATCTCCCGTTAGAGAGAAAATAGAAAGTTGCGGTTTGGGCTGATATTTTGGAAATTTTGTGCTTTTGGAAATGCATTTTATACAGTTATAGTATAAAAAGAAACATAACATGCTATTTAAAGTTTTTATGCAAAACCACAATATCTGTTATGAAAAAATATACGGAAACAAAATTTATACTGGAGATTATTAAGAAAGAAAAGCTCTTAGTTTGTTTAAATCAGCTAACCTAAACCAGAGTTATCCTTATTTTAATAAAAGCAAGTTTAACCTTCCCCCACCACTTTATTTCAAAATACGCTATATCAAAAAAATTACAAATTTCCCATTGATTACAAATAGCAATATTTCAAATATCTCTTCACCTGCATATTTTTGAGAAAAATCCTGTTATCTGATTGGCCATTGCAGATGCACCCCCTAGACCTAGACACTTTTTGAACTTGAAAATCATTTCCAGCGATTTCTCTTGGCCGATTTAATTATTAGAATTTGTTTCCTAAAACTATACCGTTGATTGACGAAATAAAAAGATGTGCAACCTTATGGGCGATTTCGTGGCACAAAATCTGCCCGAGATTTAGTTTAGCTTTGAGCCGCTGAGCGCTGATAGTCGTTTACAGCATCAGTACAGAATTCTGTACTGTAGTTCTGTTTTTAGTCTACAGAGTGGATGGTTGCCGTAGACAGTGTTGCCAGGACTACGGATTAATCCGTAGATTTACAGATTTTAGGTGCAATGCATTAATAATACGGATTTTCTATCATTAAAGAATTTAATATAATATTATATGATTAAACAAAGATTGGCGTCAGAGTTGACTTGGGGAGATCGCTATTATTTCAAATGTAAAATATTATGGTAAATGTAAATAGTGGTCATTTCCAAGATAACTAAATAACTTTTTTCGATTATATAAAATATTGAGTACCTGTAAAAGAATTTTTATTTTTGTTGTTTATTCTATGTTGAACACGAATACATTTTCAATACAAAAACGCGGATTTTTCATCCAAAGATATTCTCGTCAAACGTATTACAGATATTATTCGTTTTAATATGGCAACACTGTCGCTTTCAGTTCCACACCGTCACAGAATATCTAGCTACGCAACAGAAGCCTCGTTACATGTATAAAATTGTAGGTAGCAAAAGGAGACAGGCTTTAAAAGTCTGTCTCCAAATCAGATATTTTGATGTGGTAGTTTCGCTACTTAATAATAGAGGGCAATAAATTTAAAAGAAAACAGTTTTCTACAAACAAAATTTAAAAAGAATTTTGTGCAGTGTTGCCATTGTGTAATTCATATCGTAATACTTCCTGATAAAGCTTACCTTCAAATTTGCTACATCATTTAAACATATTAAAATAGATCAGAGCTGTTTTTTTCAGTTTGCCATGTTAGATGGAATTAAATCTTATGAGCTAAATTACAATCACTTCCTGACGTTTGATTGTATAATTGAATCCTGAATTTTCATTGTAATTCGGCGACAATATAATAAGTATTGTTCTACTATTATTATAGTTCTACCACTTCCTGACGTTCGATTGTGTTCATACCAAGTTCATATCGTAAAATCGGGAAAAAACGGCGTTAGCGATAGCTATGAAATGAATATCGCTGTCATTTTATATGTAAATTTATATGGGAAATGTCATCGATCGTCCTTTTCCAGCCAACTGGACGCCGTTTTTTTCAGAAGCATATCAAGTGATACCATAATATAGTACTATACTACGATACATGGCGTTCGATTGGGCTTAAACTTGGTATACTATATCTTCAATGACATTGTAATATTGTGGTATCATGGAGCATATAAAGTGGTACCTTCTATAGTACCATATTTGATGACATAGCAATATTAGGTACATGGCGGCAATAGGGCTTACTTTAGGCGAAACTTGGTATACTACGGATCTTCGGTGACATTGCAATATTATGGTACCTTAAAGTATATCGAGTGGTGCCATAATATAGTACACTATTATGATATCATTTCCTGGAGTTCGATTGGGCCCAAATTTTGTATACTTGCGTTTCTTTATAAAGAAACAAATCTTTATAATTTTAATTTATTTTACGAATTTTAATTTATTGTTCGATGTCGTGACAGCAACTTTTATGCCGAACTAATATATTATTAATTGTATCTGTGTCACTTTTTAAAATCTACCTAGGTCTATATAAATAACGTGGCAAACGGAAGTAATTTGTTATAGTATTTTTTAGTCAGTTAACATTTTTTGTACTGCATTTTAATAAATTATTTCCATTATTATTAAACTTATATTTCATTACTAACGTTCCAGCATTAATAAATATCACTATCAATCGCCCTGTATATTATTAATTTTAAAGGTAATTAAAGGTATTTTCTTAGTTAACGTTATAAGTTAGTGTATATTAAAAATGTATATGTTTTGTAATAATATACTTAAAACTTTTTAATAGCCAAAGGAATAATTAATATAAGTGTATCTGACAAGAAAAGAAGAATAGAAAGAAACGCATACTGCATTATACACAATAAAAAGAATGGGATGCCAATTCAAGTCTTTTTGAATCTGGCAACTGTGCATATTTAGCCGAGCTATAAGGCCGTCGACGAGCCGTCGATCCAAAACCGAAAGTTCAAAATTTCTAATTATATTCTGATTATGATATTGTCGCGCCATCTAGTATTCTATTTGTGCAATTTTAGCTCTTTCATTTCGAGTATTTTTCTGTTGCGTAGCTAGATATTCTGTGACACCGTCTTCGATATGTCTTCGCTAGCCGAATTAGAGAAAATGAATGTTTTATGCGTTGGCCGCAGAACGAGTAGAGGCTCCACCGTACAGCACTTGAGACGCAAGGAGAAATCAAATCAGCCTTGTCACGAATTCGCTCATTAGGTTGCATATCTTCCCAATTTTTTCAATCAACAGTTATACGATAAGTAGTTAGTTTCTGAGATGCAGCCGGCGTCCATTCTTATAGTTGGCCACCAGGTACAACCGGGCCTTTTTGAAGTGAAACTTCTTTACGCGCGTTGGGAGTAAATATTCAAGGCCGTGAGACGCAAACGAGACGGCCGTGAGACGCAAACGAGACGGCCGTGACGCGCGAGCTAGCGAGAGGAAAAGTGATAGCAGCAGTGTTGCCACAGCTACCCCACTTAGGGTAGATCTACCCCTCTATAAAACAATTTAACCCTGTTATCTCGTGATAATCTGCCCCGATGAAAAATAAGCTTGTTGCAACACTGGGTAACGATCTGCGCGTACGCGGCTAAGAACATCACTATAATAAACTTGAAACTGTACCAACCTTGATTTCATGCACATTTTCATCGATAGGTTTGTAGCTTCTAAATAATGGTCTAGGTAAAGTATCTAGCTCATTTGTCAGCTCAGAATTACAATTTATAGTTAGTAACTCGCATTTTCATTGGAGGCCACTGTCATATTTATTTCAAACCAATAATCAACGAGAATATTCGTATAATTAATTAAAATTACTGTTATTATTAAAAAAAAAACTGTAAATCACTATAAATAATTAATCGTTTGTAATTGAGCTGTAATTTCTGTATTATTAATCCGGTAAATGATAGAGATAAACAATTGTGATTGATGAACATTTTATTTTAAGATGCAACTTTTGTTAACAACATTTCTGAGAATTCGAATAATGAATTGAATAATGACAAGACAAATGACATCTGTCTAAAAAAGACAGCGATTTAGAGTGACAATTTGGTTATGTAAAATTTAAAGTGACAATTTTGATTATGCAAAAGAAATACATATTCTATGAGTTTACTGGTTTAAATTAATTTAAAAATAAATCCCCAACATGAATAATGAACAAAACTTTTAAACAAAAACAGACTACACAAAACAAATTGTTGGTTAGTAGCAGTTAGTAGTAGTCAACGATATAGGTGTAGTAGTATTTTAGTTCAATGGCTATCCGGTCGGGTAATAGAATTATCGTTTTTTAATAAAAATTAAAAAAACATAAAATTATAAACCTTGAATAGTATACGGTTTTATATTAACTCTATTTTCTTTAAAGTTTATAAAAAGCCATTTATAAAAAAATACATATCCTTCAAATCCTTCAACTTAATAGCTTGGCCAGTAAGCGAGGATAAAAATAGGGTATTACCTCCGAATCCTTGACACCCCACCGATTGACGTGAAATTTTAAGAGCGAATAGAGATATATGTAAGTAACAAAAGTTGCATAGTAGCGATGTGTGCTTTCACCCTGGGGTGACTGCCACCCCTTCTCGGGGGTGAAAAATAAATCATAATTACCCATTTTAATTACAAAAATCAATAAAGGGAGGAATTCTAAGCAAAAAATGTTCTATAACATTCTTTCAGAAAATTAATATTTTTCGAGTTATTTAGGATTGAAAATGTTGATTTTCATCTAAAAACTGCATATTTTTCTGCAATTTTTTATAAATAACTCGAAAATCTTGCGTTTTATCGCAAAACCCATATAAAGCAAAAATGAAGCTTTTGGAATAACGAATCAACTTATTTTTTGTTGTTTGCCGTAAGTGTAGTAATAGCCGAGTTATCACTCTTTAAACTTGATTCTTTATTTTTCGAACCAAACCAAAACTAGATTGCAACATTTTACCGTAAAATAATGGCGAAAGAACACATTTTTCGAAGAAAATAAATATAACCGTTTTTAAAGTGCTTGTAAATGTCTTTTTTTTAAAGGTTTTTTCAAGTTCGTAGCTCAAAAACTCGCGGAGTTATGAAAAAAATAAAATGGTCACCTCATTTTTTCGGAAAAAAATTAACAACAAAATTTATGACTAAAATCATAAAAACAAAAACTATCAATTGGTAGAAAATTACATAAGCTAAAAATTAACATCTATAGTTGAACAATCTTGAACTCTTCATGTTTACGAGATTTTTGGGCTTTAAGTTCTCAAAGAAGGTGGTCCTTACATGCAAGTTAAACTAAAAAAAAACGTAATATCTACGAAATAAAGAGATCTACAGAAAAATTGAAAGAGAGCAAAAATATTGCAGAAAAAAGACCTTCAATTTTCCTCTGTTGCATTTTTTACGTATCTTGCTTAGTTTTTGAGATATGTCAAAAAAAATAATTTTTTTTAAAAAACAAAAAATAATTTTTTTTATTTATTTTCAACTTTTCCAAATTTAGGCATTCTAAACCACTCGAACTTGCAGAGTCAATTATTAGTACCTAAATATAGCCAACTGTACATGTATTGTGACGACTTTTCTGTCGTTACCCAAATAGAATGAAAAAAGAATCCGTTGCTCAGGGTTAGAGGAAAGCTGGGTTCGTAGGTAAGACTTCTGACTCACAGTGACTTTCTAATGTTGTTAAATATTAAAATAAAAAATGATAATATATATAGGCTGCAGAGATTTTAATATTGATGTTAAGAATTCAAATAGGTATGGTCAAAGACAGTGAAAAGGGCGCCACTTACTTTGTTTATGAGAGTGGTAAAGTAAGAAACCAAAAAGAAAAATACGATATCACAACATAGCTAAAATAAAGTAATCAACAGCATTAAGGGTCTATTATGTTTATCAGGAATAAAAGTCAGAAATAACTATCGTACATTAAACATTTATTGAAAACGAACACAAGTATCATCAATTAGTCACAGTGATCCCAATGAAACCGCAAGTTATTTTAAATAGATTCGAATTTAGTAACTGTATTCTTTGAACTAAGTAAGCTACTTAATATAAAAACAGGTGAAATTTATGTATGTCTCAATACGATGATGTTTCGAAACATGTCGTGTACAAAAACCTTTAAAATGAATACGTGTTAATAATTTTCATATAAAATATCATATCTAAGTAAGAGTGTACTGTACGAATCAAATTATAACTTATAACGTTAAATAAAAAATAACTTTGACTACAATATGTGGGATAAATAGTGATAATTTACCAGGTTATTAAATCTGTTGTCTCAAAAATTATAAAATAAAAGCGTACCTTGTGTATCAAAATTAAGAGAGAGAGACTTATCTGTATATAGTTTCTTATGATGTAAACAGGTAGTTAGGTATTCTCCAGACTAACAGAAGTGGATGCAGATGACTATGGCAGGAGAAGTCTTCAATATCAGCCAAAAGAACGGTTGTAATGTCAGGAACACTGTCTTAAGGTCTGCATAGGTCCATACAAAATGAAACTGGGTGAAACATACAATAATTACTGCATTATTACTGCATACCATGTGGTAATTACTGAGTACCATGTGGTAGTTACTGAGTACCAGGTGGTAGTTCCTGAGTACCATGTGGTCGTTACTGAGTACCAGGTGGTAGTTACTGAGTACCATGTGGTAGTTACTTAATATCATGTGGTAGTTACTCTATAAATAAAAAATAGTTCTCAGGACAGATACTCAATAAAAAAAACAACTTACGGTCTGAAAATCAACTTTACATAAATATATTCAAACCATATGCCGATCCAAACCAGTAATTAAATACTCAAATAAACGAAATAAAAAACAGAAATAACTGAAATAGAATTTAGTTAGATAGGGCTATATAAAATGGCGGATAAACTTACGGTGATCATTCCAAGAAGAAACTAAACAAATACGATCTATACTCTGAATTGCATACTTTACAAGGTTTTCAAATCTCCAAATCGGATACCCATGCGATCGAAATCGAAAAGTGGATGCAGAGTGCTTTTCACTGGAAAATTTGTCGGCCGCCGAAACACGCGTCTTCTTCAGATCCAAATTCCCAGAAAGAAAGAAAAAGAGAGAGAAAAAAGTGATATCATATGATCGAAATCATTAGAACAGAAAATCGCAATCCACAGCGAAGTGAGATTCAGACAAGTGAAATGCAATTAAGGAAGTTTGGCATATAGCGAATAGATGGCGCTAATAAACTAGACAAGTAAACTGTAAGAAATGAAGTTTGACATCTAGCGAATAGATGCGCTAATAAAAATTAAATATCGAAACAAGTGAGCTGTAACAAATGGAGTTTGGTATCTTTGGCATCTAGCAAATAGATGGCGCCAATACTAAGAAATTTAAATAAAAATAGAATCTTAAATTCAATTTTATTAAAGGAAATAAAAAATGCTACAGTATTACGCTTAGTTTATATTTTTACGATTTTGTTGTTAATTTTTTTCCAAAATAATGAGGTGACCATATTAATTTTATCATAACTCCGCGAGTTTTTGAGCTAAGAACTTTTTCAAGAAAGCATTTAAAAGGTCTTTTCAAGCACTTTAAAAACGATCATTCCGTTTTCTTCAAAAATATGTTCCTTCGTCATTGTTTTAGGGTAAAATGTTAAAATGGTAAAATAAAAAATCACGTTTACAGAATGATAACTCGGCTACTATTACACCTACGGTAATCAACAAAAAAGTGGATCGTTTAGCTATTCCAAAAGCTTCATTTTTGTTTTATATGAGTTTTGCGATAAAATGCAAGGTTTTCGAGTTATTTATAAAAATTGGCAAAAAAATATGCAGTTTTTAGATCAACATTTTCAATCCTAAATAACTAGGAAAATATTAATTTTCTGAAAAAAATGTTACCGAACATTTTTTGCTTAGAATTCATACATTTATTGATTTTTGTAATTAAGGGAGAGAAGGGGTGGTACTCACCCCCTGGGTGAAAACACACATCGCTACTATGTAACTTTTGTTTCTTACATATATCTCTATTCACTGTTAAAATTTCACGTCAATCGGTGCAGGTGTTCAGAATTCGGACCCTAAAATCCTCGCTTACTGGCCTAAGCTGTTAGTATGAAGTTTCACTAATATTCGCACATAGTGCACACACAATTTTTTTAAGTTGTTTAATTATAATTTGAAATATTTTTTTTTCTAGAAAGGAACTACAATCAATAACAAAACTATTCACCGTTAAAGTCGTATTGCTACTTCTAGGAGCGATGACATCGAAAATTGCCTTCTTCTTCCTGTTCGTTACTTATCTGTGGACTGGTAACTACGTAGCAGCTGAAAGCATATACTTTATTCTCAGCGCTTTTCAGAAACTGCGACAATCCTTCACCGTCATCATTCCTAGAGGAATATCTCAAGCGGCCGAACTGACTTCATCCCTGAAGAGAATTCAAGACTTATTAATCTCTGAAGAAACTGCCAGTATTGAAAAGAAAAACAGTTTTTCTAATCAACCGAAAATTCGTATAGAAAATACTAATGTAACTGGAGATGTACTTTTAAGACATACCGTAGAAATTTCTGAGCCAAGTTTAATAATTCTTACTGGACCTAATGGTTCTGGCAAAACAACTCTCTTAAACGTTATACTAGGAAATATTTCTCTGCCAAATAAAAAAGTACTTACATACGGATCAGTGTCATATGCTCCCCAAGAACCTTGGGTCTTTCCATCGACTATCAGACAAAATATTTTGTTTGGTGAAGTTCTTGATTTAGTTCGTTACGAGAAAGTACTTACCGTTTGTTCCCTTAGGCAAGATATTGACAGATTTCCAGAGCATGACAGGACGCTGATTGGCGATAAGGGACTTAATCTCAGCAAGGGACAAAGGGCCAGAATTAGTTTAGCTAGGGCGATATATAGGTCGAGTGATATTTATTTACTAGATGATTGTTTAGCTTCATTGGATGCAAGAGTCCAAAATGAAATATTTAGGAACTGTATAAAGAATTTTCTCGGTGACAAAATTTGTATTTTTGCATCTTATAGTTCGAAATATATAAATTTTGCCAATAGAGTTTTCCAGATAAATGAATTGGGAGAGCTAAAAGAGACTGAACATTTGAAGTATTTAGAAGATATAAAATATGACGCGACTTTAGAGAATGTAGCTGAGGAAACTATCCAAAGTAATATAGCAAATATTAGTGATTCGGGTGAAGAAGTCCCACTATTAGACAAGAAATTAGAGAAGAAGGGTAATGTTTATGCAGAGGTGCATAAGTCTGGTCGTGTAAATGCAAAATACTATGGACAGTATATTGCATATGGTGGTCGACTACTGTTTGGGATAGTTGTGATATTATTTGGTGCTACACAACTTTTGAAAAGTTACACTGATAAAGTGATTAGTGTTTGGTAAGTATTAACTACCTAAATATTCAGAAATTTGAAAAATATCGATGAGTCAATTGCTTCCAAGAAAAACTTGTTGACATTTGTTTGAAGTTGATAGAGAGTAGTGAATTTTGAAGCACTATACAGGGTGCTACAAATTCGGGGTACGAGCATTGGTATATCGGTAACCGTAATAGATACGAACATGGTTAAATTAGGGCAAATTTGCCGCTTTGGGATGTTCACCAAGATGCCATCAAAAAAGTTTTAAAAATTTCAAGCTGAGTTTTTTGAAAAAAAAATTAATTTTTTTGGAAATCAATTTTATTTTTTCCTGTCGTTACTTTTTAGAAAATCAAATAACTAATTGCACATTCTCATAGCCACTTTATTAGGGTTATCTGATAGTATTATTAGATTTTCAAATTAGCTGATAATTTGTGAGACACAGAGGCCAACTTTAATTTTTTTAAATACGGACCTGCATTTTTTATTTCAGGTTTTGAAAGAACTCGGTCTGCAACTATTGAGCAACTTTGCCCCAATTTAACCATCTTCGTATCTAGGTTTCCGAGATACCAATGCTTGTACCACGAATTTATAGCACCCCGTATAAACACAATATATTCTTGGACTGATATTGAAGTAAAAGCCAAAAAAAGAGCTCTTCTTAAAATATTAGGAGGGGGGTTAATCACCGCGACCTTACATATCTATTGTGTGTCTCCCTTTTTTCCTTTCTTGAGTTATAACGAGTTATAACCCGTCATACAGTCTCAGAGCTTTGACAAAAGCCAGTATTGAGACGGTTTTACAGAGGTTAGTTCTCCATCTCCGATATCAGTCGTATCAACGTTTATTGCACGAATGGTTGTCGTCTCGGCGTACTCAGTGATGTTCTGGTGTTTCCCCATTTTCCCCACAGAATCTGCATTCGCCGTTGTTACTTAGCGTCAATCTCCCGAGGTGTTCATTAAGGAGACAATGTACTGTTAAAATCCCGTGACAATTTGAAGAGTCGTAAGTCTTTAGAAATTTCTTCGAGTGTCTTAGACCTTTGGAGGATTTCCATTCCAACGGATGGAATCTTCCAGGTTCTCGAGTGCTTCTTTAAGCTGGTTTCCACTTGGGAAGCAGGAATGTGGTCCAGTTAATAGAGTGTTCGTTCCTTTTCTAGCCAGATCCTTTTTTTTTTATTTCATTACCTTCTATCCCTTGGTGGGCAGGTACTCAGAGTAGAAGGACTTTATTTTCTTCGCCTATTTTAAAAACTTACGTCTATGTTATAGGCCTTGCCGTCATTATTTATCAAATTTGTGTAAATCCTGTAATTATCTCCTGTCACAATAATTCTTCGGAATTCTTTGTTGCTCATGAAATACATGTTGTCAACCCAAGAAAATGTGGTATTTTACTCCATAATATTCATGTTTCTTGGTTTTAAACTCCGCTAACATGTAATTTAAATGTAATTTTTAGGGTAACAGTGGAGCAGAACAAATCTTTGACAAGGCCTACTAGAAATAAAACTCAAATAGCCAATTACGATGAAGCTCACGACAGCATGTCAATCCAGTTTTCGATACTAATAAGTCTAACTACAGCTTTGTCCGTATTGACAGCTTTAGGCTTTTTTAGTTTTACTACAAAATCATCGAAAACTATACATGCAAAGATGCTATCGAGTTTATTAAGAGCAAAAATGGCATTTTTTGAGAATACTCATCTGGGAAATGTATTAAATAGATTTTCGAAGGATTTAACTGTTATCGATGAAGAATATCCTTTCGTCGTGTATGAATTTATCGAGGTAAGTGGTGTTTAGCTTTATAAGTTTTATAAAAAAAAACAATATTAAAAGTTAATATGCTAAAATACTTTACTTTTGAACTCTGGATGTGCATTTCCCTAACACTGCAGATCATCAGAACAATATTGAAACTTAACTATTATTCACAAATTAAGCGTTTATACCAGGATTTCATTGGCATAGTTGATAGCAAGAGTAGCATAACCAGCGAAAAGGGACAAAACCAATCGAAGATAAGAATTAATTACGGGATTAGACCATTAGGAATTAGGAACCGGAAACTAGAGAGAATGGGACCATTATCTATATTCATATAGTCCATTATCTCTATTCATATAGTTTCTTAGGATCTCTCTTCGCTCTTTAGGAATTAGTTTTTTCTATTCATATAGTTTTTATATTTATTTATATTGATATTTTTGTAAATACATATCCCATTGGCTGAAACTGGAGACATATTTGGTTAATTTTAAATTATTAACATATGAAATGTTTATTGAAAACATTTTAAGCAACAGAAGACTTACCTGATCTATCATATCTTAATTGATCCATAAACATAATATAATAATTGATTTCCAGTGGTGTATTATTACCTCTACGATTACCTAATAGTTGCTAGATATTATTTATAAATAGCCGTTTCCTCGGGTTACTTTTCTACCAAAAGGCACTCAAACATAATTTGTCATATTATGATTCACAGGTTCTTAGGAATGAAAAAGAGACTACTTTAAGTGTAAAAGAATTTCGGACTTCCGTTGTCTTATTTTTTTGGCTAAAAACTTAAAATCATTCTCAAGCAACTAAGAAAGGAATAGTTAAAACTTTATCTTATCGAGCAAACATCATATTATGCAGTGACCCAGTATCACTTATGTTGAATTATATAATATTGAAACGGATTTGCTTCTGAATAGTTACTCTGAGTAGTCCGTAGACAAAATTATCTCAAATTGTAAAACTGTCTCATTGGTTCATCGACCTGATGAGGATGCGATGAGCCGTATATTGGAGAGACTAAACGTCCTCAGAGCACAAAAAGGTGAAACAATGAAGTCAGGTATTCCTGACCATGTTTGGCAAAAACAGCATAATATAAAGTGGTCAGAAGCTCGGGTTGTCTACAGGGAACCTCATTGGAAAAGCGTAAAATTAAAGAAGCCGTTTTTATTGCAATTTTAGCAATCCTAATACGGAAATATCTACGATATGACAACCACTGATAAAACGCACCAATGCAGGCATTCAAAGTGGACAACCTCACGGTTGACTGCACCCAACTTTTTCACACGGGTGAACATGCCTGACTGGAGTATAAAAGCCCAGTAGTTTTTGGAATTAGGTTTGACAAGTTTACACTTGATAACGGCCAGTGTTCCCTCTGACCGAAACGTGTTAATCAGAAAAGAAAAAAAAAATAAAGACAATGGAAGTAGACAATGCATAGGCAAAGGATACAGCTAGAAATGTTCTGTAGTGAAATGAGAATGTACTTGTAGATTTTTTCTATATTTTTTCTAACTGACAACATAAAAATTAAAACACAAACCGAAAATTTCAGTTTTTCGCCATATTTCCGGAATTGTCAAAGATAAGTTCAACTACTTAATGGATTATTGTTGGGGTCATTGACACGCAACTTTGCGTATTTTGAGCCACTCTGTATTTATTATCGTTTCCGAGATTCGAATATGAAACACCCGGTATACTAATTTGTTTTTTTTTATTGTTTTAGCTCTTAATGACAACATGTGGAATTATAGTACTAATAACTTTAACACAACCACTGCTGCTAATTCCGGAGATAGTTTTGTTCCTGTTACTTTGTATCATTCGGCATTTCTATTTGCCAACAGGACGGAATTTTCAGAGACTAGATTCAGCAAGTATATCGATTTTTTTCTAACTTTAAGATTATTTTACTTGTTTTTAATTTAATTTTCTGTGTTATTTAGAAAAAATCTAAAGAATCACAAATCAAAATGTTGAAACCAAAGCAATTAAATTTGTATTAAAATTAAGAAAAAAAAACACTAACGACAACAAAGGTTGAAACAAAATCAATCAAATTCGTATTAACGTTTAAGAAAAAAAAATAATATAACGGTAAAAAAGGAAAAGGAGTCTCCGCGTAGAAATTAGCACCACTTGAGTTATTTATTTTGTAAAACTATTTTAAGAAATCAAATATTTTTCGTCTAGTTTTTCCACAAATGTCATAATGCTTTGGTTGCAAAATTTTTATATGAAATGCAATCCTCGCAAGTGGCCTAAAGTGAATCGTCACTTATTTTATTATCTGTTTCCTTCATATTTATCATTTAGCTTCACCTACATGTGTCAGTATTAAGTATTTTATTATTTGCTCCAAATGATTTGTGGTATATTTTGTTAAACTCTTATTTAGGTTTATTTTTTAATTTTTTGTTTTTATCTACAATAAAACTTACCTAAAATTTTTAATATACGCAATTAGACGTCTCGTTAATTGCAATTGAAAATGGAGGAACAAGCGATGAACAATGATTAAGATTGTTGGCTATTCTGATTTTTCTGGTTTGGTTGGCATTAAATTTAGGAAATTCGAATTTATATCTGCTCTTGTTACTAGCATCAAAACAAACCAAAATAGTAAATATTTATTTTCTAATGATATATAAATTAGCTTTTAATAATAGTTAGACTAATCAAAACGAGATGGGACATAAATGGATTTAATATGAATGTTTTCTAATTTAATTAATGAATAAGTGTATTAAAATATGCAGGTTAGGTTACGTGCTCGTAATAAATTTTCGTAATAAAACGTATATTAAGGTATTATAAACTGGTTCAATTTCAAAAAATGTTTTTTAGAAGGTGTCCAATATACCCTCCGGCTTGCACCTATAATCAAATATATTTGCAATTAGTAGTAAGAAATTTTCCACATATTTTATAAATTTAAAAGATAAAATGTACCTCTATATGGGCTTATCATATTGCTCCTTTTTCGTTTGTTACTTCTTGGTTAACAGTAATTTGAAATCGTCCAAAAACGGTGCTGAAAATTACGATTCTGTATTGATTAAAAGTTACTTCGTTGATTAAGTTCAATTTCTAACCTTCTTTTGAATGCCGGGGTGAAAATAAGACGTGATTATATAAGTATAAATAATAAGTATTCCTTTTCCATGTTGACTACTGCAGTTGTATTGAAAAATAGTAATTAAAGTAAGAAGATAAAGAAAAGCCCAAAAAAACTAACCTCAATTAGTTGACATAATTTGCTAAACGTCTTTCATCGCTAATTTGTTTTAGCATTAGTCTTCTCCTTCTTTTCTGTTGACTCTTGAAAGAGTATGTTACTCACCTCTGTCTACTTTGTTCCGTTTGAGAAATTTCTGGTCAGACCGTAACCTATAATTTTTTTAGTTTGCTCCACCCAGCGCGTTGAAGATCTTCTTCGTTTGCCATTAATCTTTCTTTCGAAGATGAGTTTTTTCCAGTCCACCTGTTCTTCTCGAAATATGCCCAAAGTACCTAAGGCATGTTACTTTTGGTTGAAAATCTTGTGGTGATTTTCAATTGCCTTGGAATTGAAACGTTGCTTTGGTCCGATGTTCTGTATATGAAAATTGCTGCATTCTTCTGTAGGCCCACATTTCGAGCATCATGCATCAGTACGAATCACTAAAATCACTAATTTTATAATCGTTAAACAGTATTTCCAACTATTTCAATCATTGTTATATGTTTTATTAGTTTAAAATTTAAATAATGTTTAATCTATTATGGGTTTTAGCACGAAGCTCTCTAACAGGATATTTAAACTCTTCATTGGACGGACTATCGATCATAAAGGCTTCCAATGCCGGCGATCTGGTATCTTCGGAATTTGACAAATACCAGGATGTAAATACATCGGCAAGTTACACGTCTGAATGCTGTATCCGAGCTTTTGGATTTATTCTTGATATGATATGCTGCCTTTTCACCACCATTGTCATTGTTAACTTTTTTGTTTATCGTTCAGGTGAGTAGCTTTAGAAAACAGCATGATGAACATGAATTATTGTATTTTCATTAACAGAAAAAGTAATTTTGTAATAGTTGTCAATAACTGAAGTTCTTTTTTGAATTAATAAAATTAAATTAATAATGTTAAACATTTTACTCCTATTTAAAACTTTGAAGTTTCGAATTTTTTTAAAATTCGAAAAATTTTAATGGTTGCTTTTAGACTTAGATTAAGGCAGATTAATATGACTGTATTTATTTTTTATTAGTGGCCGGCCGTAGCTCCAGCGTTAAGGAGGGCGCGCACTGAATGGGTATCGGCGCGAGCGAGCGGCACGTAATTTTCAGTTTACATTGAAATAAATGTAAGCCCGCGCACCGCATTAGATCGGTGCGCTTCGAGCTATCGGCGCCATTCGAGCTATCAGCGCCATCAGGCGAAATCAGAGAATGCATGGGAGGGGGACGAATACTCTACGCCGAGCGACTGTTTTTAGTGGAGTGGTTTTACATTAAATATTTCCGATGAATTATTAATCGAAAGTGTACGAGACCATATCATACTTAATATGCGGTTTTTTATAAAAAATTCTTACAAGCATGTAACCCATATTGTTTAATACACTTATTCAATAACTGAATTAGAAAACCTTCCGATTAAACCCCTTTATTTCTCATCTCGTTTTGATTGTCTCACATCGTCAAAAAACTTATCATATTATTTAATTTTTGGTTTGTTTTGACGTAAGTAATAACAGCTGATAAATAATGTTACTATGTTGATCGCTCCATACAAGGTACAAATAGAGAAAATAATATTTATGTTTAAATAAAATATTTGTACATATATCTACCGTATGATAAAAAACGGCGTCCAGTTGGATGGGAAATGACGATTGATGACATTTCCCATATAAATTTACATATAAAATGACACCGACCTTCATTTCATGGCCATCGCTGATGCCGTTTCTTTTCGATCATACGGTACTATAAAATAAATCTATATATTTTTTCTTTTTTTTACTTTTCTTTGACTTTTTTATTATATTTTAAGGTTTTAAAATCTTGGTTTTAAGTCAGTAGTGAATAAAACGAAACTTTTGTTTACATTTTGTTTAATGATTGACGTTTCGACCAATTTTAATTCGGTCTTCTTCAGAATCTATAATATACTGTTGCGGACCCGTACCGTGTGAACTCGGCCTTAGACTTCAGGCGCCTGCTATGACTCATACGCCCACCGACGTTCGAAGAACGAATAAGAATTTACTAGACAAGTCTGGACTGTCTGTTTCTCTCGTATATAAGCCGATGACCGAAACCTGAAGGAGGAGAGAGATAAATAACCGATCGACGCGTACAGTTACAATCGCCGCGCTAATTCAAAATAAATTTCTGTTAGATAAATAATTAGATAAGTTATAAATAAGTTCTTTAAGTTTTCTTTTTAATCGTTATTGTTTGTTAATTAGTGTTAAATAAATTGTGTTTAAATAAATTGTGACTTTCTTTCCACACGGAACCAACGAAAAACGTAACAATACAATACTATTTTATCACTAACAATGTGTTTAATATATAATTTTTCTTACCACAAACGTAGAACATCATTTATACGTATATTATAGATTCTGAAGAAGACCGAATTAAAATTGGTCGAAACGTCAGTCATTAAACAAAATGTAAACACAAGTTTCGTTTTATTTACTACTGACTTAAGACAAAGATTTTAAAACTTAAAATAAAAGCTATATATAAATGTTTGTAATGACACTTATTTAGATTAAAAACTAAAAATAGAAGTTTTATTTGACTATTTTTCATATCTAGCTTTGTTTTTAAAGAACAAATTAAACCCTTTTGAATGATACCAAATTTGTTAAAATCGGTTAAGCTACGAGTCATGTAGTATATTTATCCCCATCTTCCACTCTATTTCACTAATTTTATGTGGTTTGTTAAGATCTAAATATATTAATGTGTGTTTGGTTAAGATCTAAATAATATTAATTTCCATCATAAAGCATAAAATATAAAAAGTTGCATAAAAATATAAATAGTAATAATACTTTATAATTTTTTGAAATGTCGAATGAATTTGACTAAATTTGAATATTATTATATATATTCGAACTTCTCCTCGTCTATGCTCAAATTTATGCTGGTGACGTACTCTCGACCGTCGATCGTGCGACTTCAGTGCGCGGCTACAATCGACTTTCCGACCGGTCGTTCCGCTCGTGCCGCTCTCGCCGCTACCCCTTCAGTGCACTCGTAGCTTTTAGTGTGTCGATCTGCGGAGCGGAAGGTACTGGGTTCGATCCCTAGCCAGTACGGTCGCTTTATTTATCTAAATAGAGCGACCAACGAGCCGCCACTTCAAGGAAGGCAATGGCAAACCACTTTGAGTATATTTGCCTTAAAAAGTTTTTTCAAATTTCCCGGAAAATGTCAAGAAAAATTTTAAATTTTCAACATTTTTTTTTCTCAAAAAAAACCTCATAGGCGTGTTTCTGGGGTTGAACTATACTACCAGTTAAAATATCTGCACTTATTTCTGGGACACCCTGTAGAGTATGGCACTGTAAGAAGAAGTATTTATCTAATCAACGAGACAGAAATCGACTAAATATCAAAAGGCAACTTTTAAACGGCCTATATAGTTTTACTAACAACAAGAAAAAAGTCAATGGCACGCATGTTTTTTTTTAGAAAATTATTCCAGTGGAGCCCATCTGTACGTCTCTATTTGTCGACATATTTTTAGCATTAAAATATCTAGCACTTATAGTAACTTTTACCCTCCTAATGCCATTTGAATCGTATAAATATACTTGGAAGGGAATTATAATAAATCGAAAAAAGACTTTAATCATCTGTAGCTACGCAACAAGACAGAATCCGATCTATGTTGATATATAATTTAGCAATTTTTACGCCAGGAATCTTCCCACGAGAGATTGCAGATGTTTTTGAATCACCATGTATATTTTTATTATTATTCAACGATTTTATAATTATTCTTAATTATTCGTTTTATTTTTAGATGTAACTGTTGGGGATATAGGTTTAGCCATAACACAGTCGATGATGCTAACCGGACTATTCCAATATGGCGTCCGGATGTGGGCGGATTTGGAAAACAAGATGACCTCGACCGAAAGAGCTTTAGAATATACAGAAATCGACACCGAAGACTTTAAAGGGCAAATTCTAAACGAGTGGCCTAAATTGGGCAAGATCCAATATGACAATGTTTCAGTGTTAAACCACAGCGGCGAAGCGATATTAAGAAACGTATCTTTTGACATTAAACCTGGAGAGAAAATCGGAATAATTGGTAGAACTGGAGCCGGAAAAACTACTCTGGTTTCAGCGTTATATAGATTGAAAGATATCGAAGGTACTGTTTTAATAGACGATGTCGATATCAAAGAATTAAATATCAAGTTTCTTCGAAAGAATATTGGAATAATTCCTCAAGATCCTGTTTTGTTTACTGGAACGGTTAGATACAACATCGATCCAAAGGGTTTATTTCCAGACAGCGAACTGTGGGAAATTCTGCATAAACTTGAACTGGCCACATCCTTAAAATCTCTAGATCAGTTTGTGGCGGAGAATGGATCAAATTTGAGTTATGGAGAAAAACAACTTTTATGCTTGTGTCGTATTTTATTAAATGCATACAAAATATTAGTATTGGATGAAGCAACATCAAGTACTGGTGGTAATACTGACAAAATAATTTCAGGTATTATAACAAACAAATTTGAAAAATCGACTGTATTGATAATTGCTCATAAGTTAGAGACTATTCTAAAACTGGATAGAGTGATGGTAATTGATAATGGTGAAGTAATTGAATTTGATAAACCGGAAATTTTGATGAATAATTCCAATAGTTTATTTTACACTATGGTTAAATCATCAGGGATATCTTAAATTCTTGTGTGATACAATGTACTAAAATATTTGTCCTAGTCATTATTTTTATGTGTCTACTTAACTACTTATGAATTAAAACTTTTATACAAATATATATTTTTTTGTTTTTATTCTTTATATTCAAAGTTTATAAAAAGGTCGAATATGAAAATGTTTTAGTTTTAAACCACAACGACGAAACAATATTGAAAAACGTATGTTTTGACATTAAACCTGGAGAGAAAATCGGAATAATTGGTAGAACTGGAGCCGGTAAAACTACCCTTGTTTCAGCGTTATACAGATTGAAAGATATTGAAGGCACAGTTTTAAATCTTCTTTTCTTTCTTCTTTCCGCCGAACAGTAGGCAATATGTCGAAACCAAGTTGCAAAAAATAACATCCACAGTTAGCATTTATGGCAATAACATTAGATTGGAAACATATTATTTAAGAGGAAACCGCATAAAACTAACAAAAAACCTTATTCGGAGTCTCTTTCGAGGGGCTGTAAAACGAACATTGCGCAAAACCTACATTTTCAGTTAATTTGTGAAAATAACTGCCTTTTTTCTACAATTTTTTAAATAGTAGGCGTTGCATTCAAGTGACACAGTATTATAACAATTGAATCGGACGACCTTAGCTTGCTGTCAATAATTATTGTGAAATTGTCATAATGTGTTTTACGTAGATTCCCGGTTGGGTAAATTTAATGTCAAGGTAAGTAAAAAAGGATCTTTTATTTTGATTTTTTGGATAAAAACGAGGTAAAGGTCAAAGTAGAACATAATCATTTAAGGTTTTTTTGATAGTGGCATATATTCTATCTTCATTCATTGAAGACACTTTTTTCGAAAACGTCGAATAAAAAAGATACAGAGGATGTCAATATATATACCTAACCTAACAAACCCTGCATATGCCGGAGGAGAAATAATTGCTCAATATTTGTCTGTTTCATCTTGGCTCTGCCAAAAATCGTAAAATTTAGTGAAATGTAAAATATTCTTACCGCAGTTTGGTAGCTGTATTAGCCAAAAGATGATTTTTCCATTTTATGAATCCCCCCCACCACCCCCAGCCAATCTCAAGTCAGCCAAAACTAACTGGGTTCACGGGCTACTGGCATAGAATGTTTTTACCAAATTTGAATGAAATCGTACAATAAAACAATTTTTGCAACATACTTCTGGATTTTTGCCCACTGTGCGCCGGTGTCCATTTTAGGATTTGTTTGGGTAGACGTTCGTCAGCCATTCTCTCTACATGTCCATACCATATTAGTTGGCGTTGTTCGATTTCATCGAGGATAGTTTTCTTTACGCCCATAATCTGTCTAATTCTTTCGTTGGTTATTCGCTCTATTCTCGACTTTCCGGCAGATCTTCGCCAAAAATCCATTTCAAGAGCCAATAGTTGACGCTCTAAAGTTTTATTTATTTGCCAGGTTTCACATCCATACAATACAACACTTTTAAATATCGCATTGTATAAAAGGTGTTTTCTTTCGATAGAGATGTTTGTTGACCATAATAGTGAGTTTAGGCATCCTATAACTCTTTTCCCTTTAATTATTCGCTGGAGCGGCCAAAGTGGACGAACTGAAGAAATATTGGAATATTTCTTCAGTTCGTCCACTTTGGCCAATCTTTGTTCCGAGGTAGGTATAATCTGAACAATATTGTACTATGCAGCTGTCGTCCACTTCCAAATCTGTTCCCTCTCCACCGATACACATATATTTAGTTTTACTGCAGTTAACAGTTAATCCCACTCTGCGTATTCTTTAAAAAGTTTCCTCGCCATGAATTCAAGGTCTTCCCGATCTTGGGCCACTGCCACTTGGTCATCTGCAAAATGAAGAGTATATAAGTAGGTGTCATTTTTTAGTTCTATTCCCATTCCACTGCAGGATCTTCTCCATTTCTTTAAAGCTTCATTGAGGTAGATTTTGAAGAGAGTTGGCGATAGACAACATCCCTGAAGAAGGCTTTTGGTCACATAAAAGGTTTCTGATATGTTACTGCCAATCTTTATTCTGGAAAATGCTTGGTGGTATAGCTGTTTGATGGCTTTGATCGCTTTGTTGAAAAATTGAATTTATAATCATCTGCTGATGATGCTAACATGGTTAGCGAAACGCGCGTCCAGTGTAAAAGTTAAAGTGTTTTGGTGTATTGTGGTGATTTAGTGTTTTTATTTTGCTTTGATCGCTGTATTGTTAATTGGAGAGTTCTCCAGCACTGTATCATATGCTTTTGAAAGGTCAACAAAAAGCAGATGAGCCTCTCTATTCCTTGCTACCTTCTTTTCATTAAGTTGGGTTAGACTAAATATATGATCTATGCACGATCGACCAGCTCTAAACCCTGCTTGCTCTTCAATTTCTTGTGGACCATATTCTGTTTCTACGATGTTTCTAAGCAATTTTCCGTATACTCTGCTCATTGTGCTGGTTACGGATATACATCTATAGTTTGAGCATTCGTCACGTCTTCCTTTTTTGTGAATTGGCGTTATCCAGCCTTCTTTCCATATAGTTGGTACAGGATCCCCATTATTTAGGCGTCTGTTAAATAGTTCTCGAAGAAAGAAATTTAGCTTTTCAATACCGTTCTTCAACAGTTCCGCAGGTATTCCTTCCGGTCCAGCTGCTCTCCTATTTTTCATTGAACTAACAGTTTTCCATATCATCTCCCTTGTAACGTCGATATAGTGGCCTTGTACGTTGTATCGCCTTAATGAGCTGACGAGGTACTCTTGTCGATCTTCGGTAAGCTGCGTTTTGTAATGAGATCTCCACTTTTCGATTGGGATTGGTTGTAAGTTGATCTTGTTCATGGTGTCTGATCTTAGTGCTTTTATTAATTTTCATGCTTCTGATGATCTAGTACCCCCCACATGTGTGTTCAGTTCAGTGCATTTCCTCTCCCATGTGTCGTTTTTGTTTTTGTTGATCATGCTTTTAAATTTTGATTGTTCATTTCTGTAGTTGTTTTTATCTTGTGGATCTTTAGAATTTAGCCATTTGTTGAAAGCTTTTTGTTTTATTTGTTTTTGCTCGTCTAGTGTGTTATCCCATGTAACATTGTTGTTTTGTTTGTTCATATCTTTCGGCTTAATTCCTAGAGCTTCTTGTGCAGCGGAGTGTAGGCAGGAAACGATGTGTTTATACAGTTCATCCGTGCGCCCTGATAGCAATTCAATTTGAAGTTTGTTATCTAATCGAGTCTTAAATAAATATTTTGTACTAAGTTCGTGAAGTCCTTCTATATTGTAAGATGTTTGTTTTATTGTTGAGATGTTTGTTGTGTCTGTTTCGTTGTATTTTATCTTAAAGGGAAATTGTATTTTTGCGCCTAAGAAAAAGTGGTCAGATCCGCATTCTATTCCTCTGTATACCCTAGTGTCTTGAACTTTTATAAAGGATCTCTGTTTAACAATTATATAGTCTATAATTGATTTTAGCTGTCTCGTTTCTTCATGCCAAGTATATTTGTGGATGTCTTTATGTTGAAAAAATCCGTTCAGGATTTTTTGTTTATGTTGTTCGCATAGCTCGATCAGTCTTTGTCCGTTGTTATTAAGAGTATTTTCACCGTGCCTTCCGACTATATTACTGTTCGTGTTTGATCCTACTCTAGCATTTAGGTCGCCCATCACTATTGTTTCTCTCTGGTTTCCTGCTCTTGAAATGGTTTCATTTAGTTGATCGTAGAATGCATCTTTAATCAGTTGTGTAGCATCATCATTTGGGCCATAGGCGGCGACTATTACAATTCTATGCACTTTCAGAGATAAGTTTAACGTAGCTAGTCTTTCGTTAATTGTTTCCCACGACGTGATTTTATTGGTGTATTTTTCCTGATAAGGATTAATACCCCTTTGGCGGCTCTTTGGCTTTTTGGCACTCAACTATATATATGTATGAAATCACCATAGTATTCCAGGCTGTTGCCTTTCTTTTTTGTTTCTGTAAGAACGGCGACATCCACTCTCATTTTTTCCAATGCTTTCACCACATCTTCCACCTTTCCCCCAAGTCCTTGAGTATTCCATGTTCCAAAAATCATATCCTTTATTCTATGCTTTGGTCGTTTCCGTTTAATCATATCTACGATCCGAGGCTGTATTCTGGGATTTGTAGCTTGTGTTTAGATTTACATGTAACGGGTAGCTGGCCCGTTGCCACAACCCCCAACCTGGAGGACCAGGATTTTTATTCAAGGTTTTCTTCCTTTAGCCTTCGATGAGTCAACATCTAACTGCAAGGCAGCAGCTTCGCCGTATCCTAGCAGGAGCCCTTACTGGGTACTATCATCCGGGCCAGATGAACCCAGGTTTTTTAACGAGGTTGTTACTCCTCCCCTTCACCCTTTCTCAACCTGGCTTAGGACAGGCTTTGGCGGGTTTATGTCGAAATTAAAGAGTTAAATGTAAAGTTTCTTCGAAAGGATATTGGAATAATTCCTCAAGATCCTGTTTTGCTTACCGGAACGGTTAGATACAACACCGATCCAAAGGGTTTATTTATAGACAGCGAACTATTGGAAATTCTGCATTAACTTGAACTGACCACATCCTTAAAGTCCTTAGATAAGTGTGTGGCAGAGATTGGTTCTAATTTGAGTTATGGAGAAAAGCAACTTTTATGTTTGTGCCGTGTTTTATTAAACGCATATATGAAATATTAATAATATATAAGTAATTGTTAGATGAAGTAACTTCAAGGTACTGATGCTGATACTGATAAAATAATTTCAGATATAACAAATAAATTTGAAAATTGTACTAATACTGATAATTGCTCATAAACTAGAGACTATTCTAAAATAGGATAGAGTGATTGTAATTGATAAGGGAGAAGTATGTTCAACGAATCAGGAAGATTTCTACAGTCGACGTTAAAGAATGATAGAAAATACAATTTGTCTGTGAATTAAAACGATAGACACAACTGCCACTCTCAAAGATCCTGTCGTTGAAAAAACTATATCATTCAAATACTTATTATTAACGTTATGTTTCTTTTTGATCTCGTATTGATATAGGATATTCCAATAGGCAACAAAAAAGTATTTTAACTATATTTTAACTAATTAATTAAAATACAGTTTATAAATTAGTTAAAATACTTTTTGTATCACCTATTGAAATGATGGAGTCTCTGGTATTTCCAGAAAAAAAATCCTTTCAGAATTCTTTGAGTTCTCAAGAAAGTAATAATAATTGCTTTTGTCATATATGATAATAGATAACAAATACCGTTAACATGTTAAGTAAATAGTTTATGATTTGTTGTTTTTGGTGAAAACATTAAATCCCCAGAGGGGTATCCCAGACATCTTTCTACTTTATGCTAATATTTACAGATATATCTGGAATTTCTGAGAAATTAAATTTCATGTTTTTTTGTATATTTTAAGTATACCTGCGAGGGTACGCCTATACCCTATACAGAGTATGGGACTGTGAAATGGAAAAAGAAGTTTGATTTCAAGTCGAGTATATTTGGAGAGTAACGGTGCGCTTGTGGTAACATGGACTCCATATTGCTATGTTTTTCGTCGGTTCCGTGTGGATAGAAAGTCACAATTTATTTAAACACTATTTATTTAACACTAATTAACAAAAACAATAACAATAAAAGACTTAAAGAACTATTTACAAACGATTTATAACTAAGAATTTATTTTTTGAATTTTAGCGCGTCAACTGTACTCGTTTATTTATAAAGGCCTCTTTAGGCCACAGCCGCCGGCATTTATACCTACAGCTAAAGATTTCTAGAATAGTCCATAAATCGTTAGGTGCATAGAGAAGGCTTCGATTGTTCTCGTATGTACTACTCCATTACAGTGGAACTCGATTTTTCTCGAACGTCCGAATGAATCATTACGGTGTCTATTCTTTAATGCGATGTGAAGGTCATCTGAGGGCGGGACATAAAGTTAGGTCGAGTCCACACGGGTCCGCAACAATATATTGTTAAATCGCGCTATAATTTGTCAGTGTAAGGTATACACGGTGGTCCGAACTGTATTCTGGAAACTTCAGCAGCATATTCTGCAGATAAAAATAAGTAAAAAAGTTTGTATAAATGTATGTGCTAAAATGCTTAGTTTCGGAAATACAGGATGTAGAAGTTTCATTTTATTTAGATTTTTTCCAAATAATTTTTGAATTAACGTCAATATTTGGATGAAAATTGGTGTATGGGAGGTTTTTGACATGAGAAATTTGATTTTGATGTCAACATGTCTCTTGTTTGTAGGGGGCGCCACCTACATTTGTTTTAATTGTTTGAAGAGTAATAACTTTTCGTCCGTACCTGTATAAAACTACTGAGTAAAAAAATATACATTTCTGTGAATTTTTACGTAAAAAATATCTCTTGGTAAAAATCGCTGCGAGCAACCGTTCTGAAGATATTTAAAATGGAAATAGTCAATACATGTCATTATTGACAAAAAATAAACACGTTGAGTAGATATCTAGTTATTTGACTGAAATAATAAATTTGGGAAATTTTTATTTTTTTAAATTAATTATATTTTTTTCTTCGAAAAAATGACGATAAAACAGTTTCTGTTGAACTTTTGTCACAAAAACATTTCAAATTTATGATTTCAGTCTAATAACTATTTAGTCAACGTGTTTAATTTATATCAATGATGACAGGTATTGATGATTTCTGTTGCAAATATCTCGAGAATCATTTCTCGTAGCGATTTTTACCAAGAGACCTGTTTTACGTAAAAAATCACAGAAATGTATAATTTTTCACTCAGTAGGGGTTTTATACAGGTACAGACGAAAAGTTATTACTCTTCAAAATAGTTAAAAGACATGTAGGTGGCGCCCCTTAGAAATAGGAGTCATATTGACATCAAAATCAAATTTCTCATGCCAAAAAACTCCCATACACCAATTTTCATCGAAATATTGACGTTACTTCAGAAATTATTTGGAAAAAATCGAAATAAAAATGAAACTTCTACACCCTGTATCTCCGAAACTAAGCATTTTAGGACATACATTTATACAAACTTTTTTACTTATGTTTATCTGCAGAATATGCTGCCGAAGTTTCCGGAATACAGTTCGGACCACCCTGTATAGTGTCTGACGCATGGTTAACTGGTGTCAAACTGACGCAACCTAATTATTTTTGACAAGTTGTCAATTAACAACTAGCATAATACCGTATGATAAAAAAACGGCGTTCAATTGGCTGGGAAATGACAATCAATGACATTTCTCATATAAATTTACATATAAAATGACAGCGATCTTCATTTCATAGTCATTGCTGACGCCGTTTTTTTTTCGATTATACTGTATATACAAGCGAAAATGCAAGAAAGAAAATACAGGGTGAGAATAAGTGCAAATATTTTTAGGGGTAGTATATTTTGACCCCAGAAACACTATTAAGAATATTTTTATTATTTTTTTCGCGAAATTTTATTTTTCAAATTTGGAATTTTTTGAAAAAAATTTGCATTTTTTTTTTAGTTTTTAGTTAAAAACCATAATTTGTTGATAATATGGCAACGTATGTAGGTAGTAGATTAAATTTACAAGAAAGAAAATCTCTTTTCTGGATTTTCTTTTCACTGGTTCTCAAAATTTTAGCAAAAATCATTTTTTTTGAAAATTTCAAAGTGAAATAACTCCGTTATTTTGGATTTATTTGAAAAACAACAAAGAGAAAATGTTTTTTTTATTTCATAACTGATTGGTTTACTACACGTAACGCGTGTATTATACTATAGTTGGCTAGTACAGGTGCTTGGAACACCCTCCAAAAAACGTCCACTCTTCCAACTCGCAATGAATGACATACCAAAAACACACTTGAGATCTTGAGAAACACCTCACTGTAGTATTGAGCAATAAAAAGGATTGGAGAGAAACGTTTGCTCAGCATGTAAAAGGCCATACCATAACGTGGTATATTGCCAAAAAACCGAAAACTAAAATCTCCGAACCAATGGGCACCTACCCCAATATCCTTTAGACAGAAATCTACGTTCAATCTACGTAATCAAATTTAAATGTTTCAATTGGTCAAAAATGGGGGTGTGTGATGTCGATTCTGTCTCTAATGCGTGAATACATGATTCCCCTTCCTTAAACTTTTCATTAGAAGTATTAATTTACATAAATTATTTTCATTCCAAAAATGCGTTGTAGTACTATACAGGGTGCTACAAATTCGAGGTACGAGCATTGGTATCTCGGAAACCGTAATAGATACGAAGATGGTTAAATTGGGGCAAAGTTGCGCCTTGGGATGTTCACCAAGATGGCATCAAACAAGTTTTAAAAATTTCAAGGATTGCTGAGTTTTTTGGAAAAACTGATTTTTTTTGAAAATAAATTTAATTTTTTCCTGTCGTTACTTTTTAGAACATCGAAAAACTAATTGCACATTCTCATAACCACTTTATTAGGACTATCTGATAGTATTTTTAGATTTTCTAATTAGCTGATAATTTGTGAGATACAGAGGCCAACTTAATTTCTTTAAATACGGACCTGCATTTTTTATTTCAGGTTTTGAAAGAACTCGGTCTCCTGAATATAATGATATCCCACACTTTATACTTTTTTTGTTTTGGGAACCTTAACAGCAACAAAACTATTTCATTATTATTTAAAATAATTTCAAGTCCGACTCTGGTTTCTTAAATTATTTAATCTGATTATATTCATCGCAACAATATTGATCAGCGCTAATTAACATTGAATAAGGAAAATCGAGCCAATTGGAAGATTCAAATAAAATAATATCCAGGTCAGAAATTTAAAGATATTATATTTAACTTTTTTTAATATAATATTAATCGTAGTTATTATAAATAAATCAACTTTTACAAATTAGTTTTTAATGTTATACATGTTCGAAAGGGTTACCACCCTCCCTATTGCACAAATTTATTTTTCGGTCAATTTTATTTATAGTTGTTTGAAATTTCTTCTTATAATTCCGAATGCATTTTGTAAATGTTGAGATGAACTGATTTCACTTTTACAAATGACGTCAAGTAATGTAGCCCGTTGGTGCCTTGGCGTTAGGTCTAGGAACCTCGCTAGACATTATACTGCTCTACCATTTCCAATCCATCTTCCGGGCAGGGCCTATTTTTCATCTGGTCGGGCCCTAAGGCCCAAGCAAAAATTCGGGCCCTCTTTTCCGATAAAATTCAAAAATTCTCTTGTTAGTTTTGGTTAAAAAAATAAAATAATTATTTTTATTTTAATTTTTTTATTAATTTTAAAACATATATAAACATTATTATATTCAACAAAATAAATAATGAAAAAAAAAACAACAATTAATTCTAATTTAAAAAAAAGCATTAATTATATCAATCTAAAGCTTATTTTATTTAATTTTATTTTCCTTATCAGAGGTAACTGTTTTTTTTTCTCTGCTATGTAAATTTACATTTGAAATTATGAATATTTTACAACATTTAACGGACCCCCCAGACCACCGGGCCCAAGGCCCGGGCCGTATAGGCCTTCTGGTAAAATAGGCCCTGCTTCCGGGAAAGTGATTCGATTGTTTATATTATATTATTTTTTATTATTTTATTGCATTTGATTTTTCGTATTCAAGGTTTTACCCCACATTGTTAAGTTTGAAAGCTTATCAATATTGTAACGATGAACAGATTAATGCCCACTTGCACCGTTTGTATAAACTTTGTTTAAAGACTAAACAGTGATTAACTATAAAAAATATTATATAGTTAATCACTGTTTAGCCTTTAAACAAAGTTTATACAAACGGTGCAAGTGGGCATAAATATTTAAAAAAAACATAGCCGGACTTGAAATTAGTTTAAATAAATTGTGTTCAAATGTCAGAACAAAAAAAATATTAAGTGTGGCATATCATTGTACTCGGGAGACCGAGTTCTTTCACAATCTGAAATAAAAAATGCAGGTCCGTATTTAAAAAAAATAAGTTGATCTCTGTATCTCGCAAATTATCAGCTAATTTGAAAATCTAAAAATACTATCAGATAGCCCTAATAAAGTGCCTATGAGAATGTGCAATTAGTTTTTTGATTTTCTAAGAAGTAACGATAGGAAAAAATAAAATTGATTTTCAAAAAAATCAGTTTTTTCCAAAAACTCAGCAATCCTTGAAATGTTTAAAACTTTTTTGATGGCATCTTGGTGCAAGGATACTATAGAGATAAGGATAGTTCGATTCCTATCTTCCTGCACTGTCAGTTTTTTTACGTCATCTGGGGACCGAGTTGAAGTTGGCGCTAAAGACCTTAGACAGTGACAGTTATTTTTGCATTTGACGGATGAGCGCACAGTGCGTTGGAAGATAAATTTAGCGGGACAAAAGCGTTTGGTTAGAAATAAGCCAAAAAATGTGTACTGTAAGAATAAATAGTATATATTCCAATTGATATAAAAATGCATAAATATTCTTTGTATTTCGATACATTTTTATCAACCAAATTTGATTGTTTTCTGCTCAGCAAGGCAGAGATCATACGAAAACAAAATATTTACAAGTGCTTATACATTTTATTCCAAAACCAAATTATGTTGAAGATTGCCAAAGGTATGTACTTTTCTACTGTACGTATATTATTTGTTAAAATCCTTCGTCCCTTTGTTCTGCAGATATCAAACTTTCACTTTATTTCAAATATCGATATATAGAATGATGTAGATCTTTTGAGTTACCAATAGTTACCCACACAGGTAGTCACAGTCACAGGGAGTTCAAGCTTAACAGGTGAATGCCCAGAAAGTTTCATTTCAATCGGATAGTATAAAAACAAAACAACTCCATCAAAAGGCACTGAGTTTAAAAAAATTGTCTTAGATACTTACTATATATGAATTTACAATTACCGAGTGTTAAAATTAAAATTAAAATATCTATCTTAATTATTATTTTTAAAATAAAATATAATTTTTTAAAATAAAATATAGAGGGTGTCACAAGATTACAAAGTAATTAAAAAATAACTGCTAAAGAGTTTTTTTGTAAGTATTTCACCTGATATCATAATTTTATGTATTTGGCAATAGTTTACAATACGGTTTTTGTGTGTCATGTACGAATAATATCATAGTTTTATTATCTTGTATTTATTTATTAATAAATTAAGTTGTTAATAATAAATAAATTTAACCATATAGTTGCTATATATTAGAACATTTGCTACGTTCTTAGATTTTAAGTCCCAAACATTGCTCTTGAGATTTTGTTCCGCTATAATAACCGTCCGCCGCACTGTGGAGCGCTGGTCCCTGCGTGACGTAGCATTCCACGGCGACTACGACAGCGACGATTTGACGCGATCGAACAGTCCTTTAGAATATATACAGTCCTTGATCTTGGTGAACATCCCAAAGCGCAACTTTGCCCCAATTTAACCATCTTCGTAGCTATTGCAGTTTCCGAGATACCAATGCTCGTACCTCGAATTTGTAGCACCCTGTATAGTATAATATAATATTGGAACACCCTGTATTTTTTAAGCAGAAATTTTGTTTTTATTTATTAATCTATCAGGAAAGTAATTATGGTATAACAATGCATGATTAAATAAAAACAAATATGCCGAAAACAAAATTAAATATCTTAATAAGAGAGGACTAATAACAGCAGAATAAAACGGTAGATTAGTTGGCGCGATGGACAATTCGATGGTAAAAATGGGTAATCGTTCCCCACCATGGTCGAATCAAAATTATAACTGTTATTAGCTGCGGGATTCTTAGCTTAGTTCGAAATTAACATACCATCAGCGTCGACCATTAACCAACCGGAGGTAGCTCGTTATATTGTTTGCCGATTTTGTTTTTTTCTACGACACCGACTTCCGTCAGCTAGAAAAGTTCGGAAACCACACTGTAATTAAGTCAATCGGGCACGCAAATCCATTGAATCCGTTTTAGTTATTATCATTTTTGCGATTATCCTTTCGCGGTAGTCGTTGTTGACTGTCACTTGCGGGTAAGTGTTTAATTTCGATTTATTTTTGTTATAAATATTTTTATATTATAATTTTTTATATTCATTAAAACCCTGTACAGTGTGGGTCAAATTGGACGCTTTTAAAGAGAAACACACTTTTCTATAGGAAATAGACGAAAATTAATATCGGTGTCTGGAAATCAATTTTTATCAAAAATATGATGGTGAAAACCACTCATCGATATCTGTTATCGTTTCAGAGTTACGGGGTGTTTTTCACACAAAAATGTGCATTTTTAACAAATCACTGTAATTTTTTTGCTAGAGAAAATTTTGTATTTTTGTAAAAACATTTCCAAAGCATTTTTTACGTAGAATTTAATGTTTTAATTATAATTTTTTAAAATTAATAATTTAACAATTATCAACAGAAAATTTATTTTTTTATATGGAACACCCTATATATTTTTAATTCATTGAATTTAAAATTACCTTTCCAAAAATATAGCATATTTGTTATTTTGCCTGATTTCTCTTAGAGATATAGAGTTTTGAAAAAATACCCCCAATAAGTAGGCTTTGAACGGCGCTGGCTGTAATGCAAAAAAATTCTAGCTGTGAGCAGCAATTAAAACGAAAATAATTTTTGCAATGAGAGATGCAGTAATTTATAACAATTTAAACTATATTTAACAACATCAACACATTTAAACTATATCTAACAACAATAAAAATTAATAACAAACCAAGATATGAGATTTTGCGACAGGTGTTCGACATGTCGACCGTCTTCTGTTATGGACAGATGGGACCGTTTTAGAACATTTCTCACGGAATTCATTAACTCAGTGGGGTGAAAGATACTCTCGCATAACCGCTAAGTACTTCTAATTCTTGTCTAGATCATACGGACAATTTAAAAATAAGAACCCTAATTCTTCCGCAAAAATAAAAATCTACAAGAATACCAGGCCGGCGCGGCGGCCTCGACGGCCAACGGCTGGGATCTGGGTTAGCTATTCAATTATTCTCGAAATTAACTGCAAAAATTTGCCGATAAGCAGAAATAATTGACGATCAGCGTTCTGAGGCAGTGCCTCGTCTTGTTGGAAAAATATGTTTTCGAGTTCCATTAGGGGTAGATCATCAATAAGGGGTCAAAAGCCTATACTAGTTAAAAGTGGCCAACTTATAAAAATTCTGTATTTCGAAGGGGACTATAACAAAATATCAAGTTTGCTATATTTTTGGAAAGGTAGTTTTAACGGCAAGGTAGTTTTAAAAGGTGCTTTGGAAATATTTTCACAAAAATACACAATTTTCCATAGCAAAAAAGTTATACCAATTTGTTAAAAATGCACATTTTTCAAAAATACCCCGTAACACATAAACGGTAACAGATATCGATGTGCGGTTTTCACCATATATGTTTTTGATAAAAATTGAGCTCCAGACACCAATATTATATTAGAAAAGGCTGCTTTACTTTAAAAGCGTCGAATTTGACCCACCCTGTACAGCCAGAAAGGGATATGAAAATAAACCAGAAAGCCGTGGAAATTTATAAATCACTTTTTTTCAACTAAAAACACCGCGTAAATCGAAACCGCACATATTGGAACAAACTTTATATTACATGAGGTTCTTTATTGTGATGTTTTTTGGTGAAAAAAATTGTGTTTTTTTAAAAGTTTAAATTTTCAATTAAATACATAACATCTTGATATGGCAACATAAATAGATTAAATTTAGAGACAGGAAGAGTGGTTTTCAAAATTTAAGCAAAAAATATATTTTTTAAATTTTTATTATTTAAAGAGAAAAATATATTCTTTTGTCGAGATCTACATATATCAACCCTTAAAATATTTGCAGTTATGTAAGAAAACATTATACCGGGTGCGCCTCAAAAGTGGTTCACCCCAATTTTTTTATTTTTTCAGATGAAAAAACGAGCTTTGGTATGTTAGTATATGACATAAATTAGAATTATGGCGTATTCAATTGTTTTTGTTTTGTCACTTCCTGTTTCACCGGAACTTTCGATTAACGAAAAATCGTATTTTAAATTTCAATCTAGATTGCCATGGCTGTGTTAAGAACACAAATTTTTAATCAAGTCGAATGTTTTAAGTATTTTGTTCTGGCCGGTTAAAAGATGCCTAAATCGTATTTTTAATCATATCTTAATTTTTTTCAATGGAACAAGGGTGGTTCATTAGCATATTTGGAAAAAGCATTTTTTTACGAATAATTTGATACCACACACTTGGTATTTCGAGTCAAATTGTCGTTATGAATCGCATGTTGCCATTTCAAATAAACCATATTCGAAAATGTCAAAAGTTGACATATGATATGCTATTCTATTCAGAGTGTCATTTTCTATCCAATAAAGTAGAAAAATACCGGGGATAGCATTTAAAAATCAAAAGTTGAAGTCATTTCCGGTGAAACAGGAAGTGGCCGAAAAGAATTGAATACGTCAATCAATTCTAATTTATGTCATATACTCACATACCAAATCAAATCACATTTTATTCAAAAAAAAATACAAAAATTTATAGAAGTGAGCCACTAGTGGCGATATTTAATAAATTATTTTATTATTGTTTTAATTTGTTTTTGAAATTAAATCAGTTTTAAAATAAAGCTTCTTTTAAGTAAAACTTTTCAAACACGGGAAATATGTTTAAATATTATAAAGAACAAACAACAAACAAGCACTAAAGCTTAAAAGAAGTTAACACAAACCTTTTTAAATCTTAGCAATGTGAAATGCAAAAAATGTGGGTTGGTATTAATCTTAAAAATAACTTGTTGTGGGTTCATTGTCCTTAAAATTATATTCTCCTTTTTTCTTTCGTATGTTAAGAAGGTACAAACACATTTATCATCTCCCATTAAAATTAATTAAAAACAATATTTAAAGGATTTTGATGTTGGAGCATAATTTTGAAGAGGTCTGGTTTGGTTTGGTTTGGAAAAGATCAATATTTTTTTTCCTTCGGATAAATGACAGATGGCAACTTTTATGTTTAATTTAGAAAGAGATACTAAAAAGTAAAATATTTAGCTACAAATTGCTTAAAAAATCATCAAATCGGTCCAAAATAATACGAATATATAAAACTTTAAAATACAGGGTGGCGCCTCTCATACGCCGCAGAGGCTCCAAGGAGAACGACAGTTTCAATTGAAATGATATGTTGTGAGCATATGTAGGATAATTCAGAGCACTTTTTAATTAATAGATATTATTAAATATTGTAAATAGATTAAATATAGAGACTTCTACAGGGTGTCCCAAAAAATAGTTACATATCAAAGTTGTGTTTTTTGTAATGGAACACACTATATATTCATTTATTTTCGGATTCTGGAAGAAAAATGAAGATGAGTTTTATAAGAGAAGTTTATGACCAAAATGTAAGGTTTTTGACATATTTAACATTTTCTAGAAATAAAGAACAATTTTAAAATTACAATAAAAGCTACCTAAATTGGAATTTACAGGGTATAGCTTAATATGTAGTTAAATTAACTATTGTACTTTAAATCAAATTAAAACTTAATCCGAAATGTTCTACAGGGTGAGACAAAATTAATATTGAACATTGGTCACCTTTAAAAGCATGTTACTCTCTTACTCTCTATTTTAAATGGAACACCCAGTATATTATTCCCATATTCAATGGAGAATTCATGTCTCTTCAAAATACTATTAAGGTTGCCTACCCCTCAAACAAAGATTTTTCTTGATATTTTCATTTACATGACAAACCATGACAAATCATCTCAAAAGCTGAGTAGATCTTTATTATTTGATAAATTCTAGGTGGCTGTGATATGTCTGACGTTACTTCAACATAGCTGTCTAATTAGTCCAACTTTAACAACTAGTTATCATTTTGTGTCGGTTAATACAAAAAAATTTCTCAGAAATTTGGCGAAAATGCAAACTTATCCTACATCAGAGAGAATTGATACGATTCTATTAGTTGGTGTTAATTCACCAATTAATAGAATACTTAAATGCTCCTGATTTTGTCTAGAATGTTTTTTTATGGGGATATATTAAAGACAGTGTTTACAAAACTCGACCAACTAGTGTCGACAACGAGAGAAATTATTGTAGCTGCTTTTCGAGGTAGAACTCCACATAATGTCTTTTAAAATGAAAATCCTTTTGAAAACGCAGGAAACACAGGTTTTTTAACAGGAAAGGAAGCATTTTGAGCATTTGATTTTATATAACAAACTTTTGTCGCATAATTATAGGTTTATATCTAGTTTTAATTCTGTAATAATTAAAATATGTTTTAAACGTGTATGTTTTTATTACCCTTGAATATTTTACTCTTCAATCTTTAATTTTTGTTAAATTAACAAAAGGTATATCACACAGCCACCTAGATTTTTTCAAATAATAAAGATTTACTGACGCAAAATCATAAAAATTAAAATATCTGGGAAAATCTTTGTCTGAGGGGTAGGCAACCTTAATAATATTTTGAAGATATATAAATTCCCCATTGAACACCGGAAAAATATACTGGGTGTTCCATTTAAAATAAAAGAGTAACTTGCTTTTGAATGTGACTAATGTTCCATATTAATTTTGTTTCACCCTGTATAACTTTTCGGGTCAAATTTCAATTTGGTTTCACATACCATGGTAACTATAATTAAATATCAGGCTATATAAGGTCAACTAAAATTTAGGTAGCTGTTATCTAAATTTAAAATTTACTCTTCATTTTCACAAAATGTAAAATATGTCAAAATCCTTAGATTTTAGGTATATGCTTCTTTAATAAAACTCACCTTTATTTTTCTCCTAAAATCCGAAAATCAATTAATATATAGTGTGTTCCATTAGAAAAAACACAACTTTGATGTGTAATTTTTTTTGGGGACACCCTGTATAATTCTGTATTTTTTTATAAAACGCTTTCAGTTAACCTACATATGCTGCCAAAATTTCATTTCGATATAAACTACTGTTCTCCTTGGAGCTTCCGCGGCGTATGAGAGGC